AGTAATATAAACTACCTACTATAATATAATATTTATATATAGTATGAATATAAGGGCTAGAAAGGTTTATATAAAGTTATTATAACAGATAGTTATAATATTATATTAAACTTACTAAATAAATTAATAATATTTAGATTTATAATAGTTTAACTATATTATAAAAATAAAAATAAAGGTAAATAATAATTATTTTTAGAGGACCCTATTATTAGATAGTAAAAATATAGAGATTAGTAGCTAAGTAATTATTATTATTAAAAACTAAGGATTATATTATTATAATATATTTTATAAAGAAAGAAGATAATAACTATATTTTAGTTATAAAATTAAAATGAGATAGTGTTATTATAATATTTAGCTTACTCTTTAAGGAATCTAATAGGATAAAGATTAATGATTTAATTAGATAGGAGTAGTTTAGTTTAAAAATAGTTATAAGTTAAATATAGTAACTATTATCTTTTAAATTTTAAATAATATAAAAGGTAAAGGTAAGATTATAAAACTATATAAGAAATCTTAGTGGATTATATAAGGAAATAATAATAATAATAAGGTATTAATCCTTACTTAAAACTTAATACTATAATATATAAACTAATATATAATTCTTATAATTATACTATTATTAATTTAATATTATAATATAAGAGTGATAATATAAGATATTATATAGGTCTATATCTAATCTTAGATAAAGCTAATATAGATAATCCTTATATTATTATTTAAGGAATTAAGGGATAAATACTTAAAAGATATTATCATTTAGGTTTTAAGTTCCTTTATAGTATTTTTAAGTTTAGTGTTTATTAATATAATATATATTAAAATATTATAAGGAAAAGCTTTATATAGAATATTTTATATATAATCCTTACCTTTTAATTATAAAAGTTATAAAGGCTTTTAATATTATTAGAATATAAATAGATAATATATTAATATTAGTAATAAATAAATTCCTAAATAATAAAAGAAGGAACTTAAAATTATAAAGCTTTATATAAAATTAAAATTAATTTAATATTTAAATAATTATTTAACTTTAATAATATTTATTTATTTATAAATATATTTAGTTTTATTAAAATTAAATAAAAGAATAAAAATAAAATTATAATTATTAATAAGATAGTAGATAATACTTTTAATAATATTTAGAATAAAGAGCCTAAAAGTATATATACCCTCTATTTATTAATTAGAGATATTATATAATCTATCCACTACTATATAGATATAAAACTTTAAAAAAGTATTATAAGTAACTAAATAAACAACTATTATAATAGATAGAATATATTATTAAAGGTATAAAATATATACTATTAAATCTTAATATAGTAAAACTATTTATATTTATAGATAAATTATTTATTAATAATAAAGACTTAACTTTATAGTTAAATTATATTATTATCTTTAGGAATAAGATTTATATAAGTAATAATAGAGGTTTACTTTAAATAAAAATATTCTCTATTAGTCTTTAATAAAGTATAAAAGATTACCTAAAATATATTAATAAGTAAGATATATAAAATAATAAATAATATAGATATTAAAATCTTACTAATAATAATATTAAAAATAATTATATAATAATTATTATTACTAAATATTCTATTTATTATTTATATAAATTTATATAGCTTATATAAGTATTTTATAAAGCTTAGAACTATAAAGGAGAAACATTTTATAATAGATATTATATTTTTATAATAATTATATAAGATATAGAAGATTATTAAGGTAAGATAGATTAATAAAAGGATAACTTAGTAAATATATTTATAAAAGGAAATTAAATTTAACTTTATAAAAGTTAGTTAATAATAATAAGCTTTATATTTATATAAATAGGTTAATAGAAAGGCTTAAAGTTAGTAACTTTCCTACTTAATAAAGAAGGTATAATAAACTAATAGTTATTTATTTTTAATTATTATTATTATAATCCTTAAAACTTTCCCTTAATATTATATTATAAACCTCTTACTTTTTATTATTATAATATATTAAATTTTACTTTAATCCTTATAAAAATATTATTATTATAATTACTTTAACTTAAAAATTATTATTATTATATTTATTACTATAATTATAGTTATTATAGTTAAGTATTATAGCTATAATTAAAAGTAATACTTTATATACTTCTTTAAATACTTTTACTTATAATTTAATTATATTATTAATTTATTTATATTTAATAATAATAATTATTAAGATTTTATTTTATAACTTATATTTTTAATATATTTTTAAGATTTAATTTATATTTTATATTATATATTTTATTAGTTTATTAATAGAATATCTATATATTATAAGATACTAAACACTTAAATAATAATATACTTAATAAAATAGATTAATAGTTAAAAATATATAATTAATATTTACTATAATAGTTATAATATAATAAATAATTAAGGTAATTATAAGTATTTATAAAAGGATAATAAAAGTATTAATACCTCTAAAATTAAAGATAATACTATAAATATTATATAAGAAACCCTAATAATAATACTATTATTACTTAATAAAACCCAATTATTCTCTCTAATAATAATAATAATAAAAGTTATATAAAAAGAACGTTAAAATAATATAAAAGAAAGCTTAAAGAGAGAAAACCTTAATATAAATTAAATATAATTATATAATCAAATAATATAATAAAGTAAAAACTATAAAAGGTAAGATTAAAATATATTTTAAAGGTATTATTAATTTAAATAATTAAAAGAAAAGTAAAACTTAAGTTAGTAAACTCTATTTTAATTATAGAATAATAATTATAATTAATAAAATCTTTAATAACTTATAATATTAAAACTAATAATTTTCTTTTAATATTATAATATAAAGAATATAAAAGATATTTCCTATATTAAAAGTTCTATTACTAACCTATATAGTTTAAATATAAACTAAATAGACCACTATTTAAAATATTATATTATTATAATCTCTATAATAATAAACTTAAAGGGATAAAGTATATCTAACTATCTCTATAACTATTATATTAAAAGTTATAAAAGGACTATTAAATAGATTAAAATATTAAACTAAATATATACTTTTTACTTTAAAAGGATAATATATATATATAAGCTCTATATATAAAGGGTATTATTAAAATATATATTAAACTACTTTTAAAATTAATATTAAAAGCTTAATCTTCTAAAAACTATTTAAATATAATATTATATATCTAAAAGTATAATATTAAATACTATAAAAAGAGTAATAAATATAATAAGAAGATAATAATTATTATTAATATTATACTAAAACCTAATAATAAATACTTTAATAAAACTATAATAAATATTAATATAAATAAAAATAAAACAACTATTATTAATAATAAAGAAAATAAAAATATAATAAAAATAAATAAAATTATAAAAATATAACTATTATTAATAATAAGATTATAAAGGGTATAACTAAAGTTAATAGAAAGTAATTAATATTTAAAGTACTATAAACTATATTATTTAATTATTCCTTTATTAAGATCCCCCCTATAAATACTATAAGGGGAAAATAGAAAGAAGGTAGATAGAAGGCTTTAATTAATAGTTTCCTAAATAATATAGGATAGAGGAAGGTAGTAAATAAAGTTTATAAGGCTTTAAAAGTAATATATAAGAAATTTAAAATAATAAAATATAAGGTAAATAAGGAAAAGTTTAATAGTAAATCTATTATTAATTTTACTATTAACTTTTATAAGGATTAAAAAGTAGAATATAAAGGGGATAACAACCTAAAAGACTTTTTTAAAATAGTAGTTATAAAGATTATAAAGCTTAAAGTTATAAAGGCTATTATAAAGCTTAAAGTTATAAAAATTACTATAAAGCTTAAAGCTATAAAGATTATTATAAAGTTTAAAGCTTTAAAGGCTATAGAAAGATTATATATTAATATATTAAATAATAAGTTTAAGAAAAAGATAGAGGCTTTAAAATATTAATAAAATAAATTAATACTAATAATTCTAATAACTTTAATAATAAGGATTATTAAATATTACTATAAAAGAAGCCTACTTAAAAGAGTTAATAATTAAAAATAATTATTATAACTTCTAATATAATATTATTTAATAATAAAAGATTTAAGTTTAATTAATTATAAATATTATTAATATAGTACTCTATTTATATAAATATTATATAAATATAGTTTAAATTATAATTCTATTAGTTTACTTTAAAGTAATAGTTAGAATAAGCTAGGGTAATTATTATTTAATTAATTCTTATAATTTAAAATAATAGTTAAAATAAGTTAAGAATTATTACTCTATCTATTCTTTTAAAGAAAAGTTATAAGTATTGTAAGGTAGGTATATCCTAAAGGGTATATAATTAGGACTCTCACCTTCTATAAGAGTGCTCTTAGAATTTAGATAAAATACACTACACTAATAAACCACAATTACTCCTACAATATATATATATATCCTATTGATAAGAATAAAGCTAGTTAAGGGTTCGTTTTTGATTTCTAAGCGCGTTATAGAGTAAGATAGAGTAGGAGAGATTAGTTTAGCGCAATTTAAACACGACTAGATTACTAATTTTACTTAACTACGAATAGAATAAAGCTGGTTAAGGGTTCGTTTTTGATTTCTAAGCGTACTATAGAGTAAGATAGATTGGGAGAGATTGGTTTGGTGCGATTTGAACACGACCGGATTGCTAATATTGCTTGGCCACGGCACGGACTCTCGCGTCGCGATATCTCACCCTTTGTTTTTATTGGCCAAGATGAAAATGACGTTGTGCATTGCTAAATTATTAATAGGCAGAGATCTCAATGAACTTGAAGGGAATTCGATATTCTGTCTCACCTCGCTTCAGGTTCATCTGCGTTGACATCCATCCATCCTGCGACATACTTGTCATCCCACACGAAGAATTTGATATCTTTCCCAAAAGCTCAAACCGATAAATATGTCGAAGCTCGATGCCGCTCAGCTCTTCTCCGTCAAGGGACTAGTTGCCGTGGTCACAGGTGCTGGCTCGGGTTTGGGCGCATTCATGGCCCACGCTCTCGACGTCAACGGCGCGGCCAAGGTCTTCATTCTTGGTCGTCGAGAGTCCAAGCTCAAGTAGGTTGCAGCGAAGGCCGTACGTAATTATTCAAGACTATAACACATGGCTCCATCCGTTTCTATGAAAGACCACATGATTAAACACATCAAAACTTCCTTGGAAAACGAACACGGAGATGAAGCTTACAAACGTGCAAGAAAAATGGATCTCTCATCCCGGTACCGTGCGATATAAGCTCCAAGGAGTCCTTGCAGGCTGCGGTGGCGTCCATCCAAGAACAGACGCCGTTTGTCAATCTTCTCGTCGCCAACTCGGCCTTACTTGGCGAGGTCACCAACCTTGGTCCCAGACCAGCGGAGCAGACTCTTGGTGAACTACAGAAGGAGCTGTGGGACAAGACGAGCTATGAAGACGCAAGCCAGGTTCTCACCACTAATATAGCAGGGTCCTACTTTACGTTTCTCGCCTTCTTGGGTCTGCTAGGAGCTGGTAATACCCATCCCGACAGCGTGGGCAAGAATGGGCTGCTACAGAGCCAGGTTATTAGTACCACCAGTTTGGGTGGTTTCCGTCGAGCTGAAAGTCCTAGCTATGTCTATAACGCTAGCAAGGCTGCCTTGACTCACTTGACGAAGAGTTTGACACCAGAGTATGCCAAACACGGCATCCGGGCTAACGCTATTTCGCCTGGTTTCTTCGTCACAGAGATGACCGAGGTATGTGATCAGGAAAATCCATTCATCATTGACATCAAGCTTAAACCAGAGTAGGAATACGCCCCAGAGGAAGATGTCACCGCCGCGGGCTCCAGACCGTGGCACGAAACTCCCGCTACGCGATGGGGCACAGAAGAGGTATGCCAAAATTTGAATCCAAATTCCACGTATGCTAATTCTCCTCCCAGGATATGGCTGGTGCAGTGCTCTACTTGGCGTCGAGAGCGGGTGCATTTGTCAACGGAGGTATCTTGCATGTGGATGGCGGGGCCCTCTCCATGTCCCCGAGTTCCTACTAGAAAGGCAGCCGAATTCAACATGTGCTCGTCGATAACTAGGGTTAAGGCCCATGTTTGCGACATAAAGTTGATTAACCGCGAAAGACGCATTACACGGCAGTTTCGGTGATGTGCTTACTGAGGGCACTTGCTCTGGCAATGGTGTCCCTCTCCAACAACAAAAAGCAAGAGCGGGACCTGGGGACCCTTGGAGCTATCAGAAACCCGACACTGCCACTGAGCATACACGAAGTAGGAACTAAACCCCTCAAATTCTATAACTTCTCAGTGCAAGATGATATTGGACTCGTGGCATTGCGTTCCGATGTCCCAAAATGTCTTGCCGTGCGTTCGTTGGCACTTTTGATCATGTCCAAAATTCTTGACACATCTTGGCATTGATGGCAAATATGAGAAGAATCGCCGCTTCTTTTGAAGTCATCACAGCGAGGGAGCCGGAGACGTTGTGCGGGCTGGCGTGTGCTCCCATAAGTATCGCGCCGTCTGTAGCAATTCATTGTGGAGCAGCTGTGAAGCATTTAAGCTGGCTTCGGGAACGTATGGCCCTGAGCTCGGCACCAACTTGCAAGTGTAAGAGCTGAGTCGGTCACAAACTTACCTTTCCAACAGATTCCTGAACTGTGCCGGCCACCCCTGGGACTTCAAGTTCTTATGGACTTTTCCCGCGCCGAGTGTGATTTACCAACGGCCGGACGCACGCGCTCCCGAGCCCATGCCACAGGCAATGAGCTGTATGAGCTACCTACTAGTATGGGTCAGCAGGTCATGCAGGAGACATATTATGTCTTCGCCAGACTAGGCATTCTGCCGTGAGGCCTGCACGTTGAGGAGACCCTAAGCGACTTCAGGAGGCACTCCTGCGCTGCGGCATAACTTCAGCCGCGTCATAGTCCATCAATCAACCTGTATTAAATTTTTGAACACTTTAGATATACTTATATGATCAAAACGGAAGTTCTCTCAATAGTTAAATGAGAGCCCGATAATGTTGCAACACCGACACGCTCATAGAGAACATCTGGCGAATCCGACCGAGGAGACAAAGGACGAATTAGTAGGACGTAATGTGCTGCATGGTCCCCTCGCCCGCCTTTTTTCTTTCCAACTAACACACCTTTCCAGGAGCCTTCAGAAAACTCCAAGTCCTGCATGTCAAGCACAGCCCTCGCAATTAATTCCCTGCCATCCACACACAGCCCACTCGCTTCCGCTCCAAGACTTGCTGTCCCCGAAGTGTCCAGTGCCTGCTTAACATTGTTCGTCCATTCAACATCGGCGAACGGGATATCCATGAACGAGATGCGGCCATCGTATGCCATCCAAGACCACGACGGCGGCGCCGGGCCACAGCGGCCGCCGTTCGGGTAATCGATCTTGGTGAGCTGCCCGGGCCGTAACGCGCGCCACAGGAGCATGCGCTCCGGCCAGCGCCACAGCACGCCGTAGGTGGCTTCCGAACCAAAGGCGCGTGCGATGCGTCGCTGGAGGCCGGCGACGGCCTGGCTGCGGTCAGATGTGCGGGACAGGCTCAGGGCCGAATACGCCGCGTAAAAGTGCTGCACGAGCCGGATGCGCTCGTCCTTGTAGAACTGCAGGCCGAAGGAGGGGAAGTTGCTGTCGCCCAGGAATTGAGACTGGGAACTGTGCGGTGGTTCAAGTCAGCGGTCGACGCTCTAACACCTGATGTGGCTAAACTTACTTTTGCAGCTGGGCCAAGGTCTCGCAGACGACGCCGTTCCCACACTCCCAGTAGATCTGGGTATGGGTGAAGTAGATGGTACGCCTAGATAGGGCCCGTTCCTGCAACACCCAGCCACGATAGCTTAGGGGACTATTCTCGACATCAGAGCGGAAGTCATCCAAATCCTCCGCCAGATATAGCGGCATATTTCCGGACACCGGGAGCATGATGGCGTCCCTCGGCTGCCTGTCTCCCAAGAACCCAGCCAGCGAAGAAGACGCCGAGCTCGCCGCGATGGTGCAGTACGCATGGCTGAAGACACCCTCCATCCTGCCGGCCTCAGCGGCCCAGTCGACCGGGTCCCCCTGAATGATGCACAGCGAGTCTATCCATAGATAGCGCACGCGTAGAGCTCGTGTGACGCGGACGGCATCCCGGAAGCTCGCGGGAAGCTCGTTGTATTCGATGCGCTCCTTTCTTTGCTCGATATTTTCTGCGTATGTGCAGAAGCGCTGGTCTCGGCTCAGCTCGCCCCAGCGGTGGCTGAGCGCAATGTACCGGTTTGTGACTGCTACTTCCTGGCTGGTCTCAACAAGGCAGATTGGCCCAGCATTGTCTTCGCCGACATCAATCACTCGTGTGGGTAATCTTCCTGAGGACTCCGAGTGCTGCTGAGGTGCCATACATTCGTGCTCTTTATCACAATGATGCACCAGAAAGTTCAAGAGGGCAAATTGCTCGGAGCTCGCCGCCTCGGGAAGCAGAGGAAGACCAAGTTGGGCAAAAGGAACAGCGGGAGGTGTAGAATCAGAGACTGCGACACAAAGGTCAACTTGCGTGTAAGCAATGGGGGGATCACGAGTATAAGTACCTGGATTGCAGTACAGCGAGATGATGGGTCGCTCTAAGGGAAATACCTTGACCTTCGTACCAACACGGACTAGCCTCAAAGGCTCTTCAGGCTCCGCTCCGATGGCCGAAATACGACGCTCGAGGAAAGCGCACAGTGCACACTGGCTCGCGCAGGTGCGTAGGTCCTCCAGACTCCGCTGAAGCTGATAGTTTTCGGAGCTGAAGTCGATGGCCGCACAATCGTGGCATAGGCGACATGGAGAGGCTGCCAGTCGGTGGGCCCCCGGCCATCGAGTCCATTCCAGGCTTCTGAGAAGCTCGCGAGCCAGCTTGGGGTCTGTCAGACTCACCCATTTATCGATCAACGTGCTAGTTCTCTGTTTTAATCAGCAATCGCTCGAATGGTCCACATGATACTTTCTAATACATACAGGCTGGGAAATGTCAGCGATATATGGTCCGTAGCCAGAGAACAGTCTAGAGTCGACTCACGTTCTGTTAAATCAACAAGCGGAGACTATTATTAGTCACGAGACTGATTTATGGATAGTCCTGTAGGCGACGACTCACGTACTACGGAATAATTAATCTTCAAAAATCAAAAGGAAGCCATGCGGGGGACTTACTTGTTGAGAAATCGGGACAACAAAGTCCGCAGTGACAGTCGCTACCAATGCCCTGCCCCTGGTCAGTTCTGCGTCTGGTAAATTCCACAGATAGGAAGGATCGGCTGAACAACTGTTGTGAATGATTTCCAGGCTCGTGCAGAACTCATGGATATACCAGCGGTCATTCTCAGGACCGATGAGTAAACGATTCGCTACCAGGTTCATAAGGTCCCGCAGGGCCGGCGTTGCTGCAAGGTAGCCGGATAGCTCCTCTTTGATCCATCTTGTTGCTGCAGGATGTAATATCGGGTTCCCAGCATCATTTTGGTCCCAGAAGCGGTCAATCTTCGGGCCCGTGGTTTTGCGCTCGGTATCGAAACGATTTTGCCCGGTGCTGCCAAACCCCAGCCAGATGATGAACTCCAATAGAACGCACCCGAGCGACCAAGAGTCATACCTGCGTGAGACGGTCTTGGGCTTGTGAATCTCTATCTCGGGAGGCTCGTAACGCAGCGTGCCGCTCCTGCTGGTACTCACATAGCCCTTGACCTGCCTCTCGCGGGTTTCTTCGGCGTGGAACTTGGCGATTCCCACGTCCGCGACCACTAGTTCACCCAGTCGCGATCCACCGACGCTGTTGAAAACTAGGATATTCTCGGGCTTCACGTCACCGTGCCGGGTGCCGCCATCCTTCTTGTCCGGTTCGCCATGAAGTTTCTGAAGCCCATCCGCGAGCCCTCGGATCTGGAGCCATGCCCACCGCGTCACCACTTCGTCTGCTGGTTGAGAACGACGGGCCCAGAGCTGGCGCAAATTGCCACCTGGGGCCCATGGGAACACAAAGCACCGATCTGGGTCCCTCACATACACCGAGATGGCCTCAATGAGATGGCGGTGATTCAGTTTCTTCATTCGCCGAAGGGTAACTGTCTCCTTGTTAAAGAACTTGTTCAGTTCCTCGTCCGTGGCCCCGCCTACGCGTAGTTGCTTGACCGCAACTTCGCGGGGTGACGCGGGATGGTGTGAGGCCTAAGAGGAACAAAGTTAGCTTGGTTCCGGCTTGACTCGTGGAGTGACTGAGTTGAGATCTTATCTTACCGGAGGCAGGTACCTTCCAGAGATGGACTTCATGTGATCTGGTTGTAGTCCCAACTTGTAGACCTTCCCAAAACCGCCCCCATATGTAGCCCCGTTCGGCAAAATGACGTACGGAAGCGGACATTTGGGGTGGATTATGTACTGGAGCTGATCATTTCTGAACACAACTGTGAAGAAAAGAAACTGAGTCGACTCGAACGTCTTGATATTTGCGACGGTCCAGTTGTTCATTCTGTCCCTGCCGACAGCAAAACATTGCCACGGCAGGTTCTGGTCGTCTGCCATGGAGTAAACCCTCACGATGCCCCCCACGTTTTGGTGTCGCACCGGAAGATGACCATCCAGAAACCCCCCTGAGCGGAGAAGTGGCAGTTTATGGATGAGATTGATTGCAGCAAGTGTCAAGAAGACGCGCGGGTTTCTAGTCGCGTATTGTACGAGTTCTAGGTCGCCGTTGAACTCAGCCTCTATTGTCGCCCTCACTCTGGCTGGGTGCCGCAAATTGTCGATCGCATTTTGTCGCAGGTATTCTGGATTGTGCAGTGTGTCGATCTGGAACTCGCGGGTACACGCGCTGTCGATGGAATCATCGGACACAATCTCTGCTGAATATGCGTTGGTCATAGTGAGATGAAGGCTTTGTAAAGAGCGGTTTACACTTGTAAAAAGTCTATTGCGTTGGCTGGAAATGCCACTTTATTCGTCCTTCAGGCTTGTCGACGACATCTGTATTTCATACCATGGAATACAGAGGCAGCAAGTTCAGAATATAAGCACTTCAGGTTCGATACTCATGCCAAGAGACTGCATTCACTCCCGCCTTCAGGTTCCTGTCCCAGACTTGTTGCGCATTGGTGTGACAAGAGATTGCGGTACCGCACGTCATAGCTGGCATGGCTTCCCATAGCCCGAGTCTTTTCGCCCGAAAATGCGGTTCCCGGGAAGACTGACAAGTGTAAGGACTTCGAGATACAGCCTTATCGATGAATATTGTGAAGTGAGAGCCTGCTTCTGTCGGGTTATACGACAAGTGACTATTTGCTGACCACCGCAATAGTGAAAAGCCCAATATGATTTGTGACAGCCGCAATCTCGAGGCAATCCATTCCGTGGCTTATCTCCAGAGACTGCCTCGGTACGGAGTACAACGTCACTGAATCTTGAGCAGGTCGCTACTTAGGTATTGAGCCGCAGTAGTGTGGGGTGAGAGCCTGCTGCCGTGGGGTTACACAACATAGATCATTTGCTGACCAGAACACACCCACAAAAGCAAATGTGGTGTGCTAAGCCCCATTGTCGTAACGTTTCGAGTACCGTGCAGGTCGTCGCTTGGCCTCGAACTGGAATTTCGGCCCCCGCGATACAAAGCTGAAGGGGAATCCCGGCACCAACCTTGGAAGGCAGCCAGGCAGCTCGGGGTCGCCGCCCGTCTTCAAAATCTCGGAGGCGGCATCTGAACCAGGGCTGTGTAGACAGACTATGGCTCGCCCAAGCATGCATTCGTTCACATAATTGGTAGGTCACCCGAAGTTTACTAAACTGCGAGCCATTTTTTCAGCACTCGAGCAATAATCTATCTCCTACATATGTAATGCATCTGCTGTAGGCAAGCCCATTGCAGATCTCCGCCCTCGTGGCCCGAGCCACCACTCTTCTCCCCGCGGCATTGCGCTTCGCCATTACTCATCCTCACATTAGACAGCAGCGATCTGCTGGGTTTCTATTGACTATTGTTTCTTACTCAGCGTCTGAAACGTTGCAAGTCAAATAATTCTCCAGAACCTTACCTGGGGAAAGAATGGTTGGTGAAAATTGGGTCGCTTGAGCCGGATGATGTAGACATCGTTCCGCATTTCCAGGCTTTCTATCTCGAATTTTTTCGCTTTGCAAAATGTCCTCAGGGTGATAAGAAGATCCTGAGGGTTCTTCACAGAATTGGAGTGAAGATGCCGCTCAATGATGTCTGCGCGAGTGCCTTGATGAATTGACTTAGTCATGTTCGACCTGTGCTGTGTCTGTTATTGATTTGGATACCGGCTCAAGAATTGAACTTAGAGAATAAAGAGCACCGAAAAGGGTCAACAAGAATGAAGGTCGCAGACCATTTAAAGAATTCGATTACGATTACGCAGGTAAGGCACGCGCCGCCCCCAATTCGATTGCTGAAACCGTACAGGTGCTCACGCTAGGATCTGATTGCGCCTCGATGACACGAGGCAACCTCATGTGTGTCCGAAAGTGTCTAGGATCATCTGAAGGTGCACAAATTCACATGCAAAGATTCTCCATCCATGAAACGCAACGGCAAGCACGGCATAGCCGCTGAGGAGTCGGTGACCTCGCCCGGCCAAAGCACACACCCTCAGGCTGTGCTGACAGGCGACGTGTGGCGTAGCGTTATGTAGGAGGCTCTTTCACCGGCTGATACCAAATCGACCGCCATGAGTTCGTGTCATCCATACCCCCGGGCTGAAAATCATCTGACCACCCTGCTGCTGCCTTGCGTCTCACTGTGGTACAAAGCATGGCGGTGGCTGACTGCGGCTGGCTGCTTTAGAGTAGGCCTCCCCGCCCTACATGTCGATGAGGCTCTGTGGATTGATCATGTGGATGTTTGCAAATTGGAGTGCACACTGAAAATATCCTGGAGAGAAGCAACCAAGGAACAGCCGAGCTGCAGGGTGAGAATGGCCGGGGAAAGGAGGAGTGGCAGGATTTCGGGCGGTGAATTCAGCACAGAGGAAATTTCATTTCTGTTTTAGCCTCTAGTGATACTGAATCGATCGGGGTGGTCACATACTTAAGTAACATAGCCGCATTTGCAAAACGCTTCAGATGGAATTATTCAATCACAAGAACATGTTTGTTTCCAGTCTAATGCACAGGTTAGACTGGAAAATCGAAGTTCACAGTCACCTCAGTTGATGATATAATTACTCCACTGATTCCGCGGTCACACCAATTGTCAATCTGCGGACTATCTAGTGCTTCTGAAGCCCATCATTCACTTGGATGGATCATCTTGAATGAAAGACCTTGTTGAACCCCAACTCGCTGCTCCACAATCCAACTCAATGGCAGACACATTCGAGCGTAGACACAGAGCGTTCGGGAACAGGGTTGGTACACAAACTCCGAATTACCCATAGTTTGCGGAAACCTCTAACACATTCAGGCTAGAAGTGGGCATGAAAACGCCCCAGAAGACGGCCCATGTACACAATTACACAGTCAGGAAGAGCCGATCCGAGTGAACACTTCGTCAGGTACCATCGATGTATCAGAAACGGATGCGGGGATTTCCGTGAAACAAAGACTTGAGGATAGCTTCAGGCAGTCGAAGGCCCGCAATGAGGAGGCTAGAAATGGCTCCAATTCTTTTCTTCCACGGAAGGCTCTCACAGCGATCTTGACAGATCAGACCATACAAACGCTCCTGACTGATCAGGTCTGTTTGGATGATATCACTGGCGATAAAGGACGCATCAAGATATTTGCTATCCTGCTCCTGATGGGGAAAACTAAACACATTCGGCGTATCATCCAGCATGGCATCACAGATGATGACTTGCCCTTGGAATGGGACCGCATACATGCTTGCTTCAGTAAGGACGCTGCGCTTGCCAAAGCCTTTCTATTTTCTCAGTATGATGTTCACGTCCCTGTTTGGGACTTTTCTTCGCACGAAATTCGCGAAAAGACATACGACTGGAATCAGAAGCTCCCATTTCTGAGGAAGGAGTCACTTTCCAGAGGTGGACAAGGTGTAGTCTGGAAGATCGAAATCCATCGCGACCACTATCAAACGAAGACTCAATCGGTATGCTGAAGTCCCAGACCCGGCTAAGATCCTATGATCCCAACTGACCACTTATATGTGGCAGAATCGATGGGAATGTCTGCACAAAGGCCCCGAGTTTGCTCTGAAGGAGTTCATAAATAAGGCCGACTTCAAAGACGAGTTGGAGGCATTGAAGCTCTTCAGCCGAGACGATTCCAAGCATGCGAATTTGATAAAGGCGCTCGCAGCGTACACACACTGCGGAAAGCACTTCCTGATTTTCCCCTTAGCCGAAGGCAACCTCGAAAAGTTCTGGCAGGACGCCGGCCCGTTGTTGCGGGATCCCCTATGGCTGATTTCACAATGCCACGGACTCACGGACGGCCTGGAAAAGGTTCACCGGTACAGATTCAAAGATTCATCACGAAAGCACAAAAGGCTCCTGGGCCGGCACGGAGATATCAAGCCCGAAAACGTCCTTTGGTTCAAAAATCATTCCACAGGCAAGGACCGCCTCGTCCTATCAGACTTCACACTAATGCGTTTCCACGCTGAAGGAAGCAACGAAGCCACCACCATTGGTCGAATTGGTGGCACTCGGACGTATCGTGCACCAGAGGTGACCTTCATGTCCGGCAAACGTGTAAGCCAGAAATACGATGTTTGGAGTCTGGGCTGCGTATTTCTGGTATTTATCAGCTGTCATCTTGTTGGATACGACGCCACGCGCAAGGAATATTTCAGAGGGGATGATGGCAGGGATTACCAAAGTTTTGACACAGTCCGTTTTATGGAGGATTTCATCGAGCTGGGTGCCCGTGAAGACAAATACTTCCTTTACAAGCCAGGATTACAAGAGGCAGAAGTCAAGTCATCTGTAAGACAGGTGAGTGGAAAAAAGCGAGTCCCAAACCTTTAGCTTCGAGATGCACTGACCGGCTTTGTTACAGTGGTTTGCATATCTCCATGGGCAGCGACATTGCTCTGATGCTCTGCACGAGTTCTTGGACATCATACAAGAACGCATGCTCTTGCCGAGACCAGAAACGCGGTCCTCTATTCAAAGCGTCCGCAAGAGGTTGGCCGGAATTCTCGACAAAAGCCGGTATCAGGGCCGTGCCACTGATTTTTGCCGAGCGGGACGACCGCGGGCTGTCACTCGTTCAAACTCGTTTCCTCCCTTATGGGATCATGACGAGTATGAGAAACGGCGTTGTTACAAAGACAACGACACGCAGCTTTCAACACGATCTGATATGACTTCAAGCGAGCTTTCTGGTGGATCTACCGATTGTTTGGACACAGGACGTCTAGAAGATGCCGTTGGATCACGACATGACTTTGAACAGATCAAGAATCTCTTTAAAGACATAGCATCTTCTCAAAGTTCAAATTCAGAACACACTCCTCCCCTGGTGGTTACAACTAGTTCAATACTACCAAGAGATGGCGACGTGCTACGGAATAGTCCAGGACCCCGCAGCGACCATCACGAGAGCCCTTCAAAAGCAGGCGTGGACGACTTCCGTCAGCATATTTCTCTATCACGCGGTTTTTCACGTGTAGCCGATCATTCGGGACATCTCTCTCCTCCCACCATCAATAAGGGTGCTTCTTATACGGCCCTGATAAGCATCAATGGGGATCTCAAGTTCCCTCATCATTCTGCAGGGATGGGCCTTGTTGCAACTCCAGAGACCTCCCAATATCCCGCTTCATCGGATGCGCACAGTCTTTGCACAGCCACAGAGGACCCACGGCCGTCCATGTCGAGCCGTACCGATGAATCGATATTGAGGATGGAGGAATATTATGAGCAAGCACATCAGTCAGAAGATCTCCATTCGGCCGCTATGAAACGCATGCCGGACTTGAATCCAAAGTCACCAGCCACTCTATCGCTTGGAGACGGCACCCAAGAGCTCGTGGACGGCGCGGAAGGGGCGGATAGCAGACCTGGTGCGGAACCTACTGAGAAACGCTCCTGGTCGAGAGATGGATTATCGTCGTTGCGGAAGAATTTGAGGTCATTGCCGCGAAGAGCATTAGAACACATTCGGAGAGGAGGCCGACGGCGCGTAGAGCGCGAAGGGTCGTAGATCTTGGCTGCAACGTTGGTGCTTCTTCCACGTCCACAATGCCTGCCTCTCAAGTTTTATGACTAGGACATAGCATGTACCATGGATAATTATAGCATGTAGAGGCATCTGGCTTTGTGAACATTGGAGTGCTGGCGATAATTACATGGTGATAAGCTAATGATTGAATACAGATTCACAAGCAAAGCTCATGTTAATGATATCTAGATAATCTTCGCATCTAACTACTTGTTGAACAGAATTGCCTTCCCCCTATTAAGTTCCCCCCAATAAGATTCCTTTCCCCGAGATACTCTTCGTATCATTCTTCTTCATGCTGTATGCCGCGTTTCCTTTTTGAAGAGGTTGGGCCTTCGACGTCACTTATGTTGCCCTGGTCTGGCTATTTGGCCAAGATTTCCAAGCTCTTCGTGTGTTTGGGGAAGTCTCATCGTCGATCTTGGATATGTGTGCGCAGAGCACCAATGAAGAAAAAACAAAGAAAGAAAAACCTGTGCGGAGACACTTACGCTCCGTAAACAGTCACATGTGTCATCTGCTATACGGTCGGATGTGGCTGCACGACACCTGGCAACAGTTGATAGCTGAGATCTCTGCTAGTTACAATACCGGGAAAGAGACTTAAACACATGTACGCCTCTCCACCGGTTTCTCATTTTTGGTGAATTTTAGTGATAGGGTACAAAGAGAAATACGGGTGGCCTAGGATGACCTAGGGAGTCAATGCGTAAAAGGCCTGGTGGTGCTCCGTTTGAACAGGGCCGAGTGAGTGGAGGATCGGTCGATGGCAGTCTCAGGCCTTACTTCCAGTGACACCAAGCGGAGGAAGACAACACGTACAAGCAACCTCGGACTCAGACAAACCAGTCGAGTCACCAGGAATTGTGAGTGAAAATACATAGGTAACTTAAATGCAGCCATGCCATGCCAACGCTGGCATCGGTGCCTAGATCTCGGGGTTAGGATCGGCTTGTGAAAATCACCCACACCAATGTTCACCATCTCGTCCACCTCCCTGCTTCCTTCGACGCAACCAACATCTAGCTCCCCTTCTCTGGAGATGCACCAATACCGAAATGGATACCGGCAATGATAGTCCCAACTACTTGTTTGACGACAGTAAGAGGCCCGCACTACCCTACGTCGCCGGCGCCTCCTTCGAGATCAAACGACACAAACCGCTCGCACCCTTCGACAGCGGCATCTGCTACGCATATCCCACTCAATTCAGCCTCAGTGAGCCTTTGCTACCCATCGAAGTTCTACCTCCGAGCAAGATTTCAAGCCCAGATGACCACTGGACACCGTGGAGATGGTCACCATCAGACCCGAGTCAAGTCCCACCTGAAACAATCACCGAGAGGTACCTCAGACACCGGCCCAGGAAGACTGAACCCTGTGATGGGGACAGTAGAGTGCATCAACTCGAGGTAGTGCGGCAGATCAGGGTGCGCGATGGTGCCTACGCACAAGTCGTGCAGTGCCGTATAGATGGTATCCGGGGCCCGCTAGTGGCTAAGATCTTCGACCCTCTCTATAGGTGGGAGGACGTGGAGTTAGACGAGCCTTGGTCACCCGTTGGGCTCGCCGAGTCTGAGTGGTCCTGTGAGGCTGCCGCCTATACAAGAATCCACGACCGCGGGTTGGACGGAAGGCACACGCCGCGCTTCGAGGGTTGTTGGTCTTTCGAAATACCCTACGAGCTGGAGCTGGCCCGCAACAGTTCTGCCGGTCAAACAAGCGTCGTCACTGCCACCACTACCACCGCCATCGATGACGGCCCTCACTCGAATGATGACAGAGGAATACGACAACAACAGCTGTCGAAACGGCCCGAGTGCCGCACTTTCAAGACGACTCGCAATGTGCGCCTGCTGTTAATGGAGTACATCCCGGGCGACAGCATCCTTCAGCTGCTCCGGACGGGTTCTTATCAGGACATACCGCCACACATCCGCATGGACCTGCTGGGACGCATCGCCGAGGCCCAAAATGCGCTATGGCATATACGCGTCTCTCATGGCGACCCTCACTCGCGGAATGTCGTCGTCGCCAGGTGTGAAGAGCACGACAAAATCGACGAGGATGGGGAGGATGGGGAAGACGCCAACGGTGGGATAGAAAAAGGTCACCAATCATCCGCTTCCGCCAGCTCCCCAGAAAGAATCGGGGAGATTCCCAAGAAAGGGCAGAAACGGCGAGGCCTAGACAGTCAGAAGTGGCTTGTCGCGCTTGTCGACTTCGGGAGATCCGTGGTTCTGGACCTGCCCAACGCAACGAGTAACCTCAAAGGCCGCCTCCCACCCGCCCTGCCACTGCCACCGAACCCGATGACCAGGTGCCGCGGGTCATGGCCCGTCTATCCCCTCTGTTTGGACCCCGACTGCGATGGCGACGCGCCAAGGGAGGACAATTGGGTTCATGACGATTATCAAAGCTTCAAAGCGAGGCGCGAGTGGATGGAGGCGAGATGGGGTAAGGATAGCGCAAAAGCTAAACAGTATCGGCCGGTAGAGTGCGAAAAGTTAGATGAACCAAGAAGCAATGAGCAATAGTCAGGATAAGTTTTCGGAGATTCATAACCCGCAAAAACGGATGGTGCACTTAATCTTGATAGAATAACTTACAAGACAAGCTCTTATAGGATATGATCCTACAGGATCAACTCCTCTAGCATGGCCTCGTATGGGATAGCCGGTCTGGTGTTACTTGAGTACTTTGATCCCCGAGTCATCATGGGTCTTCTCCAGTTATCATTAGCTGTATCTACTTGGTCAACCCCGTATGGGTGTGCCGCCTGTTTCTACGTGGGCGAGTCTCCGATCGCTAAGATATTAATGGCTGGAAAGCTTGGAAGGGGGGGGGGGGGCTCTTTCGGTCATTGCTGCTTTTGTAACAGACAAAAGGAATCTCCAATCTAGCTTTCTAAAGTGTCAAACCCTTCCAGGTTCAAACAAACAGCATGAAAATGAGTCGATGCAATCAAACTTTTCAACAACACCTGCTCTCAGCACTACGGTATATCCAAGTCCTTTGTAGATCATTACTTATTTTTGTCGCATGGGAGGAGAACTTCAGACCGACGGGACACGTTTCGAAACAACGGACATGCTGAACAGCTCATTACTGCCACGGTGCATTTTGATTCCTACACAACCTAACCCCCAGATCAAGATCGCCAAAAAGCCGTCTGATCAGGTGGATCCTGTCAAGTCGCATTTGCTGTCTGTCACCACTACCTTTTCAATCCTGATGCTGTTTTGAGGCAGGGCCATCTCAGTGGGCGTGCCCCAGGGCGTCTATCGCGTTGACCAACTCAGGGTTGTTACCTCTTGGCCGCGGCGGACTGGCCGTCGACAGTGGCAGGACGAGCTTCATACTTGTTGGCTGCAGGAGTGTTCTGCGCGGGAACGTCTGCGACACGAGTATCGCCGTATTTGTAGAATGCGGGACTCGGGTTGACCTGTTGCTGGTCTCCATAGCCAGGTCCACCTTGTTGTGGTGGTTGATTAGCTACTTGGCTAGGGTTTCCAGCCTGGCCCTGTGTCCCGTTTCCATGGCCATAAGTTTGGTATCCAGGAGAAGGCTGAGGTGGCCCGGTCTGCTTGTTGGACATTATTTCAGGTTGAATTTCGTTCCAAATCTGTGGAGTTATTTTGCCTTATTCCAACTTGTAGTTCTCGACGGTCATGAGCCGGTTGTGGTTGATTTGGGGCGAGAAGTGTCCGTTCTGAATGTATCAGACTTCAGCAGCTAGTTGAAGCGGGCTGGAGAGTGCAACAGGTAAAACGGCAATTTAGCGAGACCCTCACCTGTTTCTTGTGCGTCTTATGTTCAAAGACATGTACCAAAGGTTGTGAGTGTTGTGTTTCTTTTGTGCTGTAATTCGTGGTCTGCGTCAGGAAGACTTGAGAAAATGAAGGAGGGCTGTCCGAAAGTGCAGTATTTATATGGGATGCACTATAGCGATTGTGACTCAGGGAATCTCAGTCAGTGATATTCCTAAATCATCAATTATTTTCGTTCAATTCACTAAAAGTCTGACAGTCTCCACTGGACGAGGTTGTGACTTGATTGTCTGTCTCTCTCGGGCCCTTCTATGATTTGCATTACTTTCCAGGTCGATGAACAGAGCAAGACATTTTGAGCATATAGACGAAATCTTGTGTTTTCTGTATTCCACTGGTCATTTTACCCTTGAATGAGGCCAATCACTCCGTTGACGTGTGACTTTCAGGAGGTCAACATCAACGTGAAGATGACGACAAGGTCCAACGAAAAGAATATGTTCTGTCACTGGCAAGGGTCTTGCAGGGTCCGAAAAGCCTGGTGGCTTTCAGAATAAGTGACTTGAGTCTGAATAAAATACAATGAGGTAGTTATCACAAAGCTGACCTTGCTTGTCAGGCTAGTGACTGGCTTAGCTGGTCACATATTCGCTGCGTCAGGGCGAAGCCATGGCTACAGTGTTTGGTTAAGTGATTCAGATCTTATCCAGTATTTCAGTGAAGCCCTCGCAACCTTTGCAGAGTACCAAGCTGTTACAATCTCAGGTCATCAAAATCGCAAAACTTTTGTTACTCTACCCAGCCATTTCCTGTCCCCTACAGGTCGGAAGTGCCTCTTCTGGAATGCATCCTTGTTCATGAACTGAAATGAAGAGGATGGAGCCGACATTCGGCATTATTCTGATAACAATGTGATCTATCCAGTCATCTATGACGTTTTACATGTAGGGAGTCTGTCCTCACCCGGGAAAGCGCTATCTTACCGAGCATCTTCAGTGAGTCCATCTGGTGTCTTTCTTCGAAGATACGAACTAAAGTGCATTCTTAGTCAAGTACATATGGTGCGGAGGTGGGCAAAGACCGCTCGCGACGGAGTACTGCCAACACGGCGACCAGTCCTCGCTGTACAATTGTCCTCGAAATGACACCGGGTCAGCAGGTTTTACAACTATTAAAGGACAGATTGTATGAGTATCCAGTGCGTCTCTCTCGTGAAAAGGTGGGGAGTTTCTCAAACAAGTCAGAAACTTCAAATACCTTTCTTGGTTCTACGAGGGAATTCTGACGAGGCACAAGGAATTTCTCAATACCTAGTAAGAAAAGTTCAAGTACCAGTCTTCATGTCCTCCTATTTCAAACATGTCTTCACATCACGGTCTGTCACAATGAGGGGGACTTGACCTCGAGGGCTGTAAGCTGAAAGTTTCAGGGGACCGGGTGCAATTCATGTGGATCGTAAAACAGCATCTCCATCGTGCATTCAAGGGGGAAATGGAGGTCGAAGGAGCTGCAAGGTATCCACCTATCCACTTACACGCCTACCTGGAATTTTTAAATTTGCTTTAATTGGATTAGTTGAAGTTCGCTTTGTAGGGGAGTTGCTCCGTTTCGCCAATGTTACCCAGGAGGTGCCATTATCTGGCCCACCAATGTGGAGACACTCAGTACCTGTTGTGCATGATTGGAACCCCATGTGAGTGGCATTTTGCGCCTCGATAAGGACCAACCAACATATATACGTGGTCTGCGGGCCTAGGTACTGCCAGTATCTTGCGGTGTCTTGAGTCAAACGCAACGCTTCTCATCTTTCATTGATCATTCCCACGCTTCGACGCCCCTACAATCATCATGGAACGCGCCATAGCACCATCGACTGTCTCTCTGCTGCAGAAGCCTCTTGTAGAAGCTGTCGACATTGCCAAACAACCACTTGTAGACATAGTCTCTATCGATCCCGAAGATTGCTCAACCCCGGATGTCTCGCTTACCGGAACACGGTCTTTCAAGGTCGTGGACCTGAAAAATGAACTGAAAGAGGAAATATATAACATCAGCCTCCTTGACTGCATTATGCCCAAGATGTATATTCCCGTCACATGCACGTACAGGATCGAAGAGGGTACCGCCATTGAGACCCTGATAAACGATCTCTGTTCTGGGCTTAAGGGCCTACTGGCGAATTATCGCTTTCTTGCTGGATCGGTTTTCGAGAGAGATGACCGAACGTCCTTCGTCAAGCGTGGGCTATCTCATGCGAGATTCACCGTTCACATCGAAGACCACAGGCACAAAGAATTTCTATTGTACGAAGAGTTGGCAAAGCGGAACTTTCCTGCATCGGAGCTTGACGTTCGTATGCTCCCGCCAGGCTTTGAGCCGAGTCCGAGAACTACACCAGGGAAGGGCAACCCAGCGATGATGGTGCAGTTCAATTTTATCAAAGGAGGCCTGGTCATTGGCGCGGTATTCCACCACCTCCTGGTCGACGCGAAAGGCCTAGATGCCGTGATGGCACACTGGGCCGCGCATACCCGCTCGCTGAGGCAGGGTACCTCGCCTCCACCGTTCAATACATCCGGCCTCACTATCAGCGCTTTGAACTCGGTCAGGGGGGACGTTTTTGACGAGACCAGTCAACCGATCGCCTCACTGAAATATGCACCAAACGCGCCTCCGACATCAGACGTCCCGCCCTCAGCAATGGCCCAGCACATCTGGCATATCCCCGCCAGCAAGCTCGCCGCCCTCAAAGCGTCAGCGGCGCCGACGGCTCCCGGTGAAGCCTGGGTCTCCACAAACGACTGCATCACAGCGCTCATGTGGCGAGCCATCACACGGGCCCGCCTCGCAGCGCACGGGATCGCCGACCCGACGACAGACACCCGGCCCGTGGCACTGGAGAACTCCCTGGACGTGCGAAAGTCAATCCCAGGCGGCGTTTCCAAGGCGTACCCGGGTAATGTGGTCATGTTCTCCAAAGCCCTCATGCCGCTTAACGAGCTCGTGAGCGCCGACACCTTCCGCGCCGTCGCGGTATGCGTGCGCGAGACGATCGACGAGTACCGCGCCTGGCCCCTTGTTCAGCGTGCCATCAAGTGGATTGCATCTGTGCCGTGCGGCTCTGATGTCGTCATGGACGTCGACGTCGTCATGGGCTTGGATGTGGTCGTCACGAGCTGGCGGGTCCTGCGCGCTTACGAGACGTGGGATTTTGGGTCCGGGCCGCTGGCGGCGCTTAGGTGGGCCACCCCTGTCTTTGATGGGTTTGGTTTCCTTTATCCCACCCGGCCTGGTGCAAGCGATGATGAGGGGGTGGAGATTTATTTGGGGCTAGAGAAGGGATGTATGGAGAGACTACTGATGGATGAGGAACTGTCCACTTGGGTTGAGATCCGAGACTAAGGGGACGGAACAAGCCGTGGGTGTCTGTTCATATACACACACCCACAAGGTTTTTGTGCTGAGCCTTTGAAAAGGGGCAGAAAATGTCAAAGCAGGTTGATTCAATCATATCAGGAATGCTAGTAGATCTATCTTGTGTCCTTTAACCTGTGTGTTTTGATGCCCAATTGTGTGATATTGTTCTAAATCACTTCCACACACTCACTCCACCACTGAGACCCCGGGATCAATTGATTGGAAGAATTCCATACCTGACTACCATTCTGTCGAAGGGCTAATTCGCTTTGTGCGGTCTCAGGTCTCCAGAGTAATCAGGATACCCAACCGTCACCTTGTTCCCGTTCTGGGCCACTTTAGCAAACCAAGCCTCAGCATCCTCCAGGAACTGCTTTACCACCACAGGATTACTCAGGTCAAATGGCTCGAAACCTTTTCCAATCGCTCGCATCTGTGACCATGCGCCAAGACCAGAGATTCTGAAGTTCTCATCGCAGGGCGGCAGGGGCTTGATGGCGCCCGTGGCATGCGAAGCAATCAACTCTTTGGCAAGTCCGGGTTCTTGCACGGCAGGCCTCGCGATGCCGACACCATCGACAGTATCCAGAGCCGCCACCATGGCGCCAGCGGATCTGAAACCACCGGTAATGAAGACTTTCGTCGCGCGGGTATCAGTCGGGCCGAGGGCAGGCACAACGAGTTCAGCGAAATCAAGGAAGAACGCCTCGCGCGCTTTGGTGCTATCCTTCTTGCGATCGAACCCGAAGTTCTCGAACGTGCCGCCGCTCAGCTCTAGGTAGTCGACACCGGCGGCCTGCAGCGCAGCAGCTAGCTCGGCCGCGTCATCCGTCGTCAGTCCCTCGGCCTGAAACTCGACCGAATTCAGCTTGACGGCGAGAATGAACCCCGGTCGGGTACGGCTGCGCACGGCCGCGCATATCTCCGTCACGATGCGCACACGGTTCGCGATACTGTCCCCGCCGTACCTGTCGGTGCGCTTATTGGTCGTCGGGCTGAGGAATTGTGCGAGCAGGTAGCCGTGAGCGGCGTGCAGTTCGACGCCGTCAAAACCAGCTGCCTCGAGATACTCGGCTGCGTGGGCGAACGCCTCGATGATGCCGGCGATCTCGTCTGGGGTGGCTGCTCGGGTCGGTGGGAATGTCATTCCGGCGTGTGGCGCTGTGGAAGGAATTCATGTGATGAGCTCCCGTGCCTCAGGGCTCTTTCTGGGGGGCCTGAACTCACCAAGCTGAACAGCCGAGGCAGAGATGGACTCTTCAACAATTTTTGACGGAATCTGTCGCCCGGGATGATTCACTTGGCCTATGACCAAGGCGCCATGAGTCTTCGCGGCCGCAGCGACAGCCCGAAACTTCTCGAAGCGTTCTCCTTGCAGTGGAGCTCCAGCTGGGATGGCAGAATCGCCAGCTGCGCTAAGGTGCTTGCAGTCAATCATAATGTTACCAGTCTGGATTATCCCCCAGCCTCCTTCACCCCATCTTCAGTTGTGTCAGCCTGGACATCGCTGCGTATGAACATGAGTTGCAAACGCTTACCGTCGGTAAAGCTCGACCAATTCTTCGGTTGGAATGCCGCGAGCTCCCACATCGTTGGCGTCCCAGGTCGACAGCGCTTCAGCCATCGCACTCTTCAAAAGGCGATTTGGAGCAGTCTTGAGAGCTGTGCCAAATGTCAAAGACTGGGCGAGGCGGGAAAAGTCGCTGTCACCGTGGTACTCATAGCGAGTTGTGGACATTGTGTAGTCGTGAATGAGTTGAAGGATATTCGTTTGTTTGTGTTAGAAGATTGCTAGATGAAGGCAGATACTGACTGTCTCCGTGTAAGAATCAGTAAGATGCACGCATCTTTTATATCATATTCGCACCATAACTCAAGACTGACATAGTCAAAGCAGAAGGCATCATTGTTATCCCGAGCATCGAGCACACAGACAACCGGACGTTTTTCATCCGGATGGCGTCTTGTCTGCTATGTTTTTGCATTGTCACGCTTTACTGTATGGGAACATTGGGATTTCTGCTGGCAAATCCAGCATGATTGACTGAAGGAAGCACTTGGCTGTACCTAGTTAGTGTATTAAGTCTGGCTATCTCCGCTGCAGTGCCGTGTGCTAGTGCGAGTCCCACTACTGTTAACGCCGACGGAGGATTCAGTTTCGGCAGGTTAATTGTTCCGTGTGCCATCGCCGTTATGACAGCCAGTGATAATCTGCGAGCGCTCAGTGCCTTTTGGAAACTGCTCGTTAAACCTACACCACTGTATTCAACGAATTTCTACGACTGCAGATAGTTTGAAGTGATATTCCTTTTCTCTTAAGATATATTAAGGGCTCTAACAAGAAAAGAATCCAGCAAGGAAACCCCCTGTGGATGTTGAGTATTTGAAATCAATTCCTTGTATTACCCTCTTCTGTGATCCCCACACGTGTAGCTAACTTAAATTGTCCACTACATAATCCCATGGTCCCATTTGCCATATCTTGGACACCTGTCGATAGGGTGCTAGTAGTAAAGGCAGCGATAAGCGCTATATAGTTCCAGACCTCGGTAGTATATTGTGCATCTGATGCGGTTTGGAAGTATCAAGTAACCCGGCAGTAAACATTTTAAAAAAAAACGTTTCAAAAGAATTCCCTTCAACAGGTTGCTCCGCCTTGAAATGTAGTCTATCCTGCCTGCCCGAGCAGAATATGGTCACATTGACGAGGATGGCCCACTCAGCCACGGCCAGTCATCTTATGTGTGCACCACAGTATACTCGATGATAGCTAGTGCGCAGGAGGTAGTTATGGATGAATCAATCTCGGCTTGTGGGCACATTCTGTGTAACGCGGATATTGTGGCTGAGAACCGCGACGTGAATTCGGGAATCATTGCCAGGCGCAGTTCAACTTCGATCACTACCAGCCTGCATGCTCTTGTTCTGCGCTGGCATGTGCGATTAGGACTTGCCCGTTTCAGCGAAGGAGTGAGCACATGATCCAGTTTTCAGGCTTGTACATAAGAGACAGGAAATTCGCGCACTTAAAATCAGAAGCCGCACACCTTTTTCACTATTCCGCTAATTAGAGTATATAACCTTAAAGCCTTTATAACTTTAATAAATAAGCCTTCTTTATAATTCTAAGGATATAAATAGGATAGGTTAGTTCTTTAAGAACTTAATTTATACTTATTAACTTTATTTATAACCTTTTATTATACTTTATACTTTAAAGCTTACTCTTATTACTTTAACTAACCTTTTTATAAAAGAAGTCTTATATAAAATATATTTTAATTAATAAATAAGTATATTAGTTTTAATTTTAAATATATAAATTTAAGCTAATATTTACTTACTTAACTCTAATATTTATCTACTTAATAATTTCTATAAATTTATTTAATACTAACTTTTAATATATAAAGCTTATATAAAACTATATATTTAATTAAGATTCCTTAAATTTTAATACTTAAAGTATAAATCTCTTTTATACTTCTTTTAATATACTTTTAATATACCTTTTAATATACCTTTTAAACCTTTTAACTTATATACTCTCTTAATTATTAATTAAATGTTTAAGTATTAATTAAATATTTAAATATTAACTAACTATTAGAAGTTTAAAAGTTAAAAATAAAAGTAAAAATTATATTCTTTTAACTTTTTAATACTCTATCTAACTCTTTAACCTTTTAAACTTCTAACCTTTTAATATTTAATTAATATTTAAATATTTAGTTAATACTTAAATATATATAAGCTAGAAGGTTTAAAAGGTATATTAGAAAGTATATTAAAAGGTATCTTAAAAGAGTATTAATAAGTATATTAAAAGAGGTATAGAAAGAGTTTATACTTTAAATATTAAAAATTAAAGAAGAAAATTATACTTTAAAGTCTTTTAATACTAATTTAGAAAATACTTATAAATATAAAGGAGTTATTAAACAAATAAGTATTTAGTAGGTTTATAGATATTATTAGGTAGGTGGATATTAGAGTTAGGTAGGTGGACGCTAGCTCTATGAATTTCCTCTCTCTTTAAATAATTTATTTAAAGAATGGAAATTTATATATTTAAGATTGGAAGGTATATATCTAACTATAATTAAGTAGTACTCTAGCTAATTAAAGGACTTTATTTTATTTTATTATATTATTTAAAAAATATTTTTTTATATCTTTTTTATTGTACTTTATAATAAATTCTCTTTCTATTTAACTATATTTTTAATTATTATATTATTATAAATTAAATTAACTATCTAAGTATTAAAACTATTAATTAAAAATTAAATTTTTATTATATTTATTTAAATATTATTTTTAAGTATTATAATTAATAATATAAGTATTTAATTACTTTAAGTTTAAGTTATAATAAAAGTAGATTATTATAATTAGAATTATAATATTATTATTAATAGTTATTATTTTTAATACTTTTAATTTTTTATATTTTTAAAGTTTTTAATAATAGATATAATATTTATAAGAAGTTTAAAGTTAAGTTAAATAAGGTTATAAAGTTAGTTAATTAGTTAATAGTTTTTATAATTTAAAATTATATTAAAAATTTAATTTATAGTTATAATATATAGTAATTTTTAACTTTAATTATTTATAATAATATTATAATTAAGGTTATAATAAGTAAATAAAGACTTATAATTTAAAAAAGTATATTTATTATAGGCTTTAAGTAATATTTAGAGTAAAGTAAAATTAGGTTAAGTTAATATTAAATTAATATAAATTCTTTTTTAAATTATATACAACTTTTATAATAAAGTTAAAAACTTAAACTTATATTTTAATAAAAGTATTTTATAATAATATTAAAATTTAATATAATAAAGAAAAGAGAGTTAAAATATTTATATATTAATATAAGTAATATTAAATTAGTTTTAAAAGTAAGATTATTAGTATTATTAAATTTAAGATAAAAGAAAGTATTATTAATATTTTTAATATAAAAATAATAAATTATATAAATTTAAAAATAATATTTTTATAATATTTTTAATTATATTTATATAATTAAAAATAAAAAGTATTATACTTTTAAGATATAGTTATAATATATATAAAGAAGAATTTATTTTTATTTTAAAGTATTATTAATAATAAAAGGAAATAGGTTTCTAATAATTTTTAAAATAAATTAAATTATTATTAATAAAGTATAAAATTATAAATTTAAAGGTTATTATTATTAATTATAATATTATTTTAATTAATATTATTAAATATATATTTCCTTATATTTATTATTAACTTTATATTTTTATATTAATATGAATATTATTCTTAATATTAAAAGAAATAATAAAGAGTATTAAATTTATAGAGTATAAAAAAGGAAGTTAATAATAAGGAGGATTTAAAGAATAAAGATAAAGATATAGCTTTATTTAATACTTTAATAAAAATAAAATAATAATTTTATTAAAAGTTTTAAATAAAGTCCTTTATTTTTATTAAACTTTATTTAATTTATTTAAATTTATAGAGTATTTAATTAATTATTAAATCTTTAATTTAACTTAATATTACTTATAAGAGAAGTTTTTAAATTAATAGGTAATAATTTAATACTTAAAGATTTACTATATAAATAAAAAAGAAGGTTATAATTAAATAAATAGTTTATAAGATTTATAAAGTTTTTAACTTTAATTTATATATAATATTTTAATAAAAATATATATTAAAAGTTTAAAATTTATTTAAGTTATAAAATAAAGAATACTTTATTTTATTAAAGTTATTTATAAGGTTTTAAAGAATATTATTTATAACTTTTAATTAGAAGAAGTATATTAGAAGATATCCTTTCTTTAAAAGTTTAATAAATAAAAGTAATTAAAAGTTTTTAATATAGGTTTTATAAGTAGTTTTAAATCTTTTTAAATATTAAAAAGTATATTTTATAAATATTTAAAGGTAAGGTTTTATAAAGTAATTACTTATAATTAATCTATATTTACTTTATATTTATATAATATAATTTAATTTATATTAATTAAATTATTAATAAAAAAGGTTAGATAACTTTTAAAAATTAATATATATAAATTTTTTAATTTAATTATAATTTATTAATTAAAACCTTTTATTTATAATTTATTTATTAAAGTAAATTAAATTAATTAAAAATATTTTTATAAGATAGTTATATTTATAATTAATAAAATAGATATTTTTAAATAAAATAGAAATTAAGTAATAATTATAATAAATAAAAATAAAGTTAATAATTATTAACTTAAAAATAAATTAAATAATAAAATAAAAGTAATAATAACCTTTTTTAATAAATAAATTTAATTTAAAAATAGAATAATTTAACTTTATAATCTTTAAATTAAAAGAATACTTATAATAATAATATTTAATAAATAATTATTTAATAAAATTAATAATTAATAATAAGGTTTATAAAGTAAGTAAATTATTAATTAAAATAATAATTTATTTTTTAAATATATTTTTAAATATTTTATTAATAGTTAAAAATAGTATATAAAGGTATAAAAATTATTAATTAATTATTATAAATAGATTTAATTATAAATAATATTATTCATAATAATAAGGGTATATAATTAAAGATTAGAGTATATATATAATTAAGTATAAATTATATTTAAAATATTATTAAATTTAATTATAAAGTATATAATTTATATAATTTTCTATCTTATTTTTATAAATTAATAAGAAAATATTATTAAATAGTAATTATATATAATAACTTTATTAATTATTATAATAAGTTTTAATTAAAATAAATTTATATATATATATAGGTATTATTTAGTTATAATTGAGTATGTGCCTTTCGATCTTAGGTATGCGAATTTCCGTTCTCTTTATTTAAGATTTAATCCCTTTAGATGTTTCTATATACTCATTTATTATATATCGAGGTAGGCTAAGAAGTCTCCCATCCGGCCCCGCGCTCCCACCACGCATTTTGGGAACCGTTGTGTAGTCTATTAGCTCGTCTTTTACTTCCTATATTTAATGCTAGGATAGGTATTTCGCGGCACCTCCCTTGTCGAAGGGGGCGGATACCTTTGTTCGGCGCCGTAGTGCAGTGGCTATATCACATATTTGCACCTACTCTATGTATGAATGTTACGGTCTCTTTTGGGGTTTTGTGTGGCTATAAGGATTACCTATATAGCTTATTCGCTAGATGAGAGCTCTCTCAGCTGTTAGGGTAGGGTGCAGATCAAGGCCCCTATCACGCATATCCCTACCGAACTTACAGGGATTTGAAAGGTTGCCTATAGCTAAGTTCATCCTTCTTACCCCGGGGCAATGACTCCAAGTAAGCTTTCTGTGGGGCTGTGCCCAAAGGGGGGCTGACATCCGTTGTATATTTTCAATTGATTGGCTTATTACTACTTTAGCCTCCTTCCTCTCGATCCTGCAGAATAACTCCCAGGCAAGCTTTTAGTCTAGAGCTTGTCTTCAAAGCCAAGACTTGATTCAGCCTCCAGATGTCGGCGGCAAATCTGTGACACACACTTCAGAAAGCCAGGCTGTGCATGAAATGTAACGGTAATGCGCGGGCTTCGTCTTAATCAGCAAAGCCCACAGACTTTTGCTCATTCCCGCTGGGTACCTAGCAGGTTTCTTTCTCCCCTTCTTCCAAGCCACTCACATACCCTTTAGCTACCGCCGCTCGAGCTGCTCTCACACAATGAACCCGATCTCTAGGCACTCCTTGTGAAGTCGTGTGCCAACGCATCAATGTTTTCTTCTCGATTACATCTAAGTTGACAGGCCAACGCTTCGAAAATATCAGGATGAAAGACACGCCAAGCGACGTAATCCTTCGGGACATCCACGATGAGAGAACCCCTGGGTTACTCCAGTCACAGCGTGTGCCACATGTGCGGCATCAGGGCCTACTGCGAGCCATGGCACCAAGAAAATGGTACTATTTGCATCTCGTCGCATGGCTTGTTTTCCTGTGCATCGGAGGTCCTATTCTTCTGCGCGTTCTATACGATCGGTATCTGGCCGGGCTATGGGGTGTAATGGTGGGGGACGGTGTCGTGAGGGCGCCAGCGCTTCCGTGCAATGTGGACGCGGCTTGGTCGTCGTGGGATGCGCTATTTCAGATGAATCTCAGGACGCGAACCCTGTCTTTCACCGCGGCAAAGCTCATTGATGTGTCCTTCGACCTGGTTGTAGGCTCCGGGGGGCAAGCCTTCCTCGCTTGGGTGGCGTACAGAGTATATACAGATGTTCTCGTGCGCGTTGCCGAGAAGGGGACAGTCGGATACGAGACTTTTGCCGCCATCACACTGAGGCCCAACTCGCTGGCTACTATATGGAAAGTCGTCACGTCCGTACATTCGACTAGGCATCTATGGGCGAAATCGACTATGGTTTGGATGGTGCTGACGATGGCGTACATCCTCTCCTTTCCCACGCTCATGTCTGCTGCCACGTCGCCGGTCGCTGCGACCACTACTTCTTTGCGGTTGAACGGCAACGAAACGGCACCACTTGATGCATATATTGCCAGCGCGGCTTATGCATTTGCCGACACAGGCATCCAAAACACATCGGATCCGTGGGTCGTGCCTGCGAACGACGTCACGTCCCATCCCCTGTCTTCTTGCGAAATGGGACCATTCAGCAACCATTCATGGGGGGGGACATAACTACAATGGAAATGACACTATTGTCGTCAGTGGCGTTACATATACGCTACACGAAAACGCAACAATCACCTGCGGATTTTACTATGGGAACGTCTTCTACCCGCTCGATACGAAGACTCTGGAAAACAGCGAACTACTTGTCGTGAAACTGTTTCCGAAGGATCAGTTCGTGTGTGTGCCGGATGGTGACAGGTCTTACCAGTGGGGAGCATCATGGGAGCTTCTCGTATTAATACTCATTGCCCAGATTCTCTGGCTTGTGGGTTTGCTCTTGATTTGGTCAGAAACCGCCGCACACAGTCGGACCCTTCGGCAAGGCGGTAAAATGGGCAAGTGGGTGGCGATGCTGGAATTAGCTGGGCCATTACTGACGGAAGGTCTCAATCTTGAAGTACCCGACGAGGAGAAGCTAGAAAAGAAGACTCAAAATATGTCCTTGACGTTTGTGGGGAAGGCCAACCAATTTTAATTCAGAGTTTGCCAGGCTATTCAATTCATTTATTTTTGATAATGTACTGACGGGTTGGAGCCATGTATTCTCTTGGCCGTGTACCAATGACCGATACAGACTCCTGTGATTGAGAATAAAGAACCCGAAGGCCAGCGACTTTGTACAAATACGCTATTCAATACCGATAATGAGAAAGCCGGAAGCCACTAGTAGACAGCGCACCTATCAGACCAGTCCATTATGGTATTGGTGCTGGTTACCTAGGTATATTCATGGGTGTCGAGAACGCGATAGGGTCCTTGTTCTTTCCGAGTTTTTAGCACGGGTCACCCGTACGAAAGCGGCATGGCCCCTAGAGGCAGTCATACTCAAGGTCTTAGATGTATTTGATGAATTTTGATGCCGATACTGCCATTCCTGGAGGTATTGGCTGAATGGAACCAGATGATAGGCGGAACGTACGAGTTGCAGCATGGCGCTACGGGGCAGAGTTCAAAAACATTGCGGCAAGACCTCGATGTTTTTTATGAGACTATACGTAGACTATGTTTGGGAAAAGGCTGAACAGCAACGTTTCAGCCACTAAGTTGGGTCTAAGCAAGTGACGGTGAAGAATTTGGAGTGCTGTTTCCGTTATTAGGTGCACTCCTAGGGGCTGGGTTCGAGAAGAGCCCCAACTTGGTGAATGATTACTCAATTCACTTGGGGCGGAGTTTTTGTTCTATATCGGTCCAAGATTATACTATTATGGGTCGAATGCGATCCCATGCGTGTTCCTCTTTCAATCTTTCCGAGGTATGGGTCAGAGTATCGTCCTTAGTAGCCCCGTTCTGGACGTTGGATTATAATGCATAATAAGCCGAGGCTCGCAGGTGATATCTAAGGAATGCTAACATTTTTTTTAATTCCTAATTCAGGCAAAAGCACATGACTGAATGCATAAAAGAATCCTGATATCCTGCACTAGACCGGCTGATTGACTTTCTTGATCAGGTGCCCTGATGTGCCCTGGGCTCTGAATAAGTCAGGCGACACTCCTCGTCGTTCCCAGACTCAGTATCCTAAGATTCTTCTACAGTGCTTCCAGTCATAGCCATCTCAACATAGCGCTCCCTCCCATGCGGAAGCTTTCTTGACCTCCCTGTCTGTCCCGAGCCCCTATTGTGACAAGTGTCGGGCCAGCTCGTCTTACATCACGCTTTGGAGCTTTCTTTGACCTCATGCAAGAAAGCAGGCGCCCGGGTTGGGAAAATAGAGGCCCTAAAGACGGGAGAGACGCAGATATCATCCCTGCTGCAGGCTCAACAACTGTCCAAATACTTATCTCGTTCATGGACACTGCAAAATACTATTAACCACACCGTTTCTAGGCTTTGAACCGTGGTATAATCACCTACTGATGAGTTCCGAGTCCGACTCAGAGGTATTGCTATGGATCTCAATAAGGATCCTCAATCTGTAGATACTTACAATAACCACCAGACTACCTAGCATAAATACGAGACAAAGGCCAAGCTTCTTTGCCAGGCTCACTTGCAGATGATAGACTTCGTATATTGGAAGACATAAGATGGCCATGTCTGTGAGTATGTTGGGTATGCTGTTGCCCAGCAGGAAGAGTTTGCCGTCGAAACAAGTCCCAGGAATCGAAAGGTCCCAGGACCTGGCCACAGGTTGACATAGGAAGATAGAGACAAGGATGGTGGACAGGAACCACATGATCGCAATGGTCCCTATGATGCCTGCACCCCACTTCACAAACCGAGTGGGGAATATGCGGAGGTACGTGCTCAAGACGCTGACTTTCACAGTGGTGATAGAAGAAACATACAACAGTTGGCCAATCCACAGCATCTTGGGAAACGACAGCATCAGTCATGGGCCGGTCAATACATGTATCTAGTCAAATGCTTCCGTACTCCGCAGTTTCCAGGAGCGGAATAGAGGAGACGGGTAGTCATTCGGGGGAGGGTGGCTTTGGACCAAGTTCGAAAGGACTCACAAGTTCTCCGGTTGTATAGGCATTGTATTCCCAATAGGGTGAGGTTCCAGCATACAATATGGCGTGGACAGCAACAGCATACAAACCCCAAACTAGAATCTGCCGCGCGTTCCAGAGTCAGCCACACGATCTCTCATCACAGTAACATAATGATTATGCTTTGGGACTTACTAGTGAGGCAGCCATTGACCAATCGTCCAGTCCGAACTGAACCTTCCGACAGGTGCGTAATCCAAAGCGCAGGACGACGACCGCGGTAGTGATCCCGAGGACTGATGACATGGCGGCAATGGCTCCTGAGCCCTCATCAAAGTAATACATGGTGGCTGATTCTTTAAGTTCAGATTACGAAACTTGATGGAAATGTGAAAGACAGCAAATAGGAGCTTCAATGGAATATGTATGCTGAAAATTGGGTGAAGAATCACATTGCTGAAAGTATTGTTCATTTCCTTATGTTCTGGGATTCCAGAAAACACTAGCCCTTGGAAAGGCAGCCTGATGCGCTTTCGTTTTGGGGGCTGTGGGATATGCATGCGACACCCGCTCGGTTGCGCCGAATTCTGACCGAGAACGTAAGACGGAATGACACCAAAACCTGGCAGCCCCAGGTAGGGAGCCGCAGCCACAGCCACGACAGGCCTAGACGCCCGGCGCACGTGTAAGATGTACGAGGCGCTTCTGACACGCATGGCATCGAAATGCTCTTTTGCTTTCCTTTCTTGGTCTGCGGCTTAATAAGCTTCTATCTGAATGGTTCGAGCCAAGAAATTGGTTTATAAATAGACCTCCCGAGGTTGTCAGACTTGGGTGTGGATCTTGTGAGCGGTACTCAGAACATCATGATGTTGATCAGGTCTCTGGGGACATGACCAGAATTGTCATGGATCCAGCTAGGCCTGCCTTTTCTCCAAGTTATGGCGGCTTGTACGAGCCAGACCTTTAAAGCCCTTTGAAGATGTCTCTCCAAAGCTGGGGTTTCGAGCGACTCGTTCGCGGACTTGCGAAAGTAAACGGGAATCCAGCACTATTCAGGACTCAGATGCTGAGGCTACGGGCTCGGTCTTCTTGCACCGACAGGCTGTTCTTGGCATTATGTATGCCTCTTTTTGAAAAAAGAAAAACGCTGTGTCTTTGAGCGTTTACCACCATGTGAACGGACCGTAGTAATGCCTTGATATACCAAGTTTATATACGGACTCATACCGAAACCGCTCAAGTCATACAAAAGATGTTGTTGCCAGGCTCACACCAACCAGACCCTAGACGTCCTTGAGATCGGATATGTAGCGTGTATGGAAAAAGACGGTTGAACTACAGCCTTGGAATGTGGGAGGACTTCTTCTCATCGTATGACCTTGATTTATGGGCAATGGATTTAAGGGTAATGTTTCAAAGAGTATTTGCAAGCCTCAGGGGCCGAAATGAATCGCCCTAGATGTACGCTGTGTGACGGGGGTCCATGTTGTGGTTTTTGGGGGGCCTGCTCCAAAGAAAGGGAAGTCCGCCCCCAACCTTGGAGGGCACAGAACTATTCAAGTGATTACCAGAGCGCCTGAGCCATCAGACCATATCTTCAGCAACGAAATTTTCAGTCAATTTTCATTCTCAGAAAGAGCCTTGGCCACTGACCTTATAAGATTTCGAATTAGATTCCTCCCAGATGCGACGTTTCACTTGGGAATGTATATGTGTTTGAACCTAGAGTCGCAACAGGATAAAGGTTAGTAGGAATCTCTCTAGATATTATAGAAAGGCCTCGGGTATGGTGTTCCGTCGAGGCTGTTGACCGGTATGCGAACGCGAGTCACCAGGCTGAGCGTGGGAACAAAAGCTGCCAGTGGATGTCTGCCTCATGTGTCCGAACGAATGGACTGTATCGGATTCCGTGACCGGCTATGACTTCGGTAGATGTTTTGCTCTTCGCCATCTCAAATGTTCCGGCAGACCCTTCGAGCAAGGCGATTCTGTCCCGTGGCATGCCATCGCGCCAGATACCTAGGTATTCATATCACTTCACTGAAAGCCGACAATTCACTGGGATAACAATATAGCATTACACCAACTGTTCGAGCAAAATGACTACTTGTTACCAGAGGGATCAAATGAAGCCCACAACCTGAATCTACAACAAGGCCATTCAAGTACTGTGTGTAAGAAGAGTCACGGTCTTGTGCCATGCAACTCAAGCACCACGCAAACGAGAATTACATATGACCATTCACTGTAAGTGGAATGAACGAGAAGACGACGAAAGCCCATTTACAAAAGAGGATAGTCATCGACTCGGACGCTCCCCTCCCCCATGGGGTGCACAACGTCCGCCCTATTCCAGGCATGTGTCCATATAGACGGTCAAGTGAAGGCTGAGCATTTCCCCAAACACAAATCGCATTGACGCTAATTTCTAACAAACTCAAGTACGTTCGTTCATCGCTGGATCAGTCTTGCCTTCCGCACCTCCCATGTGTACGCTCCGCGACCAGACCGCGACGATGGTAACTATCAATGTATGCAAAAGCCCAAGCAAGTAAGAATGATGAATGTCTAACCTCCAGTGCGACAACCTCGAACGATTGACTCCAATTGAGAAATCCTTTCTGTGTGAAAGCCTCCCGAAGAGTCTAATTAGCCCCCCCGGGGCCGTCTCAGGACCCTTCGAAGGGTCTATGTGCGAATGCTCGCAAGGTTGAATTTGCCTCCGCCAATCCCATCTCGCTCACAAGGTCAGAATCCGCCTCAGCCTAAGAGTTTAGCTCCGAGAGCACGGGCTCAAGGTCACCTGCGTGCTTCGGAGCAGTCAGCTCCAGGAACTCCTTCAGACCGACGACCTGGAGCTCGGGACTCCTGTCCCTAAAGTGGCTGATTGGGACAGGGACGTGCTTGGAGCGCACCAACGCCACGCGGTACCGGCTCTTCTCGACGTTGGTAGCAGTGTGAACCATCACCGCGGTCCAGCCCTTGGGATTAAGGTCCCGGATAGAGAAAGGCCAAGGTCCGCCTGTCGCGGGGGTGCAGGCCCCTATCCTGCGGGCGAACTCCTCCGCCGGTATGGGACTGATCTCGATGCTCGTTGCGAAGGTCTTCAGGGATGAAGGAGCGCTGGCGAAGGTGACCATGGCGTCACATTCTCCGTTTGGAGATTTTGCGCTGGCAGGCATGAGGAATCTCCCCTTGATGAAGTTGAGGAGGCCGGTGACGAAGCGGACTGGGGTCAGGTAGGCGTCGCCCAGGAACAAGTCCGTGAGCCAGGGTTTATGGGCCTGAGCCACGTTGAACGCCGGCGGGCCCGAATAGAGGAGTTGGACAACGGGGAAAGTCTCCCAGTAGCTGGGGTCGACACTCGTTGGGATCTTGCCATACCAATTGTTTGGGCGGATGCCACGGGAGAATGCTGAGCCAAGAACCAACTTCTGTCCTACTAGAGGTTGCCTGCGGCACTGCGCAAGAGCCTCCAGCATCTCGGGAACATTGTCTGTTGCACGATCTGGGCGAGCCAACAAGTACAAGATGTCAAGCCCGGTGTGGTCCAACGCAGCACGTACAACATCCATGTCAGTGGCGGAGTCGAAGCCAGAAAGATTGGCCGTCTTGAGATCCCTCATAGCCCTGCTGCTGATAAGTGATATAAGGTCATTGGTTGATAGCTTGCCGTGGAATAGGGTGAAGTCAAAAGTCTTCTCGCCCTTAAAGACCTTCTTGATAATTTTGACTGCGTCAGGAGATCTGCAAAGCGCATCACAGTTCTCGATGAGATGAGACTGCACGTCTCGTTTGAAGCGAGGGATGCACAATGGCCCGTCTAGTGCAGACATCTTCGTCCAGGGGAAGCCATCGCTCGACAACAAGATCTTGAATACGGTGTCCTGTACAATGTCGTAAAATCTCCGCACTCCTCGCCTCGTCCTTGATCGTGGATCGGAATGGCTACCATTGGAGGTGCCTTCACTGACGACCGGATACCAATTGTAGTTCGGCCAACAGCCTGAAAGGGCGGACATCTCGACCAAAGCGTAATCTTTGAGGGCGTCCATCGTGGCTTTGCCATTTTCAGCCGATCCATCCGCACGAGGATCGAAGGTCCTCATGTAGGTCCGACAATCCCAAGGCGTGTACCAAAAGCCAAATTGACCTGGGATCAAGTTCCTGAGACGAATGCCGACGAAGCAGTAGCGGACATTTCCAAGGTCGGTTATGTCGAACACCATGACGCCGTTAACGTTGCGTGTTGTGCTGTATTTTGCCCGAAACGGCTGGTCGGACGTCCTTATAATAGTTTGGGTGTCCGTGGTCCGCTCCACACATGAAGCGCCGAGAGTCAAACAAGTTGTGATGAAGGGCAAGGGGCACGGAGAACCGTTGTCCCGAGCAGCCAGAGTCTCGACATCAGTCGCAGAGGCATTCTCGAAGAAGTCGGCTGCAAAGGCGAGCTCTTGTTGGACGGGAGGTCGGTTTGTCTCGTCGGAGAAGATGCGCAGGACACGGTGGCATATTTGCAAGCCCGGAATTCCGGGACGGACTTTGACCGAGTTAGCTCCACTGATGATCTAATGGAAGCTTGAAGACAAAGTCTAGGGTTCTCACATTGATGATCATAGTCGACGGCCACCAGGGAGCGGTATTGCTGGCCCCTGAGCTTTGCGATAATGAAGATCTGATATTGGGTGCCCATTGTGAGTTTTACGCAAATGAACTTAGCTACTAACGTATCATATAAGCCGTGGCTGGCTGCTAAAATGACAATAAACGAGAGAAAGAGACGGGAAAGACGAAGTCGAGCAGCCTGGTAACGAGATTGCAAATGAAGGTGGTTGGAGTGGCGGGCAACAGGAGACCAAGTGAATGCTGCGGACTTCAATGTTGTGTTCACTTCCCAGATCTGCAATCTCGGGTGGTCGTAACTGCCTGTAAACCCTCAAGTGCTCAAGTGCTCAAGTGCTGTGTCCCAGGATGTGAAGGATTGGGTGAGGTTTCAGCATACCTAGGTACCTACTTAGGTACCTAGGTAGGTACCTACTGCAGCACGTTCTCAGAACGTCCGAGGCTGTTGGGCAGGCGGTCTTGACCTCGTACGTACTGTGAATTTAAGTACCCAGGTACCCAGGTATCTAGGAAGCCGAATCGACATGATTCTCAACCCGAACGTTGCATGGTCAATCTTGTCCATCCTTCAACCACTCCATACTACTTGTGTATTCAACCTCACTTTCACGGCCTCCATTCTACACAGTACACCGTAATGATCTGAGTGCGGCCACAGGATTAGCCAGAACCCATCGAGGATGCCAGAACAGCCATCTGCATGGTTGTTTCTGTAGACTCTTCCACGTTTGTTGTTGCGAAGCCATCTGTGCCTTCTTTCCCCTGGCCATCTCCAGAGCCGCTTGATGCAACGCAGACCCAGCGCCCAATGAGAAGGCTGCTGATTACAGCTGGTGTGGGGTTGCAGGGATTCCCTGTCGGAAATCTGGGGCCGATGTCGCTGAGCTCCCCCAGAAATTATTACGGCCAGTGTTTTGCAGGTGTGTCCCTGTGATTGTCCCTGTGATCTCGAGGTGAGGGCAAGAATTGGATTTCGATGCTCAATTGTGCTGTGGCCTTCGAGTCATCCCCGAGCAGCCCGCCCCTTCCGCAGCCAGAAGTATCACCTTGATTCTTCTTCCATCCATCTCTGCCCTCCTCAATTGTCACTCCTGCATCCATCCACCTGCTCCTGCTTGGAGCTAGCTCGAGTCAACACCATGTCGCTGCCCTCACTCCTCAGGGCGAGGGCCCCTCGAGCCCTCGCAGCAGGCCGCTACCTGGCTTCCAATGGCCAAGCGTACGTGTTGAGCTGCCTCCCTCCCAATTGAGTTACTATTCGATAGTTTTGTGCTGACACTGGCCTCCGTTGCAGCCGCCTCCTCTCCTCGACCCCAGCTCGCTATGCCGATGACAAGCTCAACAAGGTCTCGGCCAACATCACACAGCCCAAGTCGCAGGGCGCCTCCCAGGCCATGCTCTACGCCACCGGGCTCACCGAGGACGACATGAACAAGGCCCAGGTCGGCATCTCGTCCGTGTGGTACGAGGGCAACCCGTGCAACATGCACCTGATGGACCTCTCCAACCTCGTCAAGGAGTCCGTGGCAAAGGCTGGCCTCGTGCCCTACCGCTTCAACACCATCGGTGTGTCGGACGGCATCAGCATGGGCACCACCGGCATGCGGTACTCCTTGCAGAGCCGTGAGATCATCGCCGACAGCATCGAGACCGTCATGAACGGACAGTGGTACGACGCCAACGTGTCGCTGCCCGGCTGCGACAAGAACATGCCCGGTGTGCTGATGGCCATGGGCCGTGTCAACCGCCCCAGCATCATGGTCTACGGAGGCTCCATCAAGCCCGGCTGCTCCGGCGGCAAGGACCTCGACATCGTCTCCGCCTTCCAGGCCTACGGCCAGTACATCGCCGGCGAGATCAACGAGAAGGAGCGCTTCGACATCATCCGGAACGCCTGCCCCGGCGCCGGTGCCTGCGGTGGCATGTACACCGCCAACACCATGGCCAGTGCCATCGAGACCATGGGCATGACCCTACCGGGCAGCAGCAGCTTCCCTGCTGTCAGCGACGCCAAGAAGGCCGAGTGCGAGGCTGTCGGCCCTGCTATTAGGAACCTGCTCAAGGAGGACATCCGGCCCAGTGACATCCTGACGCGACAGTCCTTTGAGAACGCCATGGTCCTGATCAGCATCCTCGGCGGCAGCACCAACGCCGTGCTGCACCTGATCCCCATCGCCGATGCCGTCGGCGTCAAGCTGACCATCGACGACTTCCAGACCGTTTCCGACCGCACCCCTCTCCTGGCTGACCTCAAGCCCTCGGGCAAGTACGTCTTCGAGGACCTGTACAATGCCGGTGGTATCCCCGCCCTCCTCAAGTTCCTCATCAAGGAGGGCGTCATCGACGGCTCGGGCATCACCGTGACCGGCAAGACGATGAAGCAGAACCTCGAGTCCTTCAAGGACCTGCCCTCCGACCAGGCCATCATCCGCCCCATGAGCAACCCGATCAAGCCCAACGGGCACATCCAGATCCTGCGCGGGTCCCTGGCGCCGGGCGGCTCGGTGGCCAAGATCACGGGCAAGGAGGGCCTGCGGTTCGAGGGCAAGGCGCGCGTCTACGACAAGGAGGACGACTTCATCCAGTCGCTGGAGCGCGGCGAGATCAAGAAGGGCGAGAAGACGGTCGTCATCATCCGCTACGAGGGCCCCAAGGGCGGGCCCGGCATGCCCGAGATGCTCAAGCCCAGCTCCGCCATCATGGGCGCCGGCCTGGGCCAGGACGTCGCCCTGCTCACCGACGGCCGCTTCTCGGGCGGCTCCCACGGCTTCATCATCGGCCACGTCGTCCCCGAGGCCATGGAGGGCGGGCCCATCGCCCTCGCCAAGGACGGCGACCACATCGTCATCGACGCCGACAAGCGCGTCATCGACCTCGAGGTCCCCGAGGCAGAGCTCGCCGCCCGCCGCAAGGCCTGGGTCAGGCCCCAGAACCGTGTCCTCCGCGGCACCCTGGCCAAGTATGCCACGCTGGTCAGCGATGCCAGCCAGGGCTGCGTCACGGATGACAAGCTGCTGAAGCTGTCATGATGAGGTGGGCAGATGACGTGGTGGTGCTGGTGGGTGGAGGAGGGGGTGATGGGTTTTGTATTTGCGTATTGTAGATACCTTGATATTTCCCGGCGTTCAAAATTGGGGCGCTCAATGCAAAAGCGCTCTCCTTTTCTTTTCTCCAGACCATCAACCGCTCTGTTCCCACAGTTCAATGTTCACGGCATAGTCAGTCACGTATCTCATCCGTATTCATTGCCGCGCAGCTGGGAAAAAACCAAAGTAATTTTTTTAAGATCTCCGACTGCATCATAAAGCCACGCAGCCAGCCAATGAAGCATACTTGGCTCGTGGGGATATATCTAAGAACACAAAAGCCGTAATATAGACCCCAAAAACACCTCAGCCATGCAGATTTTCGGTCGAACCGCCTCCGTCGCACCGGTCAGTCAGTCAATTCACCACCTCACATGCCATCGAGATGTCCCCTCTTCACTTCAGCCCCCACCCCTTACACCTATTTCCTATTCCAAGCCTCGACGAACTTGGCCTTGTCCTCGATCGTGAGGCCGACCCTCTTGTTCCGCCCCAGCCGCGCGAGGTTCTCCGCGACGCGGTCCAGCACGCGCCGCTCCTCGGTGGTGATCTTGGCGGGCTCGGCGGCCGAGCCGGAGGAGGGCCTGGCCGGCACGTCCACGCCCGATGCCTCGGCGGCGCCGACGCCGTTGACGGCGCCCGCGGTGTTATAGACGGCCTCGGCGATGCGGATGCGCATGACGTGGGTGGGGCGGCTGAGCAGCCGCCACAGGAAGCTGGCCCAGGCGCCGGGGACGGGGGTGGTGATGGCGGGGCTGGCGTAGCGGATGCTGACGGGGAAGATCTTGACGCCGGCGGGGACGGTCAGCAGGCTCGGGCTGAAGGGGAGGATGCCCTGGCCGTTTGTGGTGGCGCACTCCGGGAAGACGACGACGACGCGGCCCGGGTTCTCGGCGAGCAGGGCGTCGACGGTGGTCAGGCTGCCGTCGGTGCCGGATGGGGGCCCGGCGCGCAGCTGGGCGGGGCTCAGGGCGTGCCAGATGGCGCCCCACAGGCCGACCCTGGACACCCTCCTGCTGCGCGGGTAGCTGACGGTGAAGATGGGGTCGAACACGGCGGCGAGGTAGACGGCGTCGACGGGGCTGGTGAAGCTGGCGGCGATGACGGAGGCCGGGGGCGCCGAGGGCATGCGCCCGGGGGGCTGCTGGGAGAGGGAGCCGCGCTTGACGCCGTCGAGCTGGAGGTCGCCCCACCAGATCTGGGGGATGGCGAGGAGGGCCCAGACGAGGAGCTTGTTGAGGGCCTGCGGGAGGAGCGGGACGTGCTGGGCGAGCAGGAAGTAGAAGGCCACATAGGAGACGAGGAAGGGCAGGCGGAAGACGAAGAGGGCCAGGTGCATGAGCTTGGCTGGGGTGCTGGAGGGCGCGGTGTGCGGGATGAAGGGGGAGATGCCGGAGCCTGGGGGGGAGGGAAACAGTTAGTTACTTGTTCATGTTCATGTTGATATTGTTGTTGGTGTTGGTGTTGGTGTTGGTGTTGTGGGGAGAGACAAGGACGTACCTCTATCCCGGAACTGGGAGAACTTCTCCATGGCTGGCAATGGGGAGGAAAACCGTCAGGACCGTCTGTACAAGAGCGATCTTGTGTCTGGTCAGGCCAGGAAGGGAGGGATGGATCGAAGAGATGTTCTGTCGACGGCAGTAATGCAGCTCGCTCAATTCATGTCAGACAGGAAGAAGCGCATGGAAGCGCAAGACCAGAAGGCGTGGGCAATGGAGTTAGTATCAGAAGCCGGGTTGGGTCAACAGCAAGGAAGGGATCGTCATGGCTGATGACTATCGGACCATTTTATTGTGAGCTGGAGCTGGGGTCGAGCCTTGCCGAGCAGGAGCAGAGCTGGAGCTGTGCTGACTGGCGGGATGGGAGCTGGCTGAGCTGATGAGGTGGTGCTGGCATGTGAAAAAAAGTGGCCACGTGCAGGAATGGTGAGGGGCAGGTACGTCTGTACTGTGGCATGGAAGACAGGGTTCGGGTTCGGGCTGCAAGCAGCAAGCCGAAGCACTTGAACCTTGGGGCTTGGGCCAAATTGTTGCCGTGACACTCGGTCGGTACCGCTCAAGGCCTGCATGTTGACTGCACGCTCATGATGCCGGGCTACCCTGTTGGCGGGGCACATGCATGTCAAGGTCTCGGATGTGATAATTCCAACTATGATACCCGTGGTGCGGTCCGCCCTGCCGTCACTACGATACACGATCCCCCCTTGCAGTACAGCTCTTCCTCCCGAGTCACTGACCATGTGAGTATGCACCAGGTTCAGGAACGTAGTCGATTTAACGTTTAAACGCTGAGTCTTGAGCGCTTACCACCGTATGAAGGCGCCATGTATGTGCTCGGACATATGCGGAATAGAAGCGAAACCAGTTACTTTTTGGGCAATCATCAAATCTCACAATCCTGTCCCACAATCCTGAGCTGTACACAGTTGCGCCGAGCCCGAGTGAGCCACACCGACACATGACAGGTGTTCACAGTTCTCCAGTCAGATTGCAAACTGAGCAGCTAATTACCTACTTAAGTAGGTAGTCTTATGCCTCGCGGGTAGCCAGTCGTCTACTCCTCCGCGCTAGCAAGCCCGAGCTGCTGTCTAACGATGCATTCGTCCTTTGTGAGTCCTCCTGTTGACTGCTCTGATGATATGAACCAAGCCCGTTGTCCTCAATCTGTTTTAAGGTTTCGAAATATTAGTGTGACTGTACTCCTTGCGCCTGACCCGAGAAAGTGCTCACTTGGCTAGAGAGTTGGAAGCTTTCTGTGAACGAAAAAGCAAACTCATCATCAGGATCCTCGGCCCTTTTCCTCTTCTGAGAGGAACCCGACTTTACTTCTCGCATTGAAAAAATTGATCTATCGAGACTCTTTCCCAAGATCTTGTGATTAGTAGTCTCGGCCATCTCGCCAGTCTCTTGGTGGCTACAAGGCAGCACCGTGAGCTCCTCCTCTGCAAGCTTAGGATAATTCCAGGCAATGCAGTGTGAATTCCCTGCCAAGATGTGGGCGACAAACAGTCCAAGGTTCACTGTCAATTGCTTTGACTCACGGTCATCGTCACTGTGATTCTGCCACGGAATGGACACATATTCCATTAAGCCATCTGTGGTTATAGCCCGACGGAGTTCTGCTTCACTGACGGGACCTATATCTGAATTAGCATGGGACTCTACCAGGTCTTTTACGGTGATCAATCAATGTGACCAACCTTGCGGTGAAGTTCGAGGCTTGATGCGAAATATGAAGGCCTCGTCTGTGGACAGAATGCAGCCGTACCGGCAGCCGGTGGTAACACAGTATGTAAATGCTTGCCGTATTGGCATGGCCTCATTACTCTTTTTCTTCCCCGTGCACCACATACCCTCATTGTCGATGAGTGGTTTCTGATGTAGCACTCGACTTTTCCACTTTTTCGCTACTTTATAGTCCTTTGGGAATCTCTCCCGCTTGTCCGATCCACACGCGGCGATGGCCCCAGCATCAGGGACCCAATTTCTTTTCATTGGTTTAGTCCAATTTGTTTGCCCAGTTCCTGGCACCCATAGCGATGGATGCAATGTGTCTTTGACCGCGACGAGACATGTGTCGAGAATATTGTGAGTCCACTGATTCAAGATCAAGATTGTGTGCGGCTCGTTGCGATCAACGCGAGATTGTGGCGACGATGCTGGATAGTCTGGGAGTTCTCGCCCCTCAAATCGAAGCTCTTCCATTAACTTCCCATCGTACAGGCTTTCCAAGACCTCAAAATTGAATTCTTCCCACACATTGATCTGCTTCGGAGAATGCCAGTTTGGGTTCCTGCTATTGCTCTTGCTTTTGGGCTCTTCAGCAAAGACAGTGCAGTTTTCAGAGGTCAAAAATTGGAGAATGGACTTTGCTCTGCGTGTGGAGTCCATCACGATCATCAGTGTTGCTGTGTAGATAATAGCCCAATTTCAAGCTTGAAAACAAGGGTCTGACATTGGACGAGGCTCTACACGTCCATGAAGACCAGATCGAGACTTTAAATATCTTTCAGGCGGATGGTCTCACCGACTGTACCTTATCATCTCTGCAAGAGAGTGGCACAGTGCAGACCTTTCATGCAACAACCTATAGCGCAACAGAATTATCTTGTCGCCTATGGCGGCCCCCTCGTTGTGTAGGTGGGCTTTCTAATAAAGGTTGCACCAGCTCAACACCCACCCTTTACAGACCAACCAGTCAAATTACGTCTTGGACAACCATCTCGCGACCCATACTGCGGCCTCCTGTGGCTCCTACGACAATAGTTCAATCTCGCGGTTCTGACCGAGCGAGGTGCCGAGGACACAATCTCCGTTTCCCCGCAGGACGATAACCCTCCGGCACACGACAGGTCCCCGATGGTCCACATATAAATGTGACCCTGAGTCCACCAGGTGCCCAAACAATTGTTAGCCATTGAACCACTGTTGAATACTTTATTATCATGTCTCAAACCAGGTCTGGGCGTTCGCAGGCCACAGCAATCATACCACATTCTCGTTGCCCTGGGCCGAAGCTGCGAGCTTTCAAACACCAGGATGCAGAGATAGAATGGGGCAGGAGACTGGACGGTGACCGAGCGGGAGTAGCGGAGACCGATGGCTATGTGTTTGAGGTGAAGATACGATCCCGACTTTATGCTTTGAAAGTCGTAAGTCAGACCCAGTTCCCTGGTATCTGCTCCTCGATCTGATTTGGACGTTTAGTTCAAGTTTTTCCACCCACATAGCACAATGTACTATTGGGGAGTGTATCTTGGGACCCCCATACCCTTGAAGAAAGTCATTTACTATACCGACCCCTTCTTTGCAGAATGTCGGGCTTACGGCCGTATTGAAGAAGCCTCCGAGAAGCTGGGAAGAAAGGACCAGTTAGCAGTGAAATGTCATGGATACATCTATCTTGGAGACGAGGACAAGAAGAAACTCCAGGAAAAAGGCCTTGATCTCGGAATGAATGTCCTTGATGAGAAGCTCCGGCAGGCACTGGAAGGAGGAGGTCGTGTCCGAGCGATCGTGAAGGACTTGGCGCCTTCTCGCACATCTGTCAATTCGAGGAACGTTCGGGCGGCACTGGAAACTGTGAGGAAGCTGAACGAGTTGCAAATTTATAATAGGGATATTAGGGCAGAAAACTTTGTCGGTGGGAAACTTGTGGATTTTGGCTCGTCATGGACTGAGCCCCATATCATTCTCGATGCTCTGGAACCCGATGAGGCCGAAGATTCGAGGCTGGAGGACCTCGTCATGTTTGATGACATGATCGAGGAGGAGGGAATCAAGACCAGACCACAAGTGCAAGCGTTAAGGAACGTGGAGTACCGGAAGAAATTACGGGGTAGGCAGGTCCCCAAAGGATAGGTCTCGTCCCTAATTATGTGTGCATCATGCGCAAGAAAGTGGGATCAGGTTAATGGCCATCACAAGCAGTAAATTACCGGTCATAGTCAAGCCTTCACTTCCGATCCTCGGTCCAATCCATCTTTCAGGTCACTTGGAATTTATGCATCTAGGAAATGGCTCGATGTCTAGAGTCTCTTCAAGGCCTCAAGAGTTGATGACTAGGTGTACTCGTTCGCACCCATTTACAGAATGCATCATGTCACGCTGCCCAGCATCTAACTACACCACCATAAACACACTGGGTGAGAACTGGCCGACAGCCCCAAGGACAAGCAAATAACATGAAAGATGTAATCTACTCTCATAGATATTTAATGATGCTCAGGACGAGATCTCATTGGAACGAACCCTTCCACCAGGGCCCATGTGAACAGCACTCACACTGAACCTATGCCACAGAGAATCCCCAATTTCAGATTTGTAGCAGCTCGCATTGGCGGGGTCGAATAATAGCCATCTTTCACCAAGATAACCAAAGCAAAGTCTATCACCGAGTTTGGCAGCACCCCCCCTCCAATAGGTATGGTACAGGTTCCTAACCCTAGTAATAGCACTCTAGATCATGAAGTTTACAAAGCATTATAGAATAGAAAATTAAAGTGGTGGATTTGTTGGGGTATGTGGGACTTGAGTAGTGTGTTAACAAGTAGGTATTTTCCAAGTTGTCTTCGACTTGCTACTACTAGGTACCCAGGTACTTAGGTACCTCCGTAGGCAGGTAGGTTATTCAGAGGCGGGTGCATGTCAAGCAGCCAAGCTCCCCCACCCTCCAACCATGTGCAGAGGCGGGGCCTCCCGCAGCCAATCCCTCGCCGAGTCCTCATCCCTGCCCACCCCGTTGCTCCGCGCAACCGCCAAATCCCGCGTAAATAATTGCAAAGTGCACGTCAGGTTTGTAACCCGCCCGCCACCCGCGATTCCGTCAGCCAACCAACAACTCCACCTCAATCCGGCACAACTTGCTCTGACCAGGCCCTCCGACGTGCTCCCTGCCCTCGAAGGCCCCTTTCCAGACCCTGCACACCGACCTCCGCACCCACCGACAGATACAAGTTGCTCATCCTGCCTGCCTCAACCTCCCCGCTGAAAGGGGCCTCGCTCCTCGCTTCATTCTTCCTGTTCCATCTCGTCCTTCCCCGCCAGCGCATCATTACCCACTTCACCATGGAGGAAAGAACAGAGAGCGCCGTATGCAGGCCCCCGATTGCCATCCCATGCCCCCTCTCTCACCCGTCGCACGTCGCATATGGCTAACCTCGCCCTGACCCCCTCCAGCAGATGCGCGCATCCCAGCTGCGCCCACCAGCCGCGAGCAGGCTGCCCGCGCTCAACATGCGACCGCCGACCCTCAACGAGATGTCCGAATCGCAGCACAACGTCAGAGCTCAACCGCCCTCGATGCTCCCCCAGGCCGGCACCAAGAGGCCTCAGTCCAACAGCGGTATGCCGTCAAGCGAGCCGAGACATTGCTGGTCGTCGCTGACCAGATCAACAGTGTCGCAATCGCTACCGGACGCCAAAGCACGAAAGACTCTTGCCGAGAGGGCCGGCGAATACCAAGGCAAGACCACTGCCGCCGCTACTCCAGCCCCAAGGACCGTCAACAAAGGTGTCTCGCTCGCCGCGCAAACAGGGGTAAGTTCTGCTTCATGTCTGTGGGGGGCCTTTGACAGAGGGTTTCTTTGAGCGCCTCGTCAGCCTATATCTGGAGGAGAATTGGCTGCCATTATTGCTGTGTCTCTTCATGCCCAACGACAACTCTTCTTCGTCTACATCCCGACGTTCCGACTGTATCACCATTCTTGGAGATGAAGATGTTTCCCTCGCCCAAGCAGCTGCTTCGTGCGGTGACTTCTTCATGGCAACATGCACGGCTGCATGATACGCACGCCATCGACGACCCGCCCCCCGAGCTGGACGACATATGCCTCGTCGAGCAGCACGACCTCACAGGGTTCCGTGGCAGCATCGAATTGCGTTATGTGGCTGAAGTCTGTCGCGGCGCTCGCAATCGCCTACCCGGGCACCAAACCTGCTCTTGACACAGCGGCTAACTTTGCCACCAACAGATGAAGCCTCCCTCGACCTCCATGCCTCTCACGCGCCACCAGTCATCCAAATCCCTGTCTTCCAAACTCCCTGCCAGCGGCTTCGCTCAGAGCGTCGGCCCAAACGTCGGCCGTTCCAATTCCATGATGAACCGCTCCAAGACTTCCATGTCGTTTCATCGCTCAACAGACACCACGCAGGGTCCCTATGGGAGCCGCACCCGACCAAAGACAGCCATGAACACGCACCCGGTGGCGGAGGATGATGCGCCGAACGGAAAGCAGAGCTGTACGATGCTGCCCATTTCTTTTCGATCCTCTCTCCAGTCCGATCCCAAAGCTTTGCCAGAAAGAAGACTCAGAAAGGCTGCCTCAGTTCAATACATGGGGCCTCGAGCCTCAGCGCCAGGACGAGATTTCTCCATCACCACCATGATGGGCAAACTGAGTCTCGATGACGAGCGTCCCAACGGTATTCTTCTCACCCGGGATCAAGCGATTTCGACCAAAGAGAACTGTCCCCCCAGTCCGAGTCCCTTGCGTCAACCAGAACTTCCACTGGAAAACGTCACCCTCAGGCCGGCTCAGTCGCGCAGAGAAGACGACGCAACGGCGCCGGTAGTCTGTTCGGAGGAATCTAGGGCCAGCATAATGGCGCCGCCCAAGACTCCTCCCAATTCCGCGCAATACGCTATGGATGCGATGGACAAGTTCGGGGAGACCCTATTCGCTTCTACTAGGAAGTGTCCAGAGTCGCCCTCCAAAACTCCTTCCAAGCCGTCATTTCTGACTAAGGATTCTAATCTGACCGCATTCACAGCCTGGGACATGGACGGCCGTCTCGTTGAGATGGAGGCCCAATTCAAAGCCATGAAAGAAGTTATGAACGTCTCTCTGACCGACAAGAAGGGCATGGAAAATATCATCGAAATGGCAAAAACGAGAGGTAGGCATCTGATGGAAGCACGAAAGTGTCCTAGACACGCGGACTGACTTGTTACAGCGAGCGAGCTCGAGCGCGAACGAGACCGATTAGACGAGAAGAACACGGGGCTACAGAGCGAGCTGGACAGCATGAGACAGCAGGTCCAATCACTAACGCTAGACTTGGAACAAGAGCGGAGGTCAAAGAAGTTTGAGCTCGACATGAAGGATCGAGATCATCTCAGTGAACTAGAGCAATTTCAAAGGACAGTGGAGGACCAGACCAACCGACTCGCCAGGCAACAACAGGACGAGCTGGACGCGTTGAAAAGGCGCTACCGCGCCGAGCTGGAGGACGAGAAACTGCAGGCTTCCCGCGAGGTTGAGGAGCTGAGATCGAAACTCGGCTCTGAGCAAGATGGCCTCACCCAAGCCCTCCACGACAAGGACCGTGAGATCCAGAATGCTCGCGCGGAGATGGAGATCCTGAAGGGTGACCTCGAGCGGGAGCAGACCCAGAAGGCCCACTTGAGAAAGCAGATGGACGATTTGCTCAGCACCAACACGACTCTTGAGGGCACCGTGCGCACGCTGCAGGCCCAGGTACATTTCCTGGAGTCTGACAGCAAGCAGCAATCGGACTCGTTTGCTGAAATGGAGGCAAGGATGCAAGACGCTTTGGTTGCGGCGGAAGAGGCGCGGCAAAAGCTCATCAAGGAGGAGACAGAACGGCGAGCCTTGTTCAACAAGTACCAGGAGTTGAAAGGCAACATCCGTGTTATGTGCAGGGTCAGGCCACTTCTTGACGAGTCAGAAGGCACCGCAGCCGAGCTTGACTTCCCGGACGATAAGACGTCGGCGCAAATCTACGTCAAGGGACCAGAGGAGAAGAATGCCCTCGGCAAGACCAGCAGCAAGACGTATCCCTTCGAGTTCGATCGTGTCTTCACCCCTCAGATACACAACGAGGAGATCTTTGGCGAGATCTCGCAGTTGGTGCAGAGTGCGCTCGACGGCTACAACGTGTGCATCTTCTGTTATGGTCAAACAGGGTCCGGCAAGACTTTCACCATGTCTTCGGCGGACGGCATGATCCCAAGAGCCACAAAGATGATCTACGACACGGTCAACAAGCTGAGAGAGAAGTCGTGGACGTACACCATGGAGGGCAACTTTGTCGAGGTGTACAACGAGGAGCTGAACGACCTGCTGACCCCGGCCGGGGGGCCCGAGGGCAAGAGGAAGCCCGAGATCCGGCACGACGAGGCGCGCAAGACCACGACGGTGCTCAACTGCAAGAGCGTGACGCTCGACTCGGAGGACACGGTGGAGCAGATGCTGAAGCACGCGCAGAACAACCGCTCGGTGGCGGCGACCAAGGCCAACGAGCGGTCGTCGCGGTCGCACTCGGTCTTCATCCTGCGGCTGACGGGCGAGAACTCCGCGACGCACGAGCGGTGCGAGGGCACGCTCAACCTGGTGGACCTGGCCGGGTCGGAGCGGCTCAAGCACTCGGGCGCCGAGGGCGACCGCATGCGCGAGACGCAGAACATCAACAAGAGCCTGACGTGCCTGGGCGACGTGATCGAGGCGCTGGGCAAGGGCAGCGCGCACGTGCCCTACCGCAACTCGCAGCTCACGTACCTGCTCAAGAACTCGCTGGGCGGCAACTCCAAGACCCTCATGTTCGTCATGGTGTCGCCGCTCGAGGCGCACCTCAAGGAGACGCTGACCAGCTTGAGGTTTGCGACCAAGGTATGCTGGCGTGTCCCACCCCGGCTTTTTCTGTTTCTGGAGCACAGCATGGCTAATTCCTTTTCTTTAGGTGCACAACACCCACATCGGCACGGCCAAGGCCACCAAGAAGACCAAGGAGCGCATCGGCGACTTGTGATGACAAATTATTAATGATGATGAAAGATATATCGAAAGAGGGTTCGATTTGTGCTGTTGATGGACCGTCGCTGTACATGGGCTTCCGCCACCCTAGAGAATGGGTGTGTGTGCGGACAATGAAAGAGAGAGTATTTATTGTTGCGGCAGATGGATGGATGGATGCATGTGTTCTGTACAAACCGCTGGAGGAGTAGAAGGCGTCGACTGATGATGATACCACAAACCCCCTCCCCATTTTCCAAAGTTTCTCCTTCCATTTTCCTGGTATCTGGTGGAGGATTGAGTTTTTTTTTCTTTTCCCTCGCTGCCTGCCAGCGATGATGACTCGTTTTCTCCGCACCTCACGACCTTCCTGCACCAGCCAGACAGCCAGCCAGACGCGTTTATACTTACTTTGGTGGTGGACTTGATGATGATTGATTGTTTTTGTGTGGTTTTTGTTTATCTGAACCGTTGGAGTTCTGGATAGGAAGTTTTTCAATGTTATGGATATGCACATACATACATACATTACCCACATCCCATCGCTGTTGTTGGCCGGGGGTGATTTCGTGACCTTGAGGAGGTGACTCTCGATAATTGCGCACTTGGTTTCAGTGTTGGGCTGGCAGCGAAACTAGACACTTAGATAGCTGGCACCGGCAAGCGAGCAAGCGATCACTGGATGTGTTGAACGCATGAATGAAAGCCTTTGTGACATCTCTCTCCCTGAAGAATCGTGAACTTCTATTAGTTAATGTGACCACTGTTCTCAGAGTCGCAGTTTTAGTTTTTGGGCAGCTTTGCCAGGCCTTGCATACGGCCTTGCTCTTCCTAATTTCAACACGCATACTGCAACAGTAATCATTGTGGGCCTCATTAGCCGAATACTACTTATCGCTGTTTCACTTGACCTCATCCGTTGAAACACTGGCTCTCTCCAGCCTGATGCTCTGCTACATATGTAATCAGATCCATTCTGAGCCAGACATGTTTCCAGCTCCACCTATCAAAGGAGGAATTGTGACGGGCAAGACAATCTCGCTGAAGGTCTGGCGACATCTCACACCAGTCAATGATTTCGAAGTAGGGGTGCCAGTGGTTGAACGCTGGAACATGTAACTCACGACAGGGCTCATGTGAATCAGGTTTACTGTCGCTCTCTAGAAGACATCGTTGTGTAGGCATGTTACACGTTGTAGTCTCGAAGGTGTTTCTAAGCCCATTTCGGACAGTGTCTTTTTATTTGAACTTCCTGTATCCATCTTAAAGTCTCGGTGAACTATCTTTAACTCTTTTGTTAGTTATCTCCACTGTTGTTACTTTGCACCCAATTACTTTCTTGATATTCCAGACCCATCCAAATCTACGGTGTGTTACCATCTGACAGTTTTCATGAACTCTCATGCAGAGGACGAAGCGGCCATGGCTACTCCGGGGCAAAGTGCGCAACCAGATTCTCGGCCCATTTTATCATACGGTTTCATAAATAAGATGCCAGCGCTGGCTATGAGCACCGATCAGAATGTTCGTGACTCCAACGAACATCAACATACACACTCTTTTCACTCAGCATCTAATCTATCGGACCCAAGCGGTCAAGAAGCGTCGTCGAGTCTGACGCCTGAGGCTGTTTCTTCAATCGATGCCAATCGGGTCATCGGTCAAGGCGGACGTCTCCCGGTTATCGTCTCCGAAAGCAGTGATGGTCACCTAGCGGACACATCAGGTGACGACCTGTATCGAGTCGAGACTCGTTTTCCTCATGAAGAAGCTAGCCAGAGATCGGAGGACTCGACTCATAATTCACTGAACGGCAGACTCCAATCCAGCCAACAAGCATCTCTAGAACCTTCGTCCGCAGGGAAACCAGCCACTACTGCCATCTTTGAAAGCTTTGGGGATAGCCCTGACCGTGCTAAGACCTTGCCAATACCACCCATTGTCGATTCCCTTGGTCTCTCAGCCTGTGCAATCATTGCAGGTGGAACTGCTCTCAAGCTTGCGATACTGGGGTTCCTGGTCTTCTTATGGGCTGGAGAGGGCCCTGCAGGAGGAGAGAGAGCTACCTATGTCTGGAGGAAGATCATGCTCAGCGAATCATGGCCGGCGCAGACGATCACAATCTGTGCCGTGGTTGTGCGGACCATCGCAGCGGCACAGGCTGCGATATGCACTTCTCTGGTGGCCGCGCTTCTTCTGGAACAGCGGCGACTACCATTGTCGAAGGCAATTCCTGTTTCTATCAAGAGAGGTGTTAATGATGGCCCGTTCAACCTGGCCCGCGACCTGCTTTCGTGGAAAATATTCCGGCGACTATTGTGCCTGGAAATGATCTTGCTTCTTTTAGTCACAATGGTGACCTTCGGCATCCAGTTCACCTCGACTTTGCTCCTGTCTGGCTTCGATACAGCTACACTGGTTCAACTTCCTCAAAGGTTTCATCACAATGTGATACTATCTGCGCAAGCCGCGTTAAAAACTTGTAATCGAAACTCTTTTGCCCAATTCCCACCTTCCTACGCTGTGTTCGGCGAGTTGGAATCGTCCGACAGACCTGAACCCAATTCACGCGGCGTTTCGGACACTGGAGTCAAGCTTCGCTCATTTGTGCCGTTCCAAGAGGAACAGCGTACCAGGCTTCGGGCTTATGTCGGACCCGCCTTCTCCGAAGAAACACAGGTCATATGTATGAGGCCCAATATCGACGCTTATGTCGTTTGGACAATGACTACCGCAGAGTCAGGAACCGGACCCTCGACCCAGATTTTTGGTTCAATCTCGTACGAAAGTACATTCGAGGAAGCAGTCCTGGGCGACTGGGCAAATTGTTCATCCATCCATGGAATTGATGGAAGCATTCAAACTGTCTGTTTGCCTCAAATGTTCATTTGTACCCTCCCATCATCAGGTGGAGTTGATACACTTCCCATGGTTGCACTTTGTCACCTATCAGCAGAAATCACAGAGAGCAGCACACAAACAAACGTGCTCACCAACATGCGACAGTGGAACCCGTCATATCCACTCTGGTCAGCAGGAGCAAATTCTTGGACATTCTTGGTGTTCTCAACTAATGTGACTGTCGAAAGTGTGGATGCACAACTCGGGGGGAAACAGAACTCTTCGGTCCAGCTGGACAGCCCCATGACAAAGAGTGGGGAGTGGCATACGTATCAGATCTTTCCCACAATGACTCTTAACGTCAGTCTATGCTTTGCAGGCCTTCATACAGATGTTTACAACGTTTCAATGTCTAATCCGACAGGCGATCCAAAAGAGCCTGAGGTCCGATGGGAACCCATACATCGCGACGACGCGGCGGAGGCAGGGCAGAATTTCATGGGCGCAGCTGTCTCTGGTATCAGCGCTGGCGAAAGAGGAATACTTTCCATTTCTGAGTTCACACGGCCACACGGCTTCAAAGCTGAAGACGTCCATGACAGTTCAAACACTCTCTGGATAGGCCCGTCCTCATTCATCGGCATGTTCGCGCAGAGTGGCGCAAGTTGGATAATGTGCACTCTTTGTACTTTGTTCGGATGGGCGGTTCCACCAGATATCGCTGCGTTATTCTCGAGGACCATTCACACGACGGGTCGGCCATCCTGGGCCATCCAGAGCTTCCTGACAACCTACACGCAAAGCTGGTACGCCCAGTTCCTCCCCGAGCTCGACGTCGCCGCCGATATCGATGCCACATTCTCCACCCAAGCCCGGATCCCAAGGTACTGGGGCGGACTAATCGCGGCTCTGGTCATGAACATGGTGAATCTTGTTTGTGTCTGGATCATCGCGGTGTTGTATGTCGTTCGAACGAGATACTCCCGTCAGGGAAATGTGTGGCACACCGTTTCGCAGATGATGTCAGAGGATACAAGAATAATCCTGGAACAAAGCAACAAGGTGAAAGATAATGAGGTCAAGAAAGCGCTGAAGTCGGATGATTATCTTGTGTTCATTGGAATACCTGCGGGCTCTGATCGAATCTCCGTGCTTAGGTCTTGAAGGCATGCCAATTGATGTATTCAGAGGGAAATAGAATTTCAAAGTGGAAGTCTGGTCGCCTCATAAAGCTGACACAACGTGAAGATCGGCACCAGAGGCACAGGAGCACCGTGCTCCAGTGTGTCATCCATACGCTCATTCTCCGAGGATTTACTGTCTGATCCAGACGTATGGTATATTCCCAACATGGAAGTAACCATCGAGCCCGCCTGGCTGCTGGAAAACTTCACGATTTAATGGCTTTGATAATAATGAAGAGTATTTCGAATTAAGAAAAGGGCATCACATAGCCCATGAGTCTATCTCAATTTCCCTTTTGGCGATCAACCGCTGTGGCATTATGCCATCTTCCTATACTTGTACTTGGCCGCTCCATCGCCGCATGAAGGTGCTGTGGAGTTGCCAGCCGCATTGATCGCATTCAAGATAGCCTGGTAGGCCGGCTTCTCCTGGTAGTTGTCATCCCACACCAGCGCCTCACCTTCTCCCGTAAAGGTACTTGGAATCCAAGAGTACTTATCCGAAACGCCCCAGATGGTAATCCCAATGCACCGATCGTTGTTGAGACACGACTGGAAGACGCTGACATACGCATCGGCCTGGGTCTCCAACTTTGTAGCCAAGTCACCAGACGATGTGTTGAACCGTATGTCGAGCTCGGTGTAGGCAACATCCACGCCGAGGTCCGTGTACAGAGCCAGGGCGCTGTCAAGCGTGGACAGACTGGGAATCACGCCGCCTCCGGAGGAAGTGGTTGGCTCAGAGGTGAGGTGACCCTGCAGACCGACACCGTCAATGCGCGCACCGTAGGACTGGACCAGCTGGACAATGCGAGCAGCACCCTTGGCCTTGTCGGCGGCGTACTCGAGATTGTAGTCGTTCAAGAATAGGCGAGCATCTGGGTCGGCAGCCTGGGTGTACTGGAAGGCGATGGGGATGTAGGCCTCGCCAATCGTCTGGTAAAAGACATTTTCGCGGTAAGTGCCGTCCTCGTTGAGGGCTGTAGGATGCGAGTTAGTCTCATAATAGCACTCCGGAGTAAGTTAGACAAATAAATCTCAGCTCACCCTCGTTGACCACATCCCACTGGTCACAAACACCCTTATACCTCCCCACAACCGTGTCAATGTGAGTCTTCATAATCTCAAGCAGCGTGGCGTTGTCGAACCCGCCCCCCGAGACCCACGTCGGCAGTTGGCTGTGCCAGACCAGGGTGTGGCATCGGATCGTCTGATCGTTCTCCTGGGCAAACGCAACGACGGCATCGGCTCCGTCGAAAGAGAAATTTCCCCGGCTGGACTCAGTTACCTCCCACTTCATGGCATTCTCAGGCGTAATGGAGCCGAACTGAGTCGTAATGATCTCCTGCTCCTGAGGATCATCACGGATCGTGAGAGCTGTGCCGACATACTCCTTGCCTGCAGCCTTGAAAGCAGCATCAAGGGTTGTAGGAGCCTGGCGAGTATGCTTTCGTGTACTGGCGAGTGGCGTGAGTACTGTGGCATTGCGTTTGTTATGACTTCAGGAACGCGTAGACTTACGGGACCGTGCCGGCAGATGTGGAGGCACCAAAGGCCAGAGCCGAGAGAAGGACCTTGGAATGCATCTTGACTATAGATGGCACTTTTGAGGCTCAGGTAGAGTGTCACAATAGGTGTGCATAGCAATCAAAATGCTGCGAGACGAGTGGCTATTATATATATTCCACCCGTGCCGCGATCGACTTCCGTACCACCGTGCCATCGCCACACGCGTCCACTTTCCATGCGCTACGACATCAGCCTTAAGAACCAAGATGTTGGAAATTAGGCTCAACCGAGATTGCTCTGCGGTGAATGCGACCCTGGAGACGTGTAGCAGCTATAGTGCCCAGTAGTCCCACCCCTCAGAGGTCTTCCTCCGTTAGATTCCTCTTTCTGTAGTCGGCCTCAGCCACATTGGGCCCAGTTAGGTGGGAAAGGGGTCGGATCCCCGGGATTTTAGCTCAGAGTTGTGTTTAGGCTAAATGTTCAAGACTTGGGGCAAAGGCGCTAGCCAATGGTTAATTGTCAGGAGGCGCGGGACGGAAGGAAGACCCTTGGCAGCGGGCGGACTGCAATGGGAGATTTGGTCAACAGTCTACCTTGTGGCGTTCTCTCATTACTGTACATTCAGTCATCGTCGAATATCGCCTCTAATGTGTCATCATCAATTGCAGTCCATGTCCTGGCCAAGATACCTGACAATGTATCAGCTGACTTGAAAATGTCGGATGAGTAACTAATGTCTAGGCATTGTCATAAAAGAGTGAACTCTGTGTAATATTTTGTACTCAACTCAGTTGTGGAACGCCGAGGTGTTGGGGCGGTTACCGCTGTGTGAAGGGATCGTAATAAGAGCGTACGCCTTCGGGATTAAGAACGAATCGACGCATACGTATGACGAATTACAAACCAAACGGCTGAAATGGAGAAGTAGTCATGTGCAGGATATTTTTCAGTAGGCTCAGGGGCTTCTGTCGGGCATGTTCATCCATTTAAATTACGTATTACTCAAGTACTGCACTGTACTCCTTGGTAAAGAAAGTCTTTCGTTGGTGAAGAATTGTCTCATCCTAGGCATATTTTCTTCATATCCTCCTTCGACATTCTCACTACTGCCTCCCCATACATCACACCATGCACATAAGCCTCACCTATGAAACCTAGCTTTTCTATTCCCTCCTCGTGCTCTTCTTTCTTCCTCAGCAGATACGGTGTCCTACTCCCAGCCACCAACCACAGCCCATCTCCCGGCTTGACCGACTGAGGACCAAGGCCTAACCGTCCAGCTCTGGTCCGGAAGAGGCATCGCTTCCGGTATACCTTGCTTATGTGTACTCGTACGCTGGATTCGTCGTCGAGCATTTTGCAGGCTGACGGATCGCCATGAAATTTACACCACTCCCAGGTAGCACCTGTCAACTTTTCTTGCGCTGGAATCTCGTCGAGTGTGGGGAGATATCTCAAGTTTCCTTGGTTGTTGGCATTATCGAGGGATCTTTGGTGTCCAAGCATATACGACAAGGATTGCTTGAGGTCCGCACTGGTGGTATTCTTTGGAGCATCCTCGTTCTCTTTGTGGCTTGCTGATGAGGCAGTACTTGAATTGTCGTCGTCTTGGCCATATCCGGAGGCGGTAACCTTCGGCTCGGTGTCCGGCACCTCTCCATGATCTCCAAACCATCTTCCGACTCGAAGCTGGCTGATGCGCTTCATGACAGCTTTCTGTTTCAAGGACAGCGACTCGGTCGACCCAAAGACACTTGATCCCAAGGCACCTCGGGAACGCAACACTTTGGACAGGCGGCTTGGGACCTCGACCTGCTCCTGAGGCTCTCGGCTGGGCTCTTCGTTCGGTGAGACTTTGTAGAGAGTGAAGTCATGCTTGGGGTCGTGCTCAAGCTTTCCATCACGGAAACACTCCCAACACAGATCGAAGTCATCACAACTATCGCAATGCCAATCTCCGGCCCCGATTTCCCGATCGCAACCATCGCAAGTCCAACAGTTGCCAGAGGTCCCAGACTCATCTCCTGAACTGGAGCCATCGTCTGAGGACGTCTCAGATTCTTCTTCTTCTCCAGCTGATGTATCGGCGCCGCTCTCGGTATTGGACTGTGTATCCTGTTCTGGCTCACGTGCTGCTTCTTCTTCCTCTTCCCGTGCTTTTCTGATGCTGCTCGCTAGCTCCCAGGAAATGAACTCGCGAAACGAAACAGCACTTTGTTGTCTGGATATCTCGTCACAGCCTTCCCAGAGCTTATCCACCGTGAGCGTCCTGAAAAGCATCTGTATGGGACTCTCGCCGCTTGTGGGCTTCAAGGTCTCCAAAAGCTTAAACCAAGACTCGACGTCAACGTCCAGATCTGCCGGCATATCGTCGGGGTCGATTTCGGCCCATCCGGGCTCCACAGCCTCCACAACATCGATCTCGGTCCCGAGGACATGCAGGTTGCCTTTCCCCTCCCCGGGACCAAATGCGGGCTCGATTGTCTTTGCGGCCCTGAAAGACCTCCTCCAAATTCGGTTTGTCGTGAGGGCGTTGCTGAAGTCAGGGACCCATGAAGGCAGCTCGGGCATTTTGCCCTGCTGGCCGCTGTAATACGGATCCTGCACGTAGGAAAGGCCTTCGAGGGGTTCAAGGATTCCAGCAAAGCCATCGCCACGGTTATACATGGAGTCCCGCCCTGAGCCGCGGATAAAGATGTGGGCGACCTGAGTGTAAAGGTCTTCCACGGGGGAGGTATAGTCAACTATGATTTTGTCTTGTGGTGGCAGAGGAGCAGCAAGACTCATGATAGCATAGATCTTGTCGCGTGGATCTTTACTCTCAAAAGACCATGTAGCTGCTATCAGCAATGGTAGGCTCACTTTTTGTCGTCAGCCATCAATAGTTTGGGCTTTGTAAGAGTCGAGTAGTGTGCTCGCAAAGGGTTGACTGTACTCACAGCGATCTGCCTTCCGAACACAGGGGGCTTCACAGCCCTTGCGATGAAAAATGGGGTCCACAATATCCCACTCATCGCTGTTTCTCGCCGTCCGTAGTCGAATCTCGGCAAGCCTCCATGCTTCGCTGCCGTCACCCCCCTTCCCATCGTGCATAGTCCAGCCCTTGTCCATTTTCCATACGCTGGATGGACGGAAGAAGCCCAAATGGGACAGGAGACATAGGAACTTCAAGACCTCATGCCACTCAAGTTCTGTCTTGCCCATGAACATTCTGATCTTAGTAGCTAGACTCAGCTCCTGAATGCACCAGACTCTGGTGAACCACGATCGTAGAAATGTGCTGAGAATGAGGCGTAGGTCGTTGATGCTGAAGATTGCGCCTTCAGGGATGTCCCAGTCTACATTCTTGTCTTCCAGAAACGCGAGCAGAGAGACCGACCCTATTATATACGAATGGTTAGCAAGACATAATTTCACATGAAACAAAAGAATCCAGCTACCCTGATATTGTATAACTTACATTGCTCTTTTAGTTCATTAAGCCTCTTCGCTTTCTTGTTGACCCGCCGTATCACCTCCTTCAGATCCGGTCTCGCCCACACGTTTCTTAGCAGCCGGAAGATCATCTGGCTATCGTCCCCCAGCCACACAATGACACAACTGGCTTTAGTGTAGATCTGTGGCATGATCTGCACTTGGGCGCTGCGCTCTTCCAGGTCAGCTTGGTTGATGCAGAGGGCATCGATCCAAAAGAAACCACTGGCTGAGCCCTTGGCTTCATTTTTCACACCACTTTCTGACCCTGAATCCGAATCCGAGTCTCGGTCAACTTCCTCTTCAGCCGCTGCAGTCGACAGACTCAACTCCTGTTGTCGAAAGGACCGGTCCCGCAGGAACTTGGCAACCCCCTCCCATTGGCGCCTCTTGTGCTGGGTGCAGCACTCTATCGGCGTCCTGCCGTGTCCGTCCACAATTTCCATATCAGCGCCGGCCCGGACGAGCTCCTTGACGACATCATAGTGCCCGTTCTCAGCCGCATAATGCAGCCCCGTCTCGCCAAAGTCGTCCGTGGCCGAGAGGTTGGCGCCGCGTCGGACCAGCCTCCTCACGCGCGAAAGCTTCCCCTCCTCGGACGCCTCGATAAGCGGCGTCTTGTTGTAAGGCGCAGACCTCCTCTCGATCTCCAGGTCGCCACCGTCAAAGTCACGGAGCTCCTGGGTGCGGTAGGCCACGTCGCGCAGGAACCGAGCTACTTGCTCCCAGTCCCCGCGCTTGCGCTGGATACAACACTGGACGGGCGACCGGCCTGTGTTGTCGTAGACGCTCATGTCTGCTCCCGAGGCTATGAGGACCTTGACGATCTCATAGTGCCCGTTTTCGGCCGCGTCTATTTTCTCAGATGGTCAGTGTGACACAAACATTATCTCATTGATATTGAGATGGGGTTTCACGCACAATGGAGTGGTGTTTCGCCAAAACAGTCCCTTGCACCACAGCTCGCGCCCTCCTCGAGCATTGATCTGACTGTTTCCGTGTCACCCTCCTCAGCAGCAATGTGCAGGCGCGTTTTGTCGTATTCACCACCTCGCTGGTCGACGTTTTCCATGCCCTGTAGGTGGAGCAGCGCATCAAACAGGTTCTTGCGCACGTGCAAGACGGAAAGCTCGCCGGTGTTGCCGTTCCGGACAGCAACGGGCCATTTACAAAGCGGTCCGTAGGGGTCTTTCCAGTTATCTGTTTGCCGTTTCTGGTACTCGGTTTCGGGGCTATCCCAAGTGTATGATAGGGCCTCGTACGCGGGTGCCGACTCGCTGGCGAGGTCCACAACGTGAAGGGAACAGTGGAGTACCGGATAGCCGCATAGTGACGGAAGGACTCCGTTTCTGGTGTTGTGAAGACGCAGGAGGCGTATTGACGTCGGCGAAGGTAGAGTATCATATCTGAATTCTGAATACTGGAGGAGAGACATGCTTCTGAGCACCTGCAGGCTATCAGCAGAAAAGGCGAATGTATCGCTGAAATCAATCAAATCAATCTGCTGCTCACGCTTGATTGCGTGGATTTTCGACTATATTCCCTTTAATACCAAAGGTTGCAAGGTTATATGAAAGGATTCGGATCTATACATAGATATACCCACAGTCTTCTGCCTAGTTGATGGAGGATCGCATACCTGGTTATCAGCTCCAGCTCAGCCATTGCACGAGCCGCTGAGTGGAGTTCAGGCAGTAGCCTTCTCCACTGTGAAGGACTCTTTAGCGTGTCAACTAAGGCCATCAACCAATTAGCAAAATGGTCCATAAAAACTTCGTTCATCTCCACTTACAAGATGCCGTGCCTCCGAGTCTTGTTACTTTACCGTGAAGCCAATCACTCTTGAAAGTTCTATCCACCAGCCTACTAGACTAAAGAACCTCTGGGGTTTGTAGCCTACATGTCAGTACTCCGTAAACATCTGCGCTGTCATCTGTCCTTCTGTTTCAAAGGCTCAAGCATGTCTGTGTTGCCCTCTCTGGAACACCATGTGTGCTTCAATCGGCGTAGGCTTGAGTTTGCTATAGGGCGGTAGTTTGTTTCATCAGTGCTTTCGTTTCCAAACCAGATACATATGTTTCATTTAATTGAAGCGTGTTCGCTTTCATACAGTGGCAAACACTCAAATATCAAGTATTCAAAGGACAAAATGCTGGTTTAAAAAAAACGAAGCAAAAATAAGTCTGTGGGGCAAAGCCTCGTGAGAGCCACACTTTATTTTCTCAATCGTAGTGTTATACATGCTCTATAACTACTTAAGTATCTAGGTGACCTTAACGGCATTTGCCACATAATCCTGACTGGTGAGTAGTAAAGTTCTCACACTGTTTCCCCCTGAAAACACTAAATCTTTTACACTGCCTCGCAACTCTGCTTCTGCTACCGGTGCTTGGCTGCGAGTAATTGGAACTAACCTTGCTACCCGTCCGTCCTGAATTGAGCGATGATCCGCTCGGAGGCCGATCGAGAACCGAATCTGAACCATTACCGCGAGCAAACACAAGTTTCCCTTGTTCCTCTACGTTGTACTGGAGGTCCCCTCTCCGAATCACTATTTAATCAGCCCGTATTTCTTAAAATGTGGTAATGATGCCGTTCGATGGTTCACAGCAGGATGAAATGTAGGGATGATGACTCACCGTCAGCTCGCTGTTCCGCGAGTGAGAGATTCCCGACAGCGGCGTCTAGTGCCTCCACTATGGCCGTTACGTGGTTTTCGTAGCTTCGGTCGTTGTCCAGGCCGCCAGGGTAAGCTTCCATGTAGGCCATCTTCTTGTCAGCTAGTCTATTCGGTGGAGAGGAGAAGATTAGCAAATTCTGAAAGCAAAATGAATCGCGGCTAGATGTTTGTAGCCTTAATGTGTTGATCTGACATGACGTAATGAAGATGACATACTGGATATGTTTTCCCGCCATATCTTTGTGCGCCTCGTACACGGCCAAGTGGGCTTCCTGGCCCACCTTTTTGTCTCTTAGAGACGCCTTTCCCCTCACTTTTTGGAGATTCTTTCTGGATGGCTCAACCTCCGTCCGCATAAACATCTTGTAGCCATCATGGGATTGCGTGTCTGATGCGGAACGATATATACTTTCCCGGCCGTATGTAGGAATGTCGATGTGGTTGCTAGATATTCTATTTTGATTCAAGGAGATCTCTGTCAGTCTGTCTGCGAGGTCATCATAGCTGATGCTTCTTAGAGATGCTGTGACGTTTTGGTGGTTAGCAGGAAGGGTGTTCTGGGCGGGATCGTATGGAGGGCCGGTGTTATTGTACTGGGGATCCAGCATGTCCCTATAGTTAACGTTATTATACCCTTCATTGATGTCGTATTGCGAATTTGGGGCAGGGACATTGTATGGTGCGTTAGTCTCGACAAATTGTTGTGATCCAGTGGTTTCGTACGAAGCTTCCCGGTAATAACTCGGCGTGTCCCCGTCCCTACCCGTAGATGGTAGATATGGTTGTCGAGCGCATGGGGCGCTGGATAATTCACTATTTACTGCGTTACTGGTGCTGGGCCTCCTGGCGCGGGGAGTATGACTATTAGATCCGGCTGGACGAGAATTGGATCTCAGGTAATTGGGATCCTCACGGCTGCGGCTTCTTGACGAAGGATGCTGTGAATCCATAATGAAATTTGCAGTGCGAGTAGAATCACTTACTGGATGGCTATCAACACGTTATTTATAATAATTCAGTCCCAGATGTAGCACAGATCTAATTACTCTGGGTGCCCGACGGTCACCGCTCGAGCCTGAATCAATCTGGACAATGACAACCGCGGCATCTGATTGTGTAATGGCATGTCGAACACTTTCATTCTTGCCCGGAAATTTTCAGTCAAAATTACTTAGTGCGTTACAGTGACTAGAGACGAATATTTACTCACTTGCTTTAGGTTTCGTTTCGACTCCAGGGCTGGGCTGGAAACAGGTTTCCGTGAGATTATGGCCTCTGGGACGCCTATTCGCGGGACTCTCTTTGTCCTTGCGTCCGTTCCGCTGAATTTCTGTCTTCTCCTAAATAAGAAGCTGTTGCAAAGACAGAATGAGTATTTTAAATTGTCTTCGTGGACGTGGCCACGTACAGTCAACTGGTAATCTTTCTGCACTATCCTTGGCATTGTTATTTCTTTCTTTCTTTTCTTTCCTTGTTTTTTTGTGTAAAAAAAAAGAAGAAAAGAACCCTGGGCTTGAGTATTCATCACTGTAGTAAGGAGCCGCATACGTTTTGTGCGTATGAGTATTAGGAAGGAAACCACTTCTTTGTGGAAGAATGACAACTTTGAAGAGGAGATACGAAGACCAGCCTCGGGAAGCAAAATCGACATATTACGCGACTTTTGGACAAATGGGAGAATAGAGTGCTTAGGTAATCAAGGCGAAGGCTGTAGTATTGGTCTTTAAACTCAAGAATAGGGCTCCAGGCCCGAAAGATCGAGTTGGCATTCATCGATGGTGTTCTGAAGTTTGTGTGGTCTCCGTTGAGGGCTGGCCGCTGAACTGCATGTGCAACAACCACTGGCAACAAGGACGCCAATCGCCAACCGCATCTCGTGGGCCGTAGAAATAGATCTTGAAACGCAGACTGATAAGCAACATCAAATAACACCGGCCCTCCGACCTCTCTTCTTTGGGTGCCTAGGTGGTAAGCATGCGGTGGCCGCCGTCAGCACACGCACAAACTATTGCCCGGCACCGCAGCCAATCAAAAACTGCACCGTCGACTTATTAATAAGTAACGACTTCATTCCACCCAACCACTTCCTCCCTTTCTTTCATCTTTGCAACAGGAAAACCCGCATCATTCTTACAAGTTCTACCAGGATCTAGCCATGGAGACACTTAGCACAGTGGACGCAGGCAGTAGCGGACTACTAGTACTAGTAGGGTCGAAACCCACCGCGGCCCCTCATCTTACGAACTCCGGGTCCCCCGCAACAACTCCGCCGTCGCTAGAGACACTGCCCGTGGAGCTACAGTGTCTAATTCTGTGCAATGCACCGGACCTCGCGTCGCTCAGCGCGCTCATTCATGCCTCGCCCGAGCTACATCGCACTTATGTCGAGCATCGAAGGAGGGTGTTACGACACCTCATTACACAGCTCTTGGATGGAATGCGTGTTGACGTACTTGCTGCGTATCACTCAGGAACAGAGGAATTCCAAAACACGCGTACGGAGCCTCTCCTCAGGGCTTTCGTCGAGGAGCAGCAAGCAATACATTTTACAGATCCACCAACGTCACCGCCAGCTAGTGACTGGACCGCAGAGCTGCCTCTAGACGCGTGCATCTCTATACTCCGCTTCCACGCCTCCGTCATCGAGCCGCTGACAGAAGCGTTTGCGCGCTGGGCGCTGGACACGCTACCGTCAAAGGCAGAGAACGAAGCCAGCAAGTCCGCCTCTCTTAGTGAAACGGAGCGATGCCGGATTCAACGCGCATTCTATCGGATGCAGATGTTCTGCAATGTATGTGGCTCACGGGAATGTGGACGAAGAGCCAAACTGGGACTCAACACCACCGACCGCCGCGTTCGTATTCTTAACATGTTTCCGGCGTGGGAAGTTGAGGAGATTCTAAGCATACATGACTTTGCCAAGGATTATTACAGAATTCTTTTTAAACAGGTAGCCCGGGATCTGAACGAGGAGCGGAATCCGAAATATAGGCACATTGATAAGACCTCTGTCCATGCGCAGCTGAACTTGGTCACGGAGCTGCCTGGTGGGTACACAAGTAAGTCACCTCCGCTGAAATACAGTTTGTAACCCATCACTAACGTATTACATACTAGGGGTCCACGACAGATCTCAGAATACGATGCTGAACCACGGGCTACATCTCCTAGCCAACATCTCCAAGATCAAAAGCCGTGAACAGCTAGTGGAGATCGTACTCACCGAAATTACCTCAAGAGAGGACTCGCTCGGAGCCTATGATTTTGAGACCGAGGGATGGCTGGATGAGTTTCTTTATATGGGTATGCTTCAAAATAGGAGACGTACAGTGCGGCCTAACCTCTACGACTCTGCCCAAGATTGCAGGCAGAAGACACCATTTCACGGGGACAATCCCGGCTGTCCGCCACTTGCCTGGATTCTCTTCTGGCAGGGCGAGTATAGCAATCTTTTTGGCGTCTTCATACCAGACGAGCTCCGTCGCTGGGGCTACATCATGTGGGACGCCGTCCGGCTGGACTCGGATGCTAGGGATGCTATTGAGCGTACCTGGAAATATGTAGTCGACCACTGTGGTGCAGACCCAAGAGTGTATGACCGGAGCTCACGTGTTGTCGATTCGCCAACGTCGCCTTGATGGTATTAGCGACGATCTCACGCAGCTGCTTACCTAGGTATGCAAGGGATAATGAACTACATCCATATCCGTGAACAAACATGTGTGACATAAACATCGGGGTCTCTCCGTTGGCAAAATACTTGTTGGAGGCGCTTAAAGCGTTAGTTACACCAAACAAAGAGTAATTACAGCCGTGTTGCCAAGCTGGTTCCTTGACTAACCCATTACTACGGGATACCAAACTGGAGAAGCTGCGCGGCCGTACCTCGCGGGCACAATATGCAGGCGAGTTTTACCACTTCGCAAAGTACGGCCAGTCTTGTCGCCCGACTGATGGACTCATCTCGCTTGAAGAAGATCAGCGCCATTCACAGAAATAATTGCACCTTCAAAGTGTCCGCAGTGAACTTGTGCAGCAGAGCATACTCGACGTCAGTCCACCCACAATGTTGTCTGCAGGGCCGCATCCAACGAGGTAGAGGGAGCTCGTTCAGGTTGGTGTCGACAGTGAAGAAAGATTGAAGGCAGTGACGAGATCTTTTTCTGTCGAGTTTTCTGCTGTTGGGCACGGGGACGAGACAAGGCCTTCTTCGCCAGGTATCATTACCGAGCTGCTACTGGTCGTTACCTGGGTATTTCGTCCCCAGAGCCACGTGCCCACAGACGTACTATATTCTCTTTCCACTGTTATTAGCACTATATTTCTTCAAAGGCTCAAGTGCTAGGTCTTAAGTGTCTACTACTATATAAAGGCGCTATGTATATTTTACATGTATAGGGATTAAAACGAAACTATACTCATCCCTAGATATTTCACGTCTTTAGATTATAGATTCCTGGGGCTAAAAAATCACATCGCCTAAAAAAGTGATATAAATTGGCTCACAGGGTTAATAGATACAGTATATACCTTATAGTTTTATTTTCAATCCCTATATATATAAAATATATATAATACCTTTATATAATAATAAATACTTAAAATCTAATATTTAAAGAAATATAATATTAATAATAGTAGAAAGAGAATATAGTATATAAATATATAGTTAAGCTTTATATTATATAAATAAAGTTAGAAAGTATTACTTTTAATAGTACTATATTATTAATATAAATAGCCTAAAAACTAATATATTATAATAAGTCGATAAAGTAGTTATATAGTAAGATTAAAATAGTTTTTAAAATAACCCTTATAAAAGAAGAATCCTATAATATAAAACTTAATAAACTAACTCTTTCTTATTAATATACTTAATAACTATTTAAATCTACCCTTATTAAATAAATTAAATATATTATAATCTCTATTTTAAGTATATAAATAATAGAATAATAATATTATAATAATAAACCTATTTAAAAACCTTTCTATATAAATTTTATAAAAGATTAAAACTTTTTAAAAATTAAATAAAGTTTATTTATTATATATTAAATAAATACTATATAAAGAAAGTAAAAATCTAAACACTTAAAAATTAAATCTTTTTTCTTTAAGTATATTATTTTATTATTAAGGATTTATTTATTTTTATATAATATATAAGGAATATAATAAAAAAGGGAGCCTTATAAAGGAAGTTAATAACTTTATATATAGATAAGTTTAAAGGTATATATTAAGTAATTATTAACTTTATACTTAAGGTATAAGCTAATAGCTAGTCTAAAAGTTAAGAAGATAATGAATAGATAAATAGTTAAATAAAAAATACAATGTGGCCAAAGCCTGGTGCATACCTTATTGTCTTAATTATTAGCTGTGGGTGTGACAAGTGTGGGTCTTATTTGGTATGTCCTACCTGCCTGTCCACGCACGGGGTCCAACATTGAGACAGGACCCTAGGTAGTCAATAAAATTATATATCAATAGTTTGTAACGCGAGCTCATGCTGAGCATCAATACATGCCCATGGCGGCGCAGTCCTGCTGGTGACATAGTGTACTCCCTGTTTTGGCTGGTGTCAATCTCTCGTCTTGTAATTATTAGCCAAGTTATACATAGATGTTGCAGACCACTGGGAAGCTTCTGCATAATGGAAAGAAATGATGGAAAACAACATGATGTCTGTGCCCGGGCTTCAAAACTCCGAGAAACCCATAAACACATCGGTACTCAGGCTCTCTAAAATAAGCTGTACGTCGTTCTGCTCGTCATCACCGTCCCAGACCTGGCCCTCCGGCTGCTGCACTCCCCATTCTGCCCATGACGAAACTTCACAATGAAAGGTATTCTGATCCGCAGCGTTGTCTCCGTCGTCTCCGAAAGCTACCTTGCCTCCACTGTCTGCGAGTTGCGATTTATCTTGGACCTCTTCTATCGCACGGGCGCCGGTCGAACCAGTCGTCTCTGTGAGTGTCGTGCTCTCCTCACGGACCTCCGAGCTTGGTTTGCTGTTGATCATTCTTAGATCAGTGGCGAGGCAGACCTGTACATTTTCGTACCGGTTTACAGCGGAATCTGTCATGTGATGCCCCACACCACTGGGACCTTGAGCAGATCGCCAGGTGCTTCCGGTTACTGGCTGTTGTGTCTTGTCAAGCCCAGCCATCGTTGTCGTGCTCTGGTGATCGTGCGCAAAACCCCATCCCCTGTCCTGACCAGCTGAATGCTTGCGGATCAAATCAGCGACTGCAAAATGCTTCCCTTTTACAGCCATCTCTATCGCTCCTTCGTAAAGTCGGGCACAAGAGAACGCGGTCCCACTCAGTGCATTTGCGTTGAGGAGGAATTCGACCATGTCAAGTCGTCCATACCTAGCTGCCACATCCAAAGCAGTCTGAGGAATTCCATGCGAGTCTTGTTGAAATGGAGCATTAGGCTTGGCACCATGCTTCAGAAGTAGGAATGCTGTTGGCAAATCTCCCAGCCGGGCTGCGCAGTGCAACGCGGTCTTTCGCATGGGGGATACGGTGTTGACGTCTGTCCCTTTCCCAAGAAACAGCCTTATGATATCATCTTTTCGCTTCCTTTCCTCCGGTCGCACTGGGTCCCAAGCACAAATCTCCTGCAGAGCCGTTGTGCCGTCGTATGGGTGTACTGGAGGGTTCAAATCCGCACCGCGTTCCAACAACCAACACACCAGGTCGTAGTCACCTATTCCAGCTGCAGCCTGCAATGGTGTAAGCCGTGTTCCCCAGGCATGCATAATTATCCCGAAGGAAACCTCGGAAGCTTGATTCACGTCGGCGCCGAGGTCCAACATCTTTCGCACAAGCTCGTGTCTGCCACCAGCGGCTATCCACGATGCCACTGGATAGCCTGTTGTCAACCTCGCCCCTTTCCCGAGAAGATACTCGAATATTCTCATCTTCTCCTTTATTGCCCAAGGATGAGTAAAGCAAGCATCCAGAAGATCTTCTGAAGGGTAGAAGGGCTCAGAGACTGCGAGATGTTCTTCGATGATATACTTGACCTTGGCAAACAGGTCGTAGACATATTCATCTAAGAGCAGGTCTACTAAGATCTTTGAGGAGTGACCGCCGGGCTTCTCAAGCAAAGGTTTTCCGCCACGCCGGGCTAGGTACTTCGTCATGGCAAGGGTTGACCCCATAGCAGCTACTCCGAAGATATTAGTTTTTGTCTCTCCTAGGAACGAATGGACCCAGCAGAAGGCAGAGTTTGGATCCACACCTCCATCTAAGAGGATTTTTGTTGCCTTGAAGCTCTTGCGTGCAACCGCCTCAGCAAGAGCTTCGACCCCGTGCACCCTGAGATCAGGGCAATATGTCGCTAGCCATTTCAGTCTGGTACTGTCTCCGTCCTGAGTGGCCTTGACCAAGGTGCTTGCTCGAACTTGAAAGCCTCGGTTCAAAAAGAATCTCATCAAGACGCATCCGTCCTCCCCATCTCGCTTCACTCCCGACGTTGCAAGTTCCGCAATGACGATCAGTATCCCGTCTGCAAGCAGGTCCCGGGTTGACAATAATTCAAGGTCAGCACCTAACTCCGACAACCGTAGCACGGCCTGGCAGCAGACTCTGCTGTTGGAATTGTCACGGGCCAAGAGGAACTGCTCAACCAATAGAATCGTAAGCCAACCAACTTGCTGTTGACGGGACTCGGTGCTCCTTTGCAGGTACTCTTGCAGTACGTGCACACCTTGTTCAAGGAACCCGAGAGCCCTTGATCTGCTGAAGGCTTGTGACGTCTTACTGAAAGTTGCCAGCTTTGAATATGATGAGCGACGGCGATAGAAAACATAGTCGAGTATCGATAACGACCAGTCGCGGATTGAGTGGTCATGCATCGATAACGACCAGTCGCGGATTGAGTGGTCATGCATCGATAACGACCAGTCGCGGATTGAGTGGTCATGCATCGACAACAGCCGGTGTTGGGAATAGATCATGTTGACGAATTTGAGACCACAGCGGAGCTTGTAGTCCACATCTGCACCTTGGTCTAGAAAGAGGTCAAGGCAGTAGTGGTAAGCCTCGTCCGTTCCACAGAAATTTCTAATGAACAACTCGAAATTAGTGGCATTTTTGCCGCGGTAATTTCCCATGTGCATCTCTCGATTGACGTCGCAATGCCGGATCAAGAGCTTTGCAGAATCTAGGTCGCCGTTTTCGACGGCTGCCATGATCGCTGTCGTTCTTTGGCCTTCCCCGAAAGACGAGTCCGGACGACAACCTCTGGCAAGCAGAGCTTTGACGAGACTCCCACAATTGGTTTGCGCCGCGTGGTACAAATACTCATGTCCATTGACAGTTTCTTCAAGCCAGTTCATATCCATGCCGACTCCCATCAACACACTAAAGGCTTCTCTGTGCTCAAGTCTCCCGGCCCAAGGTAACAGCTTCTCCCACGCGGCTCTGATGCTTGGCAAGTTGCTCTGAAACAGCGCCAACAGTACTCGCCGGGACACGAATCTGAATGTCATTTCGAAAATTGTAGCCATCTTGGTGTGTCTTTCTTCGTATGAATATGAACGAAGGTGTCCATTGGACAACAAGTAAACCACCAGGAATAAGTAGTGATGGCTATCAAAGTTCAGCCTCAGGTCTTGGCTGTTGGGGGTTGCTGACTCTAAAGGTGACGATAGGCAAGCAACAATGCCAGTAAGTTGAGCTCTCCATGAAGCAGAATGCCCGAAAGCAGCGGGTTGGTCCAAAAAGCCCAAGGAAGAAGTGATTTGGTCATGTTGACTTCCATTTGCAGATGCATTCGGAGACGGCAAGGAGTATTGTGTGACATCTGCTGTTGGTTAGTAAGTTTTGCACCACTGGGTCGTGGGGAAATTGCAACATACTTGGTATTATCTCAAATACCTTGGTAAAGGCAATCCCTTCGAGACATGACCCATACGCTGAATCTGCAAGGACCAACACGTCACTCGGAAGAGCTGTTGATGGCCAGTGCGGGTCGAGGAGCGATTGGAAACTGACGACTGTGGTTTGAAACAATGTGAAGAGAAGTGCTTCAGGAGACTGCTTTTCCTGTATTCGAGGAGTGCTTTCCAGGAGTTCTGGAGATGGTGTCCGAATCAAGACCCCCGGAGGAAGCGGAGGGAGATGATCTATGGGAAATTTCGATCAGCCACAGAACAGTCTGGTTAATCCAAGCATTGCACAAACCTTGTGCATCCCGTTGACACAGGACTTTGTTCCTTCTGAACTCTTTCCAGCAGTCGACCAAAGGTTTCTCGGTGCCATTGATCAGAACAACCGTCGGCCTAAGAAGCTTCATCTTGCCGTCACGTTGCAGACGAGGGCGAACGTGCTGGTAGACAGACGCCCAATCCCGTGCCTTGAGCTTTTTTTGCATCTTGAGCTGTCTCAACTTCACCTCCCATACCGATATCCTGAAAACAGCGTCTGGTTAGGACCGACTTAAGAGCGTTCTATCAATCAATGAGACCTGGGGCAATGACACCTAGTGGAACGTGGGCAATTTGGGCGTTGTCCATGAAAGCTCCACACTTACGGTGTCACAGGGAAACCTCTCTCATTCTCCATAATTTCCTTGACCTCCTTCAGCGTCTTCCTATCTTCCTGGTATAGCTGGCGAATTGTGGACTCATGCCGACGCCAGATGGCATCGTCCTCCCTAGTAGATTCAATGCGCCTGGGAACGTGCATTTTGGGTGATCTGGACGTTTTGGTGAAGAAGATTTGGCAAATATGTAACACAGGAGCAGGTTAATTGATGCGAAGAAAGATTTCAGGCGTAGTGGATGAGAGTCTGCACCCCAGCTTGGAGATATGCGGTGCGACTGCTCGGGTCCCGGGCTGTCTTTACGGCTACACCCGCAGTACGCGGCGTATTCTGGTTGGCCAGAGTGATTTTGTCCAAAATCTCAGTGTCCAAAATCTAGGCGCAGATTGTGGCGTAAAAGCGCGTGTGGCATTGGCTCCCGCGAGATGGAGGCCGAGTCTGGGCACTGCACTTGTAAGGATAAGAGCTGAGCATCCTGACGCCCACAGAAAGTAGCGCAGGCCGTCTCGTATACCTAGGCACTGCAATGGCGCTGGCAGGGGCTTTCTTACGGTAAAGGGACTTCCTAATAGTTCGTCAGAAACGTGCGGTAACAGAGTATGTTATTATAAGAGAGGAAATTCACGGACCTATTTTTAGAAGTTATATACCCCTCTACTAACTAAGAAGTATTCTATATAAGAATTTTTTATAAAAGTATTAGTTAGAGTAAAAATAATAACTTTTAAAGTATAAAATATAATAAAAATTATAAGTAAAATTAATAAGAATAATTTAATTAAAATATAAGTTTTTAAAAAATAAATCTTTTTATTATATTCTTTAATATTACTAAGAAGATTTATTTATTTAAATTATAAAGACCTTAAACTTTTATACCTTAATTTATTAAATAGCTAGAAAGGTATATTATTTTTAAGAAGAGAACGGAAATTCGCGCACCTAATATCAGAAGGTGCACACCCTCCTACTTATTTGACTAATTAGAAGATAGGACCTTAAAGTCTTTACAACTTTAATAAATAAGTTCTTTATAATTTTAAGGACTATAAATAGAGTAGGTTGGTCCTCTGGGAACTTAAGTCGTGCCTACCGGCCCTACTCATAGCCCTTCGCTATACTTCGCGCTCTGGGGCTCACCCCCTTCACCCTAATCGGCCCTTTTATAGAAGACATCTTGTATTCTATACTGCTTAGTTAGAAATGGGTGTGCGCCTTCCGATATTGGGTGTGTGAATTTCCGTTCTCTCTAAGAATGGGTGTGTGAATATCTGGTCTTATAAAAAAGCCCCTGCCAGCACTGTTGCAATATGTCACAAATGCACTGACTGCATATATCACGGGGTCGAAAAGGTACCCCTGGAGGTCTATTTACATGCTTTCTCGTTCCAGAACTTTGGAGGGCAAGATACAAAGTCTTATAAGGGTGTCTAGTCTGTTTACCAGTACCGACCTTTTCCTCTTAGATGTTCAATGTTCTCAGTGCACGACTGGCGTTGAGGCGCACACCATACATACCCAATCAACGAGGGTAGCGGCCTACTTTCCTGCTATCTGGATATGAATTGGACAGCACTATAGCAGGTGATACTATAGTGTCACGGAGTGTTGTGAACCTCAGTGCAGTCAAACGACGAACGGTGATGAGATATCTACATTGATATTAATTATAGAGTCAGGTATCTACTAGCCTTCCGTCCTCACGCCTGCAGTGCCGAGTCCAGGATACTAAACTGATCCCTCTCAGAATCCAGCACAGCCAGCGCATCAAAAGGCAACGTAACCATAGGCGTGGTATGCCCGATATCCACATTAAACAAGATCGGAAACTCCCTCCCCGCCAGGCGCCCCTCACACAGCAGCGCCGTGATGACACCGGCATACCGCGCCCTGGCCGCGGGCGAGTCGTAGCCAAACGGCCGGCCGACCACCACCCCGGCGGCGTCGTCAAACACCCCCTGGGCGATGAGGTCCGCCAGGCCGGCCCGCACGCGGTCCAGCGCGGGCCCCGAGGCGTCGTCCTCGCCCAGGGCCGTCTCGAAGAACACGATCCGGCCCCTCCAGTCGGGGGCGATCCCGCGCACGCCGCCCAGCCGCGCCATGACGCTCAGGCAGCCGCCGAACAGCCTGCCCTGGGCGCGCCCCGGCCTCAGCCACGCCCAGCCGCCCGAGGGCGCGAGCCGCGGGCGGGCGAGGGAGGCCGGGTCGGCGAGGATGGCGGGCGGGTCGGGGGCGTAGGTGGGCGAGCGGGCGACGCCGCCCAGGGGCGCCGGGTCGGTGACGGCGCGGAGGAGGTGCCTGAGGCAAAAGGCGAGGGCGGAGCCGTCATGCTCGGCCTCGTCTTGTGCCGCGGGCTCGCCCAGCGCCGGGAGGGCGCAGGGCCCGTAGAAGGTGCGCAGGCCGGCGGTGGCGTGCAGGAGCCAGTGCAGGCCGGTGATGTCGGACCAGCCCACGACGACCTTGGGCCGGGCGCGGACGGCGGCGTGCAGGTCCGCGTCGGCGAGGAGGGCGGGGAGGAGCTCCGTGAAGGAGGTGCCGCCGGCGGTGCAGACCACGGCCGAGATGGTCGGGTCGGTGAGGGCGGTGCGCAGCTCGGCCAGGCGGTTCGCGATGGAGGACTGGATGCCCGTGTCTTTGGTGAAGAGCTCGCGGACGTGGTAGCCCTGCGAGGTGAAGAGGGCTTTTGCCCGTTCGAGGGCCGCGGGGAAGGTGGTGTTTACGCGGGCCGAGGGCGAGACGAAGGCTATTGTCTGGCCTGGCTGGAGCGGTGGTGGGACGATGGGCGATGGCATGTTGGTGTTGCCTGTGTTGCTTGGCGTGGACTAACACACTCATACATTGTCAGAGGGGCCTCGTGGGCAATGCGTATTTATTCTGTTTTCCTGTTAGTAAAGACGTCACTGACGCCAGAGGTGACGCCCTTGGCAGTACACGATGTCCCCCGATCAGGTTAGCTGTGGAGGTGTCATACAAACCGCAGGCTCCATTTGTAATTTGAAGGATCCGGGCACGTAATTGTGGACCGAGCCTCTCGTCGAAAGGCGTTGCGAAAGGCGTTGATAGAACCGTCAAGTCGATGCGGTTGGTAGTTGTGCTGACATCTTGGCAGGTACGGAGGTACGGAGGTACAAGCTGGCAGGGCTGGGGTTCGACAAACGTTGGTGTGGGGCGAGGGAGACCTCCCCAGGCAGGGACAGGGGTCTCTCCTTCTGTCTCTCCCTCCCCCCACCTTCCAGACCCCGGCAGCCGCCCGCTGAGGATTGCTTGGCTGGGTTGACGTCGCGCCAACCCCAATCTCCAACCAACAATCGCATTGTCGAGCCTCACTCAAACACACAACAAAGCTTCATTGTGCTTCCTCTCCCATTGGGCCTCTCAGCCACTGTCTCGCCTCCTTCATTTCTTGTCTTGCTTGTCCTGCGCCTGCCATGCCTCCCTTTCTTCTGAACATACTTTCCAGCAATTTCTGAACTTGTTTCTGACCCGGACAACATCGTTTACACCATCTGCTTTTACTCGTCACCGCCCATCGGGAGAAGGAGAGAGAAAATAAGGCAAAGAAAGAGAGAACGCCATGGTCGGAGCAGGAGAGAAGGGCCTCGCCAGCTCGAGGTGGGCGCCCATCAACACCGGCCACCCACCCTACTACTGGACGTCCAATAAGTTCAGACACCCCGCCTCGTCCTCGTCCGCGACCGCGACCGCAACACACACGACCACAACGACGACAACATCAACATCAACCACACGCACCCACCAGCACCCACACCACCAGCGCCCGCCGCCAACGAGCACAGCACCAATCACCACCCCCTCTCACACCTCCCCCACCACTACCACAACCAACGGCACGACATACCCACGCAGCAACCACCCCTACGAGCCCGACGCCTCGTCCCTCACCCGCGTCCCCACCCCCTGGTCCGAGCTGAGCCGCTTCATGAAGATAGCCCGCCGCATGCGCTGGAAGCTGCCCTTCCTGGGCCAGGCCTACCGCGCCGCCACCGACCGCGACCTCAACACCCCCGACGACCGCGCCGAGGCCGAGCTCATGTTCAAGCTCGACTTCTTCGAGTACTACATGCTCCTCGAGCGCGCCCTGGTCCACCTGATGGGCGTGTTCGGCGTCAGGATCACGGGGGCGTTCGGGGGGACAACAAGGCCGGGCAGCAGGACCCCCAACGGGAACGGCAGCGGCAACGGCAGCCGGGGCGGGACCCCACGGCCGCCCCACGCCCAGGGCGACCACCGCTTCCACGCAAACGTCCTCGAAGCCCTCGACGACCCGCGCAACCCCCTCCACCCGGTCCTCGGCGCCAGCAGCAGCAGCGGCGGCGACGAAGGCCTCGACGACCACCCCGAGGGCGACGCGCGGTACGCCCTCGCGCGCGCCAAGGAGCTCCGCAACAGGTGGAAGAACGCCGACGAGCCCGCCTCCTCTGGGCCCTCCGCCGTGGCCCGCCCGCTCGAGGACTATGATCTGGAGCGGATCCTCGAGTCCATCTTCGCCGGCCTCGAGGGCGCCTACGTCATCGCGGAGCGGTACGTGGCCGGCGTGCGGGCGCTGGCTGCCGAGCGCGGGGTGCTTATCCCCGGCGGTGTTGGTGTTGGTGGGCCGGGAGCCGCGACGCCACCGATGGAGAATGGGTATGGTGCTGGTGCTGGTGGTGGAGGGGAGGAAGAGGCGCAGTGGGAGTTCATGGTTGATGCCATGGACTGGGAGGCCGTGTGAGCTAGCTGCCTGCCCGGCCGGCCGACCACGGCTACAGCTCCCGGTTCAGCTAGGAGGCGAGCCGGGGCGGGGCGGGGCCGTGGAAGCACTCTGTATCCTCATTGGGTCGGTGGGTGGTGTTGTGCTTGTTTACCTCACTGTGGTCTTTTTTTTTTGTTTCCCTCTCAAAAAGCAGGCATGAGTACTTGGGAATGCAGCAACGGCATGGCGTTCAATGACCTGGGAAGAAGGGAGGGAGGGGAATTTGGAATTTGGCTGGCTGGCTCTTGATTGGCGTCTGGCTAGACGGATACCCTGCGGCTAGCCCCCCTACGACCAAGGCGCACAGCCTAGGTACTTAGCTAGCATCTGTTTCTTCTTCACGCGTAGATGGATAGAATCACCTAGATACCCTACAATGCATCACCAGCCCGCGAGGCACGCGTACACTTACACCACATACAGCTCAGTTCAAACCAACACGCCGAGGTCTTTGCCAGAGTTCGAACGCCAATGAATATATGGAATCGTACATATATATATATATATATATCATCAATCGCTCATGTACGTACAAAAGTATCCATCAGATTTAACGCCTGCTGAACGTCCACCCAACCACTCACAACAAGCCACAGGAACATCCAAAATCCCCGCCATCTCCTAACCAACCGCCACCAACTAGCCGACCCCGATCAGTGCTGCCGCACGGTATACCTCAACCTCAGCTTCTCATCCGGCTTCTTGGCGGAGTGCCGGTTCCGGCTCGTAAACGGCGCCCTGTCCATCCTCTCCCCGGTAGCACCATCGACCAGCTCAAAGTCGAACATGGCGACGAACAGCGCGGCGATGATGCCCATCTCGAGCCTGGCGAAGCGCATCCCCAGGCACGGGTGGCGCCCGACGCCCCAGCCCAGGTAACCCAGGGGCGTGCGCTTGTCCTCGGCGCGGTCGGGCAGGAAGCGGCCCGGGTCCCACTCGTTTGGGTCGGTGTAGACCTCGGGGTCAAAGTGCACGTCGTCGAGCCAGTAGAGCGCGAAGCCGTCGCGGGGCACGACCTCGCCCGAGCTGCCGATGGGGACGTCGCGGCCCGAGACGTTGCGGCGGAAGGCGGTGCCGACGAGCTGGAAGCGGATCGTCTCGCGCAGCGCCAGGTCGATCAGGGGGAACTCGGCCTCCCAGTCGTCGAGGGTTAATGTCGCCAGCACCTCGGCGGGGGTCTGCGACGGCGAGGTCCGGTGCCGGGCCAGGGCGGCGTCCACCTCGCCCTGGATCCGGGCGTACCACTCTGGGTTGGTGGCCAGGTAGCACAGGAGCCAGCCTGCGTTTATGCCCGAGTTGATCTGGCCGGCGAAGAGGGCGCCGACGACGAACTAGAGATGGGGGGTTTGGGTTGTCAGCTTGGGCTTGGTTCATCGGGTGAGACACGAGGCAGGGTGTGAGGCGAGGTGTGGCTGCCCAGGTGGTGAGGGCGTCTGGCCAGACCCTCCCTGGGTGGCACATGCGTGTGCCTAATAAGCGGGTATGGGGAAGCGGGAGAGGCTGGGAGGAATGTGCCGTATGCAGGGTCTCGTCTGACGTGGGACGGCAGGGTTGAAAGGAGGGAGCGTCCCGGGCCGCCCGCAATGCCAAGTACGTAAGTGTACGGAGCAACCAGGGACATTCCTCTCGTCCCCGTGCGTGTAGTCTAATAACATGAAGAGAAATTCCGACTCACACTCAGGATGCGCACGATGTCCTCGCCCGAGTCCATGAGGAACTGGAACGCGTCCTCGTGCGTCTTGCCCGTCCTCCTCCTCTCCTTGGCGATCCCGTCAAAGATGACATACAGCCTGCCGCCCGCGATGGTCTGCCTGACGTAGCCGAGGGTCGGCATCCACGGGAAGATGATGCGCGCCGTGCTCATGTTGCGCTCGACGTCCTCGAAGAGGCCCAGCGTCCGGGCCATCAGCCGCGGCGACTCGGCGATCTCGGTCGCGCCCACGGTGCGCATCGTCAGCTGGTACACGATGCGGTAGATGTCGTCGAACGGGTCGAAGGTCCCCGTCGTGCCGCCCTGGCCGGCGGTGCGCTTGACCATCGCGTCGAGCGCCGTCGCCGTGTCTGTCGTGAGCAGCCGGAGGTTGCGGACAAAGTTCTCCTTTTTCATCATCTTCGTGATCGTCCGGGCGAACCACTGGCTGAATTGGTTGGCGTCCCCGGGTTTGTTGTTGTTCTTGCCCACGTTGGGCGACGCGGTGAACATCACGGCATATCTGTTCCGGCCAGTGGGCTTGTCGTCAGCACCAACGCTTGTTCCAGGCTAGGTGTTCTTCCACTGTCCGTCCGTGGTGCGAACTCACCCTTCCGTCATGTTCAGCTCCTTGGAATCGAAGAAGGTCCTGCGCCCCTCGACCCCTGACATGCCAACAAGCTGGTGCTTCCCGAAGTACATGCTGAAATTGCCCGTCTTGGACCCCGTGAGGCAGTCCTTGAAAAAGTCGCCCCGGTCGGTGAAGAGCCGGAGCGCCCCGAGGAGCGGGTAGCCCTCGTTGATCTTCTTCGGGGCATTCTTGGGGAAGGACGGCTGCCACTGTATCTTGATGAAGACGGCGAGGACCGACAGCAGCAGGATGTAAATGCTGGCCGGCCAGTTCTGGAATGAGACGGCGGACGCGAAGCCCGTTGTTGAGGTCGCCATGGCTGGCTGGCAGTGGAACGTGTTGGCCCAAGAGGTAACACGGATTACACTTGTGTACGGTATGATAGCACTTGAGGTGGTCCCAGGGGGACGGAGGTGATGTTGGGGGCGCACGAGCGGGGTTATAAAGGGCGACAAGCTCGCCGCGGCGCGGTCTCGATGTCACGGCCTGTGTAACACCCTCTACATGCTGCTACCCTGCTCCCGGAGGGTCCCCTGTCGTCCCATCGCGGTGGCGAATCAAGACCCCAAGCATCATCACCAAAAGTGGTTCAAGCGGGAGCGAAACTGTTATATAGGTGCCCCCTCCTGAGCTTCCTGTAAATGCGAATTCGAACCAACAGTCTTTTCACCCCTGTACACCCATGTCGTATCCGCTTTTGCGAACACGAGGAGGTGCTTGGCTGTTGGTCCGAGTGCAGGTCGTGACTGTTGGGTCGAACCCTGGGGATCGTCACGGTGTCCGTTGCCGAGACCCAGGCAAGCCAGGGGCAGTGCCGCTCCCACCTCTCCCTCCGCACAGTCGCTCTCCTCCCCCAAGCGAGCGAATGATGGTCCTCTGCCCGGCGCCCGGCGCCCGTTGTCCCCGTATATAGCGGCGTACCTACCGGGCTCGAGGATCTGGACTAGACGGGCTAGCCATCCTACGGCGTCGATCGTTGGAGGCGGACGCGGCCGCTATTTGGAACGGGTTCAGCTGGCTGCCGCTAACGGCGGCGACAGCTCATCGTCCAACCCCAAATGAGGAAGAAAGGGACGCCCCAGGATCAAGGGGGTCTGAGGGCCCTACGGTAAGAATCCCGGCTGTCTGTCGCCTTGGAGCAGTTGGTGCTGGTAGCGCGTGCGCCATGATATCGGTTCCAACTGGTCGGGTGGGAACTCGTATCCTTCTGCGGTCGTTATTTCTCCCTGCAGTCAAGGAACTATTCGGGATTGAAACCCCTGTGGGTAATAGAGTACGTTATGAGGTTCCCGGGCACCCGTAGTACCCGGATTGATGAATGGCTTCCTCGCGTTTGTTGATACCTAGGTATTGTTAATGATTATGATGTTTGATTTGTTGATCCGGGTAATAGGGGTGCACGGGAACGCCATAACGTACTCTACTACTTAAGGTAGCTACCACAAGGGAAGAGCTGGTGTAGGGGATGATAGCGACGTTACTTGGTATAATAGCGGACCAAGTGCTCAAGTCCACCTGGTGCTCCATGGCGGGAAGCGAACAGCAGCCCTGGAGTTGGTGTACCGGCGTGGTTACTACCTCCTGCCCTCCTAACAAAATGGACTGGTTCTCTGCATTACGCACACATAGACTGGGCAACATGTGCTTCGTAACTGCCAGTGCCGCCAGGCGGGTGGTTGCTACTCACACAGGCGACCATGTCTATCTTCAAGTGTTCAAGCCTCTTAACAGCTGACAACAACACAACACGTACCAGATAACAACAACGCAGCATCCAGAGCAGCATATCAGGGATTCCAGCATAGGCGTAATCTCTAATTTCTCCCCGTGGAACCAAATACGGACACAGACACACCGCAGACTGGCGGGGATCGACCCACGCCGCGCATCGAGATTGGATGCAAAATATCGCGCGCCGCCGTCCCAGAGGCCGAGGGCGACTGGCTCTTTGACCTCGGCATCAGCTCGTTCCTGGACGACACATTCGTGGGCCTCTGCCACGCCAAACTAGTCAAGGAGTCCGAGTACGAGAGCCGCACCAAGCACTTCTTCAGCGCCATGGACGACCAGAGCAACACCATGGGCGAACCTGGCCCAGCTGGTCCTCTGGTCAGAGGAGCGGTGGGTGTTTCCAAGGTTGAGGGCCCCTGGAAGGGCATGAAGGAATACGGGGACAGGATGCCGGCGCGGGAGCAGCTGGACCGGGAGGCCCGGGAGAACGGGCGCAGCCTGTCGGTCCGGCGGTACGTCGACCCCGTCCTGTACCGGCCGAGCGAGAAGGACCCAATCGAGCCCCTTGCCGTTCCCCGCGCGGAGGCACTGGCTGCTCCTCTTGACCGACATCACCGTCGCGCAGGGCTTCCGCGGCTGCAACATCGACGGCGCCATGGTCAGGCTGGCGCTGGAGAAGACCATGGAGCTCGCCCGCGCCGCGCGCCGGCCCCTCCTCGCGGCCGTCGAGCCCGGCTGCGTGCAGCTGAAGCACTTCTACATCAGCGACCGCCCCAAGTTCTGGGAGCGGTACGGGCCCTTCAAGGCGCTCTAGCCCGTCGTCAAGGCCATCACGGCTAGGCAGGAGAGCTTCTGGCTCGCCATGGGGTTCCAGCGGTTCGAGAAACCCAAGTTAAACACGGACCTGTCAAACTTCTTCTTTTGGAGCGGGCTCTTCAGGCTCCCCGAGGTCAGCGAGATCAACCTGGACGGGGTTGGGGAGCGGCCCGGGAGGCATGGGTGTGTGGTCCCCGACGGCCACATGATCGTCCCCGAGAAGAGAGACGCCCGCTGTATGTTTCCAAGAATGTACAAAGCGGCACATCCCGAGCAACGTGAACCTGAGGGTGGTGACAAGATGGAGCTGGACGGCGTCGGTGAGGATATGGCTGACAAGAGACCTGGGAAGCACGACAGGGCGGAGTACGACAGCAGTGAGGCCTCAGAGGACGACCAGAGGGCTGAGGAGCGGCACAGACTGGTCGAAGACATGAATGTAGAACCGGCCGAGCTCCCGCCGTCGTTCCAGCCGATCGACCAGATCAGCGACGCCGACTTTTTCAACTTCATTAATTGGCCAGGCTCTGATTAGGACTAGACAACGAGCACACGTTTATTACAGGGCTATCAGATAGAATCACATCCCAGTAATTTGAAAACTTGTGTACCACCATGTCCCAGTGGTTTCGTTTCTAATCCCTATACATATAAACTGTATCTGATCCCGGGATGCCCTCATACAGTTGTGAACGCTCAAGACCCAGCTTAAACAAAAGGAATGGAAAACACAATTCCAATAACTGTGCAGAGAGAATATAACACGTCTGCAAGCACGCAGCCTCGGCCCCATGCAGCACGAGTCGTGCTGCACCCCTACAGTCAAGGCTAAGTGCTATACAGCCAAGGCTAAGTGCTGTGTAGCCATGGCCAAGTATTGTGGCCTCCAGCGCTGCCTATACCTGGTTTGTTAGAAGTTGTTTTGTAGAGGGTATGTCTGAAGCCCCTCTCAGAGGGTGGGAATACTATGCCTCGAGAGGATACGGAATTGTCTTCTAAGAGGATATTTTATCTCAGGTCAGAGAGGTGTGGATCCGTAGTTAGTTACGTAAGCAGGCCCTGCAGGCAGCCAAAACCACACTTCTATAGGCACCCTTTAATAGCTAATTCTTCTAATTAAAAACCTAACTACCTATACCTTTAGATATTAAATTCCTTATAAATTCTAATATTTCAATATATAAATATAGAGTAAAATATATAAAAATAATTATTTTTATTAAGAGAATTTTATTTTACTTTTATATTTAATAAAAATAATTATAATTAACTTTAATATTATTAAATATACTTCTAAATAATTATTAATTTAACTACTATTTAATTTAAAATAAATATTTATATCTTAATTATATAAAGTTAAATTACCTTTAATAATAATAATAATTATAAAAAAACTTTATTTATTAAATTAAATAGTAATAATATCTATTTATTAATAATTACTATTTATAAGTAAATAATTTTAAACTAATTAAAAGTTTTAATAATAAATATTATATATTTTTTATATTATTATAATTAATATAGTTAACCTATAATTAAGTTAAAAATATATTAATAAATACTAATTCTATTATTTTATACTAATTTCTTTATTTTAGTTAATTTTTTTATTTAATACCTTATAATATCTAATAAAGTTAATTTAATAAAGGACTCTCTCCTTAAAAGTATTTATTAATTATAAGCTTAATATTAATAAATTTATAATTAAAGAAGTATTTTAAAAGCTTATTAATTAATATATTAAGCTTATAAACTCCTTTAATACTCTAAATACTTATCTCTTTTAACTTAATAAGAACTATAAGTAATAACTTAAAAAATAAATAAAAATATAATATTAAACTTAAAGCTATTAAAGTAGCCTATACTACTTAAAATAATTATATTAATTAAAAACTTAACTTAATTATTATATACTTTAATAAAATATAATCTTTTATTATATTAAATAAAGTAAATAAAATTATTATTTTAATTAACTTATATTTTTTAATAATAAACTTTTAATAACCTTAAACTTTTAAAATTAATATAAAAATAATATAATTAACCTTTAATATTAACTATATAACCTTTTATAAAAATTTATTATATTAATAAAAGTTTATTTATAAAAAGTTTTTTATAATAATCTTATTTAATAAATTTAACTTTTAAAACTTTTAATATAAAAGATTTTCTTTTAAAGAACCTTTAATTTAATATTATAAATACTTTTATCCTTAATAAGTTTAAAAATATAAATTTAACTTTATACTTTTATAATTTTTATAAATTATAATTAAATAAAGTTTTATAAAATTATTAAATAACTTTAATAATTTTATTAAATAAATACTTATTAATAAATTAAATTAATCTATCTTTATAAAAATAATTATATAAATCTTAAATTAATATAATATTTTTACTCTTAAATTATACTTTTTTAATTTTCTACCTTATAAAATAAATTATATATTAATTTTATTTAATATCTTTAAAATACCTTTTAAGTTTTTACTTTTATAATAATAATTTATAATAATTTATATTATTTTATTTAAAAATTTTTTATTAATTAATTAAATATTTATATTAAAATTATTAATAAATTATTTTAATTAATAATTATAATAATTATAAAGAAACTTATTAAATATATTAAAATCTATATTAATAAAATAATTAAATAAAAATTTTATTATTTTAAAATAATAATTTAACTTTATAATATAACTACCTCCTTTTATTATATAAAGATTAATTAAAGTATTATTAAAAACTAAGAGTTATATAATTTAAATTAATTAATACTATATTAATATAGTTAATAATTTCTAACTTATAAATTAATAAATAAATTATTTACCCTATTTTTAAAAACTTAATTTATAAAATATAAATAATAAATAATAATTTTATATTATTATAGTTTAAAAAAAAATATTTATTTTAATTATAATAAATAAAGTTATTAAATAAAGAATTATAAAGTTAAATTTACTTTTTTAAAAATATTTATAATTTATTAATTAATTAGAATATTACTTTTAAAAGAGTTTTTATAATAATAAATAATTTAATTTATTTAATTAATTATATAATATAATTATAAATTAATATAATAAAATAACTAATTAAAATTATTTTAAAGTAAATTTTTAAAAAATATTTAAATTTATTTTATTAAAAATAACTTAAATAAAAGGAAAAATATTATAATCCTACTTTTATATAAAAGATAATAATAAAGTTAAAAACTTTTAAAGGGAATCTTTAATAATATTTATTTAAAGAATTAAGGTTATTAAAATACCTTTTATATAAAAATAAGTACTAATAATCCTTTACTTTTCTTTTATAATAAACTACTTTATAAAGATATAAAAATACTTTATAATCTTTTTATATTTAATTTATTAATAATTATAACTTTTATACTTTTTTAATTATAACTTTTAAACTTATTATTACTTTAAATCCTAATAGTAAAGTTTAAACTATACCTTTTATAAACCTTATATAAATAAATAATATTAATAATATTAACTTTTAATTATAAAAATATTTTTATTATTATAAAATTTATTATAATTAATAAACTTTTAAAAGATTTTATAATTTTTATAAAGTAATCTTTAATAATATATTTTTAAATAAACTTATTTTTAAAAATAATCTTTTATTAATAAATAATATATTATATATAAAATAAAACCTTTTATTTATTTATTTTTTAACTAATTTAAATTAATACTTTTAAAATATATAAATTAAAGCTTTTAACTATAAAAACTATATTTTAAATATTAAAACCCTCCTTTTACCCTTAAAATAATACCTAAATACTCCTATAAATAACCCTTAAATTACTATTTATATTAAAAGTATATTTTAAAGTTTCTTAATTTATTTAATAAAAATAATATTATATAAATATTTTATTAAAACTATTTATTATATTAATATAAATAATTATAAACCTTTTATTTTTCTTTTAAATAATTTAATTTTTATAAAAGTAAATTATATATAATTTTATTAAAACTTATAAAATATATTTATTTATAAAAATAAAAATCTTTAATCTTTACCCTTTTATTTTATACTTAAAAGTTTATAATTATATATAAAAAAGCTTAACTTAAATAAATTATTAAATACTTTTATTATAATTATTATTAATTAATAATTATATTAAAAGTATATATATTCTATATTTAATATTATAAATTAAATTTAATATATAATAAATTATAAATAATATACTTTTATAAACCTAAAAATAGTTTTTAATATATTTAACTAAACTTTAAGATTATAGAAAAACTATTTTTATTATACTATTTAATTTATATAAATAGTTAATAATATTATTTAATTTTTATAATATTTTAATTATATTTTAAAATTTATTAAAAGTTTTTATAAACTTTATAAATTTATATATAATTTAATAAATAATATTATTATTTAAATAAATATTATAAAATAACTTTATAAATATATATTAATTATATTTATTTAATTAATAGTTTATAACTTTATTTTAAATATATTTAAAACTAACTTATTTATTAAGTAAGGAGTTTTTAACTTTTTATTTTAAAAGATAATATTATTATTAATTTAATAAAAGTTATTATTATTTATAATTATTTTATATTAATAATTATAATTAAAGTTTATAACTTTATTAATATTATTAAATATTTTATAATTTAATAAATAATTACTTTAAGTAAATTAATACTCTTATAGATTATATTAATAGCTTTAAAGGTTAAACTATTATATTTTTAAAAATATAAAAATAATAATATAAAATTAAAAATATTATTACTAACCTTTTAGTTATAAAACTTTTAACTAATAACTATTTTTATAATTAAATTTAATATAAATAAATATTATATTAATATTATTTTTATAATTTTACTTTTATAATTAAAAATTTATTTTATATTTAATTTTATACTTTTAAAAAAGTTTACTAATATATAAATATAATACTTTATTTAGGAATAAAAACTATTTAAAATTCTATTAATTTTATAATATTAATTTTATTAAATTTAAAGTATTAAAATTATAATTTTAATAAATTATAAATTTTTAAAAACTATCAATATTAAAATAAATTAACTCTTTTAAATTATATACTTTTAAATATTATAAAGTATTATAAAATTTATATTATATATTATATTAAAAGATTAATATTCTTATAAATTATTTATTTTATTTATTTAAAGATATAATTTTTAAAATATTATTTTCTACTTTTAAATAAAAAAGAAAAGAAACCTATTAAAGTAGATTTATAAATTATATTAATTTAATAAAATAGATTTATAAATAGTTTATAAATACCTTTATAAAGGAGTTAATCTTTTAAAATTATTTAACTTAAATAAATAAAAAGTACTTTATTCTTTTAAATAACTATTTATATAAGATTTAACTCTATTAATACTTTTAAAAACCCTTTTATAAAGTAAGAGCTATTTTTAATAACTTTTTTTTAATTTTTAAATTTAATAACTTATTAATAACTATTAAGAAACTTTATTTTAATTATAATTATATTATAATTAAAAATACTTTATAAAGTATTTAAAAATATTAATATTTAAAAATTACTTTTACTATATAATAAATAATTATAAAATATAAAAGTATTAATTAATAAAATCTTTTATTTAATACTTTTAATTTTAACTTAATTATATTATTAATATTTTTAATTTATTAAATAATTAACTTTATATTTATAAATAAAATTTTTATTTTTATAATAATTAAATATATTATTAATTAAATTAAAATTAAAATTATATTTAATATAATTTATAAGGTTATATTTATATTAATAAAAAGATTATTAATATTTTAAAACTTTAAAAAATAAATTTTAAATAATATAAATTACTTTATAAATAAAATTATTATAAATTAATATTATTATTATAGTTTTTATTTATATTTAATTATATTTAATAAATTAAAAAAATAATAAAATTAAAAATAAATAATAATTTAAAAAAGTAATCCTTTATAAATAGTTAACTAATTTTAATTATAATATTTAAACTTTAATTTAATAAATAATTATATTATATAATTATATATTAAAATTCTATAATTATAACTTTTACTTTCTTTTTTAAAATAATATTTTTAATTTATAAATTATATATTATTTATATAAAAGAATTTATAAAATAAAAAAAGTTTTATAAAATATTTATTAATTAATTATAAAATATTAATTATAAAAATTATATAATTAAATTTAAAATATTAAAAATTAAATTTATATTTTTTAAGAAAATAAAGCTTTTTATATTTTTACTTTAAGTAATTAAATATTATAAATATATTAATAAATATATAAATATAAACCCTTTATAATAATTTATAAATAATTATTATTTATTATATTAAAAATATTTATATTTTTAAAGTTTTAATAAAATCTTTTAAAATAAATATAATAATATAAACTTTTTTAATATATATTAATAATAAATACTTTATAAAAGTTTATAATATATTAATAAAATAATATTTAAAAAAATAAAAATAAATTATTAAATTAATATAATTAAAAATAAATTAAATAATTATTTTAATTAATAAGTTTTATTAATTATTATTAATTATTATTATCTATTTATTAATATTTTATTAATTATATAAAACTTTTAAATTTAAATAATTTAATTAAATTTAATAATTAAATTTTAAATTAAAATAAAATAATTTAAAAATAAAAAAATTATTTAAATTAAAATTTAAACTTAAAATTCTTTATTATAATAAATTAAATTTTTATTAAAGTATAAATATTTTATATTTTTTCTATTTTAATAATCTTTTAGATTAATTTAAATTAAAATTTAAACTTTAAAGTATATTATTATTATATTATTTTAATTTAATTAATAAAAGTAAATTTAATAAATTAAAAGGAAGAAATAAAATTTTAAAAGTATTCTAATTAGTATTATTAAAGGATATAATTTATATAAATAAATTAAAAATAATTTATTTAAGAAAGGGGATAATATAGATTTATAATTAGTTATATAAGTAGGTTTTATAGATAGTTAAAATTATACTTCTATAAGTACTCTTTAATAATTAATTCTTTTAATTAAGAATCTAACTATTTATACTTTTAGATATTAGATTTCTTATAAATTCTAGTGTTCTGATATGTGGGTATGGGGTAAGATATATAGAGGTATTAGATGCTGTGGCCGTGTAGCAGACTGATGGAGGAGTCGAGCCTTTCAGTGGGGGGCTTATAGCTTCTGAGATGGTATTTCTTTCATGAATGGGACGACTTTGGCACGATATAACCATCTTTGGCGTGCATGATCCATGCTTCTTGCAAAGAATTCAACGAACCGTCACATGACGGTGCTATATGCGCGCTTTCACGTTCAGGCAGCCGACCTAGGCGGTTATCGGATTACCATGCATGGACTAAACCTAAACTTGGTATAGGGGTCAGTTACAGTGAGATAGTATCAATACTACCTAAGTACAGTACCTAGCTGTGCTGACCGAGAAGGTCTCCACCACGCTGTGGTAAGAGAAGATACCCCGCACTGTACTGTGCCACAGCCACTTCAAATGATTGCTCGGCCGTAGGAACCCACGCCCAGACATTCCAGGCGGCTCCGCAGCGCTGCGAAAGAAAAGGACAGCAGTTGGTCAAAAAAGCATGCGCATCGCGAGGAAAGCTCCCCGGGAGTCCTCGTCGGGCTGCGCGCCCGACGACAGCGTGTTACCGGGCCCCAGGCGAAAGGCCAACATGCCTTCCTCTTACAAATATCAACCTCTCAGCTCGCCAGCCACTCAGATACGCCTCCTTGAGTTGCTCCCAGGCCGCGGGATCATTCAGTGCCGGCTCAAGGTCGCCAACCTTGAAGAGGCCCAGGGCACCTACGAACCTATCTCCTATTGCTGGAAGACCTACAGGCGCGAGCACTGGTGGGGAGGATCCTACATGGAGAAGAAGAAGCAAAAGGAATCCCGAGTGCTGGTGGACGGCTTAGACCTCCTCATCACTCAAAGTCTCCAGACGGCTCTTCGGCACATGAGGCTCGAAACCCAAGTCAGAGTCCTTTGGGCCGACGCCATCTGCATCAACCAGGGAGACAACGAAGAAAAGAGCGCCCAGGTCTCGATGATGGGTAAGATATACAAAAGCGGCTCTCGGACCATCATATGGCTCGGCGACGCCGACTTCTGGACCAGGACGGCATTTAAACACATGAGGAGGGCAAGGCCGACGCCTGGGCGCCTGGGGAGGGCAGACAGATCACAGGATTCTAACTCCACTGGGCATTCGACAGGTGGAGATCAGCACCAACTTGAATCAGCAAACGAGGGCGGTATGGCACGACTTTCGAGATATCGACAACAAGTAACCGCGCTCTGCCGAGACACTTTCATATTCTTTGTCTATCGCTCAATTGCCAATCGTCCCTATTTTAGCCGTGCCTGGATCGTCCAGGAAGTCGTGCTGTCCGATAGCATTGTGGTTCTGTGCGGTAAGCATGGGGCGACTGGGAATAATCTTTACAACTGGCTCTGCGATGATGAGTGGCTCAGTGGCACAGCTTCCGGCTTGATCAGATACAGCATTATCGACTTGTGGGACAACTTACAGGTCTACGACCTGGACTGCATCATAAGTAAGCTTTCACATATGAAAACGTCGGATCCGAGGGACAAGCTGTACAGTGCTTTGAGTCTTGACCAGGACTACATTGACTCCGGGTCCATCACCGTCGACTACAGGAAGACCGTCGATGAGGTCTTCCTGGATACCACCAAGGTCCTCCTCTCCCGGAGTCCCTTTCTCGATCTTCTTTCGATAAGTTATGGCACCGCTCGACCGGACGGCAAAAAGCATGCCCCTTCTTGGGTGTGGAATCCAGAATCCAGGTCCACCGAGTTCCACCTGTCATGGACAATATCCCACGCGTCACGTCCCTTTCGAGCGACCCGAGGTTCACATTCTCAAGCCCAATTCCAAGATCAAAAGCTCGGGCTACGTGGCTACATCTTTGACAACGTACGCAAAGTAGGGAATGTATTGTCTGCGTCTTCCAGTGCCCTCTGGTCACATGATGAAACAAGGGAGGCCATACGGTGTTACTGTTCCTGGATAAACGTGTGTGGACTCAATGAGCAGGGTATCACGGATACAGAAGCGACGGCGCATATGCAAACTTTCCGCCGCACACTCAAACCTCTTGTTGAGAAGTTCACACCTGCCGAGGAATGGCCAGAGTATGATGAGTACGAGGCGGCATACTTTTTGTTATTTCATAAAGAAGTAATGAAGCGTTTCGGCAGGTTCTTCATCCCCGAGACTCAGAAGGCAACAATGCGGTCAAGACTGGGGTTATGGGCAACCGTTGAGGCTTTCCGCTTGCTTCCACTTTTCGAGCCCGAATGCCTTGTTTTCTTCCATGACTGGCATACCAAAGCGATGGTCGGCCATTGCGTTGTTTGGACGGATAACGGACGCTATGCGTTATGTCCAGGAGGTACAATGCCTGGCGACAGGTTGTGCCTCCTCCAAGGCGCGAATGTGCCGATTCTTCTTCGCCCATCTGGAGAGAACTGGACTCTAGTTGGGGAGTGCTACACTGAAGGGGCTATGTATGGGGAGCTATGGGACCCGGAACGATGCGAGCCGCTCTGGATTGAGTGATTCGTCTCCTTGTCTTTTCCCAGCGCCAGTAATCCTACCATGGCGACAATGTGAGGAGGTTCTATGTTGGGCTGCTGGAAAGATTGGAGAAATGTGTGGATAACGAGAAACTTTGCTCGTTGTTTGACATGAGCAATACAAATCAAATCAATGCATAACACTTGATTTTGACCTCTCTGGGCTCAAGCCATGGGACTACCCAGGTACTGCGATACATTTCGGCAGACCATACCTACCGGGGGGAGGGGGGTAAATTGAATTTATAGTATAATTATTTTAGAATAATATTGATATTCTTTTAAAATAAAAATATATTATTAATATAACTATAGGATATTTAAATTGTATAATGCTTTTTAGACTGATATTATTTATCTATTGATACGCTTTTAATATGCTGTTAGGGGCCTGATATGTTATTAGGGGCCTGATATATAGGGTAAAAAGGGGGTTTGATTCCTGTTGGAATTAAGTTTTTTTTTATCCTTAATTTAACTATTTATTAATTAATTTTTAACTTAATTATTAATTTATATTAGGTCTATAGGGTTATAGAGTTAAGGAAATATAGAAATTTTATTTTCTTACTAACTTATAAAATTTAATATTAGTGGATTTAGGGATTTTAGAGGGATTTCTAATATATATTAATATAATATTAAAACCTAATATAGTATTAACCTCTTAATAGATTTTATTTATAATAGTATTTTATTAGCTTTTTATTAGGATTTAATTATAATGTTTAGATTTTATTTAAATATTGATTTTTAATATGATTGTCTACCTATATTAGGGACCCCCCCTCCCCCTGGTAGGTATGTGTAATCATCCTAATATTAGAAAAACATCATCTTTAACTAGGGCGAACGCGTGCTCGGAACGATGAACAACAGACCCTCGCATTAATGTCAGATTTGGTTATGTAGAATCATGAATCGTCATACGTGGGTTACACTCCTCAGAGCTGGACATCGTATAAATACAAGAACCTGCCATCCACAAAAACGCCAATTACCCTTGAATAAAGTATAAAGCTCATGCATCAGCCAAAGACACCTTCGATCTCGCTCGCTCACCCATAAAGCCCCCGCCTACTCGGCATATCCAACCAACATACTGCAGCACTCCCACTCAGCACCAGCAGTCTGCCTCCAGACCGCCGACGTGACCGCCTCGACCTGGTCATTGTCCTTCTTCTTCTCGCCGATTCTGTACAGCGTGACCTTGCACATGGTGGACATACTCATCAGGCCGATCTGGCTGACGACCCTCGTGTCCTTGTCGATCTTGTACGCGGACCAGGGCTTGACCTTGCGCAGCCTCTCCTCGAGCTCGTCGTAGGTGACGGGGTGGGAGGTCCCCAGGGTGACGGGGTCGATGACGACGCAGTCCTTGGCCATGTACTCGAGGACCGAGTCGGGCTCGTCGCAGTAGGCGCGCCACAGCAGCGTCTCGCAGTCGATGGCGTCGGCCAGGTTGCGCTTGGCGATCGTGTTGCGCTCCTTGGGCTTCTTGGCCCCGCTGTACTGCTTCACGTCCGACGCCTCGCCGTTGAAGCCCCCGCCTACCTTGCCGCCGCCGCCGCCGCCCGTGAGCCCGCCCGTCAGGTCGCCGAGCCCGCCGCCGCCCGTCAGGCCCTGCGTCAGCTGCCCGACGCCGCCGCCGTTGGTGAGCCCTCCCGTGAGCTGGCCGACATTGGCTGTTTTGGTGAGGCCACCGAGTCCACCGAGACCTCCTAGCGGCATTTTGGCTGGTTTTTGGTTCTGGGTTGTAGAGGTGGATGTGGTTGTTATGGTCTACTGGATCCGGAACGTGGATCTCAGTTTCGTGTAAGTGATAGAAGAAGGCAGGGGTGTCGCTGGTAGTCTTGAGCTCCCGGATATATTCCAAGATAAATCGCTGCACTTCTTGATTACTTCTATGGGTGATTATTATCCTGCGACCCGATAAGTTTGAAAGAACTATAGCAGTAAAAATCAAAGCAACGGGTCGAGGGGAGGAGGTGTCTGTCGAGGGCACTCCTATCGATTTATCCCAGCATCAGCAATCCCCAGAAAAACAGGATCTCTCGAGGGCTGACGTCAAAGGCTTCGGGCCCGATGTGAGTGGGGAACAGGACCCTTGGCCTTTGGGGTCTGGGCCTGCCCTACTCGAGCCGCCCTGCCATCGTCAGCCTACGCAATACCGCACCATGCGCTCTGCATCATCAGACAGCGCTATGCCTGTTTCCGGTAAGGTCAACGGCTGATCGGCCATGCACCATGTCCCAGAATCCTTGCTGCCTACCTCATCTCGATCGATGCTCACAGTGGAATATGGGGTATTCCAAGGCAATGTGGGTTTCTGCGGGCTTCGATGTTGTACACATGCTTTTTGCTTGAGGTGGGATGACCTGCACACCTGGGCAGTGACTTATGCCGCCCTTGCCGGTGTGCTTGGGCGGAGGTCACTCAGGCTGGCTTGATTCCCCTGTTTCGAGTTTGTACGACTGGAGCCGTCTGCAGGGACGGAGAAGCAGTACAGGTAGGAGACTGGGACTTGTCTCCGTATTTATTGACGCGTCCTCTTTATGCTACTGTGAAGTATTAAGATGCTTCTATCTTCGTCAGCAGCATTTGATGCGGCCCACGAACATGGCATCAATTCCAGGCACATGCACAATATGGCCTGGGTACAAAACGGGTCATTAGGGAGATAATTCTCCTGATCTCCCATCTCCCACACTGCTTCGAATTCATGAGACAGAAATGCTTGTTCCGGCAGCCACTCCGGCCGACTACCACTTCCGTTAAACCACAGATGTCATCCCAATGAAGAGGAGCTTGACCCCGGAAGGCAAAGGCCTCTGCAGCCTGCGTGCGACCGACAAATACAACTAGATTTTCTTTCATTGGCTAAGACATACCGGAATTTGGACCCCATGGGTGATGATATGTGAAGCCAAGTGCTCTTAAAGATTAAGAGCATTCTTCAAGAAATGGCTAAGGCTATTTGTTTTGTCCTTCTAGATCCTACAGCATACATGAACTTGAATTGCCCAGGTCGACCTCTATCGTAGAGCAGACCTGAATATCATCTCACATGTCTATCGAGTTGAAAATGGTCGTTCACATAATTCTGTAGTACTTGCAATGTTGGCCTCAAAATAGGTCACAGCAAGCAACGATATGACAGCTGTTGTCATACCTAGCAACAGTCGTTGCCCACAGGTCTCAGCACATTTGGAAACATTTAGAAATCATTTGTTTGACACAAAGCATGCCCAAAAAATCTTTCAATGACTCCAGAGTCTTCAGCGCTTACAGAAATGGCATACAAAACCAGGCATGAGTGCAAGAAGCCTAAAATTTAGTTTTGCACACAACCCATCACTTACTTGGAGATTATCACAAAATTATCACTGAGAAGTAGTAGCCTATTTTGCTGGAGAGATCACCCCATGACTATCTCTTCATTTGCATGGTGCATCGCTTGAGCAAAGATACCCAGTCATGCAGTGTGCAGTCACTGGCTGCAGTACCTAGGTAAGCTTCTATTCAGGTGCCTAGTATACATGTGTCTCGGCAAATTGTACTGAATGTTGTGCTCATCCATGCAGCTGCTGGATGTGGATTATATAGTAACTTTGACAAGTAACAGCTTGGAGTGAACCGTTGGGAACCCAGCTTGATCAGTCCAAACGCAACACCAAAACATGGCCCAAGCTGCTGGATCACCCACCATGGCAAGACGCGCCAAAGCCATTCACTGAAGAAGTGAATGCCCAAGCTTTGCAATACTTAAATCGCCGCGGGGTGCGGCGTCCGACCCAGCAGCCGACCGTCAACAACAAACAACAAACAAACATCAAGGTCATTGACACCGACACCCCCAAGCATCAACGCATGTCATGAGGCCGCTCAGCAACCCTTTCCAACTCTTCGACATCGCAGCCCTCTTCGGGCTATCTGTTGAGGGCAATATGTCTGAAGATCAACCCTTCCGATTGCTCCACCTCCCAAGGGAGATTCGCAACATGATCTATCATGCAATTCTGTGCGACTGGGGAGTGCAAGGCCCATTCCACCATCATCTTACTGACGATAGTAAGGAAATTCGGCTCCAGATCATGGCACGCAAGGTCGAGCTCAACATCTTGTTTGCCAACAAGCAAATCTACCAAGAGGCGAAGCAAGTCTTCCTCGAGGGCAACCAGTTCATCCGCATCAAGATCAGTGCGAGGAACCGCAGCCCCCTCATATACCCCTTCTCCCGTTCGTCCCGTTCGTCCCGTCCGTCCCGTTCGTCCCGTTCGTCACAGATCGCTGTAATCGCCTCGGGTCGCGAGAGTGTATACCGATTCAGGAACATTACGGTCATGGAGCACATAATCGAGTTTCCTGGAGATCAGAGCGACTTTGGTGAATCCGAAATAGACGCCATCATACTGCAGCGCGACCTGCGGATCTTCGCCACCAACTTCGCTCTTTTGGACACCTATTCCCGCCGCTTTGTTGGTCAATCCAAGCATCAAATCTGCATCCACAACCCTTTTGAAGAGACTGAATGCCCGGGTTTTCTCAAGAATACCAAGAATCTGGTATGTTAAGATACCATATCGATCCTTTTACCTGCCCCGATCCACACTCTTCTTGCCTATTATGGGCCGAAACCCACTGTGCTGACATTCCGTTTCTTCAGGAAAAGCTTCTGGGGCCGTACCTCAAAAAGTTCCAAGGTTTCGAGGACGTGAAACTCTCCGGGAAGATCGATGAGGACGTTGCAAAGTCCATGGTTGCACAGATGAACAGCGAGCGACCTCTGACCTCCCCACCGAGCAAGCTCATAGACAAGGTCATCAACTTGCAGAGTCTTGGGGACCAGCTTTACCTCGAGAACAAATACAAGCCCGCGCTGAAGGCTTGGAACACTGCACAGATGGCCCTTCTGGCCCAGGCGAATCGCAAGGCGTGGCCTACGTTCATTCAGACCGCAGGCAAGGACTTTACGGACCACCTCAGCGATGTGGCCTTCCAAGTTGAGATCAGCAGGATCCGAGTCTACCTCTCCATGATAGAGGCAGACCCAAGCAGTGGTGATGTGAACCGCATCACGAAGTCCTGGGTGTCACACCTGACCAATAAATGCACCGACGCCTTGCAAGTCGGAGAAACACTGGGCACAGGTTGGACCCCAACCGACGATCGGAAGGCCACGATCTATTACTGTTGGGCAAAGGGATACCGACTGGCCGGTGACGATGTCCAATTTGCTGAGGATGCCATCCGTCTAGCCGATCATCTGCGCCCTGATGACGAGGAGATAGGTGCTGAGATGGAGAAGATTGCGGAGTGGAAGCACAATATGGGATTGCCATAGATTGTACCAAGTCTTGGGCAACACGTTACCCTCATGGTGCACCTTTCTCGTTGGTGGTCATCGCTGCAAGCCCCAGAAGGAGTAAAGGTCACGGTTATGGAGAAGTACAAGCGAGGATGGAGCAGAGCCAGAACAGGTCAAGGCCATGACACATCTATCAATGAGATCACTAGCACCCCAAGGTCCTCAAGCTATCGTCTGTGTCCAGGTCACTACTGACCCATGGAAATACTAGGTAGGTTCTACTGAAGCAAGATGTCCTGAACATGGCCATGATCTATGATATGGCCACAGCCCATTCAGCCAAAATCAGTTTTGATACTAACAAAGGCCAGACAAAAATTCATTTTAACCAGGGAAATCATATGGCCTAGTAAAAGATCTCGGGTGCTTCAAGTGGAAGGTGGAAGGCACGCATTCCTGTGATGATTTGGAAAGCATTCAAGGCCATTGCAAAGGTTCTAAAGCCCGTGTCCACAGGCTGTCCACTGATGTGTCTACCACCACGGAGGGGCTTAGATGTTGCCTCTAGAAAAGGCGTGCACACTGGCATGCCACTGGGTCTGCACTTGCTGGGAGTTGTAATGTTGCCCATGGTCGTTTGCACCAGCAGTGACGCCTGGCAATCAAACGACGTATTTGACAGGAGCCAAGGTTCCATCATGTTGACAGGGGAGCTCTGCTGCCTCCCGTCCTGGTACTGTAGGTCAAAGTAAGTAACCTTGCAACGCGCCTCGGCACGTCTTTGGGCACGTCTCTACCACGGCATTGACAAATGTGCAATCAGGGAAGCTCCAACCTTGTCTCAGCACGTCCTTTCCATTTCCATCGCCCCCACCTTCTTTCCAACAACCTCAACCACCCATCTGCATTGACAAACGCCTACCAACTTCGTTCCTAAAATCTTCATTTCCCAACCTTGTTTCTTTCTGCCGTCTGCTCTTCGTGGGCTATCCCCACAAATACCCAATTCCAATTCCCAAGATGACTCCCAAGCGTCACCGACGTGTCGGCTCCGTGGGAGAAGGAGCACGTCGCAGTGCCAAATCGGCCAAGACAGCAGCCCCTGAGAGCACTGCAACAGAGCAGCCTGAAGCTCACCAGTTGTCAGAAAACCACCAGGGCCTTGAAATCACCGTCTCTCTCCGTTCGGCCAAGAAGGCGGAACGGAATGACCCCAAGCCTCTTGCGGTACTGCAGGAAGAACGGCGGCAATTCTTGCTCAGCGTAGGCATAGTAGACCCACCACCGCAACCAGCGACTGGGAACACTGCTAGTGAGAATCCGCCTGGTCCCGACGGTTCAGTCCACGGCTCTTCCACATCAGCAGAGCCCGGTCTTGCTGGCGGACAGCAGTCTGCCCTGCACGGCGATGCAGCGGGTCCTGCGGCCCCGGCAAATACAACAGGCTCATCAAGGGAGGGCAGTTTCGATGAGCAGGATCAGTGAGCCCTGCCCATACTGCCGTTGCAACTGAATAAATCCCCTGTCTGACATTATGAAATTGGTGGCAGGGATGACGATGTTGAGCTTGGTGACGACCAAAGCGACGAGGATGAACATGACAGTGAAGACTTTGAAGACTCGGATATTGAAGACGAGTTCCCCTGGTTCGAAGAGCTCGATGGCCTTGCCACACTGCCGACAAGCTCTCGCCGGAAGAAACAGCGGATCGGCAGCTGCACTGCAAAGCTGATCAGGCGCCGCAGGATCTGCGACTCCTTCTGGACCGAAATGGATGAGCCTACGCGGGAGACGCATGACCTGGCATTTGACCTATTCGACAGGTATGGACGTCTCAACCCCGAATTCTACGAGCACGAAGTCAACAAGGGAACCGGGGTCTGGGGCAAAGAGCTCGACCGTGGCGACCTCCTCCTCTTTGAGGAAATAAGCGTTGACGCAGCTCATCGACGACGCGGCATCGGCGCGAAACTAGTCAATGCAATCCTGGAGAGGACGAGGAAGAAGGTCTCGGACAAGGTGGGCTTTTTCGCCCTCATTCGCCCGGGATTCCTATGGGCCGAGCTTCGCCATCTACAGGAAGGCTCTGCGGAGATGAAAGAGGCTCAGCACGCCGCAATGGAAGGTGCCCTGGCATTCTGGCATTCTTTGGGGTTTCGGAGAGTCGGCACGTCGTCATGGCTCGCCTGGACAGACTCCCAGGGCCATCCGTCCCGACAGCTAGCGATCGCCAACGACGCGAAGTGCTCGGAGGATCGAGCGGCCGGTGACACGCTCTCTGACGAAATGGGTCGAATCTTCCAAAGACTGTTCGACAAGGACGTCGAGCCGGCAACGTATATCGAGGAGCTCACCAAGACGTTCCCGGAAGATTTCGACGACGAGCAGTGGGAGGTAGTTGACGAAAATGCCAACACTCTCCTCCATATCGCCGCAGTGTCATGGAAACCAGAGGTGGTCCGCTTCCTGATATCCAAGGTCCCCCGCCTGGCGGCAATGCGAAACAAACCGGGACACACACCTCTGGAAGCCATCCGGGATCAGCTCGAACTCGGGAGAACGCGGCGGTCCTTCGGAGACCTAACCTGGATCGAATCCGACAGGCTCCAAGGCTTCCGCGCCTCGAGCACCGCGTGCCTGGCCGCCCTAGAGCAGACGACCCTCCCTGACCTCTCGGGCCTGAGCCAAGGGGCGATCGATGCCATCTCCTCGTTCACCGACGCCGAGGCCCGGCGGTCGCGGTCCCAGCTCGACGTGGCCGGCATCCGAAAGGCGCTGCGGTACAAATATGGCTGCACGTGCGGGCAGTGCACCGGCGGGTTCCTGAGCCCGCGGATGCGACAGGCGCTGCTCGCCGTCGCGGAGGTCGAGCACGACGGCCTGTGCACGTCCATGGACGATACCGGCCCGGGCTGGGTGTCGTGGAACGAGGATCTCCTGGTGCACCTCCCGGAGCGGGTCCGGCAGAACCTGCGGACGAACAAGTCGATGCGGCAGGGGTTCGCCAACATGTTTGACCACTTCGCCAGCTGCCTGCGCGATGGCAGGCTGCCCACGGAGGCGTCGCTGCTCCGTTTCCTGCGGGATGTCGCGAGCGAGTGGCCGCCCGTGACCCGGAACTATCTCGACCGCGGAGGCAGCGTGGCCGCCGTGGCGGATGCGATCTTTGAGCGGGCGATGGGGCAGGACGAGTGGGCTGGGGAAGGGTCCTACCTAGAGATCTTCGGGGGCGAGGACATGGACGCGCTCGTGCCGTGCAGGAACGACCATGAGTTCGGCTTCGTGGCTGGTATGTGCGGGTACAGGAGGGTCACGCCCGGCCCGCGCCTCGTTGATATGTTTGGCAGGGAGCTTGGCCCAGACTAGACAGGCACCCCGAGTCTTGTGTTGGCTGGTCGGTGAGGGTCTGCCTGTCTTTGCGTGTTACTTTTGGCCAACCACGTGCGGGTTAAGGCAGCTGGGGAGGAGCATGATGGCTGGGGGTGATCTGTTGCTCAGTACCTGCCTTTCTTTGGCGGTTCTTTCTTGTTCTTCCGTGACTGGGGGTTTGTTACCACTCGCTCAGGGCAAAGTTTAGGTCCGAATCGTGACGAGTTAGTTTGCTACTGCCTGCTGTTGGTTTTCTCCGGGAGCTGGGCCCAACCCATCTCGATGCTCTCGGTGATAATGATGGCCTTGCCTCGGCAGGCCGCAGATTTGTAATTCTCCTTTGTTTGTACACGGACGTCGACGATCACAGCACAGGCAGGCAGACAGACAGACAGACAGACAGGAACAGGCCGAGTTGAGCCCGCTCAAGGCTGTCACCCACTCAAGCAGAGTGGTCGAGCAGACGGGCCTGCATACCATGTTGGGGAACCCGAGCCATCGGGGAGGAAGCACGAGGGCCGTTTGGCGTATGTACATACTGTTGTTGAACAGTACCCACCCTGGTTTATGCATGTTCGTGGGGGTGGGGTGGGTGGTTGTTGGAACCAATCGCGGCTCGTGGGGTATTTTACTCACTGCCCCCTGGCTGAAGGATTGGGTTTGTTTTCCCCAGACTTTTTACTTGCCTGCTGCTACCTACCTACCTCCTTGCACGGAATAGGCACTTGAGACAAGGGGAACGGCCAACTTTAATCTCGAGGTGCGTGTTGGTTGCTGTACTGTGGGGTGCTGCATGTCGAGACCAGACTCTTGGTGCTCATCATCCTGGGCGCCACGACAGGACACGTGAAACGTCTGTCTTGCATACTTAGTGGGCGAACTGCCTACCTAGGTAGGCAAGTAGGTAAACTTGAAGGCCGTCTGTCAGTCAATTAACGAAAAGGCCCGATGAGATCGGGGTAGTGGCAAGCCACATTAATTACTTACATGGGGCACCGCACCCTGGCCGCACGACAAGCCATGAACACCCCTCAATCTGTCATCCACTCCCCCCCACACACACATCACGTACGTATGAACCATTGCCCGTGCATAGCATATCAAATTCATTCTTTGATTGGTGCAAAAAAAGGCACAGAGCAGTAGCAGCAGTAGGTGTAAACGTTCTTTTCTTCTTTCATTCCAGAGTTGAGGAGCTAACGTATAAACTTCCAGTTCAACCGGGCGGGGCCCAGATATCCACCCCGGGGTGCATGGTGCATGGCAGCACCAGCTCGCACCCAACTCGCTCGTACCAGTAGCGTAGACAGGCAGACAGGCAGGCAGACATGCAACACAGAGACTGCCAGCTCATAGAGGACTGCTGTCCAACCGCAGCAGCCATTTTAGAAACAAAACAAGGCCGCACTTATTCAACGCTCCCAAAACACCATGGTGCCAACAAAAAGTCAGGTCTTTCCGTCCCGTCCCGTCCGATCCATAGACGACGCAATTCAAGCGCACAAATACAAAGGCTCCTCCCCCAGATTTCCTGGTGTGCTGTCATCGGCATGATGAGTTGTGCCAGGGTGTAGCATATGTCCAAATTTTTCCGCCTCTTTTTTGGTCTCGATAACATTTGTCATATATCATGCGTGCCATCCATCCGAATCAAAATTGGAACCCATAAATCGGGCGAAAGAAGAGAAAAGAAGAAATAGTAACAATGAATAATCGCTGGATGCAAAAGACATAGAGGTCAATGCCGCCGAAGCGTTGTGCCAGGCCAGGGGAAAAGAAGTCTGGCTGGTACGCGACGCTACCGCATGAAATCCATTTCGACCCCCAGGCCATTATTCAGGCCTAGTGAGCTCATGGTACTCATGTCTGAGTTTGCCCTCTGTAAGGCTTGGAAGTCGGCCACCGTGCGTAGTGTTTGTTGATTCGGGTGGTTCGGGCCCATGGCGAAGCTGTTTGTGCGGGCCGGTCCTTGTCGGCTCACGAGGTTGTTCGTGTTCATGCCCTGAGACATGGCGTTCATGTATGCGATGCCGTTGTTGAACTGTTGCCCGAAGTTGTGATTTTGGTGGTCGACACCCATGTTCGGGGTGTGTTCGAGTGGCATGCCGTGTTGTGGCATATCGTGTTGCATGTGCGTGTTGATGTTTTGCATCGACGAGATCGACTGTTGGGGCTGGTGTTGCGTATGCGGCGTTTGTGGCGGGTTGGTGACAGGTGGTGGTCCGTTCATTGACGACGAGGCGCCCATCTGATTCATCATCATCCCCGACATTGAGCCATAGCTGTTCTCCCCCAGGCCGTGTGAATACTCCCCGCCCGGTGACGTGGCTGGCGGTGAGCTCATGAAGGGCGAGTTCAACTCGTGGTTGGAAGATGTCGATCCTCCTTGCGAGCTGCCGGAGTCTACTGGTGTTTCATCCATGCGCGGCGTGTACTTCTTCTCATAGTCGTCCATCATCACCGGGGGTTGGGCCATGCCGGCGTTGCCAAAGCCATCGAAAATATCCATGTTGCAAGCTTTGGTGGCGACATTGTCTGGCACATTCTGAAGCATCGGGCTGGCGAGCTTTGGCAGTGTCTCGTTGATCTTGCTGATGAGCAAAGGAACGAAGCGGTAATCGCCGTTTCGGAGCACTGTCAGGACGTTCAGAAGTGGGTTAAGCTGTTCGCGTGGGCCGGGTGAGAATGGATCCCTAGAAGCAGGGTACAATGCAAGCACGTCTGTCAGTGAGCAAGCAACATCCAGGAGCTTTGTCAACTGTTTTATAAATTAGCGACACAACAGGATAGATTCCAGGGGCTACTTGAACGTACGAAGGAGACATTCAGGCTCTCGGAGTTTTGCTGGGGCATGGACGAGATGCCGGCGAGCAGTTGGCTTGCCATGTTGGAGGAGTACTGTTGGAAGATTTGATCCTCGTTGTGGGCACCGTTGCTGTTCAATTGCCACAGCATCGTCTTGAGCCATTGCTGGTTATTCCTGAGGTCGTGCAGCTGCGAGTCGCCGTAGCTGTGAAAAGCGGGGATGATGTCCGTTAGCTGCTTATGCAGGTTGTTCAGGTAAGCAGTGGGCCAGTTGCCGCGGTTCTTGCTCCACATCCCGAGAAGGGAATCATCAAATGGCCTAAACAGGCTGGAGAGGTGAATGAAGCTGTTGAGCTGGTGCGCCATGTGGTCTGTTGGGTCATCAGCCAGTGACGGCGAGTTGATGGTGGCCTGTAATGTCACCGGCCTGTTTCTTTGCAATGCATAGGCCCTGCAGGTCCCAAATTAGTGAGTGTAAAGTGGGCAGGGAAATGAGACGGTGAAAGACCCACCTTTCCGTTACAAAGAACAGCCAGTAGAGGCGTCTCCTCCGCGAAGACTCGACCTCGTCGAACTGGATGTAAGTCTCCTCCTTGTTCATCCCGATTATGTGAATCATGGTTGCGGCTTCCCGCAGATGGAACCAGGCCTTCTCGTGCATCTCGAGGCCGGAGAAACAAGCAAAGAGGAAGTAGCTCGTGCAGAGGGTGTTGAGAGTGGGGTTTTCCGTGTAGTCGAATCCCTTGCGGACACGGATTGCTTCCTCCAGGAGAACTGTGCTGGACACGATGTTTGCACCGGGCATGCTGTCGAGTCCGTACGCGTCGCCTGGGATGGACATGCCGGGCTGAATCATCATGAAGGCAGATAGCGCAGCCAGCAGGCAGTAGGTATCCAGGCTCTGCTCCATGTACACAGCCTGCTGCTCGAGGCGCTGTCGGCTGAGGACGGGCATGTTTGGGTACATGTTAGCGAAGAAGAATTCGATGCACTCCTTGACAATATCGCTGGTCAGAAGCCCCGGGGTGGGGGCGAGCGTCGGGACGGCTGGAGGAGCATTCACACCATTCATGCGGTTCTGGACCTGTGCAGAAAGGCTGGTCTGGCGTTGGGTCTCACGCAACTCGCTGATAACCTTTGCTCTCGAGCCCTTTGGGCCCTTCTTCTGAGGGATCGCGTGGTACGTGCAGCCGAGCTGGGCCGTGTGGCAGTTGCGGCAGGGGTTGACACCGTCGCATTTGACCTTGCGACGGTGACAGGCGTCACAGGCTCTCTTGACGGCGGTCGTCATTGTGCCTGAGGTCATTGTGAGAGGGTTAGAAGGTTGGTGTAATTGACGCTAATTTTCTATCGGCGTCGGTGAGTCGAGTCGAGTCGAGGTGAGCACGACTGAAGTGGAATTCCGCCGCTCGTCGGTGGATCGGTCGGCGGGTGAGGGCAGGCAGATTACTGCGGCGGCTCCTGGGGAGGAGTCGGGAGACCTCGTGGCAGACGGCCTGTGATGAGAACCTCCGCGGCCCCTGGTGCTGAGGGCATCCGACGTGTCGAAAAAAAAGCAAGCGGGCTGGCTATTGCTCAATGCGAAGATGGCGTGCAGGTGAGGCAGCGAAGTGGTTGCGCACAGCTGGGGTTCATGCAGGAAGGAGGGATCGTAATCGGGCCGTCGAAGGTTTGTGTGAGTGGTTTTGGGAACCCAAATTCGAAATCGCGGGGGAGACAATCCGGGGGAGCGGTTCCAACGGGTCCAACGGCTGGTCGGGTCGGTCGCGTGTGCAGGCTGCAGTGCAGTGCAGGCCAGGCGAGACGCACACAAAAAGGGCGTCACGAGAGGGAGGTTTATATTCAGGCTATGGTGAGAGGCGTGGAAGAAAAAGGAAAAGAAAAACCCCAACAGCAGCAAATATCAGAGAGAGAGGTGGTTCTGGTGGTGTTGATGAGGAGGAAGAAAGAGTAGAGCAGACAGGACTGTCAGTCAGTTGTTGGTCAGGCGAGGCGAAACGAGTCGAGGCGAAAGACTGGGGGGATGGGGGGGTAAAGAGAGCCCGGCAGCGGCCTGCCAATTTAGGAGCAAGAGGGAGGAGATGCACACAGCCAGCCAGTGAGGAGAGCCGGTGCAGCTCAGGCAGTCTGGCAGTGGCAGTGGGCGGGAAAATGAGGAGAAGTGGAAGTGCGGAAGATGGGAAGGGGCTACGGATGGGGGAGGACACGCTAGCACCCAGCTGAGCCTAGCCGAGCCCAGCCGGACCGGGATGAGCGCCTTCCCCCAGGTCGGAGCTGCATGGACATTGGGTGAAGCGGCCAGCCAGCGGCCCAGCATCCAGGGAAGGGGGGGGAGGCAGGGACCAGGGGCGGTGGGGGATTTCCTTAGGTAGCCTGCCCAGGTCCAAAGGCAGGGTCATCAGCAAGATCATCAGCAACAGGCTCACACAGTGTGTCCGCTGTCAGTCAGTCAGTCAGTCAGTCAGTCAGTCAGTGCTGTATCGTGTTGTATGTACGACGGTGGCGCAGACCCAACCAAGCATCAATTGAGCACTCTACTGTAGAATATCAGCTTACCCCGTATCTACACTCTTTGCTACCATCCAGCACATCTCGTCGTCTGCTGTCTGTCTCATCCATGGCCTGGTGCTCGCGTGGCTTTGCCCTGCGGGCTGAATAAAGACACGGCCCGCCCAGTTACAAGCCAGCCAGGCCAAGTCGGTCTTGCCCGTGCGTGCATGTCCGTCGCATCACACATCTCCAAGGCCTCACCGTCATTTCACGATCCTTATCCTGTCGCTCGGTCGGTCAGTCAACCAGTCAGTCAGTAAGCATCAATCAATCGTCAATCATCCATCAAACGCCGCCTCCTACCCCAGGGTCCTCGAGTCCGACCGAGCCCCCGGTGGTCCCGTCGGCATTTTGGAACTCAATTGATGATAGTTGGGACGAGACTCAGGTACCCGTGCATTGAATTCTGTTTCGTTTTTGGACGTTCCAGAAATAAAAGAAGCCCGAGGGAGGCAGTTTGGTTGGTTCAATTCCAAGCCCCGGCTGCACCAGAGTGGCGGAGAGTGATGGTTTGATTGAGAATGAATGCCTGCCATGCACTGCTTCAGGTCCCTCCCAGTCGGGCAACTATCATCGAGTGCTGCTCTCGATCGTAATCTCGTGTGTGCCTGTCACTCATCCTCACTCATCTTGCATCTGCGCAGCGTGGTGGGCGGGCGGGTAGGGTAACGTTGTATTCTGGGGTTCACGCTGTTACTGTACTTTTAGACTTTTTGCTACCAGGGGCCCTATTCCGCACTCTCGGAACCCGAAGGCATCGGCTAACAGGGCAGAGGTCACTTGAGAGCCTGTATGCAGCAGCTGTTTGGCTGTCCGAGATAAGTATACGTCACTTCTGTTAGAGACTGACTCTGCCCCAGGTGGGGGCTTAACTTCAGCCTGTGTCTGTGATTGGCTCCGCACACCGCATGGCATTTTCGACCTGCTGTCTCGGTGGAGTCGCACAGTGAGAGGAACTGGCTGCTGCGGTGCTGCTGCCGAGCTGAAGCCAAGCAGCCCACAACCAAGATGAGGGAGGGACGAGGCTGTTGACTGATGTGTAGCCCACGATCCCGTGGCATGTGCAAGAGCCTTCTCTTTCAATCGTCAGGGGATCGTCATCACCTCGTGCTGCAGCGCAAATGCAGGATTGGGCCCTTGCATTGCAGCAGCGACACGAACCGCCCGCCCAGGCTGCCTGTTCCCACTCTGCCCCTCCGAGCAAGCACCTGACCATCCTGCGCTGTACCCCGACCTGCCAGTGGCCTGCTGGCGCTGCGCCTGTTCTGTCCTGTCCAGCGAGGTCCGTCCGTCTGTCCGTCCTTGTACCACCTCAACTCGCCGTGCCGAGGTAATAAACAGATACAGTGTAAGACTAAGAAAGCTATGCGCCTCAAAAGGTCACCCTCGTGCTACGTGCCTACAACAATAGTAAGCTGTCGTGCACTGTCATAACCAGCCTAGCCCGCCCGTCCGTACGCATTCGGAACGTTATGCCGTGGTGGTGATGACGAATAGCCCCGTAGACAACTCATCTTCTGGCACACCTGCCCCTGGTAGGGCTGGGAAGAGGGTGGAAAAGAAAGATGAGGTGGTTTGATTAATATGCGCGAAGCCGAGGCCGACAGCCATTACGAAACAGGCGCCTGGCTGCTGTTGCGTCTACAGTGCACTAATAGGTGTATTATTAAGAATTCCAGCGTCTTCAGGAACCGAGGTTTTGCCCCCCAGGGACCCGGGGATGGGCCTGTATGCGACGGTCCACGTATGCCCTGCCTGCCTGCCTATATTCATCACCCAGGCTGCTTATAGTACAAGCAAAATCTGTCCTGATCTGGTGAGAGTTCTTCTTGTGGGTTCCATTCTCCGGGACTCGGATGGGCAGGTTGGTAGGCTGGTTCTGTGGCACTACTGTAGGGCTTCTTCTCGCCCTCAAGCACTGCATGCAGGCCTCGGTTCAGCTCAGCCTGAGCGCCCGTGCATGCATAGGTTGGCGCTGGTGACACCACCACGCACACAGCCCACGGCCGCAGCTAGCAATGTGCCGACGTAGGTATGCACCTCTGCCGGGCGGGCATGACATAACAGGAGGAAGAAGCAGCAGTGGCGTCGGCAGAAGTGAGTGCAAGGTGGACCTTAGGTGGTGCGGCGCGGCAGCGTGGCAAGCATTGATCATACAACCAGCTAGCCCCCATCAGGCCAGCAGTGTGCATGGCAAAGAATGGGCAGATGGGTTGTCAAAACAACAGGTGATTTCTGAGTTGTTTTGAGATGGGGCAGAAAAGGGCAAAAGACGGCGACCTTGCCCAACACGGCCGGTCGCATTCGTTAGTGGCACAGCCAGCATCCTGGGACGGGCAATGCTTCCATTGATGCTTCCAAAACCTTCCACACCTCCAACCCACCTGCCCACCCACGTCACCACGTCACCCACCTTTTTGGTTCCTCCCGTGGCCCGGCCAGTTGAAGAGCGCAGGCTGGGCAGCCATCATCGCACTACTGGTAGCCCCTCCCCTACTCATGCAGGCCCTCCTGCAGGTGCTGACGGGCTCCCCGCTCTGTTCAGGTCACATGGGCCGTGCTCAAGAAGTCGCCCAGTTGCCAGTTGAGTCCAGCGATTTATTACAAGAGGAGCACACAGCACTGAAAGATGAAACAAGCAAGCCGGAGTGATTGAGTGAGTAAAATTGAACCAACGACCACACAAGGCCCAGGCCTGGTCAGGGTCAGATCTACACTACAGCTCATTGTGAGCGGCGGCACTCATCGATGACGGCACGCCCCCGGAAACACAAGCAAGTAACCCACGACTCGTGCTTGCTCCTCCTCCTCCTCCCTCCCGCCGATCCGTCGGGTTAAAAAATCATCCCAAGTCACCAAACCAGGCCCCGCCCCCCTCCCCAGGCTCCCCCAAGATGGAGGAGGCGGGCGCAGGCAGGCAGGCAAGCGAGCAAGCAGCCCACGTCACCTGTTCAGGTTTTCGATCTTCGGTGAAGGGGACGGCAGGATGGATACCCTCAGGCGGACAAGGGCGAACAGGCGACCCTGCGACGGCCGATCACCGACGACAAAGCAAGCCCTCGACCCTTGGCCGGCTGAAAGTTCTCCAGGTAGATAGATAGCACTCGAGAAGTTGGGACGAAGAATTCCAGAATGGAAGTTCGAGGAAGCCGTCTCAAAAATAGCCTTTTAGTCTGGGGGTTCTTTCTTTTTCCACCGCCCCGGATAAACGATAAGGCAGGGAGGGAGGGAGGGCAGGTAGGGCTATCCAAAACCTCGTCTGATGATTCTGGAACCCGCCCGTTGCGTTGCGTCCTGCCTGCCTCTTCGCAGCTATACCGGTTGGGTCGTTCGCTCGTCAATCAGACTTCCCGCGTACCAAGGTTATGAGAGGGGTGATTGGATCGGATTCGCCCTGCCAGTGTGAGGAACTTGAAGGACAGAGCAGGCAGGGGCTGGTCGGTCGCCCAAACTGGCTAGTCCTCCCGGGCCCGGCTGCGACGACGATCCCCAAGAAGACAAGCCAACATGCTGACATGACAGGCACAGCGTGCCAGCGTGCCCGGCTGCTGGGAAAAGGGCTGGAGGGCTGGGAGATGAAACCCACCCGGACCGGGGGCCGACGCAATGCCCGCATGTCATGCAATGCCAGTCACTAACTCGGGCAGTTCTGGCAGTCAGCACAAATCCCGCTGTCTGTCGCGTGCACGCACTGATACACACACGGACAGCACGTTTTTTTTTTTTTTTTTTCGCCCTTTGTCTGGTTCTGCTGCTTTCGTCAGCCAGCCAGCCTCGGCCCTTCCTGTTCGAGCATGTCCACGCGGTGATCAACGGTCGTGCGCAGAGAACCGTTGTGCGGCGACGTTCCCGCACATTGGACCCGTGCCAGAACTTAGCGACTAACTACACTAGCATCTATCTCCTCCCATCGTTCGAGTTCAGACGCGCGGGGTCGCTACGGCCAGACAGACAGGCAGACAGGCAGGCGGGTCCGCTGCGACTGCCGGGCAGGCCGTGGCGCTAACCACGCGTTTGACAGCCCCAGGTGCCGGATCCTACGTACGCACATACACACGTACGGGTTGCTCTTCTGTCCCCCGTACCCGTGGTAGGTAGGCACTACTCCGTATATCACCTAGGCTGCCAACTGCCAGGCACGTACATGGCACAGTAGCATGTATGTATGTATGTATGTACGGGTACAACACAACAGCCCGCCCGACGAGGCTGAGATCGCAGCTCTGTCAGGCCCGGGTTTCACCAGCACGTGTTGGGGGAGGTTCCAGCCAGTGAGAGGGCCATATATTGGCTGGCGCTCTGGTTTATTTTTACAACAACCCTACCTACCTACCTAGTTGCCTGGTTGATCTACACTACCCCGTCCCACAGCAGGCTGCTTTCTGCTCTCCAGTCAGCCCGTCGGGGAATAAAATAGCAGGGCAGGGCAGGGCAGGGGGAGACGAGGCTGTGGGTGGATATCCGCTTATCCGGAGCGGAAGCCCGATGCTGCTGGTGGTGGTGGTGGTGGTACCAGAAAAAGGTGTAGTCTAAGTCTACCTCCGAGCGCCCTTTGTCTTTACACAACACACACGCCCGGCAGGCTGGCTATTGTTGGCTGGCTGGCGCCTGTTGCCTCCGAGCCACGCCATCGAGATGATGACCCGGGCTCGTCGTTCCCTTCTTTTCCCGCGACAAACCCAAGACCAATCCGAGAGAGCAGCAGCACACGAGCGCCGAGCCGCCTCCGAAAGGGAAGAACCTCGGCGCACAGATGTATGTTGTGTTTTGACCTCGACCACTCTTGGCCCCGGGGGAGTTGTACCGATCCGGGAGGTGCGGACGCATCCCCCCCGGGGGGGGGGGGGTCAAAGTGCTGCTGCTGCTGATCTGCTTGTCATACTACGCCCAAGGTTCCGGGCCGCCGCTGCGGGGTGGGTTGGGCCGAACCTGGGACGGAACAAGAGCTGTCGCGTGCATGCCGTGACATGCACTACATATGTCAAGAGGACTGACTACGGGCCAGGGCACGGATGCGTGCTCTGTCCCCCGGGGCGTTGTATGTGTGGGCGGGGCATCTGTCCGTTTCCGGCCGGTGGCGCGGGCCAAGGTTGGATGGGCTCTGCCGATGGTGGGGCCGGCCGGCCTGTGAGTTGTGTGCTGTCTGGAGTTGGCGAGATACACATGCCAACGGGGCCTCTTTTTTTAGGAAGAAAAATAATTAGCGGCAATTGGTTTTTTTTTTTTTTTTTTTTGGAGGTTTCTCAGTGTCGAATTTTGACGGACCTCGGCCTGGTGTGTGGCGTAGTTGCGAAGCATTCCCGTGGCTGCATCCGCCGTGGTCACGGCGGTGAACGTCAAGTTGAGTTGTGACGACGACGACGGCTTCGAAGTCACATGGAAAGAGAAGGGCATCAGTCAGGTCATGCCATGCAGAGCCCTCAGTGTGGAAGGAGCGAGACTCGGATTCGAGATGGATCCTCCCAAGACCATCATGATCTACCCTGCCGCGACGGGCATCCATCCCAAACCAAGTAACAATGTAACCATGTAAGCCAACTACCCAGCCCAGCAGCCCAGACAGTCCCCCCAATCCAACGCCAGACACCCACCCAAAGCCGGAGACAAAAAATCCCCATCGCGATCAAAACCCAGCCCAGTGACGTTCGACACCATTAACCACCCACCCACCTACCTCCTGTGTATCTTGGGCAGGTACTTGACCCAAGGCACACAGTTGTTGGCGTCCCCGTGCTTCCCATAGTCCTGCGCGGGCACGAACTGGCCCGTCTGCAGGCTGCCCTGCACAAAGTACACGTACCACGCCTCGTGCAGCTCGTCGCGCCGGCGGCCCCCGCACCGCAGCACCACCTTCCCGCCGCTGAACTGCTCCAGGATGCGCCGCACGTCCTCGAGCGGGTAGTGCGTGCGGGGGCTGGGCTCGATGCCCGCCAGCGAGAGCGCCGTGTACGTGTCGAGCATGCGGAAGAGCCCCGCCGCGCGCGAGAAGTAGTCGACCACCTCGCGGCCCACCGCGGGGGTGGTGTCGCCAGAGGGGGAGGAGGGGGAGGAGTAGCACCTTGGGCTCAGCGTGTTGATGCACGTCGCGTGCTTGTTGTACTCGTGCGACCACAGGTGCGCGTTGCTGCCCCTGTTGGCGACCCAGTACCGGTCCATGAAGGCCAGCAGCTCGTCCTGCCCGTGCGCCGCCAGGATGTCGGTGATGTTGTTGTAGTGCGGGGCCATGTTGCAGTACGCGTCGTAGGAGCCGTCGCAGAGGTCGGGCCTGTGTGGTGGGTGGGCCGACGCCAGTCAGTCAGTCAGTCTTCTTCTCCCGAGGGGGGACGGGTTTGTGGCCGGCTCACCATAGCCCGTGTAGCGTCCAGTCCTCCTCTGCGCCTCCGGCGTGCACCTCGCGGTCCCAGAACTGGGTGAGGAGCATCCGGCCGCCCGGGTAGACGAAGCAGCACGACTGGTCGCCCGCGACCGGCGTGTTGTTGTGGCAGCTCAGGGGCCCGTCGATGGGGCACGAGGGGGCGCCGCTCAGGGGCTCGTAGGGTGTGACGTCGCCAACGTAGCCGCCGCTGTAGCCCTTGCTGTTCGACGACGCCGCCGGTACTATCGCCTGGCTGACGCCGTCGATGACTGGCTCGAGCAGGCCCGCGATGGGGTTGGCGATGTCGCCGAGGAGGGGCACCTGCGACACGAGGTTGCCGGCGTAGGCCAGCGCCGCGCGGATCGAGGGAGACATTCTTCTTCGTCTGGTGGTTGGTCGTGTGTTTGTTCTGATCCTCAGGATGCAGAGTGTGACGTCGGTGTGGTTCTACATGAGTGAAGGATGGATCGAGTGGGTGGCCGGGTTGAGACTCGAGGGGGGAGGGAGCATTGTTTGCAGCGGCCTACGAAAGGGTGGATGGCAGTGCAACAGGAGTCGTCGTCAGGCGGGCTGGGTGATGCCAGGCTTGCCAGGGTCCAAGAACTAGGGGAGCTTGTGACACCGTGCCACGGTCATCTGGGGTTCGGCATGGGGTGGTGCTGCCCGCTGATTGGCCAGTGTGAGTCTGGGGCAGATTAGCAGAACCACCCCTGCCCGTTCCGACTCGCTGCACAAGGCAGTAGCCCGCATATCACGACCTTTCTTTTGGTCTGCGTTCAACGGTAGCAAACACTGCAGAAAATATTCACGAATTCCCACGTGATACCTGTGTGCCTCTGCTACCGGCGTGTCGAATGAAGCACACAGGCAGTATAACACACACAGAGCAGACTCAATCTGCCCGACAAGCATCATCGCGACACTCGGCTCGCTTCTTCAATCACGACGTTGGTCTTGGTCCTTCAGCCAGTCGGGATGGATGGTCCGTTGGTCCGTGATACTGGAAGAGCAGAGGGCTAGGGAGGAGATAGTGCTACCGGAAAACCCAGCGGCTCGGTCCAGGAGACTCGCTTGTACTGCCTGACAATTCAACTCACCGCGCCATCCAAACCACTACCCGCACGTCTTGTTGGACGATACCACGGGCTCGGATCAGCAAACAACGTCTCTGACATCCCGTCCGTACTGCCTTCCGTCGGGTCTCCTGTGGTACGGCAATCCTGGAACATCGACGAGGTCTTCTCGGGCATTTGCTACGCGTACACCGCATCGATCCTCGATCTCATACTGAGCTACGGTGGATGAACTTCCAACCCGACGACCTCGACATGACACCCTGCTAGGACATCAGATCTTACACCCAGGCAAAGTACCCTCTTACTGGTAAACTCCTTGAGGAGACCTCTACGCAGGTGGTTCATAGAACGCCCCCTCAGATACCAGAGAGGCAGGCAAGCCACACAAGTTCCGTCACGACATCAATCGTTCACGGTGACGGTACATGCAGCCCAAGCACGAGACCCAGCCGCCTACCTACGTACCACAATGCCCGTGGGAGACACCCACCCAAAGCCCCTCGTACACGAGCCAACGTCAGGCGTACACAAGCACACCCTGATCCTCCTCCACGGCCGCGGCGGGAGCGCAGCCACCTTCGGCCCCGCGCTCCTCAACACCCCCCTGGCCCCAGCCGCCGCAAGAGGCACCGAAAACACCAGCGCCAGCGCCAGCAGCACACCACCACCAGAAACCAACACCAGCCCCCACCACGGCCGGAAAGGACGAGACTGCCTCCCCGCGGACCAAGTGCCGCCGCCCCTGCCCCCCCGTGCCACGACGACGACAACGCTCGCCCAGGCCCTGCCCCACGCCCGCTTCGTCTTCCCCACGGCGCCGAGGGGGCGCGCCACCGTGTACAGGCGCAGCGTCGTCCGGCAGTGGTTCGACGACTGGCACCTGGGAGGGGCGGGGTCCGGCGACGCGGTGGGCGGCTCATATGACGCGGGCCTGCAGACGGGCGGGATGGGGCGGGCGGTCGCCTACCTGCACGACCTGGTCGCGCGGGAGGCGGGGGTTGTTGGTGGCGGGGCGCGCAACGTCGTCCTCGGCGGGATCAGCCAGGGGTGTGCGGTTAGTCTTGTTGCTTCGTTGTTGTGGGAGGGGGACGGGCTGGGTGGGGTGGTTGGGATGTGTGGGTGGTTGCCTTATGTGCTTCAGATGAGGGGGCTGTTGGGTGGTGGTGAGGTTGATGATGATGGTGATGATGAGATGGGTCTGGTGACGGCTAGCAGTTTTGGAGGCGAGGAAGTGGGCTTTGACCCCTTTGACAGGTCGGCCTCCCCTGGCTGTGACGCGGTGTCGCCAGGCGGCGGCAGCAGTGACACTGGAGCACCGGTAACTGCAGCCCTGGGGTGGCTGCGAGATGAGATCGAGGTACCCGGGGGCCGGACTGGGTCTGTGGTGCGCGGGAGTGGTGGCACCCCGGCCATATTGTGCCACGGTCAGGACGACGCAAAGGTCGACGTCTCCAAGGGCGAGGAGGCGGCCGGGTTCCTTCCTGCCCTTGGTATCGGGCCCGTCCGCTTCGAGACGTATGCGGGTGTTGGGCATGAGTTTTCTGCCGACATGCTCCTCGATATCGTCGAGTTCGTGCAGCGCGTGCTTGAATAAGCTCTGGGCTGAGATGAGATGGCATGGCATGGCCTCTGCTCAGGTGTCTGTTATGCGGCCAAGATGTCCCTTTCCCAACTTTCTGTGGGATGCCCTCATATAGGACGATTCATGTTTGCACAAGAATCCCTTTCATGGGACACTCTCCCGTAGAATGACATCTTATTAAGGAATTTTTCCATGTATCAGACCTCATGGCCAAGACATCAGACAGAAGAGGAAAAAGAGTTACCTGGAGAAACGCTGTGTGTATCTGAGGCAGGGCTCAGCAAGCGAGATGCTCTCGCCATTTACCAGATCCTTAAATGGTGAAGAGATGATTTCGACGGCATTTCATTGGCTTCGAGTGAAAGACGTGAGCGTCTGCGTTAGTGCTGACGAAGGGACGTTGGAGTTGCCTGCAACGTGACCACCATCTTAGTCTTTCCTCTCGGCTATCAGATTCCGAGACCGGGATGAAATCAAGACCTGGTTTCCTCTGGTCACAGCAAGTAGGGCACAGCGGTGTTGTCAGAATCCAAGGCTTAGTTCGCGCCTTCAATATGCATTACTATGTGACAAAACATTATCATATATACCATCATTAGATCATCCCAAAGGGGGGAGAGCACAGAGCGAAAACGCCAGTTCATGCATAGGACCATCTCCATCCTCCCATCTTTTCTCTCCTCCTCCTCCTCGTCGTGACATCCCATCAAAACCACTCATTAATCCTCCCGTACGGCGCAGCCCGCACCTACAGGCCACAGTCCGAGACGGGGACCTGGACGGCGGTGGCCTCGACGCGGCCGAGGGCGGCGGCCTGGCCGTTGGTCAGCTCGTTCATGGCGGCCTGGGCGATGTTGAAGCCGGCGGCGGCGTGGTCGATGGCCAGGACGTTGATGGCGCGGCCGCCGTAGCTCAGCTGCCAGCAGGTGCCGCACTGGGCCGAGTTCCAGCCGGCGATCTGGGCGGCGCCGCCGACGTGGGGGAAGCGCGGGATGGCGCCCTGCGTCTGCCAGCCGTAGCGCGTGATGAGGCCGTTGGCGCCGTCGGAGCACGAGACGGCCGTCATGGAGCGGCCTGCGTCGTCGTAGCCTGTGTCGTAGGAGACTGTGGTGGTGTTTGTGTTAGTTGTATATGTACGTATAGATTATTGCAGGTGGGTGTGGGCGAGGCTTACCAGTGACGGCGGTGGCGGCGGTGGCCAGGGTGAAGATGCTGAGGATGTTGGCGAGCATTTTGAAGGTGGTTTGGTGGTGGGTTATTGGGTTGGCTTGGAGTTGGAGTGAGAGTTGAGAAACTTGGTGTCCTAGCGAGGGAGATGGATAGATATTAATGAAGATGGTGGTGATGATGTCCTCCAAACCAAACATATCGAGCAGCGGCAGCCCATCTTTATATAATGCAACTGCACCTCCTCCTCTCCACCCACGACCCCAGCTTCTATGTAGTGTACACATTCCTCAAGGGAACCGTGTGAGCGCAACGTATGATGTCTCGTCTCGCTCATCCACCGAACGGGTCAAAGGGCACCACGAGCCCTTGGCGGCCGTCATCCACTAACGATGGGGCTGGGGTGGGAGCGAAGTGGACGTTGTCCGTCCAACTAATCGGGCAGCACTCACGCTGCCGAGAAGCTGGGGTAAGCTGTCTGTCTGGCTGGGCAAGTCCGGCCGTAAGCCAATGTCGGTCGCGTTAGTTCGGGGCACAGGGCACTTTACGAGTGTGGAGTCGTTGGACTCGCAGTGTTCTGGCGGTGCGGAAAGTTCGTGTTGGGTGCGGGCGGGTGGGACACGATCGACACTGCGACTCTCGTATCCATCCTCCCGAGGTCCAGGTGACCGCTCAGAGCGGACAGAAGAAGAAACCCGGAAAAGAAAAGAAGGGACATCCATCCAAATTTAGCAGGCCTGACTGACCTAGCCTGGCTTAGTGGCGTTATTATAGTATCTATACAGTACAACAGGCTTTGTGCAGTAGAAAAAAGAAGGAAAAAAACGGTTAGCAGCCACAGCAAGCCACCACCCCGGCAGTCACCGGCAGATCTGCACGATGCCTGCAAGCCTAAGCAGTAGAATCTGGGGCCACCCAGAACATGCCACACCTTAAATCCACTAAGCTCTTGGCTCCTCCGTCGCTGGGCCCCGCTGTCGCTGCTACCGTAATCCATCCAAACACTCCCACGATGGGGGTGGGCACAGACAGTATTCCCCAGATCGCGCATGCGGCGGTGAACTGATTGCTATCCATCTGGAGAGGCCGATAGTTTAGACCCCCATCTGCTGCTGCTGCTGCTCCCCGCGTTTTCGGATTGTTGCCGTGTCTGTTCTCGCATCATCCGAGGGCGATATGCGAGAGACTGGGCGAGGAAAGGGCCCACGCACAACGAAGGCAGCTCGCCTAACTTTAGAACGCCGAGCCTAGCCGTCCCACAGAAGCAACGCGACCTTGCATGAACTGCAACCTCGTGTGAGAACAAGAGAGAAAGAACCGGGGCCCACTCGCTCCTCACCGTCCTCGTGTCCGCCCCGACATCCCAGAACACCGACTCTTCTTCAACATCCATGACTCTGGCATATGCAAAAAGAGATCGGATATTCGCACCCACTAAAACGGAGGTTATACCCAAGCCCCAAGGGATAACCTCTCATAGGACAACCTCCCAGGAACTGCCATAAGACAAGCCTCTATAGGAAAACATCCTATGGGATAATTACTCGTGATTTAGTGCTAAACTAAGCGCTTTGATATCTGAGTTCCCTGGCATGGGTGAGCTCCCGTTTTGGCGGGTGCGAATATCTGGTCTCTACAAAAAAAAGTTGCTGAGATGTAGATCTTGTTGAGGCATTGACTCGACATTGGGTCTTCGAGCAGTTCATCCTGTCGTCCCTTCTTTTCTGCGCATCACTGGCGAGTCTTCCGGGCAGCCCGGACTGCAGACGGGCTAACACTTGAACTCGTCCATGCGAGTATCATCAGCTCACGGAAGGGTTACGTCACCTCTTAATCACCACCCCAGCTCTAGTCAGAGCCTATATGGCACAGACGACACCGGTTCGAAGCAACTCGATGGCGTCGAATTTTGACACCATCACTCATCCATCAATGATAGTGGTACGAATGCCATCTTCTAATCGGCGAGAACCCGTGCTATCAATATACGTCGGGGCCACCCACGACCATTCATGCCATGAACCATCATGAGGACAGTAAAACTTACCTAGGTACTCAATATCCGCATCAAAGAACCCCTTCCCCATGAGCGGGGTGCAAGCATTCCGGCGCTGCTCTGGCAGGGAACCTGGGAAGTACCTACATCACTCCAGCGGAATGCCCCTGCCATAATCTGTCAACCCAAGGCTCTTGCCAAACGTCAATGAACGGAGGCTGGTCAACCACCCGCAAAAGATGAGGAAACGGCCATGCTCCTGGCAAATGCACTCCAGCGCTCTTGGCGACTGGCTCGGGTCTCGCTGCCAGCTCCGAGTCACCCCGAGCCTTCCTCCCAGAATTCCCATCGCATCGGACCAGAGAAGGTATGACCGTGGGAATGGGGTGCCTTTGTTGGGCACAAAAGCTTTCCGCGCCCAGCAGCACTGTTTTGGCCGATTCAACCCCCCTTTCATTCCCAGGTCATGACCATTTGAGCACCACAGGACTAATTCTATCATCACGGAATCATTGAATACATCATTCAAGAAGAACTTGCTACTCGAGCCCACGATGAATGGCGCAGCCCGCGGTGAAGGTGGACGCATAGCCCCCACGGTGAATCAAGCAGTTGGCCAGGCGGATATTGCAGCCCGCGGTGCAGGTCGACGCATAGCCCCCAGGGTGAATCCAGCAGTTCGCCAGGCGGATATTGCAGTCCCCGCGATAGACAACAGTTTATGCACAACCTGCGGCAAAATCCTCGCACGTCCATGTGTCTACGTTTCTTCGAGGCTGTGTCCGTTTTGTTGGAATGTCGATGATTTGGAAGCGTGCAGTACTTGTGTGGGCCTAGGCTTCATCGCACTTTAGGGATCAATGGAACTCGGGGACGACTGCTTACAATGCATGGGGAAGGGCCGATCTACAAGATGCAACCTGTGCAACAGCAGGGAACTGGCGGATAACCCGGATCCCGGCGCGGTGCCGGCACAGTGTCGGAGATGCGGTGGGCGGGGCCAGTTTTACTGCCAGATTTGCTATTCGACGGGCTCTATTTGGGAGTTCGATGTGTTCTGCAGGGGCGATATTGTCGCTGGCACTCCCCGCCGGCATGCCCTTGCGGCGCACTTCGATCGAGAAAACTGGAGTCGGGTCAGCTGGTAAGCTCAACAGGATGATGGGAAGTGCTGCTACAATAAGCGTAGTGCGGTCGCTGGTTGGGTTCTTCGCTTGCAAATTGCCCTGATTATGGCTGAGAAGAAGAGTTCACTCAATAGAAACGTTTGAATGTTCCACGTGGTCCTGCTATGCCTCTTTGAAGTGGACTGCTTCGCTTTGGTGGACTTGACAGGTCTTGGAGACTCCGTCTTAAAGCTATGCCCCCGACGTCTCGCTTTCTCGGAGCTTGGAGCCTAAAGAATCAAGCTGCAGGGTGACTTTGGCCTCTGGCTCAGAGGACTTCACCCATGATTCGTAACTTGCTTACTGCGCTCATGGAATGATTGTATACAATATAATCCCACCGGGTGTCTTGAACCGAGACACACTAGGAGACGAGGGATGGGCCGCATCCTGTCACGCAAGTAGGGCTGTCGTGGGATGGTAGAATGGTCAGACTCGGGCGAGTCGGACCATATAGAATTTGCGCTCGCACGGGAAGGCTACGTATGTGTACTTTTCTGAACACCCGAGGACTCTGTACGTATGATGCCGTCCTACTTCTTAGAAAGTGATTGCGACACATTTCGTGCGCAATTCAGAAAGCTCTTATATATCGCACATGCTGATGTACGAACCATGATAGGAAACCCTGTGCGAACATGATGGGATTCACAACTCGGGAGCCGGGACTGGAGCCGGATCATATTTCAACGGCTATCCACGAGCAGACCTCGGGCAAGCTACTGTGCAACTGTTACCGAAACCTATAGTTTCCCAATACGATATTCACGTCTGACCCTATTTTAATCCACATAACCGTGGACTTCAAATGTTTGAACAATAATAAGATCTGGATCAATGTTCCAAGGCGCACATTCTAGCCGGATTGACAACCACAGATAAGCGGCTGCCGTTTGTACCAATCACGTTTCTTGTAAGCACAAGTGTACAAGCCATTTTCTAGAAGTAGAATAACTCCTCGTTGTGTAACACAACCGAATCCGAGTTGAGTCATAAGTGCTGCTGGCTTCGCTGCCCCGCTCCAATTCCAGTCTCTGGAATAAGCACGAGCAGCACTGCCGAATGCTCGCGCAAGAACAGCCTACACTCCAAAATCGATTGACACGAGACATATGCTTTGTTGAACCTGATATTTAGAGAACCTCGATCTTGCAATGGCCTCGATCTACGCCCCTTTGCACAGCGATGGCCGCAAATTCCGCCTCCTGGTTCTCGAGCCCTCCCCTGACCGCCAGGCTCCTATCCGATGCCAGCTGAAACAGTCATCCTTTGACAATGCCATCCCGGAGTATAAGGCTCTGTCCTATACCTGGGGCGACCCGCTGGTGACCACACCAATATCTGTGAACGACGCGGAGATACAGATCACCGTGAACCTGGAAGCAGCCTTGAGGCATATACGAAATGCATCAGATGCAATCACCATCTGGGTTGATGCGCTGTGTATCAACCAGACAGACGTGGCCGAGAAGAACCACCAGGTCGAAATGATGAGGGATATCTACTCCGGTGCTGAGCTCGTCATCGCTTGGTTGGGCAGTGCTAGTGAGGACAGCGACCTCGCCATGGAAATATTATCAACAGGACTGGACGCGTGGATGGAGAGTGAAGGGAGCCAGCGCAGCTCGACCCAAGAGGATGAGCTACAGTACCAAAGCAGCACAAGCTCCGAGTCGGTTCTCAACAATGAATGGAGCGTTCCCGCACCTGTTGGTGAAGAAGGCCTCGCCCCTGCCCCAGCTTGGGTTACTGCTTCAGAGCTCGGTCAGGAGATGATGGATCTCCAGCTCCCAAATTCTGCACCAGAAACGGTTCCCGGGGCGACCAGTGCCTTTTCTGGGGATTTATATGGGCATCAAGCCCAGTCTGTGATCTTGGGTCATCCCAGCATCTCTCCGTTTGGTCCAAGCTCCAGCAGTAGCGATGACGACTCCGAGGATGAAATGTTGGAGTTCGTCGACAGAAAATTAGAAAGATTGCCGCAGTGGGAGGCACGTTCTGTGATAAGATTGCTGGCACGAAGCTGGTGGTCCAGGATATGGGTGGTTCAGGAGGTTCTACTGGCGAAGAAATTTGTTTTGAGGTGCGGCGACGCCGAGGTTCCTGGAGAAATTATGCGAGGCGACGTTGCGCGCCTGTTGCTAGTGGCGAGGGTCGATCGTGTGGACATCCCTCGCTACTCGGCCGGCGTCATTTTACTTGATCATATCGGCACTTGGAAGGAAAAACACTATACCTTGGACGAGTTGCTATTCCGGTACAGAGCGAGAAAAGCTACCAGACCACACGATCATATTTACGGCCTTTTGGGCATCATACCAAACGAAGATAGGGACCTGATTGGAGCACCGGACTATGAATGCCGGGTGGAAGATCTTTTCATCGGCATTGCGAAGAAGCTGATGCTGCGGGACAACTCTGTGGCACTGCTTGTGGAGGCTGCAGACACCTCGCCCGCATCACCGTCTTCGACGATAACTGGGTTGCCTTCTTGGGTTCCTGATTGGACGCGGCCGCGCTTCAGCAGGAATGTGTCAGCGGTGGATCTGAGAAACCCTTTCTCGGAAGCTGAGTACTACTTTTCTGAAGACTGCAAGCGGCTGATGCTCAAGTGCTTCAAGATTGGAAAGATCGAAAGTGTGAAACCAGTGCCTGCGTTATTAGCTCAGGGGCAAATGCCCATGTGGCAAAATTCGCCAGAAACAACAGACAAGCGATCACCGCCCCTCCAGGGAATAATCATCGCACTGTTGATATCTTGCTGGATGCCAGGCCTTGAACGCTTGGACAACGAAGAAGGATTTCAGTTCGTCGCTGCCTTCCTTCAAGAGCTTGAGGAATACTGCATCTACCTCGGTCGGAGTGAAGCTGCTGAGGTCTACAACAAAGGTGACTATCTTGCGGGTTTCCTTGAATGGACAAATGACAGTCGAGATGGTCGCATTGATGAGAAGATTCTCGAGAAAGTTTTTAGCGTTCAGGCTGCCCACTCATTTGTGAAATGGTATCACAGGCAGCCCACAGCAGACCTCCAACGCTTTTATAGGCGTTACTCTCTTTTGCGAACGGGTCGTCTCAATCCTTTGATGTTTAGAACTTGTAAGGGCTCATTTGGCACTACCGCAAACGCAGAGGTGGTACCAGGGGATGTCGTCTGTATGGTTCCCACTTGTCGTGAACTTCTTGTGTTCCGAAAAGCACAGCCTTCCACACATATACTAATTGGAACATGTGATCCAATCGCCGGGATAGTTGAGGAAGAGTTAGTCCAAGCGGTAGAAAAGGGTCAGATTGTGAAGGAATGGATCACTTTGGTATAGGTGGTGATAGTTCTCACTTCGTCGTACTCAGTATCATGCTTGAAGTCCATATCTGGGGCATGAATAGGTGTAGCCTACCTAAGTACTCCAGGCTGAATAACTACGTTTCTAATACTAGAATTCAAAAAGCAACTACAACCCCAATATGTTCGAATATGTGTCTGCAACCACAGTGTCGGTGCATGACTGCCACAGCTCGCTAAGGCATCAGAACTGTAAATGATTGTCAGCCATAGTGACGAGGATTGGTACGTTTGTTTACCTAGATATGTGGCATTGGTAATCAACTTGTAAACAAGAGCAAAGGCCAGCTCTCCTGCATCACAGGTGTGAGAAGGGACATGGTGTTAAGTTAATTCAGAGTCTCGCAAGCTTGCTCATATAGTGTGAAGTTCTAAAGTTTATTGATCAATGTTCTCAATTTCTCTCACCCAATCCTGGCGAGCTCCAAAAAAATAAAGTCGCACGACCAGCGTGATGTGCGTGTGCCGGGATCGTGACCACAAATGGTCAGTTCCTCTATGCCAAGAATTGAGGCGCGACAACCATATCACTCGTCTACGCGGCCCCAGTTCTCTCTCAAGATGCCTCTCGCAATGGAGTGCCGACGTCTGTTCCCTGAAAGACTATCTCCAACACAAAGTTCAACAAACAGCCAGACCGTGCCAGCCGCCTGACATCTCATACACCGGACGACAAGTCTCCCGTTGCACCCGCCACAGACGGACGGAAGGTGTCTGGTCGTTTGGACTCGGCCGTTGCATGTAAGACATCTCATAATTTGGCCCGTGCAGAGGCACGCGTTGCATTCTCTGAGGCTGGTGCCTCCGTCTGCCATGGGGAATGTGATCGCGCCCTCGCCCTCACAGTTGATGCAGTCCACGGTCCTTCCAGTGCAGCTGGGACAATACTAGTAGCTGCCAGATACCGCATGGGCGGTGAATATCTCGATTACACGTCCCGCCTAGAAGTGGTCCGGGGATAGCGGAACCCGGCGGTGGTGCTCGGACTTCGTTGCCGCTCATCGCAGATCTCGGAGGTCTTGTTCAAGGAAGTCCTGTGACCATCAGCAAGACCGTCGAGCAAGGGCAGAATAATCAAACGTACGGGTCACGCAAATTTGGATTATTTCGTGTAACATATGTCCCGGCTTGTGCACTTAGGTACAAGTCTTGGCTCGGCTTTCTGTATCTCGGCTGTGCTGTGTATGTCCTGTGTTGATGACACCAGGTGAGTCTCAACACATCAGCAGCTGAAGTTCCGCGTTTAAATATGAATGTAGCCTTGGGAGATATTTGTCATCAAATTCGTCTGATCTTGTCTTGAGCAAGTCGCAAAAGTTGTAGGCTCATAGAAGGTAGATGCTACCATATGAAGGCGCCAAGTATGTCCTCGGACGTATACGGGATAGAAGAGAAACCGGATAGAAGGTAGATGTGTCTCTAGCTAGTCAGAGTGTCTCTTGATCACTGATTTGCGGGGTAGGTATGTGACGATGAAGGTTGATCCGAACGAGGGAGTGACTACAAGCATTGAAACTATGCAAAATATGAAAGCTTCATCAATGTGGCTCCCCTCGAGTGCCCTTTACGCGGCCACAGCATCTCCTCGAGCTCCAATAGCTAGGGGACAACCTCCCATAGCATAGCATCATACAAGGAAACTTCCTAATTTTAACAACCCATATCTGAGATATGTGCTTATATGATAAAGTGCTATTAATGACCTCTTATAGGGTACTTTCTTCTAGGATAATCGCATGAGAGCTGGCACCTATCGGGTACTTCCATATAGTAACGCGGCTGAAAGTTCCTAACAGGTTCTTTATGATATCCCGGGCATTAGGCCATGATCGTACAGTCTGTAGGCAAAGAGACCACCAGGAGATTTTCACATAGATCTATACCATGGTTTGTATCCACGTTACCCTTGAAATCTCGATGAGGAAAGGTACCTAGGTATTCTTTGTCACCTCGAGGATTTGGGTAGGCACGGCTCCCAGGCTACCTAGCTAGGTACCGTACCGGGGTTTGCAGGCAGCCCGCAAGAGTTGCGGAGGCCTGCAAGGCTTACCTCGTTTTCAAGACTTACACCTACCGCAAGACTTGTACCTACCGCAAGAATTACCCTTTTATAAGAGTTAGAGAGTTAAGGTATAGAAGTTATATAAGAAGAAATTAGGAGAAATGAGTATATATATCTAGGTAGGTATATATTTAGAGGAAGAGGTAGTTATAAAGATATAATTATAAAGCTTTGAAGATTAAATTAAAGAGGAAAAGAAAGAGAAAGATAAAGTAAAGAAAAAAGAGAAATATAATTTAAAAATAGAAAATAAACCTTAAAATTACTTTAAAAAAAATAATTTTTCTTAATTATTCTTTATATTTAAATAAGTAAAGTAACTTTTAAATTATTTAAATCTTTTTATATAACTTTTATACTTTAATTCTTTAATTTTTATAAAAAAAATAACTTTTATAATAAATATAAATCTTATAGTAATTATAACGTTTATAAAGAGTTATAACGCTTACTAACCCCCTTTATTTACTAATATAATAAGTATATAAGTCTATTTATAATAGATGGTTAATGTAAGCTAGCGACCCTTTAAGTAATATTTTATAACGTGTTAGAGCTATAGTGGTATTACGGTATTAGTGTGTGAAAACTATGAATCACCCTCCCTACTAGTAAAGCGGCCTGCTAATTAACCTAACACTATAATGTCCCTTCTCACACCTATAGCTTAAAGAATTTTAAGCTCTTATTACAGGCCTCCTCCAGCCAGCCCCTCCCTTCCTAAATAGGTAAAAAATATCTCTTAACACCCGCACTACACTCCCACACCACAGCCCAGCCATAGTATACAGAGTATTAGTAGAGTGAAGCGACCCCTAGGGGTAGAGGGAGTTCGCGGAAGCGAGCGAGCGAGGGTGAATTCCCTCTACCCATACTTTTAAGTCCTTATACTACTAATTCTTCAAGCCATATTTCTAAGCCGCAGAGCGGCGCTCGGGAATTCCTGTGATGCAAAAGTATGAATAACCCTTCCCTATTAGTAAAGCGGCCTGCCAATCTACCCAGGTACCTAGGTACCTAGGTAAGTATGCTGGATAATGTGTGATGCTAGAGGCATACGGTATGAAAGGGCCAGAAGTAAAGTCAATGGACCACAACAACTACATCTATGGAAAAGTACCTAGGTACCTAAGAGACGATGACCGAAGGGAGTAAGGGGCATGCAGTTGGTCCCTCCCTGCAGGGATCCCTGCAGGTCCCCTATCGATAAGGCTGCCATACTATCACCTCTCGCCCCGAAGCCTGGCAACCAACCTTCCTTCCTTCTCTTTTTCTTTAGGCAGAACTACTCGTAAAATCCACTCTATTTGGCGTGAACTTCAAGCCCTGAAGCCCAGGTGACGTCTCAAGCGGCTTATCGGTACGGCACCCACCCGTGTTCGGCGCCGCAGGGGGGCTGGGTCGCAAGGGGGCAAAGGTTGCCTTCAACAGAGCCTCATCCAGCCTTTCTGTTCTGTTGCGACGTTCTGCTTTCTCTCTCGCGCATCTCGATCCAGTCTCACTTGACGGCTTGCTACTCAGGTCGCAAAATCAGCCAGCACTTTTCCAACGTCCATCGAGCATCGACGTCTTCAAAATGGCCGCTTCAGACGGGGTGGAAGAGACGCGACCTCTCATCAACAACAACCCCGAGCTTCAGACCTACTACCAATCGCTTGAGTCACGCATCGGCTATAGGCTTGTGCTCGGCGGCACTCGCCACTTTGGCTACTGGTAAGACGAACTATCAGTCTCGACTTTCCAAGTTCCCTGGTCATTGCCAGTGCTATGCTTCTCAAACCGGCCATCCTTTTCTGTATCGCGATTTCAACTGCTTGCACTGTCCCCTCTTTGAGCAGTACTTTTGAGACAGTGGCACAACATTACCCTAATCAAACAATTGCAGGGACAATGACTCCTGGTGGCCCTTTCCCATCACTCCTGCCCTTCGCAAGATGGAGCAGAAGATGTTTGAGCGACTCAACCTTCCGGAGGGAGCGTCTGTACTAGACGCAGGGTGTGGTATCGCACATGTCGCACTCTTCATGGCACGGCGTGGACTCAGGGTTACCTGCATCGATGTCGTTGAACACCACGTCGAGAAGGCCCGCAGAAACATCAAGCGCTCCGGGCTGCCAGAGGGTCAAATTTCCGTGCGGAGGGCCGACTACCACAATCTCGAGTGGATTCCTGATGCCTCCTTCGAGGGAATCTACACCATGGAAACGCTTGTACATGCCACTGACCTGGAGCGCGTCCTCCGCGGCTTCTACCGCATCCTCAAGCCCGGTGGTCGACTAGTGGAGCACGAATACGAGACCGTCAACGTCGCCTTGGCCGAGGCTACCGGCAGCCTTGCCGACGACGTTACATCGGTGGTCAGCCTAAGCGCCATGCCTCTCGACCTGATGAGGGAGGGCCACCTCAAGAAAACACTTGAGGATATTGGCTTTGTGGATGTGAACATCCGGGACTACTCGGACAACGTCCGGCCAATGCTGCGGCTCTTTTACTGGATGGCCATTATACCATACTTCTTCGTCAAGATCCTCTGCCTGGAAAAATACTTCGTTAATACTGTCGCTGGTGCGGGCGGCCTGCGGGGTCAGAAGTGTTGGAGATATATCTCAGTCAGCGCCTCAAAACCTGGTGCTGCTGTGGAATCGGCCAAGACGAAATAGACTCGCTCGTCACACCGAGTTACTACCTAGGGTAGGTTTCAGAGAAAGCTTGGGACAGGAAACAGATTGTACAGGCAAACCACGGGGTTTGAGATCCATCATCTGAGCTGTGAGTGCTAGTGGAAGGAATGATGAACATGGCCTGAAGCATGATTGCTAGGCCACTTGCTTCTTTAATCGTTAATTGTCCCATGCATGGGATCGCTCGGCTCACCAGGTGGTGTGTACCCAGTTGCAGGTCAATTGCCTCTCCGGTCTCCCCTTCCGGACAGCCCTCAATACCTAGAAAGACATGAGCATGGTGCGAGCAACACGGACCGACGAGAATGTGTGAGCCCTAACATCACTGTCTTTCAAACCTGTTGCCGCTGCGTCTCCATCGGGAGGGAAGAGAATGCGAATGCAACTTCGCCAAGGTCATTCTGATCATTCGCGAGTTGATAAGATTCAGCTAGAGACATGGAGGTGGAGCTCAGGATCAATACCCTGACACTCAGGGGAAGAGGGGTGGCTTAGACGATCCAACAAAGGTATGAGGTGTTCCGCTTCGGCTTGGCTGTGACAAACACTTGCTCCTCCGCAGATCAATTACCTGGGAAGTCCCTATTCCCATCCTGCGCAGATCATGTACACGCCCACCACTTGCACGGCATGCCTCATCACTCCACATCTCAAGGAATGAGAGACTCATCGTCTGACTGTATCTTGTACGGCAATGACGGCATTGCCGTATGTTGAGGCGAGTAGGAGGCTTCGGTGCCTCTGAATCTCATCTTGGAAATTCAAGATCAGTGAGGGGCTGCCGTGATATAAAAAAGCCCGCTGCGTACGCCGTAGGACAACAATCCTGCTCCCGTGTGTCTCAAATTCCTCTAGCATTGACTTCCACTCACGATCACTCCAGTATACACACTCTTCGCTTTAAAAAAAAAATTAACCAAACCTCGTCCTATCTACACAATGAAGTTCTCACTCACCACGCTCTTCGTCGCCGTCGTGGCTGTTTCCGCTCTTCCAGGCGGTGAGTTCGTCCCTCCCCAGCCCGCCACCCTTTCCCCCTAGCACATGCCTTCAATATCGTCTGCACACATCTTGCCCCTCCATCGCATCCAGTCTGCCATCCAACTGACTCGCAATCCGCAGCGCCTGTCCAGAAGCGCGAGAACTGCGGGAACGGTGACTTTGACATATGCTGCGACTTCGACACGGGCTGCCGCTACGCCAGCACCTGCCTTCTGGAGTGTACAACTGGTGATGTCGGCGGCGACCTTGGGTGCATTGCTGGTAAGTTAACATGGACTCGGTTCCTTGAGTTAGCGAGAACCTTTGAGATTGAATGCTGACGAGTCGTCTGGCGTAGCTTGCAACACGATTTGCCCGAAAGAGGAAGAGTGTCCGTAGTTGTCTAGCAAGTGGTTAGGTAGAAGGTTAGGTAGGAAGGATAGGGGGAGATTGGTCTGTCTCGTTAAGCCTTTCATGACATTCATTCAGGGCTAGTAGGTGAGCGAGCGTTGCAGGAGGATCCCAGACCTCCGAGAAGGGTTGGGCGCAGAGCCAGAAGGGAGACAGCAACACATACTATATTATCATTAGTATAATATTTCTTTCTTAAGTATTAAGTCTTAAGTATTTATTATCATATATAGTACATATCTTTTATATATGCTAGGAATTAGAAGCATGACCACCTGTCTTGTACTCCTAAACGGTATCATAACACAGAAATTCATTTTATTACTATGCGAGTAAGATTGAAAGACTTGCAACTTTAGACAGTAGGTTTCCACCCCTTGCACGAGTACATGAATCCAACTTCTTCTCTGTGTTAAATAAATGTACGACTCATCGGAAAATTGCTCAGATTGCCTTCAATTCAACGATTCTCATTTACTAAATTCATTGCCCTTTTCACATTGATGCCAGTGGCTACCTGCATGATCGTTCTCATGTCTTGATCAATCTAACTATCCCCAATCTCGCAAGCGATGTAAGCGCTGTCAGCCTAAGATATACCCACGGCTTCCAGAATCACTCAAAAAGGAGTGTCCTCAATGGCAGTCCACATGAACCCCAAAAGAGCGTGCCGCACCTCCGGATCGTCCCCTCGGTACATTTCGATCTCGACCGGATACTCACCGTTTGAGTCCTCATTTGCGTCTATCAGGACTCCCACACTGCTGGTGGGGTCTAACCAGGGAAAGTGGCAGCATATTAGGTAATCGTAGTTAAACAGGGCCACGTATCGTGTGCGATGGTAGATAGCGTACGTGGCAGCCTGAGTCATGAGCTTGATCGGATCTGATTTAAACATGGATTTAGCTTGCGTCGGATTGGGGCCCTGTAATACAGGTGCTTGAACGCTCTGGACGGCCGCGATCTGTGTCCGTGTCGGCTGCCCGCCAGGCGCGACCGGCATGAGGATGTGGGTATTGAATGCTTGCTGATTTGCGAATTGTCCATTTCGTGGTAGTGGAATAGAGTGCCGAAAGTAGGAATCCTTAATCGTGCCCCGCCTCTTGAACTCAATGATGAAAAAGTCGCGGTGGACCTGGGCAGAGGCTGGCTGAGGAAGGCCCACCTTCTTAAAGGTCATGTCGGTCTGCGTTTTGTTCTTCCACTCTTCGGATTGGGACACAAGGCCTTGAAAGTAACTTGGGTGTGACGATAAAGCCTGAATAACCGGATGGATCAAATATAAGTTGGCAGATCGCACGACGTCAGCCTCATTAGTATGTCGGATATTTTCTTCTGTTTGTGGAATAGAATGGACCCCTGTGACAAACAAATCGGCTGCATTGATTGCAGCCTGAACAAGAGGTTGCATGTTTGCAGTGACTTGGGGCAGCGTCGCTCGTGCCGCGACCAGCGCAGTCTGTATGTCATAGACACGACCAGTTCGGTTCATCTGCTGCAAATATCGCCGCCCTATTTGGGACCACGGAATGGATCCAGTAGAACTGCGTTCGATTGCAAATTTCGGTGGGTAGGTCTTTTTGGCCGTGCTTCCAACGTTGTGCACCGTGTGCGGACCACCAGTGTAGGGGTAAGGAGGCAGAGCTTGGTTGAAGGAATTCCAAAGAGGGGTGGCCATGGTTTTGACGGTGTATGATTTATTGATACTTTCAATTATTCCGAGCAATATGAACAATATGAGATTTCAAGTTATTGATGGATGAGCTGTAGTCGTTGATAGAGTCCTTTGGATCAAGATGCACACCTGGAAGGAGGGCCGGCTTAAATAAAGGGAGGCCAAGTACATTGAACTCACGATTTCATCGTGAAAACGGTAACAATTGGTCTCGACTGTTTCCCTTGCGCATTCACTGAGTTGGCTTAAGCGATGTGTGCTTGTGTGCCCACTTGTGTCTAATTCAAGAATGTGAAATATCACATGGTATTCTCCACTATTTGCCCTGTCTCATTGCGGCCCCGAGGCCAGTAAAGATGGCGACCCGTCTGGGCCGGTATTCCATTTGGCCTTCTAAAAATAACAGACCACTGTCAGTATCCCCCCCCCTTCCCCTTGTGTTGTGGGGTGAGGTTATTCAGGATGCATGATGGTAGGGCCGTGCCGCAGCTTTGCTTTGCGGCACATTGTCTCAGCGCCCGTTTTGGCGTCCACGGTGGGGTTGGTGGCTGGGATGGAAGCGGCTTAGACACCAACCAGCCCCAGCAGTAACTGGTCGATCAAATACTCTCGGACCAGCCCACTTCTCTGTTATCTGTGGATAAACGCGCTCAATTTTCCTGCCTAAAATTATTTTCAATTGACCTTCTACACATTGTTCGTCTTTCTCACTATCCCCTTAACCCCAATCAGCATGTCGCCAGAGCCAGTCGACCACAACAACAACCAGCAAGCTCCTGAGATGGATCTAGCCCGATACACTCAAGACCTTGTTGAGAGATTCAGCCAACCGATAGCAATGGATGTAGTGTTTTGGTCGCCGCCCGAGGACCCCGACAAGCCAAGTCTTCCATATCTTCCCGGCTTCAATACCACAATCTATGCACACCAAGTTACTGGAACAGAAAAGCCAAGGCCTTATCTCGAGGACGAATATCTTAGGACAGCGACTCAGAGCGAAGCAGTTGTAGAACACCCTTCACGATTTGCGCCCTCGATTGCTGTTGGTACGTCCATGGCTAAATTGGTAATTACTTCCTGCATCGCAAGTGGGGCAACTAAAGGCCCCCAAATTGTCGCCTGCATGATCACTCCATGTCAAAAGGACGGCGAAGAGCCTCAGAAGTCTTTCCAAGCTGTTGCGAAGATTTACGACCCGTGAGTTAGATTTGGTTCTTTCCTAGTCGCTCCGATCCATGTTGGTGCTTTCTAGATGGGCGACTGCTTCCTCCTCACAAGGTTGTGGCTAAAACAAAAACAGCCTATACTATAGCTTTTTGGAAAGCCTCGGGCGCCAGCCTCGGGACTGTGTGAATGAGGCAGATAAAGATTACACCAATGAGGTTGCTGCTTATGAGCAACTTCGCAGACACGGCCAGACCGGCTCTTTCGCACCTGAGTACCGTCAGTATCACCCTTGTCTTGTCACACTTACCCGATCTTTTTCCTTTGCAATGTTCCACAATATCACTTTAGGATCTGTAGCAAGTAATTGACGGGTAGCAGACGGCTCCTGGACATTCACACTTCCAGTTACAGTCAAAGGGAATCCTCAACGCAGAGATATCCACCTAGTACTCATAGAGCTGTTAAACGGGGTCAGCATCCAGGATACGCAGATTCAAAACAGCGAAGATAAGAGTAAAGGTTTAGACTCATTCCATTTTCCTGAGGAATACCGATTAGAAATCTTGGCTCGCGCTATGGACGGCTACGTCAAACAACTCAAAATAGGCCTCGATCAGCGCGACTTTGCTGGCAGAAATGTTATGCTCGTGTCGGATAAAGCTAACCCACAAGGTGAGGAAATTTGTGGTCTGACGATACCTCGTGTTGTACTCGTGGATTACAATATAGCAAAAGTTGCCAACATGAGCCTGGAAACAAGGACTTGGCTCCCATCTAACCCTGCAGCAGTCTTCTGGGATCAGTGTCTATGGGAAGACTTTAACGGCTGGGTGCCAAACCAATGGCAGGATTGGAAGCTTCAGCAGGACTGGTTGTTATGGAGATTCAATGGGGAAAATCACAGGCATCTCTACTATCCCTCTCAGGAGTTTTTTGATCAGATGCTCGCGGCAAGGACACCGATAGACGGGTAGTCGAGCTGGTCAACAGCTCCACTCGCCCGCTTCTCTTTCACATATATGGTTTAGGGCTCGGAGCTTGCACATGTGCAAGGAACATTGGATTGAGGGGGCAAAAGATTTGTAGAAAATGCATCAGCTTTGAGTGTTACTTCGTGAGGAGTCAGAAAGACTAGCACCGAAGTGACAATAACTGACTACTTCAATATCATTTCTGATAACATTATGCTCACATCACACTTTCAGATCCTAAATAAATTAGCCTCTAGTGAGCCAAAATTAGTGTGGTCGACCCGAATGCAAAGCCAACAGTGATACAGACTGCTTCAAATATCAAGTTCGCACATGGTTGTGACCACGTAGAGCAATATACAGGAGTATGCCACCACGCCGAGCTCGAGTCTTAGGAAAATGACTTGTCTACCGCCGTGTCATCACAGTCCCACTTATTCATTCGGTTCTGGATGATTCTATATATATTTGGGCCTTGTTGTGGATACTTACGCGACCAACAGACTCTGGAAAGTCACACTTGACTTATTATATGGGCCCAATGGCCTCATCAGGATCGTATCCCTACACGACCATCCTCAGGCGCCAACAAAACTCCACTCCGGAGTTTAAAAATAGAGGCTGCGACCCGAATTGTCCTGACTTTGGTCTTTGTGTGGATTCAGCTTTCCGTGCAGAAACCTCATTCGAGAATTTCAACCTGCGGCCAGATACACAAGGCCCTGGCCACATTTGGAGCCGGCCTTGGTTTCAGGAGGCCAAATCAGCGTTGGTGGTCCTGAGAAGCACTTAGTTTGGTGGATTTAGCACCTTAAGTGTCTATTCTAGGCATTCGTGCGCAGATTTAAATTCCGCAGCTTCCAGTTCCCCCATTGCCGTTTTCCATTTGCACACCTGTCCACTTTCACTCAAACAAACCTTATTTGCAACTTACAACATCAGCCCCCGAGTTCTTTCTCAAAGAGAGATCTACAGTAGTACGAATTAGCCAACGCGCCTTCAGAATGATTGATATGTCCGGAAAGAAGCCAATTATCCCAGCAGGTCAGCGTGGCCGATCCTCGGCTGGAGGTCCTTCAGCACATGGGCGAACGCCGCAGCAGCCGACTCAGCAGCACCAAGACCACCACCAGCAGCATCAACGACAAGCATCCCTTAGCGGCAAAACAAGTTCTCCTGCGCCAAACAGCAGCCTAAGTAGTTCGGCCTCAAAGACTTGTCGCCGGACTCCTAGCCAGGCCTCCTCCACCGGCTCGAGCGCCAGCAGCACAGAAGATTCTTCGGACAAGGTGGTCGTTCACTATGAAGGAGAGGGTAGATTTTGGGCGTTTCAGGAACACGATTTCGTGAATGATCTTATCGAGAAGATGGTAAAGGCTAAAGGCGACGCCCTCATCCAGAAACCGGGGAAGAGCAAGGGAAAGTAGTAGCTGCATGATCCCATTTGTTCCATGTTTCTAGCTGTGGTGTTGCTGGGATTGAATTCGAGCAAGCATCAAGAGGTCGGATATTCACACCCGAAAAAAACAGATAGTACACCCATACAAGCTATGCCACCCTACTACAGCTAATCAGAGCACTCTATTCAACCATACTTAATCATCCACCTACAGTGTTTTTATACCGACATTTTTTAATGATTTCAAGTAAAGTATAATATTTTATAAGTTACTTAAATGCTTTGAGATACACATGTAATCTAGAGAACTAATTATATCCTATGTATATACCTAGGTGTCAAGACGATGCCCCTTAGGGCCTTAGCCTTGTCTGTACGTTGCAAGGTTGAGGCTATGGTACCTATTGTATCATAACTATTGTTATTGATGTTGTATTCTTTCTAAGCGCTAAGTCTTGAGTGCTTACCACTGTATGAACGCGCCATGTATGTCCTCGGACGTATACGGAATAGAAGCGAAACCACATACCTGTGTCTCTCGCTGAATACCTGATTCGCGTATGCAACTCTGGAGTTCTTGGAGACCACTACAGTATCTGCACCCCGGGTATACTCATCCTGTATCCCGTCCCAAGGAACCGACCATGGCATCGTGGTCTCCTTCCCTCTTATGGAGGAACTGCCAGGCAAGCTGTGGAATGGCCGAGGAGACACCTCAAAGATGAGGAAGGGCCTTACCGATATTTTGGCGGAACTGGAGACGCACCCATTTACCAAAGCAGGGTCTCTGCTACGGTTAGTGACCGGTTTGTCTGCTTTGGTCCCTGCGGGCCGTTCGAGACTCCGTTGGCATATTATTCGGCATGGGTTGACCAGCACCTGAAGCTGATCGCGGACGGCCAGCTCTGTCCCTAGTCTGCCATCGACGCATACCTGGTATCGCTTCCTCCAAGACAGATCAACGCAATTGTCTGATCCTGAAAATACCTTCCTTCTAGAACATTTTGACGACAGGGGTGCCCACTTGCTGGCTGATGACGAACCCGATAGTGCCGGCGTCATAGACTGGCAGATGGTACGCATCGTTCCGCGACGAGAGGCAATTAAAAGCACTTTGCGATGGCAGTGTCTCGCTTAGTATAGAAGATGTTACTCAAGCCAGTGATTTGCGTGAAAAGCGTCCTCATCTAGCTAGCTATCACATGTGTGTAGTAATAAGATATGGAACACACGGATAGTCTCGGCGAGTTCGAGGGCAAGTGGAACCCCCACCGGCGGCCGGTGCGGTCCCGAGGAGCTTCAGGTGGATGGCTGCATGTGCGGACAGTCGGGCGCGGGGCATTGATCGATCCGAAGGTGGATGGAGCTCAAGCTACCGCCAGCTCAGCTCCGCCAGTCCTGAGCTCCAATCGCATAGCACGACGGCTGAAACGGATGACGACTGCTGGGTACCTAGAGGTCAATGCAATCATCATCGCATCGGTGCCTACAGGCTCGATGGCCCAACAGAGCCCCAAAGTACATGTAAGACGTGCAGAAGGTGTGCGTGCCCTCATTGCTCCAGGCGTATTTCGCGGCCTTGTTATACGAGGAATACGCACGACTAATACTCACTCACAAGTACATGGCCTTAGTGTCAGAAGTGCAGACCAAAACGCTCCGGACCTCACGGCTTGAGTTTTGACGTCACGTCAGATCGCCCAGACATCGCGCGTAACGTCCGTCATCCGCGAGTTCATACTGTACCCCGGAGCTGAGGCTTTGTTTCACCCAGACCTCGAGAGCCTGGCGTTTACAAGCTTTCTTTTTCCTGGCTGACTCGCTTTACTTTTTCTCCCCCTCACCCACACTGCTCAACCCATATTGAGCAACCAAGATGAGATCGTACGCCATTCTGCCGCTGGCCGTGGCCGCCAGCGCCTTTGTCGTCCCCGACATCGAGACCTTCTCCCAGCTGCCCGTCCACGGACAGGCGCCGCACCACGACGACAGCTCGTGGCAGGACTGGTTCCCCTCGGCCGACTCCATCTCGTCCTCGATCCACGATGTCGTGGACCCGCTCGCATCCAGCGCCGAGGAGACGTTCCACTCGCTCAAGGGCAAGCTCCAGAGGGAGATCGAGTCCGTCTTCGACGAGGACGCCAGCAGCGCCGTCGAGGAGTTCGCCGCTGACGACGAGGACGCCTCGTGGGACAAGCCGCGCCGCGGGGGCCACCACGGCAAGTCGAACCTGACCATCTACCAGCTCATCAGCGAGAGCAAGTACACGACCAAGTTCGCGGCGCTGGTCGACGAGCACGAGGACATCGTGAAGCTGCTCAACAGCACCGAGGCCAACTACACGCTGTTCGTGCCCGTCGACAGCGCCTTCGAGCACATCCCCAAGCACAAGAAGCCCAGCAAGGAGTTTGTCGAGTCCGTGCTCCGGTACCACATCGGGCTGGGCTTATACCCCGCCGGCCGCGTGCTCGTCACACACACGCTGCCCACCGCCCTGGACGAGCCCCTGCTCGGCAACCAGCCCCAGCGCCTGCGGACCAGCGTCGGCCTGCTCTCGGGCGTGAGGGTCAACTTCTACAGCAAGGTCGTTGCCGTCGACATTGTGAGTTTTCTTTTTATATATATCAATATAGTCAAGACGAGACATTCATCCACTGACACGAGCCACCCACCACCGACAGGGCGCCAAGAACGGCGTGATCCACGCCGTCAAGAGCCTCCTGGTGCCGCCGCCCTTTGTGGGCCGCGAGCTGTCGCTGTTCCCGGGCAGGTTCTCGACGCTGCTGCTGGCGTTCGACAAGACGGACTTCACGTCCTTCATCCACGGGCAGGTGCTCAACGGGTCGACCATCTTCGCGCCGGACAACCGGGCCTTCCAGAAGCTGGGGCCCGCGGCCAACGCGTTCCTGTTCAACACCGAGGCGGGCCTCGGGTACCTCAAGGCCATCCTCAAGTACCACGTCGTCGCCAACGAGACGGTGTACAGCGACGCGTACTACTCGTCCGGCAGCGGCAGCGGCAGCGGCAGCGGCAGCAGTGATGACAGCAACTTGAAGACGACGGACGACGTCGGGCGGGGCCACTACCACCTCGACCTGCCGACGCTGCTCGGGGACAAGAGGATCGCGGTCGACGTTGCCCGCTGGGCCGGGTTCATCCGCGTCAAGATCAACGGGTACATCCCCATCACGGTGCAGGACGGCATCGCCAAGAACGGGGTCATCCACGTCCCCGCCAGCGTCCTCATCCCGCCTCACAAGAAACACGGGCGCGAGGGCGGGCCGGCGGCCACGGGCGAGATCAGCGTGGAGGAGCTGAAGGAGAGGCTGGCTGGGTATGTCGAGGGGGAGGACGAGGGGCAGGGCGGCGGGGGGGCTCAGGTCGAGTCCGAGCTGTAATGTGGGCGAGCGCTCGGGTGAGGGCGGGAGCTCTCACCTCCCGGGATGCACATGTGGTCAGGTTTCAAGATTGATGGAGAGCTCATGCCACTCACTACTTTTGTGCGCTATTGATTCAAGAATCAAGTGGTTTTGGAGAATGCATCGCAGGGCAACAATTCTGCACAGTGGTTTTTGGTTGCGGCGTATATGGAACGGTCGGCGAGCAGGGCTGCATTTGGGTTACCTTATCACCACAACATAGGCCGACATCTGGCATAAAAATACACACCAATCAGCTGGATTAAGGACTGGAATCTTGGAGATTTTGTGGCCCATATTCGTCTGTTAATTTGTCGAAGTATGATGGGATGTGGGCGTGAGGGAATGAGAGGGTGAGTGAGCGAGTCGGTGGGTTGAGCTGCCGTTCTCTTGTGGGGGGGGGGGAGGTCCTGGTCGGTAGGATCTCACTCCCACCCTTTCATCGTAGGTTGAAATCCAGAACAGTGCAAATGCAACATAATAATGAGGTGGGTGGAGGTGAGAGAGATGAACGAAAATATGACAGGTTTCACAGGCAACTCAATTTGCCTAATGAGTTCTCAGGCTAAAGGGCTCATTTTGGGCACACGGCACACAGTTGATCACAGGTCGAGGGTTACAGTCTTGAGTTTAGGTGGAGCAACACGATAACCCTGACGACTGCACTTGATGCTTGATCGGTGATAACATTGAAACAAATCACGGGCTTGCGTCACATCACAACAAACCAAGAAGCCTGTTGTGCCACACTCTCACAACGCCAACACAATGCCTCACACAGCCACGTCAGATGGCGAAGACAGGCCCCTGCTGTCCGATTCCCGACCCCGGGATGAGACATACGGGACCGAAGAAGCCGCCGGCGTGCCTCACGATGATGAGCAGCCGCCGCAGCAGCAGGGGCAGGGCGGGGGCTTCGCGCGGAACCTGGGCGCCCTGGACGCCTTTGCTATCATCATCAGCATTGTGATTGGCTCAGGTATCTTTACGTCGCCAGGGTCGATCGACACCAACGTGCCCTCGCCGGGGGCCGCGCTGGCCGTGTGGCTCGTGGGCGGCGTGCTCGCCTGGACCGGCGCGGCCACCATGGCCGAGCTGGGCACCGCCATCCCGGGCGAGGGCGGCGTGCAGCCCTACCTGAAATACATCTACGGCGACGTGTTTGGCCACCTGGCCGCCTGGACCTGGGTCGTCGCCGTCATGCCCGCCACCCTCGCCATCCTGAGCATCGTGTTTGTGGAGTCCATCTTCTCCGCCGCCGGCGTGACCGACCGCGCCGCGAGCCCCTGGCACAAGCTGCTCTCGGTGCTCATCATGGTCGTCATGAACCTGGCCAACTCCATCAGCACGCGCGCCAGCACCCGCCTCAACAGGTTCTTCGTCACCACCAAGTTCGTCAGCATTTCTGCCGTCGTGCTGGCCGGGCTCGTCGTGCTCGCCGTGCGCCTGGCCCGGGGCCCGGAGGGGGAGGTCGGCGGCGGCGACTGGGCCCGGCGGGGCTGGTTCGCCGCCCGCGACACCGTGGCCCCCGACGGCAGCGTCATCACCCACTGGCAGGACGTCGGCACCTGGCAGCTGCTGGGCCACCTGTCCGCCGCGCTGTACGGCGCCCTCTGGGCCTACTCGGGCTGGGAGAAGGGCATCTACGTCTCGGCCGAGCTGTCCGACCCCGTCGCGCAGCTCCCGCTCGCCATCAACACCGCCATCCCGACCATCATCGCCTGCTTCCTCGCCGCGAATGCCGCGTACTACGTCCTGCTGCCCTGGGACGTCGTGTCCACGACAGACAGCGTCGCCGTGGTGCGTATCCCCGTCGAGATAAAATATATATATATATTGTGTATATGTGCCAGACCCGCCGCTGACGTGTAGCCCCCTCCTCTCAGACCGCCATCACCCGCCTCCTCGGCCGCGGCTTCGGCATCGTGGCCGCCATCCTCATCTGCCTCGTCGTCGCCGGCTCGCTGCTCGGCAACTCCTTCGTGGCCGGCCGCATGGCCGTCGCGGCGGCCAACGCGGACTGGCTGCCCCCGGCCTTCGCCGAGCTCGGCCACTTCGGTCCGAACAAGCCCCGCCGTGGTGACGGCGACGGGAACGGCGACGGAAACGGCGACGGCGACAGTGACCCGTCCGAGGGGGGCTCCGACGCGCCCCTGAACGCCATCCTCCTCAACACCCTCGTCTCCGCCGTGTTCATCTTCCTGGGCGACTTCCGCTCGCTGCTGACCTTCAACGGCCTGGGCGAGTACACCTTCTTCTTCCTCACCGTCCTCGGCGCTGTTGTGCTCCGCCTCCGCGAGCCGGGCCTGCGCAGGCCCTATAAGCCGCTGCCGGTCGTCCCGGTCATCTTCACCCTGGTCAGCGGGTTCGTGCTGGTCCGTGGCGCCGTGTTTGCGCCGGTGCCTGCGCTGGTGCTGGTGGCTGTGTGGGCTGTCGGCGTCGTGTTTTATGTAGTGAGGAGGAGGCATGCTGCGAGGGCGCGGCAGGTGGGTGGGTATTAGGACGGACGGGAAAAGTCTTTGCTCTCTTGCTTTTAGTCTTGGGTCTGAGAGGGTGTTTTTGCGCGGAGAGTGTCACTACTGGGTACACTGACTAGACCGGGGCTTGATTTGAGTGTCTGCTACGCGGCAACAGTATCTGTGTAGTGAATCATGTCGGGAACCATTCAAATCACTCACTGCCGTAGAACAAGTGGCTTGCGGAAATGTAATGAGATGAATCCAGTGAGTAATGTTGATCAAAACTACTTGAGGGCAAAACCTCGCCCAGCCTGACAACATCCTGCAAAAACTCTAAACCTCTCCAGACATCAAGACGTGAGCAATACTAACAACACATTCCACGAACAGCCCACAAATAAGCACGGGGTTATCCAGCTTTTCGTGCCCGCAAGGTTCGGGCATCCAACCTCCGTTGCCCCATGGTCCTGCTGACGGCCACAGGAGTACTATCACCGAATTATCGCGGAGGACACTCGAGGACACTCGCCCACAATGAGTCACAGCTGGAGGTCAACTCCGCCCTCTGAAACCTTCCGGAGTCCAACTCCACCCCCGAGACGGTGGCAAGACTACACCCGGTCTGCCTCCCCAGGCCCTCAGCCCTACCCAGGCCCTCACGAGACCCAGGGCCCCTCGGCCGCCCCGCGCCCCGGCCGCCCCCGGAGCCGTGATCCCCCCGGAGGCGTGACCCCAGCCCCTTCAGCCCCGCCGCCCCCAGGCCTGTGCGGGTCATGCCACCGCGCCATCGCGTACCCATGCGCCATCTACAGCATGAGCAAGTGCGGCAGGTGCATCGACAGGATCCGGGACTGCTTCCGCTGCGGCGGCTCGGGCACGGGCCGTGCCCAGGAGCGACGAGGACCCGATCGACTGCAACGCCTGCGTCGGCACCGGCAGGATGGCAAGGTGCACCTTCTGCGACGGGACGAGGCGCGTCGCCTGTGGGGGCTGCCGCGGGCGGGGCGGGCCCTGCAGGACCTGCGGCGGCCGCCGGTCGCTCAGGTGCGGCGCCTGTGAGGACCAGGGCCGGAGCCGCTGCCCGGGGTGCGAGTCGGCCGGCTGGGTTGGCACCTTTGTGCACTTCTGCGTCGGCGATGCCATGCGCTGGCCCGCCCCGGCTGGGTACCGGCCACGTCGGCACCCCCAGGCGAGGAAATATCCGAGGGCACTGTGGTCACGAGTGGAGCTGCCGGGCCCCAGTTTTGATGATGACTCGGGTCGATAGATGGTATCGGCGGAGTGAGAAGAGTGATGGAGGAGGAGATGGGGGTCTTGGGCCAATGCGGCGCGGGTTTTGGTTTTTTGGGAGCTGGCCGAGTCCCGAAGGGGGTACCAGTTATTGGTGATGAGTTCTAGGAATGCGTAAAGGTTCAAGGTGTAGAATTATATCAATATCGTTCCTTCATCTAGAATCCCTCGAGCGAAGAAGTTGGCCCAAGTGTTGCCACCCTCATGTAGCATGTTGAAAAACAAACTCATTAGTTCTTAGCTGCTGTCTACAGACTGGCTCTGTGACTTCACCGGGGATGTACGCACGCCCTGGCCTTTCTTTTGCCCAAACTCCCTGTAAATCTCAGGGAGAAAGCTTGCCAGGTTGGTGAACTCGGTCTGGTCATGCAGCAGCTGTTCATAGGCGACCCTCTCGCCCGCCGCCGCGCGTTTGATGCCCAACAAACCACCAAGCCAGTCCACCGACACCCTCGCCCCGAAGATATCCACGTACACCTCATGAGCAAGATAATACCGGCTCCGGAGCTCCAGCCCGTCCTCAGTCCTCCTCCACAGGTGGATCATATCCCCAACCTTCAGCGGCAGCGCCTTGTCCCACAGCAGCCCGCACACCGCAGCCTCATACCCAGCCTCCCTGAGCTCCTCCCACGTGCCCAGGCCGAAATACCCCGGCTCCTTGAACTCGACCCGCAGCTCCACGCGCAGCGGGCCGACGAGCTCGCTGACGGTGTGCGTCGCGCCGAGCCACCTGTGCCGGTGCGCGACGTCCTCCCTCTCGAGGACCGGCACCCGCCTCCCCGTGGCCGCGTCCCTGCGCACGTCGGGCGTGAAGTCGCTCGTCGTCCACCACGCGTAGTTTGACCGCACGCCGCGGTGGCTGTGCGGGTGCCACAGCGCGTACCGCTCCGCCTCGACGCTGTGCCACCAGAACCACCAGTCGACCATCGTGCCCGTCGCGCCGGGGAAGCGCGTCCTGGAGGCGACGTAGCCCGCCCCGTCGGGGGAGGCGTGCCACCCGTTCTCGACGGCGTGGTCGCCCGGCTCCAGCAGCCTGCGGGCCTGCGACAGGGGCAGCACGTCCCTTGCCGGGTTGGCGATTGGCGCGGCGGTGGCGTCGAGGGCCTCGCGGCTGATGTAGAGCGGTGGGTCGTGGAAGTAGTGCGCGTAGGGCTTGCCGGCCATGCGCTGCTGCATCTTCATGTGCTGTTGTTGGGTGTCGAGGGGGTAGTAGGTCACTGGGGTGAGGGATGGGTCCTTTGATCTATTGTCGCCATCGTGACACCTTCTGATATTCTTTGATGTGGAAGCCATTTTGTTTACTGGCCGTTATCAGATCAAAGGGACATGGAGGAGTCATTGAAGAACAGTGCTGCTACCTTGATGACTTGAAGTGGAGCTGGGAATGAGGTTGATAATTATCTTCGAATTCTTGACTACTACCTTTTGGCCAGATGCGGCCCGACGACGTTCCTCGCATCAAATAGCCAAGACAGGTTACGTCGTGTGCCCTTCTGTCGGCTCTGGCTTTGTCCCAACGTTGTCGCCGAGGCTGCAGTGGGTTGTAGAAACCACGCATGTGAGCCGCTCGGAGGCAGTGCGGGGAACGCCCTCGGACTGTCGTTAGGTGCATCCTTGCTGAACAGTCTCCTGTAATGTGCTTGTATATCCGTTCTCGTATATTTGCCTACCATATAAGAGCAGGATCACCCGGGGTTCAAAGTTGCCGGTGGAGACGACCACGGCATGAGGCGGGAATTGTTTGACTTCGTTGATAGTGCTTCCACCCAGCCAAAGCCATCAAAGTCGTAGGGACTTAAAAGACGTGAAAACTGTCGATACAAAAAGTATGACTTCGTTGAGAAGCCTTCAGTAGTACCTGATTGTGCAGTCTGATTCTGTAATAGAGCAGTTTGGTGCCAGTGACACCTCAGGTGCAAAGTCTTATAGCTTCAGAGAGTCGTCTCACGTTCAGGCAGATCTCATCAGCCTCTAAACTCCCCTCCTGCTGCCACTAAGGTCTTACTAGTCCAACCATTCACCACACAGCACTGCTTTGACCAATCATCATCCGATTCATACCTAACTACTATGGATGGCAGTGGCAATGTGAGCATCCCGCTCGAAATGGAGGAAGCAGCAGAATACTGTGGCATACTCCAGAACTGACTGTGCTTGCGTGCCTCTGTGAGCTTCGTAAACCCCTCTCTGCTGGTTGTGCGTCTTGGCGATGTTGTGTGGGGGTCTTTAACGAAACACTGTTCGTTCAGGCCTGCGGACGACGATTCTCAAGCAGGTATTCCAAAACCGCCCATTCACGAGACCTATCATTCTAGTAAAACCGGGTAAGCATAATATCCACAGTCTACCTAGGTAAGAGCATTTGTTCCATGAGGCTGCAGCTCATCACTCACTACGGAACCGGGAGTTCGGGCAAAGATCCGTTGATGTTTGTACTGAAACGTTGTCATAGTATGACGATATGCGAGAGAGCCTTCAGCATTCGCTTCCAAATATGACAGGCGAATACCGCGTGGGACGACATTGGTGGACTATCTCATTATGTGGAACCCCAGACTCCAGCTAGGCTGGGCCCAGAGCGCTTACACAGGCTGTATGCGGTTGTGTCTGGACCCACCGGGGCCAAAAAAAGGACCATGACGTCTGGGCACCTTGACGCGTAAACGCGAGAGGACGCATTTGGTGGCAGAGCGCCCCATGCGGAAGCCGGTGACATCGGTTGTCCTGGGAGTCAGCCGATTGCCGATCCCTCGAGGCGCGGCCAAGAGGACTTCGCGCGTGACCCTGGATCAACCGTGAGCTGTAACCGCCGGTTCAGGGCCACCGGGAGGTTTTTGCCGTGAAGTTCTCCACTCGGGGGGGCGTTTGCATGGAGAGTCCTGAGCCCGATGAGCTGACCGGATCTTCTCGCACACAATCAAGCTTCGGCCGCCAAGGGCGCCGAGTACGCCGAGGCTGCCGAGACCGCGAGCACTCCCTCCGTGGTAGCAATCCGGTAGCTGAATCCGGGGTAGGACAGCCCCTGAGAAATGCTTTGCTTTTCTCTCCAGCGATGATCCCTTTCTGTTTGGGAAACATTCGGCAGGGTCACGATCGCGAAACACACGTACTTGGCAGCGGTTGAGAAGCCGTCCCTCCGCGTTGGCACTTTAGCTGCAGAACATCTCATCAAAACGAGCACTTGGCTTTGAGATGCGAGTGTGCGGCCGCACCGATTCAGCCTTCGGATGGGCTCCGAGATGGTTGGAGCTTGAGGCAAATGGCCATGGATGAGACCTATATAAACACTGCTGCTGCCATGAAACAGCTCTCAATGTTTCGACAGCCAGCCACGGACAACTAGCCAGCATCAGAGCAACTGATAAACTTCCTTTCATCATGACTTCCAAAACCATCATCCTCGGCCTCTTCTTGGCCGGAGTCGAAGCCCAGCAGGCTGGCACCCTCCAGCCTGAGACCCACCCTCGAATCACCTGGCAGAACTGCGCCTCCGGGTCGTGCACAAACACCAATGCGGAAGTCGTGATCGATTCCAACTGGCGATGGACTCACACTGTTGGGGGAAGCGAAGGCTGCTACGAGGGCAATTCGTGGACCGGCGCTTGCACGACTGCTGAGAACTGCGCCACGGGATGTGCCCTCGAGGGCGCTGACTACCAGTCGACCTATGGTGCTTCCACCAGCGGCGACGCACTCACACTCAAGTTTGTTACTCAACACGCGTTCGGCAAGAACGTCGGCTCTCGGTTCTACCTCATGAACGGCGAGAACCAGTACCAGATGTTCAACCTGCTCGGCAACGAGTTCGCCTTCGATGTCGACCTGTCTACCGTCGAGTGTGGTCTTAACTCGGCGTTGTACTTCGTCGCCATGGAGGAGGATGGTGGCATGGCTTCTCAGCGTGACAACAATGCTGGTGCCAAGTATGGTACCGGATACTGTGACTCTCAGTGCGCCCGTGATCTCAAATTCGTCGGTGGAAAGGCAAACATCGACGGTTGGCAGTCATCCACTTCGGACCCCAACTCCGGCGTGGGTCCCTATGGAGCCTGTTGCGCAGAGATCGATGTCTGGTGAGTGCCATAATTGGTACACTTGAAAGTCACAGGAAACTATGGGGCTAACCACGCATGAACAGGGAGTCCAACTCGCACGCATTCGCCCTGACCCCTCACCCATGTGAGAACAACGAGTACCACGTCTGTGAGAAGGACACCTGTGGAGGAACCTACTCCGAGGACCGCTTTGCTGGCGGCTGCGATGCCAACGGCTGCGACTACAACCCATACCGCATGGGCAACACTGACTTCTACGGCGCCGGCAAGGTGGTCGACACCACCAAGAAGTTCACGTAAGCATGCCCCCAGGCAGGAAGTGCCTGAATGTCCCGAGCAGCAGAACAGAGATGGACTAATAACATCATCATAGTGTTGTCACTCGCTTCGAGGAGAACAAGATGAGCCAGTACTTCATCCAGGACGACAAGGTTATTGAGATCCCAGCACCCACGTACGATGTAAGTTGCGCGTCCCAATATACCAGGCTTCACTTTGCCGATCAAGGCTGACTATCCCATCCAGGGCATCTCTGAGACTGCCGACATCACCCCCGAGTACTGCTCCAACATGCACACCGTCTTCGACGAGTTCAACCGCTTCGAGGAGGTCGGAGGCTGGCCCCAGCTCAACAAGGGGCTCGGCCTTCCCATGGTTCTGGTCATGTCCATCTGGAACGACGTAAGTGTGAAGCATTGAAATACCCAACGTCCACAGAAAAGGCCTGATCTAACTTTTATGACACCACAGCACTACGCCAACATGCTCTGGCTCGACTCGACCTACCCACCCGAGAAGGCTGGCCAGCCCGGCACAGCACGCGGAGACTGCCCCACGAACTCCGGAATCCCAGCCGAGACCGAGGCCAAGTTCCCCAATGCGTATGTTCAGCTTTTCTTTGGGCTGGAACCACGATCAGAAATGCTAACACCCCTCACAGCCAGGTTGTTTGGTCCAACATCCGCTTCGGACCCATCGGGTCCACCTACGACGGCCCAGCTGCTTGAAAAGCTCTTTGACATTGAACAAAAGACTGGCTTTCAATTCTATGTACATTCTGCACAGGAGTCGCCATGGCTGGGGCACGCTAGGATACAACTCTCTGGTGGCTTTTCTTATATATCAGCTGTCATCTTGGGCTATCTAGGCGGGTCGTTACATGTATGGAAGACTAGATTGCGCCTCAGCTCGCAACGCGACTTGCCCTCAAACATTAAATAGTCCTAGACAGACAATCTTCGATCGTTCTGAGGAATATATTTATCTCCCCCAATAATTTTGGTGTTTGGGATAATTTTTACCTTCTGGTTACATAAGTAGCGGATTCCCAGATTGTATCAGTGTTCGCCTGGCTGGATCAAAGCGCTTACTCACCTGGGCACTCAGTCGGTCGGGACACACTGGTATTGAGGTCGGAATGTTCACTCAAGTTGTTACACAAGGGCACCGTGAAACCGCAATTAAACCTTTGTCGAGTCTAACTCTAATATCTGAAGTCGATAAAATCGGATTGACGGCGTACCATGTTATTGACAGATCGACATGCAAACAATGAGTGTGCAAATGGATGTGACGAATGCTTGAATGTCAAACGGTGTTGTTTGAGCTGACCCGCCGTTTTGAGATGGCAGTAGTCAAGGTGTGGGACTCTCAAACGGTGAGCCGTCGTTCCGAAACCCTGTCCTTATCTCCGTTATCATTACTAAACGATCTGGCGTCGCGTCATGACCGTTAGAGTTGACGACTTCCGCCCCGCAGTCGATACCAACCGCGGCATCTCCCAGAAGCTGACGGCAAAAGCCCAGGCTGTTATCTTCCGAATCCGTCTGGAACTCAATTCAGAAGCTGCTGATTCCGAGTGAGATCTTGACGTCGCCCACGTCTGACTCTTGGCCCACCACGTTTCCCCAAACAGTTCCCGGGAACCCCCAAGACGCTACCCACAATGACCCTCGTTTGGCTCGGGCAAAAGCCCCCCAACAAAACTCTCAAGGGACACAAGCTTCTGGTCGCTCTGCCGTCATTCAAGCCCTCCAAGGAAGAGGTCGATGAGTTGAAGAGTCGCTACCCGGGCCTAGAGGTCCAAATTGATAGCGTCAAGGATGTCACGAAAGAGGAGTGGAAGGATGTGACCATGCTCGTGACAGGCTACAACCGAGAAGGGCTGCCCAACAAGGATGACGTCCCGAACCTCGAATACGTCCAGCTCTCGTCTGCTGGTGCGAATCTGGTGGTCTCAGACCCCTTGTACAAGGACACAGACATCGCTTTCTGCACTGCAAATGGTGTTCACGGGTGAGCACTTTCTTCCCTCGTGTGGATTCCATCTCTTGTCCACAGCAGCCTGACAATTGATATTTGAAGACCACAAATATCTGAGTGGATCATCGCCACATTCTTGGGCTTCCAGCATCATCGTAAGTCATCAATAGCGAGAGACCCGAGTTCGTACACATCTGACGCCGCCTCAGTCACCTCCTATCTGGATAAACAAAGGGCGGGCAAGTGGGAGAGGAGCACCGAACCGACACTCGATGCTGTAAAGAAGAGAGTGTGAGTACACTCCACAATCAGTCAGCAGTATTCCTGGATCGCTGATCAAGTCCCAGAGGGATTCTCGGCTACGGAGCCATCGGTAGGCAAACGGCACGGGTGGCCACAGCCCTAGGGATGGAGGTCCACGCCTACACCCTCCACGAGCGCAAGACCCCAGAATCAAAGCGGGATGAGACGTACGCCCCGGACGGCCTCGGGGACCCGGAGGGCAAATTCCCATCAAGGTGGTTCTTCGGCGAGTCCAAGGAGCAGCTGCACGAGTTCCTCGGCTCCGGGCTGGACCTGCTCGTCATCGCGATGCCCCTGACGGAGAAGACGACGGGGCTGATCTCGGCGCCGGAGTTCAAGGTCCTCTCGGAGAGGAAGACCTTCGTGTCCAATATCGCCCGTGGCCCCATCGTCAACACGGATGATCTGATCGAGGCCCTTGATAAGGAGCTCATCCGGGGTGCCGCACTGGACGTCACGGATCCGGAGCCGCTGCCCGATGGACACCCCCTGTGGAGCACGAAGAACGTTTTCATCACGCCGCATATCAGTGCTGCTTCGGAGAGCTATTTCGTGCGGGTCTGGGCGATCGTGAAGCTGAATTTAGAGCGGCTGAGCCAGGGTAAGGAGCTCACTAACAAGGTCAACCGGAAAGAGGGCTACTGAGTATAAAATGAACGTTCACTGTGAATTGGCCAGGCCTTGCGTATTCATTGTTCTTCTGTACGCTGTGGGTGAGACGAGAGGCGGCATGTGGGGGCATCACTTGATCATACGTCAAGGCTCAAGATGGCGCCGTGATCAATGTATCCGGGCTTTCTAAAGAGCAAAGACCCCTAGGTTTAAGCTACCAAGCACTTACCAGCTACCATAGGTCCAGAATCATACAAAAAAAGATAAGGCGGGGGTTGGGCAACATTGTACTGACGGTCGTGCTCGCTGCTCCCCGTCACTTAAATGTCTACCTAAGCTCATACTACATATGTACTACCTAAGCGGACTGTCCCTTAGGAGGTTGCCCATAATGAGGTAAATCATCAGGAGTTTAGGAGGTAGTGCGTTGGGATGCTGTCTCTTAGATATTTACTATGTTATCCTACCATAGGTTTCGGGTAGAGTCTTCACTCCCGAAGCACTAACTTGATAGATAATAATCAGATTGAACGCTTCCCCTGCTTATCTACTCCTCGTCTCCCGGATCTGGATCAGTAACTGTTGATTCTGGGACAGTGGTCAGTCAGTCTCAGAGTTCTCCAGATCAGTCTGTGATGGAATCAGTCAACCCACTTCTTGAGATTCCTTGCTCCGGCTCGAGCAGGGTCTGTGGCCTGTGACTCTCCCCCTCGCTCCGTTGAGGCTGGGGAGGTGACGGTTTGGCTTCTTCCTCGGGATCTTCCTGTACTGTTATCACGGCCTTTTTCTTCCTCCAAACACCTTCGGTCTCTTTCTCCCAGTTTTCGGCGGGCAGCTTCTCAGTGACTGATTGTTCTGGGGCAGAGTGGCGGTGTCGCTCAATAGGGCCTGTCACAGACTGTGGCCGTCCGCGCGATCCAGGAACAGGAGGCACTTCCGGTCTTGGACGACGGCCGTCGGCGGAAACACCACGCCGGATAACGATGTGTGGTGTGCTGCTGGTGTCACCCGGCCCGGAGCGGCTACGGTTATTCTCGCTTTTGGTCCGGATTGGGTGAGGCCGACCATCAGCATCAATGATCACCGATGGGCGTTTCGTTGGGGACTGAAGCCGGTCGACGGGAGGAGGAGGGGGCGGAGGAGAGAAGTATTCGAGCCGAGACGACGTACGTCTCGAAAGAGGTCGTATATCGTCAAGCACCCTTGGCATTCTCCTTGTCTTGGTGTCCTCCCACACATCGTAGCCAACAGCTGGGTCGTACATATAGGACCGCGGGCTCCCGTACATCCCTATCGAGGGAGGTCTCGAGTGGCGGTTGGAGGGACGCTTGGCGATTTTCTCGTTTTGCTGCTTGGATGACAGCTCATCGCGGTAACGCTCGGCGTTTTCGTGTTTGTTCCTCATGACATCAGGACCAGTCTGATCAAGCTCATAGATGACCTGTGGTTCCTGAGTCAAGTCTTCTCCCTTCTGGGTGTGTGTTTGAGTGTTTTCACTCGGCCCCTCGCCTCTAGCCTCGACTTCTTCTCGTGTTTCCTCGGTCATGCCAGTGGAGCGCCTAGAAGGGACCTCAAGGACTGATCGCCGGTCTCGAGCTCTGATCCGCTCCCTCAGGCGAGCACGATATTCCGAGTCATCATCTAGCTCTTCTTTCTCACGCCTGATGTGTCTTTGTCTCGATGTCTCCCCCTCTTCAACACCAATTCTTCTGACAGACTCATACAAGTCCTCCAGTTCTTTCCTCTCCAGGGGCTGCCTTGCTGGCGGGGAGCTAGGAAAGGTCCCTGTGGTCGTATTTATGGTGGCTTTGGGGTCCATGCTCTTCAAGATTTCGTCAACTTCTCGCTGGAGGTTCACTTTGGCCAGGTTCTGCTGCATTTCGGATGAAGCGTCTGTCGAGTGCCGGTGCCTTGGGGAGGAAAGGGGTTGCTGCAGCTGAGACTCCTCCAATTTCCAGCCGCGCCGCGTGTTAGGGGATGCCATGCCAAGTGTTGGAGAGGAGGACTGGACCTGCTGGACGGCAGGTTGCTCCTTGGCCAGCATGCCCCCCTCGCTATTGTTCACGGTCCTGTGTTTCTCCATCTCTGAAGAGGGGTTTTCGGCGCCGTTGGTACGGATGGTGATCTGCTCCCCGTCCTTAATAGCCAGCCGAGCGTTGCCTATGGACAGAATGCCCGAGCCCTTGACGAACAAGGTAATTTCATCAGGATTCAGGCTGTCTTTCGAAGTATCAGGGGCCTCATCGACGCTTTTCCCTTTATCTTCTACCCCCCTGGCGCTTCTACTTCTTGAGGTCTTGTTGAGTCTAGGACGAGAAGCTGCTGCCAAGGAGCTTCGTTGCCCGTCTGTATCTTCCGTGTGCGACCGTCCCGGCGTGTCCTTATCTTTGGGCTCTCGCTCCTTCGACTGCCTGCGAGCTCGCGATCTCGAGCCCTTGGTCCCTGAGCTCTTTGTCGTCGTGCGTGAAAGTCTCCTGGCTCTTCGGGAAGTCTCGGTCACCCGAGAATTCCCTGCGTCCTGTGGTGGCAATTCTGGTGATCCAGGAAGTGAATCCTGGGCATTAAACGCCTCAGGGGGCTCTGGAGGCTGGGCTTGGTATAAAACAAGGTCAGTGCACCGATTTTGTTGGAGGCTCCCAGTGTCGTCTCCACCGCGGTGGTCGGCCTCGTCCCCACTTGATTCATTTCTGATCCTGGACCGGGCATCATCATCGTCGGAGTCGGAGTCCTCGTAGTACGATGAGCGTGAACTATCGCTGCTGTAAGTATCCGAAGAGGTCGTTGAAATCGTCTCAAGGCTCTTGCTTCTTCTACTTCGGTGCTTCCCCCAACGGAATTTTCCTCCGTGTCTTTTGTCTCTTCCAGTAACCCATTCCTGGTGTGATCGATCCTCTGCGCGTCTGAGCCTCTCCGCCTGATCTCGCAAAGACACTTCTGCCCGCTCGAGTCGCTGTCGAGTGTCACGGTCTTCTCGGGCTTTGTTCTCGCGGTCTTGCTTCTCTTTCGCCAATTTGTGCTCATGCTGGAGTTTCTCAAGTTCCGCCGACTTCTTTGCCATCTGTTCGGCTTGGATCTTGACTTCTTCTTGTAGCCGTCTTCGATGCTCCGCGTCCTCGAGCCGCAAACGCATCTCCCTTTCTCTCCTCTCGCGTTCTTCGAGCGCCCTCAGCCGCTCCAATTCTCTGCGCGCTGCTTCCAATTCATTACGCTCTCTCGTCTCGCGGTAGTCGAGCTCCCGCTGCCGCTCTAATTCTCTTCGCAACGCTTCCAATTCATCACGCTCTCTCCTGTCAAAAGATCCATCATGGGAAGCCACATGTGGTGATTGCCATGGGGACTGCCTCCCATATGAGGGGGATGGTTTAGGAGGAGGTCTGATCACTTGGGGCCCATCGGTCTGATTGGAAGGTTTGGACGATGTGGCAGTGTCATGACGCCTTTGACGGTATGATGTATGAGCAGCCGTATTCGGAGAGTCGGGCTGTCCTGCATTCTGCCATGTGAACTGCTCAATCACCTTTGGCAGATCCTTCCCTATATAGAAGCCCGGCGGGTGGCGCAGTGTAGCTGTGCTTTTCGGGCCCTGAATGCTTCTCTTCAATGCTCTCTCAATGAAGTCTCGGGACCAGTAGAGCAGTCCATCGCGCAGCCGAGTATCATCATTCCAGTGTTCAGTCTGTTGCAACTGCTCGAGCAATTTCTCTTTCGACGGCCGATCCTTGCAGACAAGATAGGTTGACAACAAAGTCTCCAGATACCCCTCGTTGTCTCCTTGCATGGACTTTTGCAACGATGCGAGGTCTTGAAAGAGCTGAGTTGGGTCTTCAGACTGAAAAATGAGCAATTTGAGGCATGCCACTTGAGACTTGTAGTCGTTGAGCTCCTTTGCCACATTCAGTGCCAACTGTATAGGCTCCTTTACGGCCGCGGGAGTTTCTGGTGCGGCCCAACCTGGGTTTTGCGCATTTGGAGGGACGTAAATTCCGGGCAAAAAGCAGTTTTGCCTCTGCCACACGATTCCAGGAAACCCAACTGTGCGATTCCTGTAGGTAAGCCAGAGGCCCTCTTCGCCTTTCGTCCCCCCAGTCAACGCATCAGTGGCGCTCGCCAATATCCAGCGGATAAAAGACCGGCTCTTCATCGCTTTGGGACAATGAGTGATAATGGCTTGAACACGAGCCTTCATCTCATCCATAAAAGCGGATTGACGCTGATTCGGCTCCAAGATCATATCGAGTATGGCTAGATTGGTCGACTCATCTCCTTCGTCTGAAATCCAGCTGTCGATCAGCGCCGAGGGCTTATCTTCCTCCGCCCCAAAGTACAGTGTGACTTCTGAATCTGGGAATGCCGCCAGGATCGCAACGTAGAGATCCTTGAAGTCCCATATGCGGCCTTGAACGAGGAGCTCTTTGAACAGAGCTGACCATTCGATCCAGGATTTTGCAGCTTCATCCAGACCGCTGCTATATCGTTCAGGGGCTACACGCTCAATGTGTGCGCACAGTTCGAGGGCAAGCTTCGCCAGTTGGATCTGAAGCAGCAGTCAGTACTCATATTCCATAAGCTTTGTTCTGGTATCCGCTTTGCAGCCAGGGTATCTGAGACCCCCAAATAGCCAACGTCCTAGGGGACAACCTCCGGTGGCCCAACCTCTTCCGAACCACCTCCTGCAGCATGCCTTCCTATGGGAAACTCTCCTCTGGAATAACATATTGCATTAAGTGATCAAGTAGAAATTCTTTTACCCACAGAAGCTCCGCTATGACGTACTGCCATTTTTGCATGTGCGACGGTCGTAGGGTAAAGTATGTGAACTGCGAAAGAGAGAAACACTTGCCTCGGTGGATCCTATCCCGGACCCGAAAACGAAATTCTCAATCGTGTACCAGGCCTCATTCAATGCATCTTCGTAGTTTCCTTTGGTGTGGATTTCGCAGACAGATTTCATCAGCCTCCAATTTTGACGGAGTAATTCAAGCTCATCGTAGTCCGAACCCGTGGTCGTCGCCGCCAATTGCGCGGTTCGAACAGGTGACCGCTCGCGAAACCTTTCGTAATATATGTCACGGTCGTACTGGTCTATCCAATCCCGTGGCCTGTCGAAGGAGGGTGATCGCGAGCGTCTCACAATTCGCCCATCCGACTCGAATCTGGCACGGCGCTCGCGACGACCGTTGTCCACTGGACTCGGAGACCTGGAGCGAGCTCTTCTTCTTTCTCGTTCTATCACCGGTGGCGGGGACCAAGATCGAACTCGCGGTGGAGGAGGTGGTGGTGGTGGCGACCGAATTCTCTCTGCCACAATGAATTCCTTGCGAGGCCGCGATGGTGGTGGTGGCGACCGACTTCTCTCGGCCACAATGAATTCTTTGCGAGGCGGCGCTCGTGGCGAATCCTCTTCCCCGAACACAACTTCGGCATCCAGCTGTTCAAAGGCTAAGTAATCTCCTTTCTCCAGCAGCATTTGACCATACTGGACGAACACGTATGGGTCACTCAGATGCTGCTCCAGATGGTTCCTGAAGTATTTCTCCGCGGCCCCAAAGTTGCCCAGTCTCTGTAGTCGGCAGAATTCCTCTAGCTCGGTCTCGTAATCATCCGTGATGGGAAGTTCCAGGTGAACACTGGCATCCTGGGGATGGTTCACATCGAAAATAGTCTGAAAGAGACCCGGCATAGGCTCCGAGTTCCTTCGTCGCTTTGGCGCCCCTGTGATTCTATGGGGAGGTGCCGCTTCGCCAACGATTCTTTCCCTTCTGTTTGCAATAGTAAAAGGCTCATCGTCACGGTACCGCACCGGGCTCTGAGATCGGGGTCTCTGCCTCAAGCTGACCTCCTGGTTTTGAGCACCATGACGGTTGGGAAATGGTGACAGGTAGTGTGTTGTTGCATTGGCGTTGCTTTGCCACTTGTCGCGATAAAGTTTGTCTTCGTACCTGTCTGGCCTCCTCACTGTTTCGTACACATCTGATCCTCTGCGATTAGGCCTATAGTCCTCGTAATGGACCTGCCGGCTTGGGACAATGTCATCATAGTATACGCTCGCCGGCCTGGACTCAGAGTATCTAGGCCCATACTCATAATCGCGACCTATTTCGATTGTTTCACTAGACTCTCGGTTCGTCGGCATATTGGCACATTTGTTGCGATTAACGATATGAAGAGAAGATGTTAATTGTGGTGGCAGCTGTATGTGGTGATACCGTCTCTATGTATGCAGTGGAAATTAAAGACGCAAGGGGTTCGCTCCTCTTTTCCAAATCGCAGCTGAGAATTGGCGAAAGCCTTGGTCGAGACGACGTTATCTGAAATCGGACCACCACCATGCAGGTGGCTTGGTGGCGGTGTAGTGGAATAACTCCTACGGACTAGTCCCCAAATTAGGTAGTGGTGGTAGTACAGCCCTCTCAGCTGAATGACGGCCCCCAAATCTGATTGGAAGCTCTCTAATATTCCGCCAGGATTCCCTAGTAATACGGAGTAAGCCGTCATATTTTAAGGAAGACGGATCAGCAGCCTTGGCGGCTAGCGGGCTGTGCCTCCGCACCACCCATCCCAAGATGCCGGGACCTCGGGACCTTTAATTGAGCTGTCCACCCCAGATACTGACCCGAATTTGATGCTGACGAGGAACGTCTCCATGCGATTGCGACACACTGAACATACACAGATGGCAGAAATACTGGTACAAGGTCCTTGGGACCGCAAGGCTGGGCGATACGACTATAAGCGGTTCGACCAAGGCTCCCACACCAGTCCTTCAATGGGATGTAAGTCGACATTTCGGAATTTCCTGTTTCAGCCCGTTTCTTAGCTGCGGCTAATGGAAGTCTGGGGGCCCAGACCAATCGATCGGAAAGGTCAACGTCGGTGTTCGATTCCTTTTGAGAAAATCTCAATGGGGAACATTAGGGCGCGCTGAAAATGCCGCTGGCATCATCTACTTGGAGCTCGAATTCGACCAGCCTCCAGACTGTGAATTGGAATCTGCAGAAATCCAATTGACCTTGGACGAAGAAGATGAGGGGCTGGGGCCATATCGTGTTGAGAGCTTGCCACCCTCAGACCGCCTGGTTCTGGTCACCGACTTTTATGGACCTGGAAACCCCTTGGCTGGCACTGCAAAGAAGGTTGCGATCAGAAAGTCGCACAAGCTCGAGCCTTCAGCAAACGTGTTGGGCAATGGAGGCGCCCTGGGTGCTTTGGCGAATGAAAAAGTTCTTGAGCATGAAAGTCGTTGGAAATTCGAGACCCTCAGAGTGCCTGACAGGAGCAGTCGCAGGCAATCGGCCGACAGATGCCTGCGGTGGAGGATGACAGAGAACGATATCGAGAGGTCGACCCGCAGCAACAAAGTCTACACCGCCTTTGCATACGAGCACAGCGGGCAGCCATTCCTGATGAAGATTGAGATCTCGGGCAAGCTGAGGAAGCGGGGCGATCGGATGAAGGCCAACCTCAAGAAGTTTGGGCCCCGAGCACGAAAGCAAGAGGATATCTCCACCACACTGGTCGGCGCGTATCTTGGCAACAGGAGACCGCTTGATGAGCTTGCCCGGGGCTTAGCGAGTGCAATGGAGTTGGAGAATTGTATGGAGGCAGCGGTCGAGGTCCCTGAGGTGCAGACAGCCTCCTTTCAACAAGTTGCACGTGATTCAATCTCGTCTACGAACTCGGCTCAGGGTCCTTCCAGTGCTCAGGCTTCAGGCCAGACTTGCATAGAGGGAACTACCCCTCAGCCCGAGTTAAGACTGAATGGCCAGACTCTTGATATGTTGGAAGACACGCCAGTTGGAACAGTACGCGACCGCACCGCGTCGACACTGGAGAACCTCGCTCGGTCTCCAGAATATTTCACAAAGTCAATCAGGCTGGACTCGCAGGTCATTCGCGGGGATGTTTCCGAAGCTTCAGGTCACTCTTCAGACACCACCCTGGTAGCCACTCAGTCTGAGCAGTCGCAGCCGGAGACACAGCCGGAGTCGCAGCCAGAGACACAGCCGGAGTCGCAGCCAGAGACACAGCCGGAGTCGCAGCCAGAGACACAGCCGGACGAAGAGGAAATCATAGAGTCCAAGAGCCACAATTCGGCTCCTGCGGTGGTGGATCAGTTCGACGAAGACATCATGACAAGAGTGATGGAGGTTGCCATGTTGCGAATATTTATACAGTCTATACTTTGGGTAATGGATTTTTTTGGAGCTTTTGGCGCTAGGAAGCCTGAAGAAACGCAGCGGGAGAAGAAAACACAGAGGAAAAGGCCTGGGCGTGTGAGACACAGGAGAAAAGAAACATGAGTCTACAGATAATTAATATAAAAGGGGGTCTGATGAAATTGAACGTACAACGGAGCTGCCACGTGATGATATCAGTGGATGTGTATTTGACATATACGATTACAACTTTAGAAATAACATGACATAGCAGAGCACCTATGTATAAATACTGTGTGCCTGGGTAATTGCCTTGATAAGAGGTTTCAGTATAGATGTTCTGCTGTACGGAAGTGTTCCAGGTCCAGCAGGAGGCTATGATTTTGTCTTTCACAAGGATGGGGCCTTCTCAGCCAGGAGGGCGTCCCATGAAAGAGAGTCCCATTGGACGCTATTCCATGAGAAGGAACCTTTGAGAGGGTATACTGTAGAAGAATATCATTGATGTCATACTAGTAGGAGGCTATCCCATAAGAGACTGCCACATGTGAGCTTGGGAGGGACTATATAGCCAGGTGGCAGACACCCGAGCACAGTTGCGTTTGGAAAGCTTAAAATTGCCAAGGATTGATTGTTTCTGCCATTCAACATCCTGCCATGTGAAGGATTCCAGCAAAAACTAGACCAGCAGCACCAAAGAACTCTTCCACATGCAGTAGCCACAATTGCCACATCAGCTCTCTACCCGTGGGCTTCGGCTTCCACTTACCTACTCCTGGCGGAGTGGGTACCAAAACCCCGCAACGACTAAAATCCTGTAATACCTATACATTCTTTTATAAGGTAGGGAACCTACTTAAATATAGAATTTAGATATAATATTTATTATATACTATTTATATATTTAAGTCTTTAATATAAATATTTTATTTAAGTAATTAGAAGCTATGTATATAATTTAATTATATTTAATTTAGTTTAATTATAGTATTTATTAGCTTTATTATTAATATTTATATATAATATATATATTAATTATTTAATTAATTAATATATTTTAAAGTATATTAAAAATTATATTAAAAATATTTAACTATTAAATTATAATTAAAAGTATTTATAATTTTATATATATAAAAATAAAGTTAAAATAGTATAAAAATATTCTTTAATATTTAATAAAAGTAGTATAAGTAGAGATATTTTAAAAAAGGTTTATTTAAAGTTTAAGTTAAAAGATTTATAAAAATATTAATTTAAACCTTTTATAAAGATTACTTAAAGGATTTTATAAAACTTTCCTATTATATTAAGTTTTTAATATTATTAATTATATAGATTTATTTATATAGTTTTGAATTATTTTTCTTTTATAATTATAAAAGGAGGGTATTTTAATATAATATATTTAATTACTTTTAATAATAATTTTAATTTAATTATTTTATAATAATTAATTAAATTAACCTTCTTTACTATTTAAAGTAATAATTATTAATTAAAAATATATATATATTTTTTATTAATTAATATTTAAAATTAAAAGAATTATTAATTAAGTTAATTAAATTAAAATATAAAATATATAAAATTATTATTTATAATATAAACTCTTTTTAATTATTTAATAAATTATTAAATTTATTATTAATTAATTAATTTAAATATATAAAATAATAATAAATATAATAATATAATTAATTAGTTAAATAGTTATTTTATTATTATTATAATTTATAAATAATTAAATAAAAATATTAAAGTTTATAATTTAAATAGTTATAAGTTTATAATTTTTATAAGTATTAATAATATTATTAATAAGATTATTTTTATATATTATATATTTAAAATTTAATTAAATTATTATTTTATTAAAATATAATTTAATAAAAGTTTAATTTATTTAATTAAATATAAAGTTTTTAATAGTAAGATTATATTTAATTAATTTTATTATTTTAATTAATACTTTTTAGTTATTATATTAGTTTTAAGTATTAAAATATTACTTTAAAAAAGTAGTTTAATATTAATTATTTTTTATTTTAATTAATAAAAAAGAGAACCTATTTAAGATAATATAAAATATATAGACTTTTAAAAACATAATTTAATAAAGGTTTTCTTAATAGTTTTATTAGTTATTATAATATTAAAGTTACTATATATATTTATTAATTTAATATATTTTTATTTTTATTATTATATTTAATTTATAAATTCTAATTTATAAATATTAAAGTTTTAATATTTAAAAGAAATATTAAAATATATTTTAATAAATAATTTAAAAAGACTATTTTATAGCTTTTATAAAGACTTTCTTTATAAAGTACTTAGCCTAATAATTAATATAATATTTATATATAAGTATATTATATATAATTTTAAGAGAATTAATTTTAATTATTTAAATATAAAGTTATATTAAGTAAATTAATAATTTATAATATAAAGTTTTTATATTATTATATTTAAATTTATTATTAAATTAATTAAAAATATTTAATTTAAAAGTTTAAATATTAAAATATATAATTATATATTATAAGTATTTTTAATAATAATATTTAAAAGATTAATTATTACTTTATTAATAACCTTTAAATTTATTATTTATAAAAATAATTTAATTAATTTAATTTTAATTAATTAATAATACTTAAATATTATTATAAAAGTAGTAATTTATTAAAAAGGTTATAAATTTAATAGAGATATAATTATATTTATTTAATTAGAAAAACTTTATATTAAAGTAATAACCTTTAAGTAAAAGAGAGATTAATAAAAGAAAAGTAATTATAAATTATTAATTAATTATATACTTAAAAGAATAAAACTAAGTTATTATATATTTAAAATATATTATAATTTTATATAAATTATTAAAAGTTATTAAATATAAATATAATAAAAGTTAATTATAAAAAAGTATAATTTAAATTCTATTATTTAATTAAATAAGAAAAGAATTAAATTTAATTAATAAAAGAAAAACTATATAAAATTATTTATAATAATTTAAAATAATTATAAATTAAAACTTTTATATAATTTAAAGATATTTTATTATAATTTAAATTAAAAATTAAATTTAAGTTAAATAAAAATAATTATATTTATTTTAATTATATTAATAAACTTAAATTACTTTATTTAATTATTAATTTAATTTAATTATTAATTTAATAAAACTTAAACTTAATAAAGAGTATTTTAATTAAAAAATAAATATTTTAAATATTTTATTTATAAAGTAATTTAATTAAATTTAACTATAATAATTATAATAGTAATAATATATTTAATTTAATTAAAGAAAGTAAAGCTACTAATAATATAAATTATTATTTAGGTATATTAATAAATTAATTTAATATACCCTATTACTACTATTTATATAAATTTATTAAAGTTTTTAAAGTATATAAATAGAATAATAATTAATAGTTTTTTAATTTAATTAGTAAAGTATTTATATTTAATTTAATTATTATTTTATAATTTATATACCTTATAAAAGGTTATTAATTTAATTTTAATAAAGATTATATATTTTTTTTATTTAAATTTAATTTAAAATAGTTAATATAATCTTTTTTTTATTAAATTAAATATATATAAGATATTAGTAATAAGAATAGTAAGTTATTATATTTAAAATTTAAGTTTTAGTGGGTTCTTTATTTAATAAAAGAATATATAGGTGTTATATAATTTTAACTATTATAGAATTTTAGTACCCTCTACACTAAGGGTGTAGGGGGGTAGGGAAGGCCTGCCCCCCGGGTAATAAACATCTTGAGTCATTTCATTCATTCCATCCCTTGTCATGATGCTGGTGGACCCACATTTCGCCCAATTGGCAGTGGGTAGTGCAGGGTGGGTCCCAGGGTGCAGACTTTTCCCCCACCAAACCCACCCATATAGCACCACAACTCCACCCATCGACATCTCAACATCCGGTCCGGTGGTGTAGTTGGTTTATCACATTAGTCTAACATTAAAAACGGCCTCAAAACCGATTAATGGCAGCACTAAAGGTCCCCGGTTCAAGCCCGGGCCAGATCACTAGTTGTTGGGATTTCTTTTTGTTTGTTTTTACCTCTGCCGGGTGGCCCTTCTCTCCTGCGCCCTTTCCGGGGTCGTAGCAACTACCAGACAGGTGAATCTGCCATTTCAGGTTTGTTCCAGTCTGTTTTGGTTTGCTGGAAACGCTGAGGGAGTGCGTTGTGTGGTCTTCCCTGAGGTTAGATTTTGATATGCCTCTGTTCGCTGGTGTACCGCTTCAACTTATCACTATCAGGCTCACCCTGGGTCTTTTAGATGTGCCTGACAGAAGTAAATGTCCAGCGAGACCCATGCGATGCGCCTATATGTGGTCCAGACCCGGCACACATTGGCCTTACCCATATCCCTCCTCAGTTTTCATTTCACTCCCGCTCACAAAATATCTAGTGACCAAGAAGATGTCGACAAGCGAAGCATAACATCTTACATTCCGGCGTTTTCTTTTCCTTTCATCAGGTCGGGGAAGACCGGGGGTGGGCGGAATTCAGGCCGCCCATACTAGATGGTGGTCAGCATGGATTCGCCCGGTTTGTAAGAGACCCCAATGAGTGAGCTGGATTTAGGGTGATACAGCAGATTACAGTAACACAGACATCCAATATAAATGGCTACGGAAAGTTCATCGAGATTCATCAAGTCTCTTCCATTTCTCCGCATTACAACCCAGCAGCCCCTTCAAAGACACTGGCAGTTCTGAGGGTTTTCTCCTGTTCCCACCTCGATAATCCCTCGTTTCAGCCGCATACTGTAAGGGAGGTTCTTATGTGCATTCTAAAATTTGTGGGGAAGAGTCTCAGCTTATCTTGTTCATCTAGTCGTATACCAGTGACAGACTGGTCATCTGTCAATTCTGGCCCAGAACTTCCCAGACAGAATATGCCTCTTGATCGTCTGGTGTTCATCTCATATTGACTTGATCTAAGATATCCAGGCGCAGGTGATAGCCACGAACGAATTTGTTCATCTGATTCGTGCAGTCCAGTTACAATGTCAGGACCATACGATACCTCATTCAATGCGAATTGGTATTGCTGTGCATGCGAAGCAAGAACAAGAAATTTCATGCTTAATCCCAATGGCTCCAGCAGCACTACATGCGAGAATTCAGGCTGCTGGCATATCAGATGTGGTAACTGTAGCACTGGCGGCGGCGACGGTGGGGGCCTGGGTTACCCTCGCAGCCATAGTGACCATGGTAACAAATCACCCCGAAGTCCAGCTAAAGAGCATCATCATCCAACTTCGTCATCAAGAGCCAGTACTTTCAACACCACACATAACCCCAGACAGCTACAGGATAGCACTACAATGCGCGATTCTCCCCCACCGCCCAAAACGTTAAGCAAAGATGGGCAGGAGATTACGGGCGGTGCTTACTCCGTACTGATTCAGACGGGCTTATCAAAGTCTTCTGGATCTTCAGCGGTTTCTGAGCGCCAAGTGTCGTCGCCGAGCTACAATACCGGAGGGGGGACAGAGGTACACACCACGGCCACAACAGCGAGCAATGCGGCAAAAAATGCCGGTATCAACCAAACATTCAAAGACGACGAAAGCGTGTCGGTCGCAAGCAGTATAGATCAATTTTATTCCGGGGTTGCGACGGTGCTTGGGAACAACCTGGCGCAAGACTTAGAAGAAGTTGATCTTGCGAATTTCGAAAGCAGGCTTGTACCGAGGCTAGAGGAGTTCTCGCTGCGGTTCGGAAACGAGAACGAAAGTGCGTCTCACCTGCGCATGATGTCGATAATCTACCGGAATTCCAGGTAATTATGAGTGGTTGATTCAAGCCCCGCTGAAACTTGGTCTCTTCATGATTTTTCCCTTTACTGCGGCTCGTTTATTGACCCTTTTCTATGAACAAGAAAATCGCCTCTCAAATCTGCTATGGCACATATGAAGAAGTGGGTGAAGGCTCGATTTCCATCAGTGATGGATCCAGCTTAGAAGACTCGAGTGCCACCAAAGCTGGATCCCGCATGGACGTCGCAACGCAGAAGGCTGCGATCGCCAGATGGCGCAACGATGTTGAGGTCTCCACAGACACAACATACGATGAGACTCTCAATACTGTCGTTCAAACCGCCGAAGCTGAATACAACGAGGAAGTAATCACTTCAGGCCACGAGACGCTACTGGGGTCCGAAGCATACCAATGGCTGGTTTCCGTTTTGAAACGGGATTCGCGCTTGAATGGCATTGAACCGCACTGCATGTCAAGGTGTCGTGAGGTTATGAGTCAGCTGCTACAGAAGCTCACGGATCGGTGGTGTCAGAGGCCGGAATATCGCAGATTGATAACATCAAAAAGACAGCCGCCTCTTTACAGAGCTAGATTCACCCTTCCGTGGGACCCTTTATCGTTCTTGAGGGAAGAGTATGAAGGGGAATCTCCAGGAGATGTTGTGTCTCAGGTCATCACACTTACTGGAGATGGGCTGTCGGTGCAGGCGCAAACTTGCCGAGGCTACCTCGAGCAGGTATGGTCAACAACTGGTTCGGATTTCATGGACTTGATAGTGGACTTGGTAACGCGCCCCGAACACAGCTGCGAACGTAAGTCATTGCTCTCACGCTTCAACGGCTCACGTATGACTGAACAAGCCAAAGGTGTGCTCCCAGATCGAACCGAACTTTCAGCTACACTACACGGCAAGACCTGTGTCATTGAGGCACTTGGTACGCAAAGTAGTCTCAGCGATGTGGCCGAACAGATTTTGTGGATCTCAACAACGCTAAGGGTTTCTTCGGACACCGCCACAGGTGTAACACTGTGCTCAGCTCATCTTATCCCGACAGAAATTCAAGTTATGGACGATGAGGTCGGGAGTTCCGACCAGGGATACAACCAACGGTGCCTGGGCAAGGTCAAATACCAGGTCGAATACACCACAGACACTCTCCCAAATGCAGATAGGCTACCTCAGGGGTACTGCTGGATGCAGTTATTCCCGTCGTGTTCAGTGCAAGTGACAAATGGATATCCGATTCCGTCGCGGAAACACCAACGGCCAGGTCTGGAATTACCCCTGGACATCATGGTATTCATGATAGGTGCCGACCGAGTCACTCAATTCAGTCATGACTTGATTATCAAGGGGTACTCTGATCTTTTTTACGCGACTGAGCAGAAGGATGGGTGCATAATGTGGCACCTGATATGTAACGAACCCGACCCAGTGTTAGGGGCGTCACAGATCTCATTCGCAGATGTGCGGGTCCCTCAAGCTACAGACAGGACACTCTCACTTTTACCCATTGACGATGTGCCGTGCATGCGTCACATAATTGGCTGGACATCTGAAGTCAGGTCCAATGCAGGTGAGTTTGTCGCCCAGGTTGTCTGTTTTTCAACTTAATAATCGCCTTGTCGTGAAAAAGCGCCCCTGGTGCTCAATACAGCTCAATTACCTCATCCAAACTCGGCCGCCCACCACAGGGCTGGGCGCTCGATAAACTTCAGCTCACCGCAGGGAAGATTGCGACGCTATCCGGCAGCCTTATGCGCAGCAAAAGACAGAAACAGATCGTTACTGTGGATGAGAACTACCTTCGTAGGCTTAGGGATATCGGGCGAGTTAGATTCCTTCTTTATGACGTGGATACCGAAGTGCGTAAAGTCTGGATGGTCAACGGCCTCAGCGTTCTTCTGCATCTGGTCAGGAGCCATTTGGTCGATGCAGAAAACGATAAAATATCTGGAAAGGCTATGAAACTGAAGGCAGAGCATCTAGAAGTTGTGGGGGAGCAGAATGGGCCGGGAGTCGCCTATGCCACGTTGACGTGCGAGCGAAACAGGGGGTTGCCCCTATACCACGAGCCCGTACCGGACCAGACAGGGTCAACTGAGAAGAAGCATAAGAACACGGACCGCTTAGAGGATTTGGTCAGGTCTCTACTGCACGTAATGGAGCAAATCGTGGACCACCAAAACGACTTCCGAGATGAAGAAGCGAGCGTCGGTTATCGTATCAAGAGAGCACCATGGGACCGTCTGGAGGGTTTTGATTTCATGGACGTCGCAACTTTAACGCGCTCAATGACACCACGGGCTGCGAGCCTTCTCCGAGATGGCAAAGCATGGGTACAGCTCACCCGCGCACTCAACACACCGACGCTGTTTGGCAAACGTTTTGGCGAGATGCTGGAACCCGCTACGATTGACCAGACCGGCAGCAGGTGCAGCGTATGTCACTGGAACGACACAATGCCACGAGAGCGTGACCTTCTCGCTGCAAGAGTTCAGGACTTACTGGATGCCGGCACAAAAGATGGGAGCCGAGTCCACTTCACTCCCGGACTTTGTCTGGACATTCCCGTGATGGTATTTCAGCCTTGTACGGCCGGATGCCACGACAACGACAGGATCCAGAAGCTGCAACAGTCCTCGAAGGATACGCATTCGCCCGGAACGGATGAGACACAACCAACCTCTCTATGCAGCAATTTATCGTCAGCGGCGATCCTCGTTGGTTTGCCTCGCGAATCACGCAGGCAGGCATTCCGCCGGTATCTCGACCTCGCTGTAGGCCACTCGGTGCAAGTTTCAGCGTCCTCGTTGAAGAGCAACGGTACCAATAGCTACAACTCAAGCCCACAAGGTTCGCCTGCGCAAACTGAGAGCACGCCCGCAACAGATATGTGTTCTCCACAACTGCTGTCCGATGGTTCTGAGAACCTCTGCAGCACTGTGTTATCCACTCCCGCACCCCTGGAGACATTGCAGGATGATGTTCATCGAAGAAAAAGAGCTGTAAAGCGCGCCCAGGAAGGAAAGGATCTTCGTAAAATATGGGATATCTAACTCGACGGAGCTTCTGGTGTACTTACAGGTCTGTAGTTACAGATTGAACGCATGTCTCCCAAGGCGCCGAGAAGATGACAAGCTCTAGAGTGAGTGATTTAGTTCTTAGTCCGTATACATCCCGAAGGCATACCCCGTCCCTTAACACACTTATCAGCGCTCAAAGACCCAGGGTTTGAAATAAAATAAAAATCAATGCCAACAACGTTGTAAGGAAGACTGGGCACGTGGCCTCAGCCTTGTGCCGCACACTGGCAGACAAGGCTAGCAAGCATCGCTCCCGACAGATGACAAGTGATTCCCGAGAATCTGGTTCCGGGGGAAATACTTGTACCTCAAGTACTTTAGATCGTAGTAAAGCATGGAACAGAATTTAGGAGCACGTTTCGATTTGACACGATCTTAACCCAGTATCTAGGGATGATCGCTTAGCTGGTCACATGCGCCGCCGATCCCCCCACAGAAAGATCCAGGCTGGGTGAAGATGACTGACAAGTGGAACTGTATAGATCACACCCATCGATTAGGTGCATAGCACCGATTCAATTTCAAACCCCCAGCCACAAAGCATGCAGAGCATGATTGATCTAGTCTAGCTTCTCACGCGTCCGATCGCGCTACAATATGACCCAGAAACTCTCACATCCCTTGAGTTCCCCGTTCCAGGCAAGTGGAATCATCAATGCCTTTCACGGGAATGTCCCTTGCATCGTTAGTGCCCCAAAGGCGTTGGACTTCTTCTAAAATTTATGTACAGAAGGGGTGAGGTGCTTTTAGTATATGTAGCACGCTTTTCTTTCTCTCAACTGGAAAAGGCTCCACCACTGGTTCAATCAGTAGCTGGTTCCTCACGTTTGTTGCAACAGTCCACCACTAAGCCTGCCGCAAAGATGCAGTTCCATCCATCATTCGTGCTGTTCTTCGCCTCAGGGTAAGTTCCCAACTTCACCCAGCGATCCGCTGATCTAATGTCCCGGGCGACTGCTAATTCTATTCCAAATGCTAGCACCGCCGCTGCTCTGTGCACCTGCCTCGCCTCGTCCGGGCACACGCAGCAGTGCTGCCCAACACCCATTGACTGGAACTGGACCAATTGGGTCTACAGGGCAAGCAACCATCCACACCATATAGTACGTGGATTCCATGACTAAAACTTTTTTCTTGTAGTGTGAGGTCGGCAATGATCCAAACGCAACGCTTGCTTTCACACAGTGCTGTACGAGCCTCGCGGCCAGCGGGGGAGCCTGTCGCTAGATGTGCCATCTTAGGGTGGTTACATGTCAATTATCTCATGTGTGGGAATGCCATATGTCTTGCCACTGAGCAGCATACATGTTCTTCATCCATGCTAACAAGCTGAAATTTCGACCAAGAACCTCGGTGACAGAACGGGACTGAAGCCTTCTGCTGAGAGTCCACCGCATCTTCATGCGTTCCCATCAATGTGATCTGTTAACCCCTGTTTACAAAATAGTATGGATTACTGCCTCAACAGCACCTCCCCTCCAAAATTTTGTCAAGTCGTACGATAGCACCTGTAGGTTGCCTACCTCTGGTCCGTCGGAAGTGTTTGATTCTCCAGGTTGAGGTCCTGTGCGGCACGAGCCCACGGAGCCCACGTGCCCACAGACGTATCGTGTTCTCTGTGGACTGTTGTTGGCATTGCCAGTGTATGAAGGCGCCGCCGTGTATGGCCTCAAATGTTCGGACGTATGCGGAATAGAAGCGAAACCAGTTACCACATGTGCTGTCCCTGAGGGCCGCACAAGCTGGCGGCGGCGGCAAGCCGAGATGTGACTGCCGGAGGGGCGGGGAGGTAAGGATGGTTCAAAAACGGGACCACTGTCATAAATGGGGATGCGTTCCTACACTGCGCAGCCGCGATTAACCCTTCCCACGTACCGTCCAGAAGAGGGAGCAGAGTACCTAGGTGGTTATAATACTCTCCAGCCACAGTACTAACTCAAAGGGAGGGGAAAAGGTCCCATCCCCAGCCAGACATGTATGCGATCGTGGATGATTCCGTTTTCAGATGAAGAAACTGATTTTATGTTCGATGTGGGATTATTCCTATTCCAGCTCCTTTGCCCGCTCTACCGCATTCCACCAGTAGATAGACGCCAGAACCAAAAACAAGTAACACCCCCCCGGAATGACTTTGGCTCGCAGACAGACCACAACTAACTAAACTCACACAGGACACGGCGCTCCCCTACCCTACCCGCGCACACACACACTTCACTTCTTTCTTAAGACGGACGACACGCACGCTCAGCTCCACGCCCCGCTCAACCCGCTCCGTCCGTCACCCCGCTTTCGTCCATTTGTCCTTTCCCGTTCTTTGCCGAAATAAAACTTGATCAAACCTTGCAATTCCTTGAACCAGATCCAGAACACCGGGAGATTTGGACTTCCATTTCTCAAGACAAACCAAACAAAACGCAAGATTCCCAACACGGGCCGGACCCACTTCGCTGCCTCAGAGCCCCCCCCCCAGTCGCTACCGCAGAGCGGTCGCAGAGGGGGAAGATGATGCTCCTTTCTATCGGCCTGAGAAGTCCGACGATTCCGGCAGGACCTTCTTATCCTTCCTCGCCTTGATGGCCACCTCTGCCATGAGGTGCATGTGGTCCGAGGGGAAGTGGTACGTCGGGAAGCCGGGCACGCGCTTGAGGTATTCCATGTCTGGGGGTCCGAGCAGTGATACCACCTCCAGCGAGTTGCTCGAGTACCAGATGTAGTCGATGACACCCTCGAAGGTGGGCACGTAGTTGGTGAACGGCATCTGGTCCGCCGAGTGCATGAGCTGGGAGTACGACGAACGCAGGTTGAAGGGGTGCTCGATGCCGTCGCGGGTGAAGTTGCCGTATTGCCTCTCGCCGAAGTCCGGGTTGTTGGGCTCAACTCGTCCCTTGGACAGGAGCTCGTAGACCGAACTGTCATAGGTGGAGTTGTAGTCGCCGCACACGAAGAGCGGGATGTCCGTGTTGTTCCGGTATTCTTGTGAGGGCGCCGGTTCGGGCATGACCTCGCGTTCCTCGCCCTCCGGAGCGAGCTGGATGAACTTCTTGTCTCGACAGGCCGGCCAGCGTGCGTACTTCTCGGCGTGCTTGGTGACGCTATCTATCAGGATTGCCGTCTGGATCAGCTTCACATCGGCCAGCTCAGGCTCCCAGGCAAGATGGGCGTTCGCCACGATCATCCTCGAGCCTGTCTGCCGGCTCTCAAAGAAGCATATCATGCCGATGTTGTCCTTGGGCATGACACGGTTGAAGATGTCGTGCTGCGTCTTCATATCGGGCCTGTTGATCGCTATGTTTTGGAAATCGATCATCTGCTTGTCGAGCAGAATGTATTTCTTGGCCTTATAGAAGACGGCGCATCCGTCCACAGCGTTCGCCTCCTTGCCACTCATTATCTTGGCTTTGGAGCGCGAAAACTGTACGCCCTTGTAGCCATCGGCAGCCAGTTCGGGACTGAAGACTTCGTTCATGGCGTCCACCGAGACTTCCTGCAGGCAAACAATGTCGGCGTCGCGCTCGCGGATTTCCTGCAGTATCGCGTCCTTCCGGTACTCCCACGATAAGGCCCCGGTGGGCGTGTATCCGTACATGGTCGTCGTCGAATACTTTTCGCAGAGGATATTCCAAGTCAGGACTTTGATGCGCTCCAAGGTAGGGGGGCTGTCTGGATTGAGCACGATGACTGGTCTCGGGTTGGGGGGAAGAGGCACTGTTTGGCTTGTGTTAGCAAATCATAACGAGGCAGTTAGTTACTGGACGCTGTGGCTTACCTGGTGCTTGTTCACGGAGAAGGCTGATGAGACTCTTGGTGCCCTTCTCGATGATCTCTTGCTTCAGATCATGCTCGAGAGGGTTGCCCTCAATGCCTAGCATCTCCAGGTTGAACAAGTGGCCCAATTCGTAGGGCAGCGACCGGATCTGGTTGTCAAACAGGTGGAGCTGCTTGAGCGAAGTGCACATGCCAATCTCGGGCGGGATGTCCCTGATCTGGTTGTGCGACAGGTCAAGCAGCGTCAGGCATCTCAGCTGGCCGAACTCCTCGGGGATCCGCGTCAGGTTGTTGGAGGCCAGGTAGAGCTCCTTGAGGAAGCTGTAATTAAAGCACGGTGTTGCTAGGTTGCGCAGGCCCTGGCCGCTCATGTCGAGGTTGAACCAATCCTGTCGTTCGTCCGTCTTTTCGACCATGTGAGGCCGCCTGACGCCGGAGTCGTCGTCGCCTTCCACCTGGTTTGTGGTCGACGTTGCCGTGATAGAAGGGCCGATGCCCCTGTTCTCTGCCGCCTTGAGACGGGCGAAGTAGTGCCCTTGGTGCTGTTCTACGACGGCGGCGTGTGCCCTCTGCGAATCCTTGTGCGCCCTTAACTGTGCTGCCCACTCGTCGCTGATCTGTTGTGCCTGGCCGCCTCTTGTTGTACCGGGATGGCCATTGGGGACATTATTATTGGAGTAGGGGCTCGCATTTGGCATCACGCCGCTCGAGTAGCCGGAGCCGTGACCCATGGACCCAGCATGGCCGGAGTGGTCAGGCTGTATACCCTGGTGGTGGGAGGCATGGGCGTACTGGTGTGAGGGGTTGGATGGATGGTTGTAGAGCATGGGCATGCCGCGCGAGGAGGCGGAAGGCCCGCCATTGAGGCGTGAGTTGGGCCCCGGCTGGTGGCCCGAGTTGTACATGCCTTGTGAGGAGCGGGCTTGGGCGCCGAGGTCTGGGGACTTGGAGGCGGGGCGCGAGCTTGGGGAGACGTGGCTGAGGAGGGTGTTCAGGAGGGTTTGGTTCGCGAGCGGGTTTTTCGGTGTGGGCTGTACGTAGATGAGGTTGCCAAGGTGCTGCTGGAGATACTGATAACCATCTGCCATTTAGCTACCATGGGTGACGGCCGAGGGAGAGACCGGGTGCGGGCTGGGAGGGTCGGCGAGGCGGGTGCTGCAGATAGCTCTGGCGGGCATGCGATGGGTGGGATTCGAAGGAGCAACGTCGGGATCGGCGGCGGCACATGGGAGAGTCGACGTGTTGGGGCTCCAGCATAGAAGCTCGCGGGCGAGAGGAGGAGCGAGGCTGGGGGGTCGCGATCTTGTCGTCGAGGTCAGGACGACATTCACTCAGCCTCGCAGGACCGAGGGCAGTGACGGGGCGGGATCCGTGTCGGTATCGGCCGAGGGAGCCAGCGTGTTTGTCACAGCTGACTCGTTGTCATCGAGGAAAGCAGCACAGCAGGGGCTCGTGTGTTGGTCGGCCAATGCAAACGGCAGAATCGCTGGTGGCAATGGATGTTGTTTTTGTATGTTTTCTGCTTAATCGAACCGGTAGTCGGATCCACACTGCAGGAAGGGGAGTCTGTCAGCTTTAGGGGGCTTCAACTTCAACTTGCAGCTGAGGCTCGAGGGCAGGGAGGAGTGCTTGAAGGATGGGCTTGAGGGCTGGTGGGCTGGGTGTTTTGGTCGGGCTTGGTCATGGATGGAGGGGGGAGAGGGTGGGTTGTTGCTGGGGAGCTGCGGCTGGCAATGGATGGGCTGCTGGTGACGGGGACGAGGAGTGCAAATCACCACTCACCCCTATAATGAATGTCTGCCGCTGTCGACAATGCCGTATGAGATGGTCAATGGATACTTTGGATTGCGATAGATATAAGCTTCTTCTGGTTTTGCCTTGGGCTTCGATGTCTCAACATCACCCGTTAGCCTAGGCCACTTCACCTTGGGCCTGCCACCCGACCGGCAGAGTCAGCACGAGGCCCGAGCTCCTTGCTGCCACGTGACGATTTACGTAATCCCCACGACAAGTCACCAGCTCCTTCAGTCTTGGAGCTCAGGGGGAGCAGCAGCTAGCAGATTTGGTTGCCACTCTGTCAGTCCATTTGGTCCATCTCACTTTGGCAGCAGAGGTTGCCATTGTCTATAGGGGCTGCCATGTCCACCTCCTCACCTCTTTGATGTTGTCATTAGGACCCAGCCAGCCAGCAAGCAAGGAACTAGCCCACCCGCTGCCACATACTGTATATGCACCACCACCTGGCACGACTCAAGTAGAAGTGACGTGACGTGACCTGCACAAAGTCATGCTGAATGCTGCCCTTCAGCTCTTTTCAGCCAGACTGCAACTTGAAGGTTGTGTCAACCTAACCTAAATTCCATATCAGTTCAACTGCAAGGTTTGGCTGATGAAACATTACGGATCTGTACCTTCTTTCCATCGATCCCAAGTCATGAAACGGAGTAGAAGCACGCAAGTATGCCGTCAGCTGTCAGCCACCAAGGAGACTGCCAAAAAGACAATGGCCCACACACTCTCTTAGCTCGATGAGACTGATCAGACTGAAACTAAATTCTGGCTGACCTAGAAACTTAGAGAGCAGGAGTTCAGTCAGAGTGCCCTGGCTCAGTGAGAGCCCTTGAATCTGTTCCTTCCAGTGGCTGAGGAAGTGCTTTGAATGACACTACAGAGCCATTCAGGATGCCGCAAGTTTTCCACCCAGTCAACCTTGCAAGCCCATATCGCAAGACTTTTGGTACAACTGGCTTTTGAAGTTTTGAATTGTGCTCCACGTAAACTGCCACCCCGTTCTCAGAGCTCCGGCTAATCACAAGCCTCAATGTTGACCCGGATTGGCTGATTGTTCCAGCACTTTCCCAAGAAATCATGGAGTGCCCAGGTTGTTGCCTGCTTCCGCATCATTTTTTTGTTTGGCAGAGAGCCCATCAGTCAGACCACAACCCGTGTCATGCTGGCAGAGAAACTGGTTCATCAACCCACCTCGCAACACCGTCCAAACCCTTTGCAAATGTCTGACCTGCTCCCATTGGTCGCCTGCATTGCCCACCACCGCGACTGGTGGTGCCCAGGTGTTCATGTGTTTACATGAAACACACAGCTGACATGCTGCAGCAGCACGGAAACCGACAAAGATCGACAGCTGCTACCCAGATGGCCAATTATGAGGAGCGTTTCAGGAATTCCGAGCACCCAACTCATCTCGGTCCCAACATTGAAGACTGCCCAGCAACCAACAAACTGAGCAGAGGCACGCTTTTAGATATCCTCCTTCCGCGCTTGCCGTCTTGAACAAAGATCGAATGCGTTGGCATTTCCAGTGGCGGTGTGACGCTTTTGCAGCGGCGGTAGTCGCACAAGAAGTTATCATATTCTTGTGAGACTTCTCAGTTATACGATGTGTGACATGAGATAATACTTACTGGTACGCCCAGGAGGGAACCAGGAAGTCTATTCAGCCATTTTCGATTGGCCATTATATCCATTGAAACCAACCACCGGGGATTGATATGCTGTCTCTCGCCCACATTGCTACTGCCATGTGGAACTCTCAAAGTGAATCCCGTATGGACTCATTTCCTCATATGGCAGTGCAGAGAATATCGCCAGTTGGCCTCGGCGCATGAGTGAGCGCAGTCCCGCACTTCAGATATTTCCTGGCGGGGAGGCATTAATGGCCAGAGTGTCTGCATCTTTAGGCTTAATGGTGTCTTTGGGTCGGGTGAGTCTTTTCCCACCGGCACCAAGTCCCAATAGGACAACCTCCTAACTACAGACCAACGTCCTACAAGCCGACGACCTGCAGGCCAACCTCCTATTGGGCAACGCACCGAGGCAGACAAGCCACAAGGGTGGTTAGGACATCATGGAATTGTTTCACTGTTGAGAACATGTGGCGGCGTGCGTTGTAAAACTTTGTGTTACAAATGGTAGACTGGGAGCTGATTCTTTCCGGAGGACCACATCGCTGAGAGTCTAGTCCGCAGCTGTTTTCCCACCACCGGGTGATTTCCAAGACATGCCGCAAGCGAGGGGTTCTCCCTCTCAATTCAAAGGTTTGCTATTTGCCTGCCTAGGTGCGGACAGGCGGGCAGTGGTGCTGGTATAGTCAACTCATTTAGGAAACAAACACAACATCGGCCTCGACCTTCCGGCGCACGAGGCCTATATCGGGAAATGACTGATTATGGGCTCACAGATGAACACGAAGAATCATGAGGTGGCAAACACAATCATGAAAGTCGTGAGAAGCGCTGATGTCTGCGCGGTTCATGTCGCGATGGGGCAACAGCCGGGACAAGCACTTGAGGGCTGAGGCCCTCCTTCACATGAAGATTCCTTGCCACCTACCTCAACGCAGATACCCAGCGACGGCGAATGTTCCAGCCCAGACAATGAAACATCGTCATCTGTCCCCATGCTGCCGGTTTCGTGGTACAAGCAAGGGATGGGCCGTGGTGCACAATCATAGAAAGCCCCCCTTGACCCTACCCTCGGCGGGTACGGCAGTAGTGCTGATGCTGCTCCTCGACGGGCTGGCAGGGTGTGAGTTCTCGGCCGGCCAATGGTCGACCGCGGCGCCTACCTGATGGCAGTGAGTTCAGCCACTGTCTTGCATTTCTCATCTCTTTACTTCCGCATCAGGCAAGAAAACATGGCGGCGATGACGGGGACCCCCGGGCAGGAGGACCCTTTTCTTATTGAACGGCTTCCTGTCGCCTAATATTATTTGACCACTCTCGATTTCCGGTGAGCGCCATGGCAAATTAGAAGTATAGAAAATTTTCATTCGCCACGAGGGATTTGCCACGGAAATCACGGAATATACGGAAAATACGGAAAACAGGCCCTGAAGACTGGCTGGCCATCACCAAGGCAATGAACGAGCCAAGGGCCACACCCACACACACCTCGTATAATAGCAATGTTTACTGCCCAGGGTGTCTGGAAAACCACCACGGGTTTTTGTCACGCGCCCACCCAGACCGATTCCCCGAAATCCAGCTTTCATAGCCTGATCTCGCGCCTCGAGCGGTCCGTACCTGGGTTCAAAGGCGTCTTGCTGTGCCGTTCGGGAGCGTTGGCGCCACCCGGGAGGAGCGCGGTCGGCTCGACCTCCCGGCTGGTTGGGTCTCGCTTCGTATTATCTCCAACCCGCGACCCATGTTATACGGGCCGCGCGCGGAAATAACCGAACCCTTGGGTCAAGGAACTACCAATCCTGCTCTCCGTTGCGACCTTTTTCTTCAACCGCCACTCTGGTATAACCAATCCTCACAGAGGTTTGGAATTTCCTAGGTTTGCAGGATCATCAGGAACAACCGAGAACCCCCCATAGCAACACAGCCGAGGCCCCCCGAGATCTGGCCGACCCAAGGAAGGAACAGGCGGGCCTTGCCTAGCTGGGTAGAATCGCAAGACTGGAGGGCAAACCACTGAGATCCTCCGTAGATCGATGAAACGCAACCCAGAACTACAGGCTTGGTCCCATTGGCATCCGCCCGGCCGGTTGGATCGTCAACCGGAGGACCCCTGCGCTAGTCGAGCTCAGGAACGGCAGCCACCTGCCTAGGTGGTGGAAGAATCCTGAACGGGAGAAAGGGGACCCTTGGGGAGGGGAGGCATAACACGAGCCAGGTTCTGGGAAAAGTGCCATGTCTCCGAGGACCCTTTTTCTCCGCGGGGTCAAGACTCAATGCAAGGGCCAGATGTAGCGGGGAGTTCTTGCCAAAAGAACGCCTGTCACCGAGCAGCCCTCGCGATGTATTTCTCGTAAACTTGTATCCTGCTGCTGTATTCGATTACGAGACATCTGGGCAATGCAGGGAGCGCAGCATGACGGCGGCAGGCACTGCCAGTGCAGCAGCAGCCAGAAGACGTATGTAGTAACTGCAAGTGCATGCACATATGCAGCAGCCGCTGGAGAAACCCGAGCAGCTGCATCGAAGAGGGAGGGAGTACCGGTAGGGAAGGGGAAAAAAACAAGCTAAGAATAACGCCGCGCAGCAAGAAAAGCTGACCCGGGCGACGCATGCGACGATAATCAAGAGGTGGGGTGGGGGGATCGAAGATGGATCGCAGCACACACGACACACACGCACGCTCGTCGCTCACGTTGGTCGACACACACTGCGCTCCAGGGCTGCACCAACTGCACACAACTGCAACTGCAACTGCTGCGGCGGACCGGTGAGCCAACCAACATCGACCATAGCTTGGTACCGATAGATAATGCCAGACGGGCGGGACGCCGGGGCCGCCCAATCACGGTGCGCGAGGGCCCTGCTTACACCAGAGGCCCGCCCTGTCGACGGACCGTCGAGCCAAAAATGACATACAAACTACTATGGCATTTCATGGGGCAGGTAGGGCGTTGTTTTCTCCGAAAGGGGCCAGGCGCGCAAATAATAGGCTGGGCTGGGGCTTGGATGGGTGGAAAGGGGGTACTAGTATTAGTAACTATAGTGACGGAGCGGGGCATTCCTTTCTTTTTAGTGTTTCTGGCCCTCTGAGCTCCGGCTCGATATTTCTCCTTTCATGTGGCCAAGCTCCTGCAGGGGCCGGGAGGTACTAGCAAGGAGAAGGAGAGGTGGAGAGAGAGAGAGAGAGAAAGAAAACAAGTATCAGTGCTGGGCTGGATTCCAAGGTTGGGTAGTCGGCCAGGCTGGCTTGGAGGCGCACCTGGCTGGCTCCCAATGCAACGGTCTGGCGTCGGGTCCAAGGGTCGGCAGAGTTTGGCGTTGGCAGGAACTGTCGTCAGCAAAGTACATACGTAACTTTTGCGGGTGCGGGTGCAGACAGCCTGACCTGCCTTGCAGCACACATGCAGAGGGAGGGAGGAAAAGGGCCCCTCGGAGCCTGAGGGAGGAGGGGTGTCACAAGATGGGGGCCAAGGGACGGAGGAGGAAAAGGGGGACTAGAGCCGTGCTGCAAGTCTGGGTAGTAGATGAGATGACTGGTGAGACGACGACAGACGATGGGGCTGCCGGCGGAGGTGCTGCCACAACAGATTGGCCGCCTCGGATATATAGGAGAGAGGCAGGATGCGCGTGCGCTTACCATCCAGGCGGGTCCCCAGGAGGACCTTTTGTTTCCCCCCATTCCTGAATGATGCCTTCCAAGGTCGCCTGCGTGCTGCGTGCTGCGTGCTGAAGAAGACTAGCACCCGCTGCATGCTGCGCTGCGCTGCGCTGCAGTCTTGTCTGCTGAATGTTTCAAACCTGGTTCTTGTGTCACTGAGGAGGCGCATGTTCTGCACCTGGCTCCCGAGTCTGACGACCTTCCTTCTCTTCCAAGGTTATCTACTACTACACAGTACTGTCTTATTCCCCTTATAATACCAGATGACCCCGTCCCTTGGATCCGTCCTGACACCGGCCGCGAGCCCTTGACCTTAATACTGCAACACTATAACATCAAGTCCCCCAACACTGCCGTCCTTGAGCCCTGCCTCTGTGCCATGCGCGATTCAAGGAGATAGGCCGAGATTGCCGTCGAGATACCCCGCAGTGCGCGGTGCAGCGAGCCAGCCAGCTTATTATTGCCCAGGTAGCCGGCGATCCATCGAGTGAGTGACTGGCACTGAGAGCCAGCCATCGCCGGGCAATATTGAACCTTGTAACCTCGGGTTGGAACCGTGGTCAGGACACGAGAAGCATGAAGGTGTGAGAGACGGTCAGACAGGCAGAGAGCATTCCAAGCACCAACAAGACTTGGCCCTGGCCCGGCTTGGATGGAAATTGAGGGACATCAACATCCGGTCATGGATCCGAAACCCACAGCCCTGAACCCGAGTCTGAACATATACGGATCAGCGACAGGCCTCCACACTGGAAGCCCACCAGCTGCTGCAGCAATTGCATCATCTTGGTCGTCATCGTCCCGGCAGCAGGATTCCTTCGAGAAGGGAACCGTGGAAGGCTGGAAAGCTGCACTGCACGGTTCATCACGTGGCCAGCCTGTGCAAAAGGCGAGCAGGGGGAAAGCGCTGGAGAGATTGCCGACAGCTGGTACGGATACTCGTATTACTGCTGTGTACGAGGGACAAGAAAAGGGCAGAAAAACAGCCTGCCACTCACTGGCAACCTGCAAGGAACGATTGCCGATTGATCCCCAGAGTTACACCACTCAGACTATAGGGGTCCCACACCGGGGAGACAACCCGGAGTTGTGTTTTGGGACTTGACGGCCTGCAAGACCAGGACAGGGCATCGACGCCATTTTTTTCTTCCCTCTTTTCCTGGTTGACTGACGGGCGGCAGGGAGCCCTGGAGGGAAGCTGCCGAGGGGAGGGGAGGGGGCTGCATGAATATCCAACCCTGAACACTAACAGAACTGACTGACTGACTGACTGACTGACTGAGGGACGGCAAGAGCGATCAATCGATCAATCAGCCAACACTGCAAAAGTGCAAGTGCTGCAGACGAGACGTCAACAATTGCCAAAAAGAAAGCAAAAACACAGAGCAGAGAGGCCAATTCAGCCACCAACACAAACACACCCTGTCACATGCACAATCACAACCACAACCACAGTCACAACCTCAACAACCTCCGCCAATTGCCTGGCTCTGAATTGAGTGCATTGAGTGTGTGTGCCATCACGAATCGGTCACCCAAACAACCACGAGAAAACAGGCGACACGTGGGATTATCCTCGTCGGCAGCAGTTCCCCCACCAGAGCGACTCCTCCCCGACCCACGGGCCTCGTCGGGGCGAGCGGGAGACCAGTCCCTAGCCCAATCAGGCCGCCCAGACGGGCTGGAACGGGTACCGCAGCACAGAAATCTCCAGCAGCAGAGGCCTGGACGGTGGGGCGCCGATTGACGACTGACTGATTCGAATTGATATCTGGAGGGTCAAGGGTGTGGGGCCACACCCAAGCCAGGCAGCCTGGGCCGACTGGCATCATCAGAGCTGGGAGCCTGGGAGCGCCATCGACACACACACACACACACGGGTAACAAAAGAGGAGGGGAGGGGTCTGCAGCCAGTGACACCACCCCCAACCCACCCATCTTCATCGGCCGGCGCAACACAAGCCAGATCCTCTAAGCAGAAAGAAGCCTAAGCCCGGGGTTGCAAGGCAAGGTTTGAGGTTCGAGAGGGAGTGGTAACAAGAGAGGTAGAGAGAGATGGAATACGCTTGGGGCATTGCTGCCAGCAAGACGCCGTTTCCGGCCGAGTTTGCCTCGGCGGCGAGGTCAAAGCCAAAGGCCACCTCCACGTCGCAGCCGCTGCCGCCGCCAGCAGCGCCAGACACGACCGAGTCGAACACGACCACAGCCGAGAAGTCAGTTGTTGCCCTCGCCCTTTCACCAACAAAGACCCAGTCAGTCAGCCCGCCGCTGCCGTCGTCGGGCTCCACAAGGTCGAGCCGTCTGCGGATTCCTGGCCACTCCAGGCCACCACTCACCCATACCAACAAGCAGGCACAGGCTCAGGCTCAGGCCGACCCGGCCAGCCGCACCAGCTCACGGTCCAGGTCCAATTCCAGCTCCGGTTCCAGGTTCAGGATCAGGTCCAGGTCCAGGGATCAGGGCAGTGCCGCGGCATTGATGAGTCCCGACAGCTCGCGGTCGCCAGGCCTGCTCTCATACGACTTCCTCTCGCGTGTCTCGTCACATCCTGCCCCGTCCGCCCCGTCTGCACTGACACACGACGACCGGAGACGCCCCGCCAGTGCAACCATTGCCAGCCACCTCCACCGCAGTCGCAGCCGCAGTGGTCGCAGCAGTAGCAGTGCTGCCACCACAACAGCATCAAATAATACAAGTTATACAGCCGGCGGCGGCAAGCCAGACCGAGACGCCGCCGCAGCAGCAGCCTACCACCAGAAGGGCCAGCAGAGACCCGCTTCCACCTCGGCGGCTGTTGGCAACAGTGCCACTGGCCTTGCTGCTACTGCTACTGCTAATACTTCTACAACCCGCCAGGACAAGCAGCTACCCGCCCTCCCGACCGAGGCGTCTGTCTCGTCTCCTTCATCGTCCCCTCGGCGGGCTCCAGAAAAGACCTGTGATGCGATTGACGGATATGATGACAATGACTCCACGTCCTATCCGGGGCCATTGATGAGCCGTGCCTCCTCCACCCTGTCAAGCGGAGACGGAGCATCCTACCGGGACTGGCAGGGGGACCACAACTCTGCCGCCTCGGCTACCGCTCCTCTCCTGTCAGCACCACCAACGCCAGGCCCATCATCGCAGCATCGCAGACCCCCCTCCTTGAAGCCCAGCTCCACCGCGGTGTGCGACGCTTCCAAGAAATCCAGGAGCCCCCTTTCCTTCTCCCGGAGCCGCGCACAACACCAGCTCTCATCTCAACACCACCACCACCACCACTACCTCCACCACCACCACCCTCCAAACACCCCCGACAGTGGTATCAGCCACAGATCGGCGCACAACCACGAGCTGAGCCGCAAACCGCCAAGTACCCACTGGGCCAATGCGGCTTCTTCTACCACCCCGACCTCGACCGACCCCCCTGCCCGCAAGCGTGACCGGAGACAGTCTAGTCATGCCACCATGGTCGGCACAGAGAGCATCGTCTCCTCTACACGCACCGAAAGCGTGGCCGAGTCCCTCGGCGGCCGCACAATAATGTCCAGCGAGCCTCCCTACAGGGAGGGCGATGGCTCCTCCACAAGGTCTCTCGCCCGGCCGAGACCGCCCTTCGTCACCAAGAGCAACGGCCGCACCTACCTCGCCGACCCGACCCTGCCCTACCCCCTCCCCGTCGACCTCCACGAGCTGCACCGCCAGTCCCTCCGCACCCTCCTCCTCTTCCAGCTCTTCGGCGGCCCGTTATGCTCGCCCTTCTTCAACAACAAGCCGCCCACGCGCGTGCTGGACCTGGGCTGCGCCTATGGCTTCTGGAGCATGATGTGCCACTCATATTACTCGCGCAAGGGCTTCCCCAACGTCCACTTCACCGGTCTCGACATCGCCGCCCTGGGTGGGATCGCCGGCATGCCCCACGTAACGGGTCCCGCTGGGGGCCTCAAGGACCGCATATCCTCGACGTCGACGTCGTCCTCCTCCTCCGCAGGCCACTGGGCCGAGCAGCCACCCGACAAGAACATGAGGTGGAATTTCGTGCAGCATGACGTGCGGGTGCTACCGCTCCCCTTTCCTGACGAGGAGTTCGACGTCATCATGTGCAAAGACATGTCCATGTCAATACCTCTTGACCACTTCTCCTGCCTGATCGACGACTTCATGCGACTCCTGAAGCCCGGCGGCGTCGTCGAGATTTGGGAGTGCGACCATCCAATCCGCATGCTCCGCCCTCACGTGCCCGACATGCCCGCCACAGGCCCCGGCGCCGCAATGCCGGCGACACCGACTACAGAAGACCTCCCGCCCAATTCGCCCTTCGCTCCGACCGACGCCAAGACTGGAGCCGAAAATGCCAGCACCCCTACGACCCCCGCAACACCTGCCAACCCCCACGCCAGCAGCAAGAAGGCCGACTATGAGAAGGAGGTTGCGGAGCTGGGCGCGTACGTGATCAACAACAACACGCCGCTGTCGGGTCCGCAGAACAACTATCTGATCGAGTACAACGGGTGGGTGAGCAAGTATATGGACGCGCACAAGCTGCTGGCGTTCCCGTGCGCCAACGTCGGCGCGCTCTTCCTCCAGGAGCCGCTCCTGACAAACTACGGCTCCAAGCGCATGGCCATCCCACTGTCCGAGGTGCGCTGGGAGCGCGAGGGCGTGGGCGGCGTCGTCACAAAGGACGGCAAGAGCTACATCGACACGAGCAAGGCCATCGGCAAGGCGGCCGCCGCGGCAGCCGCCGTCATGGGCAACGCGGTCGGCAGCGGTGCCGGTGGCAAGCGCGGGTCGAGCGCGGCAGGAGACGGCGGGGACGAGGGCAGCAAGAAGGGCAAGGCGCTCAGCGCCGGGCAGCTGGCGCTGCGGCAGACGGCGCTGCAGACGGTGGTGCAGATGATCGAGGGCCTGGAGCCGGCGCTGCGCGAGGTGAGCGGCAAGAAGCCCGACGAGTGGGACACGTGGATGGGCAAGCTCATGAAGGAGCTCCTGGAGCGGGACGGCGCCAGCTGCGGCGAGTGCCTCGAGGTGGGCGCGTGGTGGGCGCGCAAGAGGCAGGACCCTCCTCCGTCATGATCAGACCAGGGGTTGGGTTTTTATTGGTTAATTGGGCAAATCGGAAAAGCGCTCTGCCTCTTTTTCATTTACGACGGACGGGCGGAGGAAGACTGACTGGCTGAATTGCCTGTGGCATATCTGGGTGGCATTTTTCGATTCATCTAGGGAGGGAATGTTGTGGTTGTCTTCTTCTTTTTCCTCGAGCTGTTTTTGCTTTTTCTCACCCCCACTACCAACCAACCAACCAGCTACCCGCCACTGTTGTTGGGAGATAAACACATATGCGCGAGCTCATCTATCTATTATTACATATCCACGCTTACCATTTCCTCTCCTGCCCCGTCCCGTCGCCCTCCCTCGCCTCGCCTCCCTACCGGCCGTGTGCCCGTGTTTTTGACTGACAACCACTGTTCATTCCCTCCTTGGATCAGAGTGTCCTACTTATACCTACCACCCCCTAAGTACCCAGCCCGGCCCAGCCACACATACAAACCCCTATTGCTTACGTCACACTTGACTGTACAGAGTATCCTCGAAACCCGATCAGGTCAGGCCTCGCCTTCGCCGTCGCCGTATCGCTTCCTCAGCGTTCGATAGCGTTTGAGGTAATACCTGTGTATCTCGGAACGCAGAGTCGCGGCGGCTGTTAGCTGGCGTGTTCCTTTTCGCTGCCTATTGGTGGAATCTGATACATGGTTTTTTTTTTTGAAGCGACTAGATGAAGAGTATTGAATGGAGCGTGGCGGGGAAACTAACTAGAAGGAAGAGTGTGGGAGGGGAGGCGGTGAGGAAGAGGATAGACGGATGGTTGCATTTGGGAGGGGGGGGGCATAGCAGGCTTTGTTTGGCCGTGTTGTTGCTGTTCATTTGGTGGATGTGGGTGGGTAGGTGGGTTGAGCAGGGCAGGGCAGGGCAGGGTGGTGGTCTCGAGTCTGCTGAGGGTGTGTCTGTGTTGATGATATGTTGGGGAGGGAGGAGGAGCACAGTTGTATGTTTGGATTGCATGCATACATGTGTGTGCGTGTGTGTATGTATGTATAGATCTAAAGCGTGGGAGTGAGTGTATGTGTATGTGTGGAGCTGCCCCGGGCTGGCCCGTCCCGTGCCCCAGGTGTATGTACGTATGCATGTGTATGCACGATGGGTGAACTGCCCGGCCCGCAGATGGGCTAGATGTTGTGTTTCTGTTGCATTGATTGCCGCTTGTGACTGTGTGTGTGTGTGTGTGTGTGTGGGCTGAATGTGGTGTGGTGTGGTGTGATGTTGCCTCTGGCGCGCGCTTATCGTGGATGGGATGGGATGGGGAAGGGGAGGGAAGGGATCGGCGTGTCGCGGGCAAGCGGCCAGCCGCCGGGTGTGAGTGACGATACGCATGTGAATGGGCTCGGCCGGTGTGTGTGCGGGCTGGGCTGGGCTGGGCTGTCCCCCGGCCTTGGGGGGGGGGGAGCTTGTTGGGTTGGGCTGTTGGGTGTTGGTCCCGCTGGCACTTGCTCAGACGAGGTTTGTTCCGCTGTAGATATGCACGGTACTTGTGTTGTGTGTCTGTATCGCGTGTATATCTCACCTCAGCGCCCGGGAGGACAGGACACGGACGCGGGCGGGAACAGGAGACGAAAAGCTCAAGGGAACCAACTCACAGGGCCTCGATTTCTGTGGGTGCCGAGGGGGGGTTGTGTCTGTCAGTCCCAAAGGTTCCACTTGTCTTTTTTTTGTTGAAACAAACTTGGGCTATTATCTTGTTCTCTTTTCCCCCACCTCCCTTGTTGCGAGATGAGTGCCCGTGGGAAACAGGCGCGGAACCCGGGACCCGTCTGGACCTCAAGCTGCCTGCCTACCTTTGCGGACGAACTCGGCCCTCCTGATGCCGTCTCTTATCTTGTCGTCGTCGCGCAGGGCGGCGTTGGCCATGAAGGCCTTGTGCAGGCGGGGCCGGAAGAAGTGGTAGCCTGCGGGGTAGTCGCGGCCGAGGTGGAGGAGTTCTGGGGGGTGAGGTCAGTCAGACAGAGGTTCGTTTTGATTTCTAGGTGTGTGTGTGCATGGGAGTGCAGTTTGGGCGGCCCTGGAAACGATGGGGTGGATCGGGGGCGAGGAGGGGGGTGGGCCTGGCGGAGGACTTGTGCGGATGGCACGCACGCTTGTATATGGCGATTACTTGCTGCCTCAGCTCTGGGTTGATCGGGGCCGACATGTTGTTGTGTCTTGGGTTGCCTCGCGAGGGAGCATTGTTGGTTGGTGGGTTTTGCCAAAGATGGTGCTGGACAGATCCAATGCAGCTCGAGGGAAGCATCATACATGCGTGCCGAGGGATCGGTGCCGACCTCGGCGTGTGGACATGACGTAGATCTTATCTCTTATCGGAGGGCCGGGGACGTGGGCTGTCGTCTCCCCTCCACACCAGTACGCCTTATTATTACTGTGCATGGTCAAGAAGCCGGCCGACCAGCCCGACTCGGCATTCATTGCATTGGATTTCCCTTGTGTTCGGCTTCCTCGTGCCGCTGCCACGGTTATCCTCGATGTCTTTATAGCACGCCACTCCACGCCCAAACCCACACCACACCACACCACTCTCACCACTCTCGCCATGATCCCCCGACCTCGCCTCCGCCCGCTGTCCGCCCTCAGCCGAGGCTGGCAGCGGCAGCAGCAGCAGCAGCAGCAGCAGTGGCCCGCCCGCCCATCCTCATCCTCATCAGCCTCGCCCGCCCGCCCCAACACCACAGACCAACAAGACCTCCCAGCCCCTCCCCCGCAGCGGTGGCTGTCCGACCTCCACGCCCGGCTCGGGAAGTGCATCATGTTCGGGTGCACGCCGGCACAGGTCACAGAGGCGGGCGCGGTCCTGCGGGCGCTGGCGGGCGAGTGGAGGGCGCTGAGCGCCGGCGCCGAGGGCTTCCTGACGGGCGGCGGCGGCGGGCTGCGCGGGCTCGAGGGCCAGCAGGTCGTGTGGGGCGAGCAGGACAGCTTCCGCCACGTCAACAACGTGCAGTACGTGCGCTGGGCCGAGTCGAGCCGCGTCAACTGGGCCACGCACCTCGCCCGCGCCCAGCGCGACCCGGAGCGCGCGCGGCGCTGGGCGCAGCTCATGACCCCCGACGCCGTGGGCCTGATCCTCAAGAGCATCAGGGTCGACTACAAGATGCCCCTGACCTACCCGGACCGCGTGTCCGTCTACCACCGCCTGCGCTTCCCGCCCTCCTCCCCGGAGCAGCAGCGCCGGCCGTCGTCGCTGGTCCTCGACGCCGCCGTCTTCTCGCACCGCCACCGCCGCGTCTGCGCCCGCGTCGAGGAGGACGTGGTCATCTACGACTACCGCGCCGCCCGGAAGACCGACATGCCGCCGTTCATGCGGGACGTCCTGGAGGAGACGTTCGCGGCGCAGCTGCGGGAGACGGCCCGGGCCAGGCGGCGCGTCTGGGAGCTGGTGCGCGCCGTGGAGGCCCTCGAGGGGGGGACCTGGGACCGGCCTGATGCTGTTGAGGATCTCGGTGGTGCCGCGGGGGTGGGCACCAAGTAAAGACACTTCGTCGTCGTCGTGAGCGTGTGCGCATATGCGCTGCTCACCTTGTGCCACGCGAACGGTGACTCACTCACTCACCCACTCACATACACCGTGGACCCCTTTCCTTGTACATCAATCACTCCATCATGCCGTCCCCCGTGGAACCTTGGGACCTCTGGGAATACGCCGGACTTAGAGAGAAGCAGCCGAACCATCCGTCGTAATTACATGCATACGTCCATACATACATACATACATACATGAACCGCCCTCCTCTTGAGCCTCAATGATAATGCGGATCCGCCTCCCCCGCGCCCGGGGACGCACGACAGGCCCCCCAGCCCAGCCCGGCATGACGAAATGGACGCTGTGCCCCTGGGGCGCAGGCAGGCAGGCAGGCCATGTGCCGGGAGATGTGGGCCGAGTAGTGGTGTAGGGCTGGGCTGGGCTGGGCTGGGCTGGGCTGCTGGGCTACAAAGATCTCACCCTCTCGTCTCACCGACGCACTGCCGCAGAAGCCGGCTTACTTCCGACCTGTCACGCACCGTGTTGCGTGCGTCCGCAAGCGGCCGCTTGAACCCCCATGCGGACATAAGCGTCCCCCATGGGGGGGAAGGGCGGGACGCGTGTGTAACACAGCCCTACGGACGGGGCTGACCTGCGGTTGTGGAATCTGGATTAACCTCTTCGGCACATCACCCGTCACATCACACACACATACCCCGGGCTGTCCCGCCGCCTGGATCCCGGACGGATGGGAGTGTGGGTTGGTGCGTGGGTTTGGTTTGACAGCGGCAGGACAGACAGACAGGACAGCTGTAGCGCGGGCTCGGAATCCCGCTTGGGTCAACCCCCCCCCCCCATTACTACCACCACTACCAATACCGTTGTCCAAGGCAAGAAGGGCATCTTCCGCCGCGGAGATCCATCCTGGGCGTGGGTGACACCGGCCGGGCCCCCTGCCCAAGGTCTCCGCCCCCTCCTCTTTCTAGGAGTCCGCCGCCCTGCCTGAGAGCATTAATGCTATGCTTTCCCCTGTCCTATCCTGCCAGTGGTTCGTGAGGCTTCCTTTTTCTTTTGCACACTTTGGGGTTGCACATGGCGGGCCATGAAGGCGGTGCGCATTGCACCCTGAAGCCTGAAAAGAGAAGTCCAGACCAGAGATAGATGTCGGTCAGGAAGTCTGGCAGAGGGTGGGGGCTTCACCACACCCACCATCTCCTTTGTTTCGGGATGTCCTAGACGGAGAATCTTGATTTTGACCCCTATCGCCTATGCTGTGCTATGTGGAGGTCCATCCTATCAGCCTGCGTAGCCCATGAGGCAGGCAGGCACCCTCAAGAGGAAGAGTATGGGATCATGTTGTCAGGGGAGCATGCAGAGAGAAGGGCAGGGTGACTGCAGAAAACCTGATCCTGATGTCGCCTTGGTTTGCATCAGCAGTCAGAGTCCATGGCCAATGTCCCGGCGGGGTGCCTCTTTGCACATGTGCAAGCAAGCAGGCCGGACAGATGAGTGGTATGCGCCTCCCCCGAGGGGATCAAGGAAATTTGGAATTCCATCCATATGGCGGAATTGTCACCACTTTTCGTCTCCCCCTGTCGGGTTTCATAAATAGATGTATGCAAGACAGACTGGCAGTACGGTCGGTCGGTCAGTCAGGGGGGGGAAATACACCAAACGCGTCCTTTTGTCTGTTCGTATCCGTGTTCCTAACCGTGACCTCGGATCTGCCCACCGCTGGCTGGCTGGCTGGCTGGCTGGCTGGCTGGCGGCGGCGGCTCTCTCATCTTGTAAGTGAGGAATCCTTCCGTATTTTTTGCTGCGGCCGGCCGGCCGGTTCCTCCTACCACCACCACGAGACGAGGGCCCAAAAAGCCACAAAGCTTGGCCCAGCTGAGCTCGTGCCCGCCCCCCCGGGAGCCCGGCCGGGCTGAGCCTCTCGGATCGATCGAGATCACGGCCTTCACTGTCGTCATCCGCCTGTCAGGCTCCTAGCTGGCTTATTTGTGTCCGTAGGCAGAGAGACTGGGGCCGGAGAGAGCGCGTATACCGCGTGCAGGTACTAAACTTATCCTGCTGCTTGTCTCTTCATTCCTTCCCGCCTACTAGTATGGGAGGACTTAGTAAGTAGTTGGGTGAAAAGAGAATAGTTGTTATTGGGAAGTGAAAAGCTGCAGTTGGTTTGCGCGGGAATAATAGAAGAAGAAAAAAAAAGGAGGATTTGGACACCAAGTCCTACTTCTTGGCCGAGCTTTTCATAGTCACCGCCTCATGTTCCAGAGCCCCAGAGAAGCGCAACTATTCCCTTCTCTGTTGTTCGTGGGATCGTCTGACTGCCGGGTTGTAAGGCGCAGTGCCAGCGGGAAGGGGGCCCTTACTAAGCTCTAAGCTCTAAGCTGCTCTCTCTCCTCTCCCTCTCCCTCTCCCCCAGGTTAAGAAGAATTGACGGTGAGGACGGTACATACAGTAGTACACTTCTCTAGCGAGTTTTAGTGATCTGACCACGTTTTTCTTGTCACCCATAAACGCACGTGGGCATCCTGCATCCTAAAAGCAAGTACCTAGGTATGCATGCACGTGGGAAATTCCAAATAGTTGGGACGCCACCGACAAGCCCCGTTGGAGTGGTTGGTGATGGTGAGATGAAGGGCGTAGAAGAAGAGAGAAGAAGAAGATATTAAAAAAAAAAAAAAACAAGAAAAACAAGAAAATTGTTGGTTGGCTGGCTGGCTGGCTTATGCAGCTGCCTGCCAGTCTGTGGTGTCGCGCCTGAATTCCAAAATCTCACAAATACGGGCTTGCCGGGGATCGATCGGTTTGCTGGGCTGCTGGTGTTTGGCTTTGTCAGTCGCCGGGGGCTGATTGATTCACCGCTCGTAAGCAGGACGGACGACCTGACGACCTGACGAGCCAAGCAGAAGGGCTGGCATGGCTGGCATGGCTGGCATGGCTGGCCCTGCTGGCTGGCCTCTGCTTTCGCGTGGTTTCACACTGCCTGGCTGGTGGGCCGTGGCCCGTGGGAGCAAGCAGTCAGTGGCATCTGGCCCACCTGGGCAGGGAGCTAGGGTAAGTAAGTGCTGTAAGTGTCCAAGTACCCAGGTACCCAGGTACCTGCCAACCTGCTAATACTGTAAGGCATGCCTAATCAATCAAATCCAGCCCCCACCTAATACAACTAACTACAGGGTTGGCCTTAGCAAACTCACCTAACCACAACCACCGGCCCGGGCTTTGGGATCCGACCAGCTGGGGCAGGCCTGCATGCCCAGCGGTGCGGCATCAAATCCCATCGAGCCACTCCTGCATCCAAGCCACCGCCCGGAACCACGGCCGCGGATTGTTCTGGGGCGGCGGGCTGCAGAGACGACGTCATCACCAGGAGTGAGCTGTTTTGCTTGATGGGCGGATTACTTATCGCCAGCGTGAGAAAACGGGGCTCCTGGGTGGGGTCACATGCTCTAGGGCGGTCCCCGTTTCCAGGGAGGCTTAGCCTTAGCCTTGGTTAGCCTTTGGGTTTAGTTGCAAATGTTTTTAGCCTTCCCGCTCGTTCTCCGGCTTTTTTTTTTCTTGCTTGCGTTTGGGTTACGTTACTCATGCTAGGGTAACCGCCCACGCCCATGCATGCCCCAAGACGAGCCAGCCCTGGGGATTGTTAGTTAGCCTTTTCGTACTCCGTACCCAGCCAGTCAGTCAGTCAGTGTCTGTCATACGCCCGTAATCCGCAACTCGGCCACATCACGGCGTTTGGTTGGGGAAGCAACTATTTCGGTCGCATGGCCCATCCAGCTCTCTCGCCTTTGCCGAACTCAAATCCCTTGACACACACACACACACGCACACACACGCACACACACACACCTCTCTTCATAAGTGACTTCTAACAATATGGTAAGCGGCATTCAGCAATGCCGCGTGCTTGCTCCGTAAACATGGGACGGACAGCAGAAACCCACGCCCTGCTTGCTGGCTTGGAAGTTTCCGCGCCTTTCTTTACTGAGTTGGAAATAGGATAGGTAAGATGGTGGACCACACACCAGGTCCCGCGCATCCTCAGTGTACGAATCTGGTAATCTGATTAGTGTTTGACTGCCTCGACTACGTCGACGTACTTCTAACAAGTTCGTATACATACATCTGTAAGTCTTCACCACACATAGATATATAGTTGTACATAGCCTCAAGTATCATGTTCAATCTCATGTTGCACGGCCCAAGTCATCTGCTACCCCAGCCCTACAGACCAGACAAGACCAGACTGGACAGACGGACAGACAGACAGACAGACAGACAGACAGACAGACAGACAGACAGACAGGCGGAGCATCAAGACCCAATATCAAACGTCACCGGCAATATCACTGCTTCTTCTGACTCGTCTCAACCTCTGACTCGTTAACTCACCAACATGCCTTCGAGCAAGTACGGCAGCAGCTCAGGGGGAGGCAGCGACCCCTTCAAGAACAGCACCTCGGGGTCCATGTCCAAGAAGCTAAAGGAGCCCAAGAAGAAGAGGGGCGACTCGTCCAAGAGCAAAGAGGAGGAACAGACATCAGTAAGTAGTCGTCGCCGCCGTCTTCCCCCGTCCCCCGTCCCGGTCCCCATCCCCCCACACACAAACAAACAAAAACCCGGCCTCTTACCTACCTAACCACCCAACTACCGCATCTCTTCTTCCTTCCTACCCATTCATTAATACTAACAAACCCCTCCCCCCCCACAGAGACGCAGGACACAGAACCGCGCCTCCCAGAGGGCATACAGGGAGCGCCGCGAGCACCGCCTCCAGGAGCTCGAGGCGCAGGTCCTCGAGGCCGAGACGCTCAACCAGACGCTCACGGCCGCGTACCAGGAGCTGCGCGCCGAGATGGACGGCCTGCAGGCCGAGAAGGCGCAGGAGCAGTACTACGCCAGCATGGCGGCCGCGCAGGCGCAGGCCGGCTCGTCGTCGGGGGCGGTGGGCGGCTACGACCCCTCTGCCGCGTATGGTGGTGGTGGTGCTGGGTATGGGGACCCGGGCATGTGGGCTTATGATGGGGGTGCTGACTGGGGGGCTCCTGGGGAGTGGGACCAGGGGGGGAGTGGTGGTGGTGGTGGTGGTGGGCATCAGGGGTACTGATGGGTGGCTGTGACGGGGAGGTTTGGTGTGTGTGAGAGGGGGGGGCGAAGGGAGTTGGTTGGTTGGTTTCGTGTCTGCATTTTTCTGTATGTCTCTGTGTTGTGTCTACGTGCCTGTTTTTTCTTTTTTTCTCTTTTGTTGCGGGGAGTCGGATTGGGATGGGATGGGGGCAGAGGGCGGAACCGCATGGAGTGGCACAGCATGGGACCCCGACGGTCTCGGGGGGTGTATTATTATTAGAATAGAGGTTTAGACTTGATACCTGGGGTAGCGTTGATGTGGAATCTATGTACGATTGCTTACGACGTACTTCATGGGGCATGGTTCGTAGTGACTACGCAGCTTTTGTTGATGCTCTGCCGGTGGTCACTTGAACCGATCCCCTACCATATCCTCCCAATTTTCTGAGACTGAGATCCCCCGGCGGCTAGCATGGACCGTTGCTATATCTGGGGAAATTTCCTGTGTTCTGTCCCGGGGGGATGGCGAGCATTTGACATGTCAACAGATCGACTTGAACGTGACACGACTGTAGCAGGCATAACCGCAATACAAAGGTCAGCTTCATGCTATCCATTGACATTGCAGATCCTCTTGGGAAAAGTTCATTTACATGCTTTCGTGCTTTCTAATGTTGATCCATCCTATTTGAGCTATTTCGAGCGCAATGACGAGGATATTTTTCATAAATACAGAGCACAAACACCAAGTCTTGGGAAGGCTTGAGTGAGAAGCAGCTCGAACGGCACCACCTCCAGCCGGCAGCATACGAGACTGGGTTCAAACATCAAACGAAACTGATGCTAGAGGTATTCCGAGCCCAAGCTCGGCATTAAAATTGTTGTCCGCTTTGTCCCACTCAGTCAAGGGTGTGTACCTTTGTCTACTCTCGGTAAGCCCCGGCCCCGGCTTCAACGCGATTCTGAACAGACCAAGACTGGAATTAATTTACACCTATCCTGACTCTAAGAAAACGGCTCATATACTGCCTGGATAGATAGATAGACAAACTGGAGGACTCATAGTCTTGCGGCTTCTCTAGGCCAGCTCTCATCGGGTTGAGTTGGATTGCGACCAGCAACTTTCGCAGCTTGCCGCTAACTACGTAAACAGTAGCACATCATGATGTTTCTATTAAACATTCATCCGGCCAAAATCAACAAATTCGATCCCTCAAGATCAATGGTAAAGATTTATCCTCCCCGCTGTGTAGCATCAGAAATTGTGGGGTAAGATATTGTGCTGGTATCTCACACTCTTGGGTAGAACTTGGGTACTTAGTAATAAGTCAGGTTACTATTCCGCAAATTGCGTGTTGATATTAAACACGTTCACCGCCAGTCATAGACTAATAGCTAGGAGACTCTATTTACAGAAACTGGCGGACCCATATTTCCCTCGAAGGATTCACCACCTGGGGCATGCTCCACCCGCGGAATCTGGGGTTGTTCGAGGGGGCATTCCAAGGTTCCATTAAGCGGCACTTCTTAGTAAGGCACAATGGAAAATTTGACAGCATTGAGGTCAGTATCAAGGAAACCTTGCCGGGAGGTCTGAATTGCTGATAACTCATTTCTTTTTGGGTGCACCATTGGCTGAATTGCGTCAGACTGCAGACTTGCATTGGGAGTGTGAAGTATGCAGTGTTGAGCCTCACTTGGCAAGGGAGGGGCTCCTCTTGACGCACAGGATGCACCGTGCGACATATAAACCTAGCTAATACTTCAAACCGGCGGACAAGATGGACGTGTCCTACGTGGCAGCAATACGCCAACGCGCCCAATTTGCCCACCCCGTGCAGTTTCAACTAACCTGTGGCCTCTGAAGTATCCGTAATGGCGTGACGGTCCTGGAGACGGCCAAAGTGGGGACCCACATGCCGGGATCGATGCACCTGGGCTTGGAAAGTGACGCACGATCCCGGGCGTGGGTAGGATTCCAGGCTGAGAGGATCGATGGAGCACTGAGATTAAGCACGGCTAATAACTAAAAGCACGACGGCGTGTGCACCCAATCGCTGCGGGCAGTCCTAACAGGCAAGTAAGACGCACGGGCAGAGATCTTCGCGAGGCGCGGGACGAAGGATCCAGGCTTGGGGGGCTTTGCAAACAGGGGGTTCTAGGCAGACCAATTTCGACGGGCTGTCGTCGCTCGAGCCTGTCGTCGACGAGCTAGAGTGGCTTTCAGCTCTAGCTGGATGAATGATCCTTCGATGCGGGATGGACATTAGCTGATGCTTATCCTGCCTTTTTTTTTTTTTCTTATGATTTTTCCTGGCGTTTGCTCATCTCAAGCCTTTCCTTTCGCATTCTAGACGTACGATCACGAATTGGGATCGCCAAGACCAGTATAATTCCCAGCATCTGTAACTGAATATGGACGGCATCAAGCCCGAGACGCAACCACAGATTGAGATACCAGACTCATCACCTCAACATCATCAACAACAACAAACAGATAGCTCACCAGGCGGCTACCCAGCACAACTGCAAACAGCCAGCCCATCCGAAACACGCCCCAGATCGCGAACAGGCAGCAGGTCACCAACACCACGGAGGCCCCAAGAAGCAGACCAACCAGCCGTCTCGTCATCAGGCCCTGGCCACGAGCGCATGCCCTCGGTCTACTCAATACCACCCAAAGACGGCCAGTTCGGCGTGGTGTCGAGCAGCGGGCAGCTGGTGTGCGAATTCAGACCATCGAGTGCATCAACGGAGGTCCCACAGCCACCACCAAAGGTGCCGGGGGGAGGCTATGGTAATATCACCAGCGCCTCATTCGCAACGACTTCACACTCGGATTTGAGGGGGCGATCCACATCGCCACAGGAGGCCAGCCAGCCCGGCGGCGCTGCGGCCAGCGGCACAGTCAGCACGCTAGAGCTCGCGGTAGACCACGACAGCTACCCAGAGGCCGTGGACCGCAACAACTACCCGGAAGTATATATCCCAACCCCAGACTCGCACGGCGGCCCACAGCCGCAGCAGATAGAAGCAGGGCCGCCACATGCAGCCCCGGGCAAGCTCCCACCCCGACACAGCAGCCCCTCGACGATACCACCACGCAAATCTGTCCCGCCAATAATGGACAACAACAACAGCACCAGCGACTTCTACCCGTCGTCCCCACCACCGCCAATGGTCTCATCCCCGCCGGCCCCCGCGTACTCGTCACCCGCGGACTACCAGCGGATCGGGTACACGGGGACCCTGGACATGTCGACGGCGGTGGCGACGGTGACGCCGCTGACGATGCTGGGGGACCAGCCCGACACGGTGGACTGCCCCTTTTGCATGCGGCGGGTCGAGACGAGGGTGAAGAAGAGGGCTTCCAGGAAGACGCAGTAAGTTTCTTTTTTTTTTTTTTTTTTGCCGCTTTCCCCCCTTCCACTAAATAAATGTAAATGGATCAATGCTAACCTATGAGTTGACACAAACAGCACCTGGGGGGCAGTCCTCTTCTTCACCACCCTCTTCGGCGTGGCGGCGCCGTACTGCTGCGGCTGGTACGCCAACGTGGAGCACCGCTGCAAGAACTGCGGGCGCAAGGTGGCGCAGAGGAGGTTCGACAGCGACGAGGTCGAGGCGCTGGGGACGCGGCCCGAGCACAGGCTGGTGTCGGCGTACCAGCCGGCCGAGAAGCCGGCCAAGAAGAAGAAGAGGGGGCCAGGTCGCGGTCGTGAGTCCCTCTGAAGGGGCGGGGGAGAGGGAGGGAGGGAGAGAGGAGTAGGCGTGTGAAGGCTGGTTGGTGGTGGCCGAGGATTGAGCATCATTAGTACCAATATCTGGACTGGCGGCACACATGTTCGATAAGAATTTCGATTCCGCTACCTGGACAACTTTTTTGATTCCCCAAGAGGGGCTCAGTAGATCAATGATATCATGTACATTCTACATACATACATACATACATACACATAAATTCATACATACAATATACCAAAGGCACGCATTGCCTACCACCTACATATATCTACCCCACCCTCACTCACCACCGCCGTGCTCAAAGTCAAGCCACCCAAACTGCACGTCCTCGCTGAGCAGGTTCCGCATCTCAGCCTCGAACAGCTCGTTCGACATGGCGTCGGCGTCGGCGGCGGGGGGCTGCGCAGCAGCAGCAGCGACAGCCTCGTCGGCCCCGGCCCCAGCCCAGAACGAAGCGACGGGGTCGTCGTCCTTGGCCGCGCCCCCGCCGCCCAACGACGACGCCGCAGTGAGCCGCGGGTCGATGATGGACTCGTCGAGCGCGGCGGCGACGTCCACAGCGGACCGCACCGACGTGGCGCACGAGCTCGGCGACCCGCCCGACGACGAGGAGCCGCGCCCGCCCCGGCTGCTGCTCGTCGACCCAGAAGACGACGCAGACGCAGACGCCGCCGCCGCCGACAGCGGGCTCGCGATCTGCTGCAGGCCCTGCTGCCACCGCGTGCTGGTGGGCCACGCGCGGTGCAGGTCGCCCAGGACCTGCAGGCAGCGCAGGGAGACGGCCTCGGCGGCGGGCGCGGCGCGCGGGCACAGCTGCGGGTAGCGCCACAGGTACGAGGCCAGCGAGCCGCAGATGTAGACGCAGAAGACGAGGATGGCGGGGAAGCCCTCGCCCAGCTGGGGGGAGGAGGAGGTGGTGTTGCTGTTGTTGTTGTTGTTGTTGTTGTTTGCGCGGAGCGAGGCGAAGGCGTCGATCTGCTCGTGCAGCTCGACCACGCCCGCGAACAGCTCGTCCGACATGGCGCGCCAGAAGCCCTCGGGGGCCTGGCTGCCGTTGCCTGTTGCTGGTGAAGGCTGTTGTTGTTGTTGTTTGGTAGTATCCGGGGATACCTCCGTGGTGTCTACCCCGGCGGTTATACTACTACTACTACTGCTACTACTACCACCACCACCACCACCGCCGCGGCTGTTGGCGCTCAGCAGGATCTCGTCGAGGTAGATGCGGCGCTCGACGATGTTGCTGACGCGCAGGACCATGACGACGGCGAGGTAGGCGAGGTGCAGGCCCTCGGAGCGCCAGCCGCGCAGGTTCCAGCCCGACCAGCGGTGGCGCTCGGGCATCTCGGCCTCGAAGCGGCGCAGCGCCCGCGTCAGCTCCTGGTACTCGCTGCCGGGCTCCCACGGCTCGGTGCCGTGCGTCTTGAGGTCCGACCGGCACGCCCGGCGCGCCACCTGGCCCCACAGGTTGTGCGACTGCACGAGCGTGGCGAAGAGGCAGCGGTCCGGGGACCGCGCCAGGTCCGGGTGGAGGAGCGCCGGCAGGGTCCCCGGCAGGACGGACCGGGGCGCGCCCGACTCGGGGCTGACGCCGAAGGCGAAGTCGTGCTCGTCGCAGGGGAGGCGGGCCGTGATGTCCTCGGGCGGGAAGGGCGCCGGCGAGCTGTAGCCCGCGTGCAGGTTCTCCTGGCTGTGGATCATCCAGAAGGTGCGGCGGGCCGACTCGGCGCGGATGACCTGCTCGGCGGGGGCCCCCGGCGCCAGGGCGTACGACTCCTCGCGGTGCAGCTTGAGGATCGACGCCATGCGCACGGCGACGCCCATGTCGACGCTGCTGCGGTCCTTGTCGCCGTTGCCCCACTCGGCGATGGCCAGCAGGAAGAAGCCCTGCGTGCGCTCCAGCGACGGCTCGTACATCTCGGCCGGGACCATCGCCCTCGCCAGCCGCAGGAAGTTGTCCGTCGCCCGCCCCGCGCCGCCGTACCTGTGCGCCAGCGCCGGCGTGAACCGCGCCGAGACGCAGAGGATGCAGCTCAGCAGGAACGGGCTGACCGCGCCGGGGCTGCGCGAGATGGCCTCGATGAACACCGCCTTGGGGAGGAACCCCAGCTGGAAGTACGACGTCACGAAGGACCGGCAGCCCGCCACGATCTCCTCGTGGGGCGGGAAGAAGGGGCTCGGCGGTGACGACGGCGAGGACGACGACGGGCTCACGGACGACGACCCTTGGCGCCGGCGGCTCATGCTCGCGTATGTGGTGGGGTTTGAGAAGAAGCGTGGTGTGGTTGTGCTGAAGGAGGAGGATGATGATGACGCTGAGTGGTGATGGCGTTGGTGCTGGCGCTGGTGCTGGTGCTGGTGCTGGTGGTGACTTGCAGTGCCGAATGATGAGGCTGCTGCCAGGCCCGGGCTGAAGATGGGCGCGTCGACGGGCATCGTCAGCCCGCCGGGGAGCGGCTGGACAGCAGGGGCCGACAGGTTGAGCGAGGGCGTCCCCTGGGAGGCCGACGACGACGAGACACTCAGCCTGTGGGCAGGCTGCCTCCGCCGGAAGTCCCTGTCGACGTCCTTCTCGCCCCTCCTCGGGAACGAGCACTCGGATGCGGTCTGGGGGCCGGCAGAGCGGCAGGCCTCGCAGGGCGGGTTGCTCTCCGGGCCGTGGAGACACTTGGTCCGCAGCCTTCGGCACCGGCGACAGGCTACTGTTCCTCGGCGGCGCGGCGGCGGGGGCGTCTTGTGGTTGTCTGCTGATGATGATGTGGTGGTCCTCGGGGATGGAGGCGACTGGTGCGAGGGGGTGGGAGAGGGCGGTGCCATGGGGTTCGCAACGAGTATGCTCCCACCGCACAGCTCGGCGGATGACTCTCGGTTCCGGTCTGCCTTCATGACTGATGATTGCCCAGGCGGACTGAAAGTTTGACTCTGATGACTGGCTGGGTTTTCTGGCCGACTGACTCGTCGTTGATCTCACACACAAGTGTCACGGGGACCAGGAGGAGAGAGTGTACGGAGGAGTGTAGTAGACAGATAGACAGACAGACAGACAGTCACACAGACAGACAGTCAGGACTGAGAGAGTGATGAATTACCAGCAGACAGCATCAGATAGATGGAGGACGAGGTCTGGGCTGGGGGACACAAACGCAGCACAGTGACACGACACGGGCACGAGGCAGGAGCACGATCACCAAGGAATACTCACTCTGGGGCTGGAGGAGTACTCGCTGGGTGAGGGCTGAGAGGGGGGATGCGTGGGTGAGCGAGGGTGTCAACTGGTGTGGTGGTGGACAGAGGAATAGAGGAATCGAGGAATAGAGGAATTGGATGGTTGAACAGAAGACGAACGAAAACAAACCTTCGGCTCACCTCGCAAGTGGGCACATCATGGGGATAAGAGTGACTCCTCCCAGAGGCCTGGGCTGGCATGGACTCGCCTTCCTCGCCTCGCAGGTCGGCATGACACCGGACCGGAAGTGGAAGTTCGGGGGTGATAGGCGGTCGCGCAACAGTCGTGATAATGGGAGATGGGGGACCGTAACACGGACACAGTACCGTAGCGTGTGGGAGCAGCTAATAACGTACTACTGTGTACACTACTCCAATCTGCGGGGCCCATCAGGGAAGGTTCATGCGGGCCCTCCAACGCCCTTTGATGAGACGGGCGAGGATACTCCAGTCCAGCAACCTCGAGGGCAGAGGAGTTGCCCCACTGATTAACCACCCCCTCCCTCACTATCGGGATCTGCAGCATGGGGGGCCCTGGGGGGGACACCCCAAGACGACGCAGAAGCTTATCTGATAGACAAGGGAAAAAAATGCTCACGTAACCCCCTTCCTGGCCCTCGTGATTCGCCAGGGCGCTGGCCGATATGGGAGATGGGGATAACGATACGCGTCCTGCAACCCCGGAGGGCGCCGGAGATAGCTGATGACTGGGAATAATGACACTGGCCTGCTGCGCGTGTGGCCGGTGGTGACGGCCTGCTGCATGAGGGTTCCTGGGCTATTACATACCAAAGGAGCTAGATCAACTGGTACTATTAGCTCCCGGGCCTGGGGGGACACCAGATATATGCCCCAGTGTGCCAGTGTGCCCAGGTCTATGTACCATGTGTGTAATATCAGCAATCCTTCTCAACGTCTGACTTGTCTCTCTGCCCCTCTGCCCCCCCTCCGCGATCGCTGTTGACACCATCTGGACCCTGAATGGCACTGATTGGAACACCCCGCTCACACGTTACCCCAGACTCCACCCCGATATGGGCTACTTACGTACAATTATGTTCCCTGCGCCGTGCCCCCATGACGTTGACTGACTTGGTTGATTTCCAAACGTCGGGGTATCTGACTGCCACACTGTCTGTCAGACAAGTCGTCCTGCCTGCCCGCCCCCCCAGGAACGCCAGAAACAGCATGCGATCCCGAGGGAAACCGCATGTAATCTCGGCCGCGGGAAACTTTTTTTTTTTTTTTTTTTCCTCGTTGTGGTAGGGCAACTACCGCCGGTTATGTCGGCTCTCGCGGGGTGCGACCTTGACTAATGCGACCCTCCCACTCGGACAATTATCCGTGAGGTCTTGTTGATCTCGGACAATACCGACGACATGGCTTTGGATTGGCCCCGGGGGTGCTTTGTGATCAGCACTGAGGCATACCGAGAGACCTCCTGTTGCAGTGGTCTCTTATAGAACAATTGGTCTAATTAGTCTGATTGTACACTGAGTAAGTATTTACTGTCACTTCTTGAGACTGCACGTGACAGCGATTGTCTGACCATGAAGGCAGCCAGGCGGCCAGGCAGCCAGACAGACAACCTACTGATTGTCTTGCCTAGCCTTCTTGGACCTGGACCTCGTCACCCTCGCCCCAGCCGGCCGGGCCTCAACCTGGTCCTCAACTTGGGCCTCGCCGCGGGCCCCTCCAACCCCGGCCTCCTCCGCCCCAGACATCTTCACCTTCTTCGCAGCCGGCTCGCCGCCATCCCCATCCTCCTCCTCCTCAGCAGCAGCCTCCTCCTGCTTCGCTCCCCCCTCGGCCCACGGGGGGGTAAACGCCATGTCAGCAGCCAGCCGGCGGTCGAGGGCCTCCCACTGCCTCGGCGTGGCCATGTCCCCCGTGACGCGGCGCAGCGTGACGGCGAAGCGCATGGGGCTCCTGCACTCGACGGCGTGCTCCATGAGCCGCTGCGTGTTGGGCCCCCACATGATGACGACGTCGCCGTGCTCGACGGCGAAGGAGACGAGCGCCCGCTTGGCGTAGGCCCTCCCCCTCCCCTTCTGCGGGCCGGCCATGTGCGCGTCCATGTGTTGTTGGAGCTGTGCCGCCCACTGCGCCGCGTCGATCCTGCCCTGCTCGAACTGCGCCCTCAGGCCCTGCCGGAAGGGCTCCTCGGTGCAGCCCTTTGGCACCGGGTCGACCGTGCCGTCGTCCTGGGGCCGCATCCAGGCGCCGTCTCTGCTCTTGCGGCCGTAGTCGTACTGCGGCTTGATGCACATCTTGAAGGTCGCGTGCCCGCCGAGGGTCCAGGTCCCTGCGGTCGGGATAGTCAGCTGTCTGTCTCGGCACTACCCAGGTATCTGGAAAAGGAGAGTATGTGTGGGCGCAGGGAGGAGCAGACAGCGGGCGGACGCCAACTCACCGATGACATGGCCGAGCTTCCTCTCGCCGTCGTCGTGGAAGCTCATGTGCATCCTGCGCGACTGGTACGCAGCAACATACAGCTCGTTGAACTCCCACTCGTCCCTCTTGTCCTCCCCAAAGTACTCCCCCATGTAGATATTCGCCGTCTCGAGCGCGTCCCGCACGACCTCGGGCGCCCCGGCCATGGGGTTGTCGCCCAGCGCAAAGGGCAGGTAGTACCGCTCCCCGAAGTTCTCGACAAAGTGGTTCGTCAGCCCGCCGCCGCCGCCGTTGGCCGTGATGCTGCGGCGCGCGAGGCCCAGCGCCCCCGACGCCGCGGCCCCCTGCACCGCCTCGAACACGGCGTCCGACATCTGCGCCGCCACGCTGTTGGGCCTCGGGCGGAAGAGGGTCAGCCGGCACCCGCCGCCAAAGTCGAAGACGTGGCACGTGTGCGACCAGAGCTCCACGGTCCCCACGAAGCCGTGCAGCTCGTGCAGGGGCGGCGCCGCGCCGGCCCTGTCGCCGCCCCCCGCCGCGGCCCGCTCCAGCGCCAGGAACGCCGGCGTTACCGTCTCCGGCGGCGCGTGGTAGCTGAAGGGGCTGGTGTTGCCGTCTGCGCCCCGGCAGTCTGTGTTGCGGCAGTGCCAGCGGTGGTAGTCGACGCGCGAGTTGGCCAGGCCGCACTGCGGGCACGAGAAGCCCGCGAGGAGGGCCTCGTTCCTCGCTGCGAGGTTCTGCGGCGTCAGGGAGGACGGTCGTGATGCCTGGCCGGCGTCGGGGTGGTTCCTGGCGAGGAACTGCTCCCAGGTCGGGTACATGGCCGGGTAGAAGTCCCAGAACCGGCGCGCGGCGTCGTGCAGGGAGTTACCGTCGTTCAGCCTGTCGAGGCGCTCGGCCAGGAAGCGGCGGTCGTAGACGAGGTTGGCCGGGTCGGCGTCGGCGTGCTCGCCGTCGACGAGGAACCAGTCGCGGCAGTGCTTGTTGAGGCACACGAAGCGCGGCGCGAACAGCCTCACCGACACCTCCCCGCAGGCAGGGCACGCCTCGTCGGCGGCCTTGGTCGTGAAGTCGCGCTCCTCCAGGCCTGGATGGGGCCGGCCTGCCCACTTCGCATCGGCCCACCAGCTGCGGGCGGCGATGTCGATCTTCTCCAGCCTCACCATCCACACGCTCACCCCCCCGCCGCCGCGGCCCGGCTTCTCCCACATGTGCGTGGCGACGAACCAGCCGAGGACGGCGCACTCGAGCCCGCCGGGGACGGCGCAGGGGAACGTCTGGACGCCGTGCGCATCGGGCCGCGCGGCGTCCTTGTTGACGGCGATGCCGACGGGGACGCGGGACCTCATGCTGTGGCGCATCTCGCGCTCGCGGGCGGCGGCGAGCCCCGCGTTGTTGCCGGCGCCGTTGATGGAGCTGATGACGACCTCGGCGTCGATGTAGCGCCCCGCCGGCGGGCAGCCCGCGACGTACAGCCCCGTGCAGTACTTCTCCTCCGCGCCGCCTGCGCCGCGCGTGTTCCTGGGGTCGCCGGCGTTGGTGCTCCAGAAGCCCGTCTGCACGCCGTGGAACCAGGGCGTCGCGGCGGCAAAGTCTGCGCGCCGCTGGGCCATGTGGGGGGGCCTGCTGCAGGCGCGCCAGGTCTCCATGTCTGTCCTGATGATCGTCTCTTGTATGGCGGCTTGCCGTTGTGCGTCCTGAGACTGAGACGGGCTCGCATCTGTGGCGGCGCGTGTGTTGTTGTCGGCCTTGGATCTGTGTCAGTCTGCTTGCTCTTGTCTGGATGTGCTCTTAGGTTTGGGGAAAGGGGCGTTGGGATTCTCACCGAGGAAGAAGCTGGAGGTTGGCCCCTCTGTCGGGATGACACCCGAGAGGGGATCGAGTGCTTGGTCATTGTGGTGGTGTGGCAGGGACGGAATGTGATGGATACAGAGTGAGGGGACAAGGTACTTGGAAGGAGGAAGACCAGAGATGATGTCCAGGGGAGTATGAGATTTGCTGAGAGCAAAAAGAATGTGGTTGAGGGACTCTTCTTGACGGACCCAGAACCGTGTGCTCACACTGCTATGAAGGAAGATGGGAGCAAGGACTGGCAGAGCGCGCTGCTTGTCCCAAGGCTGTGTGAGTTGTGGCCTGTCGCGTTCCCTCGCCAGCGCGACACGGTCTCTGCCCCGCAACGCGTGGACCACCAGCGACCTTTTTGAGGCGCCAGCGGGGGATCAAAGTTCATTCACCCATCAGCTGCTAGGATTCTGGTTGGGTGACAGTCTTGAGGTCAGGACACTGGCCAGTAGTGCTCTTGGACTGAAGGACTATGAGAAGCCCCTTGGAGTATGCGTTTGACGGGTACCAGTTCAGATTCATAATGTCGAGAACGTACCGTAACAATAGTAACTACCACCAGAGTCCATCCGCTATCAGGACCAAGTGACCAATTGATAAAATCTCAACCCCGGGGCTCATACTTGACTTCATCATTCACTCATGCAGATTCCAAGACAGGGAGTTTCCATCCCAGACGGGCCAACTTCTCATGCATACCTTTGCTGATCAGTGACTCAAGATAGAAGTGCCGAAAATCAACATCTTCTGCCGAGTGAACAGTCAACAGCCAACCTGCTGCCGGTGACGCCTGGGTGCGCAGGGAACTGACGAAAACCTCCCGGTCTTCCTGGAGAGTGGCATCTGGGGGCAAGGCGAGCTCTTGGAGCTGCAAGAAGCGCGGCATGCGACAGGCCATCTGCATCGGGACCTTGGCCGCGAGTCCCCAGTCGATCAAACTACAAAGTGGAATCAGCACAAACGCCCACACGCAGGTCGGCCTTGCAAAGTCGTAATCAACCACTACCTACCCCGTGATATTATGATCAGAGTCCACGATCAGGTTCGACGCCGACATGTCGCCGTGGTCCATGGCGAACGGCGCATCCTCCAGCTCAGGATGAAGAACCCCAGCGAGGAGGCGCGCCTGGTCGTCACAGTCCCGCTCGCTTATATTCCGCAGCGTGCCCCCCCGGACCCGGCTGGCCTTGTTGCTGATGATCCTCCGGAAATGCTCCGTCGCGGGCCCACCTAACCATCCTGATGAGAAAATTACCCTTCAACGCGGCAAGAGGATAGGATATGTTTACGGGCTTCTAAGGTCAGGTTGATGAGGGATGCCTGCACCTCAGCGACCTGGCCCAGGACCTTGTCGCGGGTCCGCCTGCAGGGCGGCGACGTCGCGGTCCAGGCGAGAGGCGCGCCGGGGGCCCACGACAGTGCCGCGAAGGGGCACCCGACCTCATTGTCAAAAGTGTGGTCCCACCCCCGGAGCCTTGGCGCCCAGCGGAACCCCTTGTCGTTGAGCTCCTCGAGTACTTGCTGTTCGGTGCGCAAGCACAGGGTTATGAATTCCTCGGGGCCACTGATGTGGATTGGTATACGCACCGCCCAGCTTTCGCCGTCGGTGAAGGTCGCCTTGTAGATCCGGCACTGGCCGCCGTCGAGATGGGTCTTGCTTACTTTGGGGAGTTGCCCGTCGGGGTGGAAGCGGGAGATGGCGGTGGGGAGGTTTTCTGGGTGGAAAGTGCGTGCCGCCTGAGCCATGGGAGCTCTGCTGTGGTGAAGGAGGCAGGCTTGAGAGTTGCAGAGAGCACTTGTTGGCAAGATGTTGATGTGTTGCCGCTCATATGATGTGAGGTTGGGCTGTGGGTGGGGTCACGCATGCATGTAAGTTGAGGCGCTGTTGGTGAGACAGCACTTGAGGTCAGTTGAGCCGCTGCTCCAACGGCAGGCACCTCTTGCCCAGCCAGGTTATCAATTTTAATAGATGAAAATCTCAATAAATTTCCTGGCTGTATTTGCATTGTACAATTAGCCATAAAGGACGGAACCAATGCACGAAGTGAGAGTTGGTTCGGCCAACAATGCATACCGAGTACTCAAGTAGACACACTCCATGTGCCAGCTGGCACCAGCTGGGGCCAGAGCCGACCTCGGCCAGTTGTGGTCCTGTTGTCCGTGCCTGGAACCAATCTGACCAGTTCATCCCAGCACTCGAGCCCGTTCACCTTCACACTAGCCGTGAACTTGAATTACACGAGACTTATAGAGAAGAATATGTGCTTTCTGGGCCCCCGCATCTCTTGCATTAGCGTTCTTTAATCTGATTCCTACATTTAGCGATATCCCAACCTGAAATACCACGGCCCGTTGTCGGTCGTCCCAGCTCATCGACCAGCCAACACCATCACATACCTAGGTAAACCAAAGCCTCCCTCCCGAGGCCGTCATGAAAGACGACGAGAACCCCAGCATCATTTATGAAGCCGAGGACGGTCCCGACCCGCTCCGCTACTCACATGTTCCTCTCGTGTTAACCCACGATGGCGGCGGCACATGCTTCTCCTGTAAGTACCTCGCAATATCAAAGTCGTTACTAGTAGTTCCTCCATCACCACCTGAGCCAGGGTCTAAGCAAATACCTACCTCACCTACCCGTCAACACCCCGACCAAAACCCATCTCAAAACCAGCTGATAACAACACAAACAGACTACTGCCTAAACCCCATCGGGCGCCCCGTCTACGAGATCCACAACCCACACTTCTACTCAGCCAAGCCCTGGCCGGGCGGCATCCCCGAGATGGCCGCGCACTACGTCGGCCTCATCCGCGGCGGCGCGGTGCCCCGCGGCCGGATCCTCCTGGGCGGCTGGTCGCTCGGCGGGCTCCTCTCGCTCGAGATGGCGCGCCTGCTCGCGGGCGACCCGGACTTCACCGTCGCGGGGATCGTCATGGTCGACAGCATCTGCCCTGCCCCGAGGGCGGCGGGGGCGGCCGAGGTGGTGGTGGTGCCGTACAAGCAGCAGTTCGGGCCCAACACGAAGCAGGAGACCGTCGAGGGCGTGGAGAGGTGCTTTGCCGAGGCGAGGCGGTCGGTCGGGGCGTGGGCCCTGCCGAGGTGGGACGGTCCCGGTCCCGGTTCCGGCTCCGGTGCCGAGGCATCGGGTGTCAGGTGTCCGCCGGCGGTCCTGCTGCGCGCGAGGGAGGCCGTCCCGACGGGGCCGGGGGAGGTCAGCTTCGTCGACACGGCGCGGGGCAGCAGGAGCCTCGGCTGGGATGAGTACTACCGGCCGGGCTTCTTTGAGGATATCGTGGACGTGTCGGGCCACCACTTTTCTATTTTCGCCTGGGAGTACGTCGATGATGTCTCGCAGAAGCTGATGGACGCGTGCGATGCTCTTGAGAGGATGGCGGCGGGCACAACAGCATAGCGACACGAGGGTGGCCTCGGCAGGTCTCCGGTACAGACCGCATGTGGCCGGCGCGTGGTTCGGTTGGATTTATCGGGCGAAATTATTAGAAGGATCCACATTTCACTAACTACCTAGTAGACACAGACAGCACATAGACTTGCCGCTTTCTCTGAGGAATGAAAGACATCCACGTGAGCAATTCAAAATTACAAATCACAAGTCAAACCCAGAGGATCCGTTCAAATTGTGTTTACATTTATGCAATCACGTTTGCACTCCATGAATCATGGACTAAATTGCGCCGTATCGATCCCTCAGGTTGCTAGACATCACATTCCCTCAATATGCCACATCACATTTCCTCAATGTGCCATCCATGAGATGCTATCCAGGGGAATACAAGCTTAAATAATGTTCTCTTGTTCTCAAGCACGCTTCAACTGTCCAGAAGCTGGATTTTGCGAGCTGGTCCCCCGTCTCCTTGGCCGCCGGGCTGGTTCCCTGCAACCTCATCTGCCAGTCTCTTATTCTGCACCAGCACGCCAATGATGCGGTGCGAGTGATCATTCTCTAGCGAAGCGGAAAGTTCCCCCGCCGGGATCTCCTGCCCCCTGTGGTTGCGAATGGAACTCTGCAGGTCACCATCTCCGTACAAATAAAGCGCTGTGTCTCTTGTGAGCAAAAATCTGTTGCCAAGACTCCTGAGGTTGACCAAGGGGTACTCACAAGTCACGTCATAGACATTTCGCTCATAGGCCACCCACACAGGGCTTTTCAGTGAAGGCAATTGTTTTACCGATGCGACACTGTTGGCCAGATAAGGTATTTGCGACCCGTCACATGAAGCCAGTTGTTCGGGGGAGATCTGAAGCAAGGGAGGCGGGATCTTGGCCACGATGAGCTTCCTCATGAATGCCAGATCTAGGAGCTCTTCTGGTATCTCTTCCCCAGTGTCGGCCATCACCCTCTCAGACGCGTCCGTCCCACGGAACGGCCGGGTGACCTCCTGAATGTCGTGCCAGCCGGGCGCCACCCACGTATCAACAGCTGTGACGACCGTCAGCACTTTCTAACCCATCTGTTTTGACTTTTGGGGGGCTCTTTGGCAGTTGTTGCACTGTCGACAGCCCTGGCAAGAGATGGGGCTATCCGGACGAATTACTTACGTGTGAGATCATATACAAATCCATGTATGGTGATCTCCTTATCAGTAATCGGCTGGGTTTGTTCTCTTATCACTCGTCCGACACGAAGGAAATCATAATCCTGCAGGCACCGCTGGGCGTGCGAATGGAATCGGTTGAACACGTCTGTTGCATCTTTGCCCACCCACTGCCGTATCATTACATTACCACCAGGATGAGATTCGATGAATCCTAGATAGTCGTCAGCTCATAAGAGGCAAGTAAGTACCTTTGCATCAGAATTTAACGTACTCGTCATGTCGTAGACATTTCCTCCGATAATGGTGTACATCCCAGTACTTGGATAAACGTGCCAAGCCACCTCCTTTGCTGTGAACAGGGCCTCTGTGGACGAGTCGGGGCCTGTCCTTGGTCGAGGCTCGGCTATGGTAGCACACCTATATGGCCACAGATCGTCCAGAATACCTAGGGGTAAGTCTCCCCTGCGTGTGCCAATGGCAGGCACTGGCATGGGGTTGCCGCCTGGGTTGGACGAGGGCGAATCACGACGACCCCCTAGGAAGCCTGCTGGCAAACCTGCAAGGCCGCGTTTTCAGTGAGCAGGAGAGCATGTCATGTGCATGAGGGTGCTTCAGCTCGACATACCTGTTATGTTGAACACATCCCGGCCGAGGGTGACCAACTGTGGTTTCCCGTTCTTCCCGTCCCGCTCGGCGACTTCCTGACGTCTCATTGGACGTATCAACCTGCCGACAGGATTGTTCCGTCCTTTCATCTCTTGCTGCAACGCAGGCACTGCTTTTAGGCCCATGGTTGTTCTCGTCAGGTGGTTTGTGATGTCGAACGCGTTGTCCCGTGCTCTCTTGGTCTCTATGACGTCTGCGAAACAAATGTCAATGAAGGATCACGGACGAGACAGACAGTGAGTGATCCCGGCCACACTTGACCAGCCAATACTATCATAGGATAGTCATCTAGAGGCAATGAACCTACCCGTAACGTCGTAAACATCGAATCCACCACTCCCATCATCAAGTAGCGCCCACATATCTTCACGGGACCGATGATTTCCCACGTCGCTGATCGTATAGTATGTCGACTCCCACGCCCGGTCCGGTCTTAAAAGTCTACCGGCCTTCGCACTGCGAGAGCCGGAGGCAGCTGGCCCTGCTCCCTCCGGAGGCTGCAATGCGGGCTCGTCAACGGGTTGTGCATCGGGTTGTGGGTCATTGTAGCCTGCCGTCTGCAAGGCGGATGCCGCCCCCGTAAAGCCTTCAGTCTTCTCGCTTATCCACCCCCGTAGGCTCATGGCAAAATTGGGCAACCAGTCTCTGTCATCGGTGACCATCGCATCCGCTTCGGCCTGGCGGAGCGCGACCCAGAAGACGTCTGTGATGTCGCCCGGCACAGCGGAACTTAGATCGCGGATGGTAGCCTCCACCTTCAGCTTCTGGAGGAGCGTGTGCCGGTCGCCGAGCCCCTTCTGGCCCCCCTGGAGGGGGATGTGGCGTGTCGGAACCGTCGTGTCGGACGTCCCGTACCTCTTGTTGCGGACGGCGTCGACCACCCATGGCTCCTTGTCCTGAGACCGTGCGTGATTGCGAGCTTCAGTGCTTGGTGACCAGACGTTTTCGCTGATGAGGTAGCGCGAGTCCCTGCTCTCTTCATCGCGCCTGGGCATCATACACAGGAAAAGAACGCCGACGGCCTGGACAAACCAGATCCTGACGTGTCGAGTGAGCATGAGCTGCCCCCATCTGTCAGTTTTGAGATAAGCAAAGTTCCGTAATACTTCTTCTGCCGCGATCTCGTCGCGTAGCATGTGCGCATCTCGGAACTCCAAAATTCCAGTGCGAAATGCTTGGTAGGAGTGTATAGAGACATCCCACTCGGCGAATGCCTCCTTATACCTGGATTATTGAAACTGTCAGATGCTAATACCTCCGTTGATCCTCGTGGAAGCTTGATGGCGGTGGATAATGCCATTCTGTACCTCAACGATTCAAAGGAGTGCGCCGCTGGGTGGATCGTACCATGGCCGCAAGAGGTTCTTGTTTAACTTCCAAACATCAATCACAGCACCAAATAAATCCATCTCGTCCCGAATATCATCCGTGACGTGTCTTGTTTCGCATAGTCTTGGAGAAGAGAGCGTGCGCAACTTTCTTCTTTGTTGGACAACCTGCGGGACCTGGAACGCCTGCAGCCCGTAGGCAGTGTAGCGATGCTCCCAGAATTCAGATGTCAACAGGCCACTCGTGTAGGAAAGAGGTACGATGTATTGGGACCATTCGTCGTTTTCGTGTAGCTGTGCATCAACTCCGTGGCCCAGCGTTCTCATATACTTGTAGTTAGGGAAGTCCTCCATGATGACCATCCAGAATCTAGCATTCCATATCTCCCTCCGAATACGAGTTATCGAAGCCGTGGGATAGCCCTGTACCCGGCCGCCGAATACTATTGCTTCCCAGGCTACGCCCAACTCATTCACCCATTGTATGGGGCCTCCGGGTGGTTGGTAGAACTGGGCGTTGAATAAGCCGGGGTGCGGATTTAGGGTGGGGTGCTTACAGGTTCGTTGGCCAATCTGCCGCCTTCAAGGCCAATCACTCGGTTATGTATAATCCACAATGCGTGCTATAGCGAGATAGTAAGTCGATAGATACTCAGGCAGATTTGGTACCCGTAACAATGCACTACGGGACCGTCAGCAACTTCGTGATCCTCCCAGGCCCATTGATAGCCCACTTGCTCCAAGGCCGCTGAGTCCATACCTTATGAATAATTTCTGTAGCGCGCAGTAGTATCAATCAATCGATATTGCACTTACCACTATCTCATGTGCTAGCTATTCAAGTATCAGCACAGTAGTCTTCCCGTAGCTGCCTCACATGTATTATGGCAGATTAAACTTAATACTCACAGTCTTGGCGAAACAGAAGCTCGCCAATGCCTTCTCAGTACGAGACGTAGTTCTGTCCAGCAACGGCCAAATCAAGCCGGGAGTGATCATTATGACTGCAAATTCGCTCGGCTGACCTCTTTGCCCAGGCGGGGGGGCCGCACGATAACCCGTCGTTACGCCGTACTGTCCATCGCCATGTTATCAGATGACCGACCTCAACCACCAATGCAAGGTGGTAAGCCCAAAATGACCGCAGATTCAAAAGGGTGGCGGAGGACAACCAATGAATGCGTACCCATTTCGTAGGAGAAGTGCCTCTGAAAGATATTGTGGGAAAAATTGCAGTGACCAGCCTATCAGCGTAACCCGCGAACCGATTCCGCAGCGCAGCCACCTCCGCGTCAGTGGGATTACCTGGAAATCGAGCAACATACGGCGGTTCTGCATGATTTAACATTGTCACACCATTCCATTCGAACTCTGCCGATTTCTTGACTGTTGTGACAGCATGGTGACTGCAATAAACTCCTTTAGCTCATCGCAAATAACTTCAACAATTGGTGCCCGAGCGCTCCGAGGCCACGTACAATGGGTCTCGAAGTGAAGCGCAAAATATATCATTGGCCATTTGTATGGAAGGCTTCATAGCGTCCCAGATTATTGGGTTATCTACCGACCAGGTGTCTGTCTCTGATAACTCGGGAATGAGCTCTCCAGCGAACCCGCGACTGACAGGCGTATCAGTATTGTACCATCTCGCCTATGATTGTGATTATATTAATAACTCCTGCAATGATCAGTTGGAAGGAGTTGGATGTGGATGCAGGGGACCGTGACTGTTATGAGCTCCCTCATTCGCCCCAGCGTGGAATCCAATACCTTCTGGAAAACCGGCTCCCAATTATTCTCGTTGATCTCTCTATCGCCTGCCTTGACAGGCACAGCGTCGATGAGACTCTGTACCTCCACTGTAAGATATTAGCCTCTGCGGGTCAAGCTAGCTGGACGAGAATGCGTGCTAGCATGACCAAATACTTGGAGGTCCTGTAAAGGACTGAGGAACTCGGAATCGAAACATACAAGTGGTCAGGTTTTGGAAAATTTCGCGCTGTATTTCCTCCTCCTGGAACATACGATCAAGCTCGTCGTCGCTGGGCCGCGGGAACGGGGGCGCATCCTGGGGAATTGGTTGACGGTCGTCTATATCTCGATCCGGATACCTTTCCCATCCAAGAGTCAGTGATCGTGTTTGAAGCAGCACAAAGTGTGGAGACTCTACCTTGGGTGTAGTCCCGAAGACCGGTCCAGTGTGAAGGGGTATCTCCGGCTCACCCCAAACCTCTGTGCATATGGCGTTGGTAGCCCAGGTGATCTGGGAGGCAATGGAGGCACTGGGGAAGGTGGACCATCAGGTGGACCATCAGGTGGACTTCTAGGCGCGTTGATAGGTCTGAATGATGCCATCGTCTATGAGTGCCAAGAAGCACGGGCTCAGATGCGTCGTTTCAGTCAACCTCGTATTGGGATACCTAGCTACAGTGAAAGTTTGGGTTCCCAACTACGTGGAATCCCAGGACCTGTATACTTGACAATCACCGAGAGCGAACAAGCGGAGTCTGGTTCTCGAAATTCAATTAGTTGATGGTTGGCCGGATCCGTCGGAATGCACAATTCCCTAGTGAAAGGTTGACACAATGGACAGTCCAAAGTTCGCAATATGAAAGCGCCAATACTGTGTCTTGTGCCGCGTTGTGCCGCTCGTCGTGACAACACACCTGAACTCCTTTGAATTGACAAAACCTCTCTTTTGGAATCTTCGTATGAGCACCTGTGATATGGGGTAGGCGGATGTGTATTCGTAAGTGGGGTTACCTAGGCATCCAAACTGGCGACTCAAGATGACCCCAGATTTTCACTCTCCCACCAGCCCCTGAAGACTTTCAGCCTCTCAGTCCGTTCCTTGGCAAGCTGCCGCCCAGTATCCGTCTTCATCATGCCCTCCAAAAGCTCCAGCTTCTCCTCGAAGTGATCGATGCAGCCGCTCAGGCCCCGCTCGCTCATCTTTGCGCCGCCAAAGGTGAAGCAGCGGGCGATGCCGACAGCGCCAAGTGCGTCGAGCCTATCTGCATCCTGCACGATAGCCAGCTCTGGTATGGAGGCGATCTTGTCCAGCACCTTCTGAGGGGCCTTCTTCTCGGTGGAGAAGGAAACATGGAGGACGAGATCTTGGACCTTGTCTGCCAGGTCGGCGGGGCAGCCCCTCTCGAGGAGGACGTCCCTCACCAGTGTGGTCGAGTCCTGGCCCGGAAGGAGGTATTTGCGGTCGCCGACATCATGGAGTAGAGCTCCAAGGGTCAGGAGCGTCTCGTTGTATTGTGGTGTTCCGGATTTGTCGGACTGGATCTCTTTGTGAAGGATGAGCAGTGCCAAGCGGTGGACTCGTTGTATGTGGTTGTAGTCGTGGGATGGGTCGTAGTGCGACATGTACTCCTTAACATATGATGATACCGAATGAATGAGCTCATCATAGCTCACATCCCCAACCTGACCTGTCCAAGCATCATTTGCAGCCTGTTTGGGCTCTGTTGGCTCTTCCGTCATGGAGGTCCTCTTCCCTTTGGCCCCCACCCTTTTGAGCAAAACCTCATCCATTGTGGTCCTCAAGTGCTTGCACGGGGCTGTTGTTTCGATCCGGAGTCTCTCATTCAGCACAGTCAGTATTCAAAGACAGGAATACTCCTTGCAAGGTGACTCACATATGTGTCGTTGCCTAGGCTATTGGTAAGCAGTAGGAAGCAAAACAGCCTGACGCGACGCGTCTAATGGCTTGGGAGCACTTGGACGTATCCGAACCCTGACGATGACCGCTAACAACGTCAGACCCCTTACCCTGTCTTAACCCTAGAACCGAACAAAGGGGGAGGACTGAGATGGTAAGGAGATTCACGCCATCTCAACCGACGAGCGGATGCACAATATGAACTCTTTTATTATTCCTATTATTCCTTCCGCAACTCTCAAGATTGAGCCCGTTATGGTTTACGGGACCTCCTTCAGTGTGACTACATATTCACATTTCCAGTCCACGGATCGGGTCTGAAGGCTTATTCGATGATGAGCCATCGTTTAACTAATGTATCTCTCTTCATCTCACTCTCATCATTTTGCCTCGTGCTCACCACCTGGAACATGCATACCATGCTTTCCTTGATACTTGGAAGTCTCGGCAGGCTTCCACCCACCGTTACTGAGCAAGTTCTCATCCTCCAATTTGAAAACCTCGACTTTCAGTGGCCGACAGCACTTGATCATTTCCTTCTCGCTGTCACTACCGAATCCCCACAACGAAAGGTCACCGCCCGGGCAAGTGCCTATCGTTCACATGGTTTAGCATATCCCAGCCAGACCGCAGTGAAAGGATGGTCATCACTCACTCAGCGCCATAAGCACGTCCTGCTCCGCCAGGAACTCAATATGATCCCCAGGCTCGGCCGGGCACGGGTTCATGAAATACCTGCCCTTCTCGTCCAGCCCCGTGACCTGGAACAGGTTGATCACATCATGCACATCAGACTCAGCCAGGCCGAACGGCGCCACCGCCCGCGTCAAGTTGGAGTGGCAGTGGAAGTCGTATGTCTGGCCCGAGAGCACTGTATTGATGTAAGGGTCGCACCGCGTGCCCAGGAGGTCGTGCACGCGGCCCCCGTGCTCGTCCTCGCCGTACCACGAGAGGCTGTCCGCGATGATGGTCACCAGGGGGCGCATGTACGGCAGGCAGGACCACAGCCTGTCGTGGGTCGTCACGTGCGAGGCATGCAGCTGCTTGGTCCGGCTGGCCCAGAAGCGCTCGCGGGGGTTGTGCGCGTTCCATATGTTGAGGTCGCCTGTCGTGAGGGGCTGTTAGCGGTGTGTTTTGGTCCATTGGACACTGCCAGTGACTAGTGCAAGGCGGCTCCTCTCGAGAGATAGCCCGGATGAGATGGTTCGCTTACCGACTTGAGGTCCCTCTGGCGTGCTGATCCGAACGATTGAGCCGGCGGGGGCCTTCCACGCCCTCCCGGACCGAATTGGCAAGGTGAATTCCTCCAGCAGAACTCGCGGCGCCTTTCGAGCCGCCTCATACAAGTCTCCAGGCACCGTCAGCGGCGAGCCTGCGGAGGGCAGGTATGCCGGCACGGGCTTGGGGATCGGCTTCCGGGATCGGAGGCGCTCGGCACCGGTTTGATCGATTGCACCCATATTCTCAAGGAGGTTCGTTCAGGGGGTTGAAACGGGATATAGGTTTGTTGGTGTGGCATTCATCGGTACCATAGAAGATGAAGATGTTTATATAGCATCCTGGTGATTAAGTACTGGGGGAATACGGATGCGCGGAGAAGCCGACTCTGACCGCATGGCTTGGCGGCGTTGATAAGATCGGAGTGAAGCACCGTTAAAGTCGTGATCTTGCCCGGCCTAGGTACTGGCTGACTTGCACTACTTCAAGTTATTGCTTCTTGATCCACCATCTTCCCTCAGAATGACAATAATGTGGTTTCGCTTCTACTCCGTATACGTCCGAGGACATACATGGCGCCTTCATACGGTGAATGACAATAATACAAGTTGATCCCCTTTGCTGATTCAAATATTTGCGGAGAGGATTTGTAGTCATTTGTTTGCTCGAACCAGAGCCCCTGACTTTCATAGACAATCAGTGATCGCATTAGCTACTAGAATGAGAATGATAAGATCTATCTGATTGACTGATACTCAAGGTTAGGAAGTTGCCCGACAGAGGAGTGTCCACATAAATCTCCTTGTCACTCTAATCCAGCGACTCCGCAATGGACTACTCTCTGAAATGGTGGTTCTCCACATGGTCGTAGCTGGTGTAACTGTTAAATGCCATGTGAGTGAGAAAGGCCGAAACTCTGCGAGTTCGTTCCAAACCTGCCAAGAAAAGCAGATTTGTGAGTGGTGACGCGGCTCAAAAGCCAGCGAGTAGAAGAGGGAGTCTAATGCGCCCGAGGCTAAGATGTCTTTTTAATCCACACCGCTGACTTCTAGATTCTACCCGCACAGCACCTTTCGGATGCACCTCTTTAATCACAAATGAGGGACGAGGTTCACCAGCAGGAGTCGGCGAATGCTTTATGAACAAGATCCAGAGCATATGCGAAAGCGAGCTGCCATCGCTTTACTATAAGGCTCAAAGTCACATGACGCCTCGCTATTGTGAGAGGACAAGCCAAAGGATCAGTAGCAGAAACGTCTGATGGCTTCAACTCAGGCGTTGTGCGGTGACATGGCGCGGTAATGACAGACCCGGAGACAACGGACGAACAGACGGGACTGGGCCGTGCCCACCCCATCCTGAGGCGCACCCACTAGGCGCAAGATGGCACTGTAGCGCTGGTCAGCCCTCTGAAGTGTGCCTCAGGATGTGGCGGCGTCATAAGTAGGCTGTGCCCACCCTATTCTGAGGCTTGAGGCGCACACACTAGTAGGCGCATCTAGATAGGATGATACTGCAGCCTTGCTCAGCCTTCTAAAGCGTGCCTCATGATCTGGCAGCGTCGCAACATGCCACCCGGGAATGTGGAAGCGAGGTTGTCCGGAAGTTCTTTCGACGTGTACAGCAGGCATTGACTTTCAGGCCGGACGAGTAGCGCGGATGCGTCGTGGGGATGTCCTGTACACTCGGCGGAGGGATACAAACTCGGACCTATCCGTAGCATCCGAATTGTCTGATGGTCAATGATGCGTGGCAGGATGGGAGGAAAGGTCGGATCCCTGTGACAAGGGAAAAGCGGGAGCCATTGCGACTGGCAGATGCTTAGTTATGCGGGCGAGAGGGCCGCGTTGCCCTTGCGTTGGGTGTCGCTAGTCGTGAAACATTTTGAATTTTACTGCGTTACTGCGGGTGCATAGCGAGGAGGTGGCGAGGGGTGACTGATCAACGGGCGTAGTGAAGCAAAGAAACGTTGCAAGAGATGTCGTCGACAGGCCGGCAGACTAATAAGGCACCGCGATAGCTCCGGGCCTATCGTTCGCTTCATGAGACAGCTTCAAGCCCTCAAGCCAAGCACTGCACAAAAACCCTGAACCTGTTTGCATAGGCAAGGTTGAATGCTTAACTCCAAGGTGAGAACTCGGGACATTTTCGCGCATCGCGATTCGACAGCAGGGCCTCTCCTCGATGGCTCGGGAACAGCGCCAAGGGTCAGGTCGACGTTCGGTTCGCCAAATGCTCAGGATTTGATTTGACACGGCCTGTTGATTTGCTGAGGGGTTCTCGGCCGTGGGAATTTGTCGTCCACTCGGTCCCCTGTCGCCAGGCGTCTCCGAGTCGTCGGAGGTCCCTGCACATGTCTCAGAATGCCTGGCAGGCATCCAAGCGTTTTAGCCTTCTGCCACGACCGCGGACACCATGCATACACAGACGGCGGACAATTTTGCCAAAATTCACGATGAGCTTATTTCATGAGAGGGTTGGGTGATCAGCCAAGCGAACCGGAATTCTGCGTACTGTGATCACATTCAGCTCGGGGTTGGAAGCACTGAGACCGTTGGTTTTGAATGCATAGAGAGAGGGGTTGCAATGTTTGGTGTATTAGTGTATTAGTAGACGCTACTTATAGGATGGAACCGGGGGCTGTACAGGGTCCACTGGGATCCCCTCGAGACACCTGACCAGTGCCTACCACGGTCGGATCCGTCTTGGCGCTGCATGCGTTCATTGCTTGGTGTTTTAGCTTCTGCACTTGATCTGTGTCATGTATTGGATATTACCAGCTGCATTGCCATGCGCTCGCCATCACATCCCAAAAGCTTAGACGGTTGCTCCCTAGGGCTGGAACCTTCATTCCTAAAGTTTGTACATGACGTGTGGCGAGCATCTAATGATTCGGTGTTGGTTTGCTTTTACTTTCGGAAACCCTCGATCTGTTGTATAACCATTTGCATATCATATCATACTTACTCGCAAGGACTGGGCTTATTTTCATTTTTCATCGTCACACCCACCATATATCGGAGTTCCTTGCAGAGGTACACACACTGGCATCACCGACCGAGATTCAGATCTTCATGGAGGTAGCCAGGAATAGTCAGAGTCAAAAGACCTGCATATGACAAGGGCTGCTGTCCGTGGGACCTCGCCAATGGACCCCCGGAGTAACGAGCGCATCTCAACCGCCAGCAACGACGACTCGATCCTTCAATATGTTAACGACAGGAGGTCGGGGACGAAGAAGCGCCGGCGCGCATGTCCGATCTTGATCCTTCTCGCCTTGGTAATACACTTCCTTGCGGCAGGATGCGGGATCACTATCAGCGTACTCGTCGTCCGCTTCGGCCTGGAGACATCGGTTGCTGAGAGGCAGGACCTCGTGTCGAGGATACTGCTGTTCGTCTCGAGCTGCGTCGGCAATGTATACATCCTGATGCACATCTTCGCGTCGCGGGAGAAGTATGTTAGAAGTCTTCAGAATGGCAGCCCGCAGATACACGGGTACTTCTTCGCGGCGGTATCTTTTCTCATCGCGCGACTGAGCCTGCCAGTGTGGATTGCGACTGTCGTCATGAATGCTCTTGTCGCGGCAATGATTGGGTTTAATCTACAACGAGGCGTCAAGACAAACGTGGCCTGGATTCAGCTCCTGATCGCGACTGTGGGCTTGTGAGTTCTCCGGTTCTGCATTCGAGTTGAGGCTGAACGACTAACACGAGTCCACAGATTGTCCATGCTACTCATATTAATTTTAATCGAGACCACCGACCGTCCATTCGCAACTTCGATCCTGTCTAGACGGACATTCATTACTGCAACGGAGCAGGGCGACCGAAAAGACACGTTCGATCTCAGCATTTCAAGACAGGGGATTCATCCCGTACAGAGTAAGACAGAAAAGAAAGAGGGGACCAGAGATACAATAGCAGAAATGCCGCGTGAATCGTTCGACCGATCACGAATCAACACCCCGGAGTCATCATCGGGCGGCGGCAGTCCTGATGGCCAAAACACTGCACCGTCTGGATGGACAGACCGTTCGTCGCGAGTGGAGCCAAGGAGGAACACAAGGCGAGATACGCTTCGTGTACGCAGCCAGGCGGTGCCCACGCCCCTGGAAACCATCTTCGGATCCCGGGAGACCCTTCCCGACCCTCGGAACTCGCCAGGAATCAAGGGTGACTTCTCATGGAGACCACCAACAAGAGACTCAGAATACGGCCAGAGGCCGACGACCTCGGAATCATTCCGCGATACGCTGCAGCCACGAAGTAATGCGGCCTCGACGGTCTTCTCGAACATGTCTGCCCTACCTCATCCTCTGGCGACGAATCCGGTACCTCCTTCACTGGTGCCCGGCGTAGCAAGACCGGCAGATCAGCAAGCGCTGCGGCAGTCTGTAGTCGGGCCCCAACGATCGTCCTCGGTCCCGCCCGTAGAAACTCAAACGAAGCCACCGCCTCAACGACGGCCCACACTGCCGAACCTCACCGACCTGCCCGCCCGCGCCGCAGCACGGAGGAGGAACTCACTAATGGCTCGAGAAGCCGACCTGGATCCTCGCGCGTCTAGGGAGATCTCTCGGCGCTTCAGCATAATGGGCCAGGACACCATCGCTCCACCTTCGCCCAGGAACGACTTCATCGAGGTGCCCATCCCGAACATCAAGCCTCGAGACCTCGACACAGACGAAGACGGGATCATTCCTGAGGATTTGCATCCACTAGCGAGAAACAATACCACGAGGGCACGGCTTGTGCGCAACTTCTCGAGACCCAGGAGGAGGAGCACCATGGTCGGGTCGGCGGACGAGGCCATGGACGGCGACAAGGCGAGGCGGACGTCGTCGTATCTCCCAGAGCCAGCACGTGAGCGCGCCCGCGGCAGGAAAGGAGGCAAAGACACCATCGCAGATGTTAGGCCAGCCGATGTCCGGCGATCCAAGTCCGTCCCACCAGTCGCTCCGTCCGACGCCATGAGGACCAGGAGAGTCAGCCTCGTCCTCGACGAGCCACGCTCCAAGCCCCCCACAGCAAGACTCCCAATGCTCCGAAAGCCCGTCGGCGGACCGCGGTTCTCGCCCTTTCCCGCCCCGAGCGGCGCCAACGCCCCAGACCAGCGCAGGATCAAGGGCCTGGGCCAGGGGTCGCAGCGGAGGTTAGACAAGGAGGTTGCGCGCTGGGTCGAGGGCGTCCAGGCTGACCCGCGGGCTTCGAGCGACGCGCCGCCTTCGATCATCTCGGATGTGTCTACCGGTACTGACATACTGGACGTTGAGACCACCGGACCGAGTAGTAGGCGGGGCGGCGGAGGTGGGAAGCGTCTCAGCCGGGGAGACTCTGTTTCTGGACGGACGAGGCGCATTGCGCAGAACTTTTAAGATGGTAATCACCTTGTAGATCATTAGAAATGTACAAAGACAACAAGTAAAAGTTTCAGAGTCCACCAATCGCCCAATAAAGCTTATCTGGCGTACCTGCGACCTGCCTACAACAGTATTTCTTTTCACCATCATTGTCTTTCCTGCTGTTTCTGATCTTGGGTGCCGGCCGACCTGAGATGACCCGGGTGACCGCCGCATGTTAAAGAGAGCATCACAATGTAAGGTCACGGTCTGAGTATGCCACGATGAGTGAGTTCTCAGGGGTACCCTCACTTTGAATACTTCACGAATTATTTTATTCTACCCGGGTATTGGTAAAAATTAATGCCACTGCACTGTTCAAAGCAAAACCAGCGCCACCTTCTGCCATAGGCACGTAGCGTATATCTTGACATTATGTGTTGCGGTTCCAGCTCTGGTCAGGGGCCGGACCTTAGGAGGTCGGCTCCAGGGGACACGACGCATCGCTTAGGGCTTTTCCACGTGCCCTGCCCAGACCCGTTCGCTCATCACTCAGCGTATCATCGTGGAACTCAAATTGCAAAGTTAATCTACACAACAGATCGATGGTGTCAATGAGGAACAATTGTCGGTAACCATTGAAACATAGGACGATGACCTCACTAGGGTCTTGCTTGATGAGCCCGATGGCCGTCGTCTGAACAGGTCTGTCAAGACTGTGTAAAATGCACATTGACAAGTTAGTTGCCCACGACGTACAGAAATTCCAGCATTCCTTTTTGCTGCGATGACAGGCAAGACTTTATCTGAAATTGGTAACCGCAGATACACGAGCTAGGAAGTCGTGGCGTGCTCTGTGCAGTCAGGTAGGATCCAGAAATTAACAACAGCAGTCTCCCTCTCTTACTCTTTAAACGGATGCTACTGACTACACGTGTGCGGCTTGTGACCGAATTGGACTATCCCCCCCAATTCGCGCAAGGTAACTAGCACTTGAGGTATTACCATAAAGCCGGCTCTCTGCAGACGCCATCTGATCGAGACCTGCGGGATCCTGCGGGCTCCCATCTGCCACGTGTCTTGTATCCAGTGGTTCCTGTTCCTCATAGAAAGAGTACCAAGCTTTACTTCTTGATACACTCACTTGCTCAGAGATGGTAAATTCATACCCACAGAACAATCAAACGAGGCCGACGTTGCGTCCCAACATTGTGCCCTTGCGCTGTGCTTCCACACCTGGGCAATGACCTCGAGAACTTGATCACAGGCACACGGTCGACACTAAAAACCACCGCTGAATTGATCAACAAAGTCGTGCAAGTGAATCGTGATCTTCAGTTCCCTCGGTAAAAGCTATGCCATCGTGGCTTCGGTTTCATGTGTCAAAAGGCCCAACCGTGAACTTGTAGATGTGTGCTGTCGATCAAAGAACTATCGGAATTATTTCGCGATCACTTGCCGAAATAGGAATTTCGTATTCGCGATATTTCCCAAGAGGTGCACGATCAGCAGCTATTGTTCATATCCAGTTTAGGCTGAGCGCACCTTCAATCCTTTACTCTCTGAAGGGGAATCATTGATCGTATTCGTAAAGAAAAGGCCAAAGCAAAGGCGGGGGAAATGGCCAAGCATGCTTTGGGGTTGCCCACCTTGCAATACCTAGATACTCGAAGATTGGCAGACGAGCCGGGCCTCGGAGATACCCTCTGCCCACAAATTCCCATCTGATAGCAATTATCCCGGTGTGCGGGGGACGTAATAACAGCACCAACCTGTTATTAACCGATTGGAGATCATATCAAGCTGGATTATGCAAATGGATCAACATGCTCCGTAGACTTAAGCCAGATGTGCACCGATACATATGTAGGCGTCGTCTTCGGACATTAGAATAATTTGACGATGGAGTCCTCAGTGTATCTGTGTTCTCAGCGCGGAAAGCTCGTGCATCTTTGTCGCTTCCAAGCTCCAAGGCCTCGACAGAGGGCAGGTGATCGTTGACAGGCTTCTACTGCAGGTAGTGCTTTTATGCTAATCAGTGGATATGCGCTCTGTATCGCTCGCTCTCTCCTTTGCAGTGTCCACAACTGTCTTAGGGTTACGGTATCATCCGAACCTCAAGCCTGAACATGGACCTAAAGTTACTCGCGGCATTGGGAGCGCTGATGATATCAGCAAGGCATGTGCAGACATCAAATCCCAAATCTCAAGTGCCAGCGAGGTGATTGACGGTGTGGGTAGGTGCTCGGCATGTCCACATGTGGGCCTTTTGTCCAGAGATGCTCTTGTGCCTGTGAAGATTCAATCTAACAGAGGATCTAGTCGAGATCGGCCTGGCGGACGATACCCACCACTGGTTCTTCGAGTCCAACAGTGAGACGCCGACATGTATTGTTGAAGTTGGCTCGCCGGCCGATGTATCAATTGCTGTGAGCGGCAGTCCTCGGAGACGTGGGAGAAACGCACGGCTGACATTCAGTTGACGGTCACATAGATGACTGTCATTGGCCATTATGGGTCCCCGTTCGCTATATATTGCGCGGGACACGCTTCAAACAAGGGCTTCTCATCGACCACTGGGGTTCATATCGCACTGAAACGGATGAACCAAATAGTTCTGTCTGCCGACAAAAGCACGGTTGAGATCGGCACTGGAAACGGGTGGGCTGACGTGTACGACAAGCTGGATGGGACGGGGGTCAATGTTGTAGGTGGTCGAGTCAAAGGTCCCGGGGTGGGTGGGTTCACACTCGGTGGAGGATACTCTTGGTAATCGCTATTATTCATTGCACAGCTGCGCAGTAGAGGGGTGTTCGCTAACCAACCCGGCAGGAAGACAAATCAGCATGGCTTGACGAGCGACACTGTTGTGCAATTCAACCTCGTTCTACCGGTGAGGTCTCTCCATACAACTTTCTGGCAGACGGACTTCATGTTTCGGCCTCTCAGCTGACTACCTTCACTAGAATGGCACAATTTCCAGTGCATCCGCAGAAAACAACCCAGACCTCTTCTTTGCGCTCAAAGGCGGCCTCAATCGGTTTGCAGTTGTCACATCTGCAGTCTTCCGCACTCATCCACAGACTGATGAAATTTACGTACGCCCCCTAAGTTATCACAGCTCCCCATAGGAATCGCTGCAATGTGCTGACGACGTTTCTTCCAGGCTGGCACAACTATCTATGCTTCAGACCAAGTCGATGCTCTTTTGAACGCGACACAAGTCTTCTCTGATACTAACACTGATCCAAAGGCCCAGATCATTACCACTATCAATGCAACGCCTGTCGGACTCTCGGCGCTGGTGCTATTCTTTTACGATGGACCGGATCCGGGTACAGCATTCGAAATGTTTGATGAGGTTGACGACACAATCAGTTTTGTTCGCGTTCAGTCATTTTCGACCTTCGTGTCATCGGTTGACTCTGCCATCGCATTGAACCCCCGTGGAACCTTCAATAGTCTGCCGACGACAAAGACAACGCCAGCCTTTCTGGCTGCTATAAAGAACCAAGCGTCGGTTAGTGTACAAGGCAGAAGATTTTCATGTGGAACAATGTCTCAGCTAATCGGTTGCAGCAATTGAATAGTCAAGGGCATGGTGCTTTGATGCTAAGCTACGATATCGAGCCGTTCCTTGAATACGGCGAGCATGCCACGGAGAGTGCCTACCCTCATGATGAGTCACCCTTACCGGTAAGCCTCTCCGAATCTGGAGGGCAGGAATATCAATTGACTTTCTCACAGCTTAATCTTTATTTCTCTTGGGCCTTCTCCTCGGACGACCAGTACTGGAATGAGGCAATGGTGAACGCTATCTCTGAACTAAGAGAGGTCGCAGTCCGTGAGGGCATATTCAATGAATCTTCTGCGGTATACCCCAACTACGCTATTGCTGGAACGACTGCAGAGGTGCTGTATGGATCTGCCAACGCCGCCAGGTTACGGTCGATCAAGGCCAACGTTGATCCAAACAATGTGATGAGCTTGGCTGGAGGTTTCAATATATAATTCGATGAACCATGTAAACATGACTACAATAACATGATTCATATAAGACATTGGGGCGTAGCTCGTTGATATTTCCTGGAGCAGCGCCGCCTATAAGCACTTGGGCTACTTGTGTCGATAATCCTAGTCAGTGGTGCTCTCGGGATCGCTACCTGCTGGCCATGTCTGTACGGCATGAGGATAAGGCCACGTTCCCGGCTTTCTAGTCAGTGACGCTGTTGGGAGTAATGCCTCCTAGCCTTGTCTATGCGGTACAAGGCTGAGGCCATGTGCCCATACACATACCTTATTCTCTTTGTATTCTTATTGGTACTGTATTTCTTTCAACGCTGGGTCTTCAGCGTTTACTACTTTATGAAGGTGCCGTCTACGTTTCATGTGTATGGGGATTAGAAGCGAAACTACCACCCTTCTAGGGTTTGTTGACTGTGGGTTGTCCAACGCCGCTGGCCCCACTGTCCCGTACTAACGTGTAACGGCGGCTTATGGTTCCTGCTTTTTGAAAATTTGACAATAACATTGTATGATGGCCTGTTATCGCTGCAGTTAATAATATCAGAGTCATTGTGGTCCTCCTTTGCGTTGAAGGAGCAGACCTGACTACTGAATTCGTTATCTATGTGTATTTCGTTAGAAGTGAATTCGTCCGGCCACAAAACAATCTGTTCAGTGCTGTGAAAATGGTTCCTTTTTGTCGATCTGTCGGTAGGACTTCAAAGTAAGCTTTGCGATAATTGTCTGCATCTGGGGTGTTGTTGTTCTGTCTAAGTTCTGAAGGGGTTCCTCGGGGGACGCGGAACCTGCGCAGTAGTAAGGCTTGCTGGCCTAAAGTTCCTTCCCATATAACGACACGATCTATCAGAGGCCTTGTCTGTCGAGCCTTAGACTGCTAGGCTTTGCTGCTAATCGCAAGAAACCATCTAGATGTTGTTGCACCTTTGAAGCTGTGCCTAGGTGAGTTGAATGGCTGATCATCAGTTGGTGTTGCATTTCACCGACGTGGCTAGTCCTTGTCAGCCAGTCCAACAATATTCTCTTGCTTCTGGATCGTGAAACACACAATTAGTGAACTTATTCGATATTGACGGCATTAGCAGCACACAGAACGCGAATAGAGCTCGGAGTTGAGCTGTTGAAGGCAAGTAATCAGAGAATACGCCTTAGCACCGGTACTGTGCTCCAAGATAAGATGCAGATTGTAACTGTTGTTGGCATACGCCGATGCATGAATCCTCAGTTAAGGTGCGATGGTTGAACTTGACCAATCCCCTCCACGACTCCTTGCCCCGGAATCTCCGTCTGGAGTCGCATGCCCGTAGAATAGCGGCACGTGGACCGCTCATTCGCTGAACCCCAACATCGATGCTGCGCGGTAATCTGTGCAGTCCACATTTTGGGCGCCCCATCTCCTGAATCCCCACCTGACTAGCGGATAACATGGCGTATAGGCAAGGAAGTGCTTGCTATATTTTGTCCATATCGGGTAGGTGACTGTGACTGGCATCCCACCCCGGTATAGGCCTTCTGTCCACACGATCTCCCCCGTGGAAAATGCGATAAGAACTGTGTTGTTGAAATGCTGTCAGGAAGTGTCTATATAATCTTCTCGCCCTGCCAAGATATGCAGCCTGTCTGTCATCCACGGCAATTATCGCGGTTCTACCCGTTCCCGTCTTGGCCTGCTTGATCGGACGCTGTCCTTGAGTCGCATTGCAGTTCACAAGCGCAGAAGATGACTTCCACTGTACTTCTTACCCTCGCCGCCTTGCAAGGCGTGAGGGCATGGGGCTCTCTCGGGCACGCAACGATCGCCTACATCGCCCAGAACTACGTTACTGATGAAGTAGCGTCCTGGTATGTCCATCCTACTCAGTCGCGCCTCAAATCCTCACAAGCACAGAAATTAACCAACTGTGTCTGCAGGGCTCAAGGTGTTCTCGCTGATACCTCAGACTCATATCTGGCCAACATCGCCTCGTGGGCCGACAGCTACCGCTCCACGACCGCCGGCGCATGGTCAGCCCCTCTGCACTTCATTGACGCAGAGGACAACCCGCCCAGCAGCTGCAACGTGGACTACGACCGAGACTGTGGCTCGTCAGGCTGCTCTGTCTCTGCCATCGCCAACTACACCCAGCGTGTCGGTGATGGCCGTCTCACCAACGCAAACGTCGCCGAGGCCCTCAAATTCCTGGTCCACTTCACCGGAGACATCACGCAGCCCCTGCACGACGAGGCTTACGAGAAGGGTGGCAACGGTGTGTCGGTCAAGTACCAGGGTTACACGGACAACCTGCACTCCGACTGGGACACCTACCTTCCGCAGACGCTCGTCGGCGGAAGCAGCCTGTCGTATGCTAAGACTTGGGCTACCAACCTCACCGCCGAGATCAACTCGGGCGAGTACAAGTCCCAGGCGGCAAGCTGGATTGCTGGAGACAGCGTCAGCTCGGCGCTCGACACTGCAGTGGCCTGGGCCACCGATGCCAACGCCTACGTCTGCAGCGTTGTCATGCCCGATGGCCCTGATGCGCTGACGGCGATGAGCGACCTGTACCCCACGTACTATGAGTCGGTCATCCCTACTATCGAGCTGCAGATCGCCAAGGGTGGCTATCGCCTGGGGAACTGGTTGAACTTGATCTATGATGCGAATATCAAGAAGAGGGACATCGAGGCCAGGGGCGGAGTTAATAAGAGGGCTGAGAGCAAGCCCCTGCCGGACCTCATGGGTCGCGATCTTCTCCCGGCGCCAAGGCCTCTGAGCAAGGCGAAGCTTGCGCGCGCAGCTTTTGGTTATGGGTGTAATCATGACCACCATTAGTTGGATCGTAAAATGCTCCTTCATGCTTGTTCCCACTGAGCTTTCATCTAGGTAGATAGGAGATGTTCTTGTGACAGCGAGCTTTGAAATGATCCTATAAGGTTCTAGTTTAAATCCGAGCACTTCATAAAAGGTAGGATTTGAGGAACACTGCAGCAAACAAGTGTAAATAAATGCCCTACATCTGCAGGTGAAGTGCACACGTGGGAGGTCGTATGAATGGCTGCGTGACAATGCTTTGTCAAGTCGTCGCACCTCAAATTTGTTTTCTGCGAAGACGAAGTACAATTACAGGCCACTATTATGGAGATCAGTCAGGCCCGATGGTCCATACGCACCCTGTCATGATCCCCGGGCCTCTAATAGCGATGGCCGTAGCAGTGCCTTGGGAGTACTTGAGCGTTGAAAGGTACCTGGGCGCATCCCGGGGACCCGCCAGACTCCCTCGGGTTGGACCTTTCGCTCAATGCTACCAGGGTGGCTGCGTGGCTGCGAGCACACATTCGCGGTTCCTGGCACGACAGGATGTGCTATGCATCCCCAGTACAAGCGCCCCGGCCAGTGCCCCGCCTCCTACCTTCGTCAGTGTGGGCGTGGCTGGCTGGGCATGCTCACCGCATATGCATAGACGGCTGCTTGTCTAGATAACTAGGTACCTAACCCATTTAAGTAGGTACCTACTTCCAGTAAGTACTCATGCATGGGTTGGGCAAATCTAAGGCTTCCGCAGGAATCTTGGCACCACTAGACTTACTCGACGACAGCGTGATCGCACACTTTCGTCCAAGAATGTGAGAAAACTGATCCTCAACGAAGATAAGCCAACATGTGGATGTTCGATTGCCGTTCGGCCTTGTCTCGTCTCAAGTGTTGTCTGTCAGTGACAAGAGCCCAGCCTGTAGCGATAACCTAGGTACGTGGTACTCGAAAAACGACAGGTCACGATCTACTTTGTCTTGTAATAAACAAAAATTTAGCTGTGATGATCCGGTGCGTTCCTCGGTACATAGGCCGGTCCTCAGCTCCTGCAGCCTCAAGACGGCTAATTCTTTTACAATGTGATTGTCTGGCCCAAGTATTCTGAGGAATGCAGACAACCGTCCTTGGCGTCACCGATGTGGAGCCACAGCTGCTGCCGGTGAACCGAGGACGGCTCCCATAGGCCACTGATGCCTTTTTAGCTTCTCATGCGGTGCACAACAGCGTGATGGAAGCAAGACTTTCCAGCGTGCAATGCAGGTAAGATGAGACTTCAGGCACCAATGCTTTGTGGATCTTGGTTGTGAGCAAAGATTCGACCAAGCTGCCATGCAGCATGGTGCGGGATTTTAACCCGACTTGGATGACAGTGGGGAAGAAGGTGCAGGTAAAAGTGGCCTGGATTTGAGCCTGCATCTATTTTAGGATATTCCGAAGGTCATGCCAGTCCGGGGGACTATTTTCTTCTGCATTTGAGCAGCGAGTTACAATTCTCCTAATCTATGCTCGAGATCAGAACTTCCGTCTTACCCGACCAGTTTAGATGGCTCAATCAACTGCAGCCTTCAAGGTCGAGGGCGAGCTTCTAGCCCTTTGGAACACAGCACAGCAGGAGTTTCTCACATCTAACCTCGCAGGAAATCGTCTCCTCAAGGAAGATGCTGAGGATGTTCCAGATCCGGCGGAGTGGCTGCAGTCTTTTCAGGACAAGCGAGACAGGAAGGCGAGCAAGATTTCCAGTACCTGCAGGAAGGTTGGGCGACATCTAGAGACTATCCAAGTCTTTGTACGTTTGGTTGGCTTTTCTGTGTCTGTGGCGACTGCAGTAAGTATCTCCACTGAGGAGGAGCTGAGATCATGACAAATTGACAATCGCCAGGCCGCCCCTGCCGCTTCACCTGCATCATTGGTTGTGAATGCATTCGCTTGGCTGTTCGACTCCTGTGTCAAAGTTTCGAAATCTTTTGACCAAATCGAGGGGTTTTTCCGACTCATCGCGAACAGACTGAAGGGTCTTCAGGTCATCAGTGAGCATCTGGGGAACAACAACCTTCACATCCTCCGGGAATGTATCGTCCAAATATTCATATGCTGTCTCAAGATCTGCAGGATCGGATCTGAGCAAGTCGAACATAGGATCAGTATGTTCCAAGCTTCTGTGTTCTTACGAGTACAGTCTGTTTGAGTGATTGCACACACTGATGCATCTCTACAGAGACATGGGTTTCACAGTTGAGCGGAGATGATAAAATAGACTCGGAGCTTCAAGAGTTCAACAAGGTCGACGAAGCACTGCGCTACTTCATTGAGATAGCAACATACAAGACCGTCGCCCAAGCGGGAGAGGCTTTGACACAAGTCATTGCGGGCATGAAGAAGCTCCTCGACTCGGACGATCGGTCTCAACGTGACGAAATGCTTGACTGGCTTTCAGTTCTGGAGGCGCCAAAGATGCACGAAAAGGTCGTAAGTGAGGTGCCTAAGGTTTCTGTGGGTGGCAACTGGCTTCTCAGATCTGAGCTTTTTAGAGCTTGGAAAGAGCAGGATGTCAATCGCATTTGGTATACAGGCGACCGTAAGTCACTCCCGTTTCATGGCTAGAACAACATAACTAAAACATCAAAGCTGGCGCTGGCAAGAGCGTGATAGCGTAAGTTCCATTGCCCACATGCACAACCCGCTGGAAACTGACATGTTTGTGCTTTTTAGATCCGTCATTATCGAACACCTGAGGTCATGGGCAAGCATTCCACCCCAGGAAGGCAATGTGATGCTTGGTTATCTGTACTTGTCCTACACATCAAAGCCAGACATCAGGGAACTTCTTGGAAGCATTTTACGCCAATTCCAGTCGGACATCCCATCCCATCCTGTCATCATGGAGAGGTTCCATGAGTACCAAAGAGGCGGAAAATACAGCAACAAAGTTCGGAGGCCCCATTTAGAGGATATAATATCCATGTTGACCGAAATATGCAAACACAAAACTGTCTTTGTGATTGTGGACGCCTTGGATGAGCTTGATATCAGCACTGATGTCAACAGCCGCTCAACCCTATTGCGACTGGTTCAGGAAATTCAGCCGAACGTCAAAGTTCTGGTGACATCGAGGATCTTAGAGCATCTGAAAATCCTCCAGACCGGGTTCCAAACCGGAAAGATTGAAGCGCATGACGAGGATATGGACAAATACATCGACTTCGCGATCAAAAACTGCGCCTCTTTGCCGTCTTTTCCAAGCTATCACCAGGAGATAAAATCGCAAGTCAAGCGGAAATCCGGCAAGATGTAAGTCTATATCCAACACTCATATCACCTTCCGTACTGAAACAGTTCCAAGGTTCATCATTGTTCGGCTTCACATGGCCGCTCTTTCTGATGTTCAGGTAGAGGCCGAGCTAGAAAGCCTACTGGAAAAGTTGCCAGACAGCATTGAAGGCGCTTACAAGATCACAATGGAACGGATAAGTGTCCAGCAAGACGCCAAGAAGGACCGGGCTATGTCTACCCTTGGATGGGTAACATATGCCAGACGGCTACTTTCGATTCGAGAGCTCCAACACGCTCTAGCTACGGAAGAGTATCCAGGTCGAAGCGGAGAAAAGTATCTGCGCAAAGGCAGCGACATCATTGCAGGTTGTTGTGGACTTCTTGTGACAGACTTAGACGACATGGTTCGCTATGTTCATAGGTCTGCCCGGGAATTCTTCGACAAGCAAATTGGGAACGACACCTTTCTTCCAAACTTCGATAAACGCATGGCCATGGCCTGTGCCAGTCACTTGTCCACATTGGCGACCCATCCGCAATTAGCAGCATCTATTCATCGTCGCAAAATTGTGATGAAGATGATAGATGAAGATTTCCCACTAGCGTGCTATGCTGGGCAGTTTCTCCATACACATCATCGCAGGATTCGGGATCTTCAAAATGACGAACATCTTGCCGACACGATCTATTCTCTAGTCTCAGATGAGACCAGCAGAGAAATCTACAGTCGCCTCCTTCGCAGATTCAAAGCATACGTCAGGACCCGCACGTTGCTGGACGATGACAACAGAAGGGGGATCTCACGGCAGCCGCTAGCAAGGTCCATTGGGCCTCTCCATATCGCAGCATTCTTGGGCCATCCTCAGGTAGTCGAACGACTGATTGAAGAAGGAGCGGACGTTAACGGGTTGGATCGATACAGACAATCGCCATTGATCGTCGCAATGAAGAGTGGCCGCGATAGCGCTGCCGGGATCCTGCTCAGCAAAGGGGCTGAGGTTAACCTTGCCACAAAAAGAGGCCACATCATTCTCTTATACGCGATGGAGAGAGACTACAACACTGTCAAGCAGATCATCGGTGACATCAATGGCGATATTTCAGATGAGGATTTCCTCCAGATCTTGGGCATTGTGTCTATGATCATACTGGCTTTGCTGCAAGTCTTGCGGGCATTGATGGAGAGGCTGCTCGTCCAGCCTCGTGCCACATCCACGGTATCTAGCTCTCTAATTCAAGAACTCCCGTCGACGCCTGAATTGGACAGCTCTCTTTGGAAGTACAAAAGGCTACTTCATGCAGCCTACGGGGGAAATGAGGATGAAGTTCTTAAGCTTCTCGAACCCACGGCTTCGGAGCCGGTCAACCTGGATCTTGTTTCTCCTGAAGCCGAGTCTAACTTCGAAATTTCCAACAATTTTAGCGGGCTGTACTACGACTCGGACTATGACTATGACTCGGACTCGGACTCGCAAAGCTCATGGGCAGGTTCAGACAGCAGGGACTCGTCACCTCATCCAGTCGGAAGTAGCGACGAAGAGAGTTTTATTGGAGACTCTGATGAAGAAACCTCCAGCTCCATCGGCTCAGCTGGAGACAGGAGCAGAAAAAGTTCGGCAGACTCCACTGAGGACGCCGATGACATAGAAGTGGAGTATGAAGAGGCTGTCTCTGATAACGGTAGCGAGGGTGACAAAGAGGTCGATGTGGATCTAGTGAGACAACAGGGCACTGGTGAGGCTGTTGTGGAGCCCGGATTGGCAGGCGAGGACACGCAAGATCCTGTGGATGAGCTCGTCATCAGCTCGAAGTTTGACGGTTACGACATGTGTTCGGAGGATGACTCGTCTGATGGGACCGTCGAGGACATCCAAGCTGACGACAGCGACGACACGGACGATGAGTATGAAAAGTCATCACAAGGCATGTTCCCCATAATTATCGATTGGAAACCCAGGCTAATGCGTTTATAGGAGACAGTGGTCTGGCTTGGTCGCATGATTCTCGGCCCACTTCCGAAGTTGACACAATCAAGACTGCTTTTTTGAGGACCGCCTGTTTCCTTGCAGCCGAAAGAGGAAACAATAGAATCGTGCAGATATTCCTCGGGCGTGGAACATCTCCTGACCTGAGGAACTTTCAAGGGCAGTCTCTCCTTCATCGAGCTACTGCTAGAAACAACCAGAGTCTCGTCAAACTTCTACTCGACAACAATGCCGACGTTGACAAAAGGGACGAAAACGGAAGGACCCCGTTGATGGCAAATGCTGGCGAGAAAAAAGAATCAGGTGAGTGCTAGGTTGTCTGCCCAGGTGTGCGAGGTGACAGCAGATTGACTATTGATCAGTCCTCAAAGTTCTTCTTCGACATGGCGCCGACGTGGGCCTGAGGCAGCGAGAGGGATGCCATGAGATGTACGAAGCAGCCGTCTTTGGTGCAGTTGATGTCGTCAAATTTTACCTAGATCATTGGATCGATCCTTCTATCACGAACCATTTTGGATGGACACCCCTCCATGGAGCCGCGGCCAACGGCCATCTGGAATGCGTTCGGCTCCTTCTTGATAAGGGGGCTGACCCATCACCGGTCTCTGACACTGGCTTAACACCTCTTGATTTTGTTCTCCGGGGCCAAAAACACTACGACCACATATTGACGGGCGGAAGGCATTATGAAGCAGAATTGACCCGAGCAAAGGAACTAAGTGTGGAAGACAAAAGTGAAAACAGAACACAGATCCAGGAGCTACTGTCCAAGCATCGAGCATTGACTTCTACGGAGATGAGGGAAAAGATTGGAGAGCGTGCCTTCGAGAAGAAGATGAACCACCCGGGCTGGCGAGATTGCGATACTTGGTGGGACTCGAGGACAAAACCATATTTCAGTTACAATGACTGAAGGCGACGATGGACGGATTAGTACCCAGTTGTAAAGGTGCCCAGGTGTTTTGCGAAAGGCGAGATTGGTCTGGTGGGTAGTGTTTCTCATTTCTTTCTGTTGTGAACATACCCCCCTTCTTTCATTTTAAGGGGGGGTTAGGAATTCGCCCATTCAATTGTCTGCCGGACCCAGGAATAGAAGCACCACATTCAGCAAATCCATTATTTTCCCTCCGCTGCGTTCTTCATATCCTCTTTCCATTGCTCGAGGACTTCATTCGCGAACGGGTCATCACTCAACATCCTCCAACCCACCAGAGCCATGCCCTCTCCACATTCAATAGCCCTGTCGAAGGATTCGCTCGTTCCAGCCACAGCAGCAAAGGGCTTCGTATGGTTTCCCTCGCCCGGCCCAGTCTCAATCCCGAAGCTACCGTGGAACCCCGGACACTCGTAGCAGACATCGCCCATATCCGTGCTGCCGGCAAGGAAGTCGCTCGGCTCATTCAGGTGCACCGTTCCCTCGGGCATAGCCTCTACATACGCCTCACACAGCTTCTTGCTCGCCCTCACGTCGGCGTACGAGTTGAGGGTCTCAACCTCGTACTTGCAGTCCGTGGCCAGAGCCGCGCCCTCAAAACACCTCAGCACCCTCTGCCACAGCGTCTCGGCGTGGACCTTGGTGTCGCTGCGTACGTAGTACTCCACGGTGCAGTGCGCAGGGATGATATTCGGTCTGTCTCCTGCCCGCCTGAAGACGCCGTGGATGCGCTCAAACGGCCGGATCTGCTGGCGCAGCATGGCGATGGCGTTGTACGAGAGACACACGGCGTCGAGGGCATTGGCGCCCTCCCACGGGGCGATGGCGGCATGCGACTCCCTCCCGGTGAAGTGCACCCTCTTCTTCACATTGGCCAGCATCGGGACGTACGCCACGCCGCGTATCGGCGCCGGGAGGCGGGACCCCGGGCCCGGGTGGACCATCAGGCTCGCCGCACAGTCTCGGTAGGCGCCCGCCGCGATCAGCTTCAGCTTGCCGCCGCCGCCCTCCTCGGCCGGCGTGCCGAGGAGCCGGACGCGGCCGGGGGACTTGGACTCGCGCAGCGCTGCGGCTGTTCCGAGGAAGGCGGCCAGGCTCGATGAGGCGATGAGGTTGTGCCCGCAGGCGTGGCCGATGCCCGGGAGGGCGTCATATTCCGCGTTGAAGATGACCAGCCTCCCTCCTGAGCCGAACTCGGCCGAGAAGGATGTCTCGAGGCCGAAGGCGTGCGGGACGACGGTGAAGCCGAGCTTGGTCAGGAGCTTGACGAACGTGTCGTGGGCTTTGTGCTCCTCGTACGCCAGCTCTGGGTTTGAGTGTATCTAGAGGGCATTGTGTGAGGCCATGAACTGTAGCTAGGGTGGTAATGCGTTCTTCCGGCTGCAAGGGACTGCGCATTGACATGGGATAGTACGCAGGGAGGTACTACTGGCAGGCGTCTGAGGATGGGCTGGGGAGGGGGAGGGGGAGGGGGCGTCGCATGAGGGTTCACTGTACCTCGTCATTGATGAAGCGGAGATCTTGGAGACGGGATTTGATCTCTTCATGGATACTGCCTTTTGCATCAAAATTCGCCATGTTCCCGCCGCAGTTCCCGAAATAGTAGTCAATTTAGATTTGGCAAAGCTTCCCGGAATGTGGGCGACCTCACGATGTCTGAGTAATGTAGTCGCTTGTGTCGTGATGAGTGCATTTCATTTGCTTCGGCAGCTCCCAGATTAAAGTTTCGAACCGCCGCCACCTGGGCAGTGGGCACTCGCTATCTGAGCCGACCCACGCAAACCGGCCGGATCTGCAGTCCGGCCCGCGAACGGCACGCCCGCCGAGCTGGTCAAAGCTAGCAGTCAGCGCTTGGGCTCAGATCTGCTTCTAGAAGAAGAGAAGGTAGATGGCACGACGCCTCAAACTCAAGGAACGAATAGGATCCCGTAAAGTACAGATGGTTGGCTTGGTTCTGGGGTACGCTTGAGCGATGTCGGATGAGGTAGGGCGTGCTGAGGTGGTATCGTTCGGTGAATCGAAGCGGTTTTCGAGGAGTCTGGGCTACGCCTGACGTGCCATCGGCAGGTTCTGCAACCTACCGTGGTTCATGTGGCTCGTCGCCCGCCTTAGCTGCAGATCCTGGGCGCTCACTGCCCGAGCCGCGCGGGAAGAACAGACATCTCAGACGAAATATCCTTTTCTTGGCCGAAGTGATCTCGACCACAAACAGGCAGCCTACCCCGGTACGTGGGATGACCAAGGCGATGTGGAATGCATGCTGGATGGTGGTCTCGAAAAGCCTATCCGGGCGCTCATCCGGGTCCCACTATAGAAGCCAATGCTTGATACTGTGGCTGTTCTCTCACGACGCATGTCATCTGCCTTGCTCGCCGGCATTCACCCGACACAGAGTACTTCTTCTGCGGTGGTATCGAGCCTCCGCAGGAAGTAAATGCATGACTCAAACTAAGTTTCAGCTGAATCGGCTGCCATTGGCCGCCCTGTTACGTTCATCAGGACATGGGCGGCAATTCGAACAACGGTTGACATTGGCCCTCACGGCGTGCCATGGCCGGAAGCGAGAGCTTATTCTGATACTGTAGCCATGATGGGAGACAGAAACAGTTGATTGGGTACCCATCCCCTGGAATAACACAGTGTGGTAATATCCGGCGAGTCCCTGTTCGCCTCAACCCTGCTAGCACTGTATCGAGTGACAGTGATGCCCAGAGGGGACTAAGGAAAAGGCAAATTGAGCAGAAGTGGTACCATTATAGCCAAGCAGGTTCTTCAGCCGGAGGCACCGCTCCTGTAGAGCGGAAGAGAGGTTCTCAAATGAGAGCGGCTTCCGACATGAAAGCCATTCTCATCGTCGTCACTCCTTCACTGCGTGGCTTGTTTTAGCATAACACGCAGTCGCTCGCTATATCATCGCCGGACGCACTGGCACCGAACGAGTCATCGACCACATCACTTATCGAACCCCCATCCCGCGCGTGGCAGTTTGCCCCATTCAGGCCCATCGGCAACGGCTCGGAGACCTGAGACCCGAAGCCCCGGCGGCATCATCCGACGAATACGCGACAGCTTGACACGGGCGATACACAACCAAAGCCGCCGCGATGGCATTATGGACCTAAAATCCTTCAAGATATCGCAAGATGTCCCCACAGTCGTGCCTCGCGATCAGGGCGTCGGCGGCGGCGGCATCGATATCGAAAGCATCGATGCCGCCCAGCGATACGCCATGGTGACACTGCTCGGCTGCGCCTTATGGAACAGCCTCGAGATGGTGCCGATCGTCCTGCTGACATTCAAACGATACTCTGGATTGTATTTCTGGAGCATGGTCTTTTCCATTTTGGGTGTTGTATTGACAGCTCTGGGCTTCATCCTTCTCATCTTCGACATCGGCATGGACAGAGCATTCCCACCGGCCTTCATGGCGGCTTTCGGATGGGCGCCGATGGTGGCTGGGCAGAGCCTGGTTCTCTTCAGCCGGCTTCATCTACTTCGCATCTCTAGGAAGCTGAGGAGAGGGATCCTGGGCCTGATAATATTCACGATCATCTTTATCCAAATACCCACGTTGGTTCTCACCGTCGGCAGCCAAACAAAACACGAAGACCAACATGTATGGGCCAGTGCCTACCAGATCGTGGAAAGGATACAGGTGGTTGTGTTCTTCCTGCAAGAGATTTTCCTCAGCTCCTTGTACGTGTGGAGGTGTTTCAAATTCCTCGTGGCCCGGGATGGGAGCGAGGCGGGCTGCAGCAGCGACAGAGCCCGCCCCGATGTCCAGAAGATGTTCATCCATCTACTCATCGTCAACATCATAGTCATCGCCCTCGATGTCACAATCATCGGACTGCAGTACTCGGGTCTTTTCTTATTCCAAATAAGCTACAAGCCCTTCGCCTACAGTGTCAAGCTCAAAATTGAAGCCAGCATCCTGACCCAACTGGTCGATTTCGTCAAGGCTAGGCACAGGTACGGGACTTTCACGCTGACGCCTGAGGCTCAACAGGAGTGGGACAACACTCTCGACCGAGTTTTTGGCACGGGAGCGGACTTGAAGAGCGATGATGAGTATCACGACGGAAGGAAAATCAAACCGCAAACTGGAGCGAAACATGTCGCTTCGAGCGAGGGCCCAGCCAGTGGCTCAGGTTCGGGCACAGCACACACAAACCACCCTTGGAAAGATATGCAACAGGAAGTCGTCGTCTACCCAGCCAGGTGTGCGCAAGGCAACCTAGGCGCTCCATTTGTTCGGTGGTGGCATCCCGAAGAGGTCAAGGAGGTATATAGTCGGAGGCAATCACAACGCCCGCCGGAAAGATTGTAAATAAAATCGATGCCACTTTAATACTGCGAGATATGGACTTTGAGTCTTCTGTCAACTCGGCCCCAGTTGGGATAATGCAGCTGTGTAAGTCCATCTCAGGTGACGTAGGATTCCTCCCCGCTTGATTGTGCCTAAGCCCACTCACTGAGCGTCAGTTGTTGGTTCTTCAATATTACTCCACCTAACAGCTGCACGTCAGCCAACGAATCTCCACTGGCTACTGTATAAGTATGCTGCGCCGCCGCACCGACTCTTTGTTGAAGAAAGCCTACTTAAGTAGCACCGTTTCAGGGGCCTCATCGTTTACATACCACCACTTCCCAAGTTCTGTTGACTACTACCATTCCAAGCCTCATGTTGAAATGGCAAGCTTTCCGGATGACGTTCTCAGACACGTCTTTTCATTTCTCCCGCTAGAGACACTCGCTCAATGCCGCTTGCTTAGCCGATCAGCGGAGCCCTTAGCGAGGGCTTTCCTGTTCCGGCATGTCCGTCTCGAGATGGGCTGCGATGTCAAGCTGTTCCTCAACATCGCCAAAACTGAGAGGCTGAGACCTTTTGTTCGAGAAATCACAGTGGATCTTTCGCAGGAGCGCCCAGACAGCGATGGGGCCGAGTATGCCCGTGGTATCCAAATTCAGTCATGTCGACAAACACTGAGGGCTATTCCGCTCGTCAGACTTTTCAGTGGGCTAAAGACTTTGAATCTGAGGTTTAGCGGGCCAGATGTCTATTCCAACGGTACGGAGACGGAGGAGGTGTCTCCACCCACATTCCCATCAACATTTACAGAAAATATTCTCCAATGTATTTCTGGGTGCTGGACAAAGGAATCTCAGGACCAGTGGGTGCGTGACTTGCACAGATGGCCTATAACCAGGGACGAAGCTCCTGGGAACCTCATGGTTGTGTCAGAACCGGGTGATTCCGGCCTACTCGAGGAGTTAGAACACTTCGGCGCCGTGCAACCCTCTCCAGGTCCAGCCATCAATCTTTCGACCTTGACAATATCCAATCTCTCTGAGCAGGATTCGGATTATCTCGCCTCTTCCAGCGCGATGAGAAGTTTCTTCGAGACACAGTCATTGTCGACTCTGCAGCTACTGACCACCTCCGGACCACACGCTGATGACAACAGTCCCAGTCATGGGAAGGTCCTGCACAATAGATACAAATTTTTCCAAAGTGTTCCCTCGACCTGGCTGTCCCCTTCGGTGGCAGACCGCCTGCGCACCTTATCCCTATTTTCGCAGGAATACTGGGGCTATATCCCGAAGATGGACTTGAGATCCCTGGGAAGACTCCCGAACCTCAGGACACTGGCTCTGGGAAGGTATGTTTTCACCCATCAGTGGCAGGTTGACTGGGTGGCAGGGCTCGGCTCCGAAAACGGACGAGGGGGTCTCCAAGAGCTCTACCTGGACGACTGTCCGATAATGTGGCGAAGCCGAGTCCCCCCTCCACTAGACAACGAAGGATTCCCGCGGGAAGAGCTCCTGTCGTTGGGAAGGTTCCATCCCAAATATAAGTTTGCCGTCGCCGACTTTGGTCTCCGCTGGAGCAGTGTCCTGGATGAATGGCGTCAGAAAGTCCCGTCTCTGAAGGTCTTCAGAATGGGCTGTGGTAATTGGGACGGAGTGGACAGCACCGCAGTAGCAATGGCGCAGGCGGGCTGCCGTGCCCCAGCCACCGTCCTCTGGTATCCCGTGCGACAGACGGGGTGCCAGTCTAAAGCTGCCCGTGACGCGCTCTCGAGGAGGAAGCGCCGGGCCACTGATGCAGTGCATCTGAACTACGACAAACCTCCGGCCGAGGCCCTTTATCAATACGGCCCGGACGCCATCCGGGATGGGGCTGGCTTGGGGCAAGAATGGATTCTACGTTATGTCCACTTCGAGATCGGTGTATTTGAGGGCCCGTCTTGGGACGGTGAGGACTTGGAAGCTGCTCTCGAACTCGAGTTCGAGGATGGACATCAGCGATACGTGGACATCAAGCTCCAGGATGAAGAGGCACTCGACGCGCTCTATGCCTCTATAGGCTGTCATAACTACCGTGAGGTCGTCGCCCGGTACAAGCGGGCATATGATACGGCGTTCAAAAAGGAAACCCAAGCGATCATAGCTTCAGCATCGCAGAAGATGCCCAGAGAGGATGCTCCAGTCAGGCCCGATTGGGATTAAAGGGTCCAGCAAGCATCAATGATAAAAGTGCCATTAATGCATTGGGCTTTTCTACAGGAAGCCCCTCAACGCATCGTCCAACGTCCTGCCCTCCCTCATCGCGACCGCGTCCCCCTTCCTAGCCAACCCAACGCGATTATGCCAGACGACCCTCATCCCAGCGTCCGTGGCACCCTGCACATCCCCAGCACTGCCCGCAACAAACAGGACCTCGTCCGCGCCGACACCAAGCTCGGGGTAGACAGCCTCGTACGCCGCCCTGACGGGCTTGTAAAACCCGCTCTCCTCGGCCGCGACAGCAGCGTCGAACCTGAACCCGCCGCCCACGCACTCCTCCGCCCGCCGCACGGCAGCACGCCCCAGCTCCGCGGAGCAGTTCGTCACCACGCCGAGCCGGTAGCCCCCGCCCCTCAGCGCCGCCAGCACCCGCGCGACCTCGGGCCACGCGTGCAGGCCCGGCTCCCAGCCCCGGAGCAGCGCCACGGGCGCCGAGTCCGGGAGCCCGGCGTCGCGGGCTGACTGCCGCACGAGGGTCTCGTATGCGGTTGATGGCGCCGCGTACGCGCCGGCGCCGAAGGTGAGCTCGAGGTATTGCTTGCGCCAGCGGCGCCCCTCCTCTGGTGTCCCTGAGGGGGTCGAGGCGTCCCAGAGGCTCCAGGAGTCGAGGAGGGCGGTCAGGAGGTCGAAGACTATGGCCTTTGGGCGCCAGTTTGTTTCGTCGTTTTGTGTCATGGCGGCGCCTGTTCTGTGTTTGTAACGTCTCTGAGAGCTTGTGTCTTGTTTGGAATAGTGAAAGTCAGGATGGTGATCTGCACCCGTTTTCTCGTTTTACACAGGGCTGTTGATGTCGGGGCGGGCACGTTCTCGCACTAATAAACCTGAGGGTCGCCGGCATTGTCATAGTCCGGGTTCTGTCGACGCGCCCTTGGACCTCCGAGGGCGGAGCCGTTGCGGAGGACACTAAGTCCGACTGGGCCCGGTGGATTTGAACCAGACGATGCGAAACACATGATAGAATCATGCTGCAGAGTAAATTCAGCCAGCAATGTAAAGTCCTATGCTTTTTTTGCATTGATGTCTGTGAAAGCACTTGGCAACGGCCTTGTCCAGCCTTCCTTGTGGTATAGTCCAGGCTAGATATAGCACGTCGAGTTAGCCTGGTTGAAGAGCGATTATATAGATACCTAGGTACTTATATCATTGGGTGGTGTCTTTATTGAGAAGGAAGAATAAAAGGGAAAGGGGGACGATTGCTCACCTCCAAATAGTTCACTGCACGTTCTTTGCAGATGTGGATACAATTGTTTTGTCTGTTCTCGATGGATATGATTCTTATTCAACCATGAAGACCCATGCACCAAAGACAGGAATATCGTGTAAATAGGGTGGTATCATAGAATTGAGTTATCGAACATATACGCGCTATAATCGGTCAAAGCATTACGATCTCAGCGGTCCTGCGAGACATCCGGATCTCTAATCCCTCGTCAGCCTCACCTCCGTCGTCACAGTAATCGCGCCATCGACGGGGGTCCCAAGCCGATCCCGCGACTCGAACACATCCTGTGAGCGGCTGACATTCGTGCTCGTAACAGGTGATGCGTCCTGCAGCCACGTCTCGCCGCTCCGCGCGCTCACGGCCGTCAAGGGCGCGCCGCCGCGCTCGAGGTCGGCGGCGCTGCCGCCGCCAGACAGCCGGTTCCACTGGTTGTTCTGCCTCGTCAGCTCGATGGCGTCGTCGTCGAGCGCGTGCACCTGCGACGAGGTGTTTGTCTTCTTGCTCGGGTACGACTTTGACCCCGAGAACCCGGAGGTGCCCTTCGACTTGCCGTACCGGGTCGTGGCGGAGTTGTAGGTGCTCTTGAGCGCCTTCTTGACGGCGGCGGGCGTGTAGTGTGACACGAGTGCGCGCAGGTGCGGGAGGCATCCTGTGATGATGTAGACGCTCGTCTCGATGATGGACCAGCCGACGAGGTCGACTGAGGCGAAAGTGCGGTCGCCAAAGGCTGCGGTGCTGAAGAAGATTCGTGCGCGGATGATGGATGCGATGATGCCGCTGCGAGGAGGGTCAGCTGATAGTGTTCAATACATTGGGCGAGTACTCTGTGCGCGCTTACAAACTTGCAACCAGGAACACAGCAACCAGCGCTAGTCTCTTGACCAGCGGCATCTTGAGGTGCCATATAGTCTGCAGAGGCAACGCCATGATCGCAAAGTCTAGGACAAAGCCGGGCAGGGCCTGCGCGTGGAAGAAAGCCTGCACGTCGAAGCAGCGTCCCCCCGGGATGGTCCTGTCCCACCAGAACTCGATCGGCGTGCACTGGAAGCAGGCCGCCACGATGAGCGAGACTGAGGTCATTGCGGTGAGGATAAAGAGGATCCACGCCGCGGTGCGCGTCGCGCCCTTCCAGTTGAACAGACGCAGGTATAGGCAGATGATGCCCAGCTTGGGCAGGGCCACCGAGGCGAAGTAGATCAGCTCGAAGGCGAGGATCGACTGTGCCCAGCCCCTGAGTAGTACCGGGTTCTCCTCCTCGACGAATTCGACGTGGCGCCCGACGCCGCCGACTTTTGTCATGACTGTCACCGAGTATGAGCAAGACTGCCTCTTCACAGAGGTCTCGAGGGACCCTCCCGCGGAGCCCGTCCACGGGTTGCGCTCGCGTGGTCAGCCACTTACTTATTCCCACCGCACACATTCCCAGGTTCACCACATAAGCCGCGCACAGAAACATGTCGTCGGCGTAGATGCCCCCTCCTTGGAACCGTTTCGCATAGAACCGCAGGTTCAGGATGAGCGTCGTGAGGACTGCGAAGGCGACCGAGATGCCGACCAGCTGATAACTCCTATCCTCCGCCAGGTACTCTGGTGTGAGCTCCGCCCGCCGCACCGCCATCGCTATCTCCATACTGTCCATCTTCCCTTCGGTATCGGGTTGTATCCGCAGTGGTGTGGGGGTGGGAACCACCGTTGTCGTTTACCCCAGGTTTCCAGTGGTGAGACGGCGCTGGCAATTAGAGAGGAGTCCCCCAAGCCGGCTCGGGATGTTTTATTTCGAGCTTGTGTTCGGCCGTACGGGCATGGCAAGTGCTTGGCTAGGGAGTGGAACAAGAGAGTTTGACTGACACCTGCGCGGGCAAACATTACTCACCTTGGGCTGGGGGAACGGGGGGGCACCTGCTTCTTCTAAGTTTAGTCGAGCAACGCACACTCACACCCAAGCGGGAACCCACACCATCGTCTATTTTGCCATATGGGCCTGCCTGGCCCAGGAGCGCGGAGCCCGGCCACTGGGATGACGTTGAGGGCCTACCTAGGTAGGACTTGTCCGAGGATGGCCCGCCCAGTGAGGACGTCTCGGGCGGCTCATGCACGACTCAGTTCACGTTCGATCCTGCGGCGGCTTGCATGGCATAGGCCACTCTGGATATTCACAAACACGGATGCAACTGCTTCCCGCCGAGAAGTGGAGTAAGGCCCCCAGAGCTCGCCAGGGGTCCACCCAGGGAGTGCATGTGGATGTGAGCTGCCGATGGGTCCTTGGCAGGGTACCCTGCGCAGATTGTATGCGGGCTCAGATGCTGTTGAGGATGATCGGATGATCTTGGCCCGGCCAGGTTGCCAGGTTGCCAGGCCTGCTCGCGCCTCGACGGCCTTGATCTGCACTTGAAGACGTCTGGGGCGTTAGATCAGGTAGCATTGTATCTATTGTACCATGAATCGAAGTTGCAGCAGCCTCCTGGACTCGGATCGGTCAGCCATTTCTCCTGCAACCCCAAAGACTGATCAGGCCGCCAGGCTGCCAGGCCGTTGTATTTTGTTGTCATCCGTACCGTCGGGGCTGCAGCGCACGGCCAAGCACATGTGCATGCAAGCGGAAACCCCCGAGAAGCAAAACGGGTGGAGAGTGCGCACAGCGCCCCAGACTTCGGCCCTGCGGGCGCAGGCTGGAGTTCTGGTTGGCTTCGAAACAGTGGCGGCTGTTCCAGGGATGCCCCTACAATGCGCTCTGGCATTGCGGGCTGTGGACCCGCCTAGACGTAGTGCGCGACTTGGCCCCCTTATTTATCCCTCCGTCATTCATGCAAGGCGGCGAGTTGAATTGCTACAAATAGTCGTCTGAATTCAAAGAGTCTCAGCCGCTATGTCGGGTCTTCCGGCTCTTTGAGAGACGGCAAATCTTGTCTACGGCACCATTAGGGTGATAGAGTTCGGGTTCATCGCTTCATGCTTGCCCGTAGACTTTGGGCCTGGTCCTGAAAGCGATGATCGACGATGAGGAACCGCCTAGGGTACCAGAAAACGGGATCTCAGAGATCTCTTGTTCGACCCCATGCGTGTTAGGCCAGGAGGCAGCTGAGGCAAGAACTGGCGACCCACAAGGTCGCGGGGCAAGATAGGCGAGAGCTTGAGAACCACAAAGATGGGGCTCCGGACCAGCTTCCCGGATGGCTTTGACTCAGTGAGAATCAGTGAGGAGTGGAGCGGGATTTACATGGCCATCTAAGCAGTGGCCAGTGACCGTGCTCTGCAAGCTTGGAGGTTGATTCCACCCTGGCGACAAGGCCTCTTCGGCATCTCTCATTCGCAGGTTCATCATCAAAGTGTCCGATAATGTCGTGCATGGAACCCTCGCACGCCTGGAAACCACATTGATCGGCACCTAGGCTTAACCGGGCACCAATGAGCAACTAGCCAGTCAAGCCAGTCTGCTACAGGCTGTGGCAGTTCTCCCTGAACATTAGCAATTTCCGATAGGAGCCTCCAGGGCCTAAGAACCTGCCGCCAAAATTAAAGTTTGACCAATTACACCGAGGCAGCCACGGGGCTCAAAAACCCAACCGTCGGATCAACGTCGTCACCTCGGCTCCGTTCGTCTCACCTACCACCAACCAGCACCGCTTGCCGGGATGCTGTTCGACGGCGTACCTGCCAGACACTCTAGCGAGGGAGCACGTTATGCAGCGCCCACAGCGAAACGCACGAGTGATGTGGCAGATCATGCTGAGGGGGGTACTAGGCGAATCCAGACAGTTCGAAGTGGATCGCACGCGATCTTGTAATCTTCCATCAGTAATGTAGAAACCAGAAGCCCGGCACCTGGGTGCTGGGCAGCCTCGCAGCCTGGGCAGGCGTGCCGGCATGGAGGGAGTGTGCAGATCATCTGGGCACCGAGCACGGCCCGGGCCACTAACGGTTTAGGGCCTCGGCTTGCGAGTCTCTCGAAGTTTGAGGGAGGTCTGCTAGGCACGGTATATTTCCATGGTTATAGAGCAAGTTACTTTCATAGGCTGGAAGCATACTATAGTGAACCACTCCATTTTGTGCTTTCAATGCAGTCCGCGTCTGCCGGGCGACATCCTGCTGGTTGTGAGACTGGCCTCCGGGTATCCTGAAGTCTGGGTATCATTGACGGTGTGACCAGGCCGGCGTTACGCAGTAGGGTTTCGGGTTTTGCGGATTTTAAAAACTGTGTAGGCAGACTGCACTCTTGGCCCGCCCGGGGAAATGCTTGGAAGGACCCAAGTGGGCGGATTTCTGGGGATAGTTTACGAATGCCGACAGTCCCGAGCAATGATTCTCGATGCCAAGCAGCCCGTGGGAGGTTGCCCTCAGACAGTCGGTCATCTGCGCAAAAACTCCGTGGACATCTTCCTTGCCTACTGTGGATCGCGGGATTCAACCCCTGGTCACATTCAGGAGTAGTATTACCACTAACTTGGTAATCGACATTTTGCCTCGTCGGGCCTCAACAGCCTGTAGTAGCGGGGATAGCAGAAGAAGGCTAGAGACAAAAGGACATTAGAAGGAGTTTAAGCTTGCCTAGTTGGCCCACAATGCAATTTACATCTCGAGACGAGGACTGTAGTCTGCCTTACCTCGACATATCTCTTACCGAAGTCGTTCCTGACCGGCGCAGCCTTTGCCGAAATAGTTGGTTCCTTTCAATCTTCACTCCAACCCTTGAGAATTTTCCCTCCGACCGTCGTGTCTAGTCGCATTCTCGTAAATATTCTGCCGCAGGTGGAAGTGCATAGCACTATATTACGCAACCCCTGTGAGCCTGCCCTGTCTCTGGGCGCAATTTCTCATTGCAGTAGCCGGCTCCAGTTTGCAGGGCTTCCAAATACCGAGATGCGTCACGTTATTTGCAACGCCTGCGAAATTTTTCCATATCCCCCATCATCGGCAGTCAAGATGAAAGAGGAGCCACCGTCTTTCCGGTGTGCTGATGTAGTGCGTCACATGCTCAGATCTCGCCAGGCTGCTCCGAGACAGATCCCGACCGCAATGTGAAACGCCTCGTCTCCAAAAGGTAAGGCCTCAAGCATGAGATAGGAGTAAAGATAGGGCGCCAGCATTACAGGACTCGCATCCAATATCACAAACTTCATGATACATGCGTAGTGAAGCACTCCCAATAGGTTGACTGGCACCGAGTAGCGACTTATGAGTGAGAATGTGAGCGTCGATCAGGTTCTAGCCCTACCTAGGTGACAACACGGGCAACATTCTTGCCCAACCCAGATTGGCAATGAGCTCAGCCCAGTGAAGGCACTGGTTGTTTTGAATCTTGTCAGCCCCCAAGTGAGTGAGACAGCTCGTATCGATAGCTCAAACGTGACAAATTTCTGCACAACGGCAAGTCGTTGCCTGATGGAATAAAATAAAGAAGTACTGTACAAATACGCATCTTGTCCGAATGATACAAAGCGAGGCAAATAAATCACACAACCAAGTCGAGGTAGGCGGTTCTTTTGTCCAAAACAGTATTTGAAGCGATCCAGTTGTCGTCCAGAAGTCGACTGACGAATTATCACACAAAGCCACCCCATATGCCCTCCGCCCTCAGTCCTCAGCCATGGGATAATTCTGATTGGCTTATAATGCGTCTACCTGATCGACGGTTCGGAATCTGTGAACGGTTTCGTTGGGTGATTTCGCTCTTAATCAGTATACATCCCGAAGGCGTACGGTCCCTGGACACAGCCCTGGAGTGGTAAACGCTCAAAGACCCGGAAACAGAATCTGCAAGATCTTCAGAACCCCGGCCCTTATCCTGTCGATTAAGATGCTTGCTACCACACGACACCCATCAAGAAAATATATCGGGGGGACCAGATAGACAACGGCCATACCTATTCAGCCAAGGCAAATCACAAACAAGAGCTGTCGACATCAGCAATGTAGAAGACTGTCACGGGTCAGAGCTAGTCATGAAGGAAAGTTTCCGAACGGTATAAATACTCGCGACTTAGACTGGGGAATCCCATACACGGTAAAGGATACGTATGCAGAAGCATGCAGTGTTGACTGGGTGTGCATGATCGCGGGCACTCAGGTGTTCAATAAGCATTGCGTTCAAAGTTCCTTGTGGCCAGAATGACCGGGATAGGACACAATCCAAGCAAGTAGCCTGAAAATATCATGATAGCGAATTTGTGTGAACCTCGGTCTGTACTCGCGAGATTGACTTCCGCTTTGATGTTTCATCAATTGATCTCAAGTGAAAACAGACCAGCTTTCCATTGCATCGGCTCCCACCACCTAGGGATACGTTTCCGCACTTGCCCCCTGTTTCAGTCCGTGGTCAACTCTATTTACCAACCTCCATTGGGGCAACGCAAAGCACCTCCAGGAGCTCAACCACAACACAAGCCATCATAGCTATCGCTAATAACACACTGAGATGGCTCATGTGAGCCTGAGTATTCCGAGATACTACTCGGGTAGTGTAGAGGAAACCGCGGGACTCACCTTGCTAATGTTTCATTCGTCATCGATCAAGGCCCGCCAGCAAGACGTTCCATTGCACGACTTCATTTTCGAGATAGTGATGAGAACGGCGGGTATGAAACCAGGAGGGACTCACTCCAGTGGAGGCATAGTCAGCAGTATTACCCATCCGCTTGAAAAGCCGGCTGGGGTGTGTCTCCTCGGGAGACGTGGGTGTGGCAATGGCAACAGAGAATGCTGAAGCCAAAGCGAAGAACGGCATGAACCGAATCGTGGGCAAGGTATTTCAAAGTCTTTGGAAGAACAGACATGTTCTTGTCTTGATGGGGTTCTCGCTGGGGTTCTTGATGGGAGCATTGTGAAAATCGAAACCACAGACCACACAAAACCCAACTTACATGCTGAAGGAATTTAGCCTTTTCAGATTGCTCCTTACACGGACGGCATGAATGCATGCAACAGGCTGGACCAGTCTTTGCGTCACTGCGCCTCGTATTGTCATGATCCATAATAGTTGATGCGCCAACAAGAGTGTCGGCACAGGATCTCAGAGAACTACTGGGGACTTCGAGCTGACGATTCGAACCAACAGCATTCCAAACTAAAGAGAGGGAGGAACCACATGAATGCGTACACCGTATTCAGTACCACTGGCAGTCCATTGGAATGCCAGAAAAAAGAGCCTCGTTCCTTGTCTGTGGTTTAGGTGGTGCTGTTCTGCGTCTGCTCCTGCTCCTGCTTGAATTGGCGCGGTCACGGTTGACGGCCTGCCTCAACTGAGGATCTCTGTCAACGAGAGGCGGAGACCGGCAGGGACTAGCATCCAATGTGTTCAGCCTGGAGAATTGAAATCCGGCCTTTAGCCGTGCGCGGAAACATTGATCCAACGGCTCTAGCTTAAAGTTCTGTCAACCCTCCCGAAGCCTAGCTACATATGTGTAAGTTGTCGGAGTGGCCCTCGACCAGAGCTAAGTAGGTCGCGACGCCACCTGAGACATTTATTAATGGCTACCCCAAGACTGCCCATATCCGAGTTATGCTCTCTCCCCCAGTCTGGACCCGCGGCACTGCGTGCAGACTATCATGGGCTGCCACCCAGCAGGTCTCACTTAGAAGCGACAAGTAGTAAGACCGGGTGTTCAATGATCTCAAGAACCCATAATCTATCCTCAATACGTATACCATACCCAGGCACCTAGGTACCAAGTAAGGTTTAACTTTACAAACCAGAGCACGCTTGCCCTGCATGCATCATGCACTTAGCCATGAAACATCCAGACCAAACAATGGGAGGTGATCGATCAACTCTAATTTAGAGGCCAAGTTTATTCCAGTTTTGATTTTTCAGACGACAGGACATGCGATTTGTGTATCAGCTGGGCAAGTCCACCAACGCCATCCTATGCAGCAGAAGTGAGACGCAACCGCTCGATCTAAGCCCTCACCGGGGGTAAGCCGTGTGTCTATATGAAGCAACACAGCCCGACAAAAACCACGCGCCAGAAGCATGAGGGTGGGAAGGCCAGAAACAACTGCCGGAATTGGAAGGGTATTGAAGGCGGGTGTTAAAAAATAAGACAGACACAAAGCAAGATTTGTTGGCCGCACCACCAAAAAGGCCACATTTGACATGAATGAACAGAGCCCACCCATTCTCCTCCCCCTGTGGATATTACGATGATCTAGGTGAAAAGTAAAGAAGCTTGGGACTTTTTTTCTTTTTGTCGAAGACAGTGCCATTTCTCGTCATGTCGTGAAGATCCTGAGCTTGCAATCCACGCCCCCGGTGGCAACCACACACCGGATCTGCACGTCCTGGGCTTTCGGCGTGGTGCCGTTCCTCGCTTCTCCGTCCTGCGACCGGGTGGGGGTGCCATCGCCAGCCGAGGCCTCGACGCTCCGCACGATGCTCGGTGCCCAGCGCAGCGAGGTGATGAACCTCTCGTGGGGCTCGCCAATGACCTTGATACAGCGGCACTCCTGGGTGAGGTCCCAGCACCGCAGCGTCTTGTCGTCCGCCACCGAGAGGAGGTACTTGCCGCCCGGGTGGAAGACGAGCGCGCGCACCCAGTTGTCGTGGCCGATCAGGGTCTTGAGACATATCCCGCGGGCGTCCCAGAGCCGTATCGCCTTGTCCCTGCCGCCCGTGGCCATGTATTCTGCCGAGCTGCTGCTCGGAGGGGGTTTTGTCCGACCGGCAAGCGGAGCGAGGTATTGATATGAAGCCGGGGGAGCGATGGCGCAGCATTCGATGTAGTGTTCGTGGCCTGTCATGATGACCTTGCTTTCTGTGCTGTTGGCCTCGGAAATATCCCACAGCCGGGCGGTCATGTCGTCTCCGGCCGAGAGCAGGTAGCGGCCGTCGAAGGATGGGTATACATCCCTGACCCAACCGCTGGAGCCGCTTAGTGTCCTGACGCAGAATCCTGTGGTGACATCCCATATCCTCAATGTCTTGTCCCTGCTCGCACTGACCAGCAAGTTTGCCGAGGCAGGTATAAATCGCACTGCGCTGACGCTATGATCGTGACCTGCCAGCGTCCGGATGTTGTTGTAGTCTGAGGCTGGGTCCCACAGCTTGATGGTCAAATCCGAACTGCAGGAAGCCAGGAGAGTGTTGCCCTTAGGGCCGCCAAAATCGACATCGAGAATGGCTCTAGTGTGGCCTTTGATGGTGTTCTCCAGCTCGCCAACATCCCAGTCCCATATTTTTATCGTATAATCGTCAGAGCCGGTGGCAAGCAGAGAAAAGACAGGGTGGAACGCTATGCAGTTGATGGTATTTCGGTGTGATTCGAGTGTGTATCGAGGTGGTGGTTTGGGCAACCAAGACGAGGGGTCTTTGTTGCGCTGTGTCAGGGAGGCGGGGGTTATGCTGTCGAGTTCAGACTGCAAGGCGGTATTTCGCGATTCGAGATCCATGATCTAAGGGAGACGAGACAATCGGTCAGGCATTGCGCGCGAGAGAGCATGGGGAGGGCGAGGGCGAGGGCGAGGGCGAGGACCCGCGCATACCTTCTTCTGTAACCGCACGATGCTGGTCCATTTCCTCTCGAGCAGGTTCTCGTACTTCTTGGCCGTGGCAGCGTCGAAGCCATCTTCTTCCAGGTTGAGCTCTGTCCTGAGGGCGGCGGCGGAGTTTGGGAGGTTGTTGGCAGCCAGGTAAGCGATGATGGACTTGTGCCTGGGCAGAGCACCATTAGCGTCGCGTGGTAAGACCACCAAGAGGCGGTGTCATGGCGCGGTTGGACGTGGTAATGGACGTGGTAACGTACAGCTCTTCGGCTTGGCGACTTGTCAAAACACTCATGGTGGGAACTTTGGTGACGGGGGGAAGGGCGACACCAGCCTGGCCTGTTTGGGGTGGGAGAAAGGGTCGGTCTGCGGCGGGCCTCCACTTGCTGGCCTACAGCTTCGGGCTGCAAATCGCTAAGCTCAGATGCTGTCCAGAGTTGGCACCTGGCACACTGCTGGAGAACTGCAAAGATGGCTGGTACGTCATGGCCTTTTAGAGATAACTTGCATACCGTCGACCGACCGACCGGCCCTCGAGGTGGACGTCGCGGGGTTGCCACGGAAAATTGTTGCACCGACCCCAACCCTGGGAATGTACCTAGGTACTTTCCCGGGGCACTCAGGTATCCAGCATTCCAGCAATGCGGTCCATCTTCTGAAACTAAATGTTGCAACGCCTGCGACTTATCATTAAACCCATCTTTACATTTACTGACTGGTCACATGTCAGCTCAACGCATCTCCAGTTGGGTCCCTGACACACGGCTTGATCTTCAACCGACCACGTTTACCGCCAGTAGGAGCCACGTTTGCGGGTGGACTCTAGAGGCTCGAGCTTTGTCCTAGCCAATTCTATGATCAGCGCTTTGTTTCTCTTCCCTCACCGCCGCACTATACTCTTTATGTTCTTCCTCTTCAGAAATAGTCACACCTTAAGATTCCTTGCCAGTGCATCTTGCCGTGCCTGGGCTGGGTCGCTAGCTGACACCTTGAAGATGTGACTGCAGCCCCACGAGCTTCCAAGGGTTCGGCTATAACAGGGCTTGGATCGAAAGTTCGAGAATAAACCGAGTGTATATGCCAAATGCAACTGTAAGCTTGTAGGACGACTAATGACATGATAGGCACTATGGCCATCGCTCGGCACACAAGTCATTACGGCTGAGCAATGTCACCCGTAATATCTCTAGGTCCTGTTACCTCAAGTTGTTCAAGTTGTCTGGCCGACCTGGATTTGGGCCCAAGTATCGAATAATAGCTGATTAATCCGACTCAAACTTTAGGGTCAAGGGGTATTACTTTGGCCAGCAATAGTTGCAATTGTACTGATGGATGGTGCCAGCAAGTTTGAAATATATGTGAGGTGAGAGTAAAACAGGGTGTTGGTCATTAGTAGTCTGACAGTCTGAATGGGTGAGCAACAGACTACCTAGGTACTGATATTACCCACCCGCAAGCAAAAACCCATTGCCAAAAAGTCACCGCAGAACTCAGTCAATTACCCACACTTGCCCGAACGAGAACATTCGATAGAACACATCTAGCTTCGGCCGAACCAACGGACGAAGTTTAGCGATGAAACATGTGGATCCTTGCACAATGCGGTTACGTAGCAGCCTGTCTATGGTGCGGACTCTGGGTGGGCAACCCACATCGATCCCGGAGCCGATTAAGTCCCGTGCAAATCATCGCTGCAGAATCGAATCGCTCGGCGTTACTAGCAAGGGACCCTCTTACAAATCGGCAATTGGAGGAGTCCGTTACGAGTCGTCATAATGAACATATGGTTATGTTAACATGCAGGTATCCGATGAGTTTAAAGTTCATAACCTTAAAATTCTATACAAGTTGCGCATTCGCTGTCGTCCACGGTCTACAATATCTGCATAAAGCCTACTCGCTCTCCTCGTCTGTATATCTGCCACATCCCTGCGCCTAGCTTTCAAAGTTTGGCTACTTTTTTTTGGATCGACTAATTACTACTGAGGATACCGCACGATCAACCGGTACAGAATGAAGGAAGCAATTGTCGACGCCGGTGAGGCCCACGAAGAACCATTTGACGTGACCGCAGGGACGCAGCCTACTGACGCCCAGACGCCCAGGCCCAAAGGTCACGATTATCGACTCGGAAGTCCCAAAGCCCAAAGATGATCAAGTCGTCATCAAGGTGGCAGTCAGCGGGTCCAATCCAAAGGACTGGAAGGCCCCGGAGTGGATTCCAGACAAGATCATCAACCAGGGTGACGACATCGCCGGCGTGGTCCACGAGGTCGGCGCCAACGTCACCGAGTTCAAGCCCGGCGACCGAGTCATGGCCTTCCACGAGATGATGACGCCAGGCGGGAGCTACGCCGAGTACGCCGTCGCGTGGGCGTACACCACGGCCCACATCCCCAAGAACGTCTCCTTCGAGGAGGCCGCCGCCATCCCCCTGGCGGCGCTGACGGCGGCCTGCGGCCTGAACACCAAGCTCGGCCTGCCCGCGCCGTGGCAGCCCGCGACCGAGCCGACCCCGCTGGTCGTCTACGGCGCCGCGTCGGCCGTGGGCATCTACGCGGTCCAGCTGGCAGCCAAGGCCAACATCCACCCGCTCATCTGCGTCGCGGGCAACTCGCAAGACCACGTGAGGAAGTTCCTCGACCCGTCCAAGGGCGACGCCGTCATCGACTACCGGGACGGCGACGACGCCGTGGTGGAGGGCATCAAGAAGGCCGCCAAGGGCGCGAAGCTGCTGCACGCGTACGACGCCGTCTCCGAGAAGAACAGCTACGTCAACCTCGGCAAGGCGCTCGCCGACGGCGCCAAGATCACCACGGTGCTGCCGCACACCAAGGACGAGGACGTTCGCAGTGGTGTTTCGATCCATCGCACCGCCGTCAGCGCGGTGCACAATGACGAGAAGGACCTCGGGTTCGTCTACATGCGGTATTTCGCCAGGGGGATGCAGGATGGCTGGTTCAAGGCTCAGCCTCAGGTGGTGGTCCCCGGCGGGCTGAACGGGATCCAAAAGGGGCTGGACAACCTCAAGGCCGGGAAGGCGAACGGGATCAAGTACGTCTTCAGGATTTCTGATGAGAAGTGAGGCTAGAAACTGCCTGTAGACAGACTTCGACTTCGAATTGGACACATGCAGCAAAACCTCAAAATGCAAATCCACAATAATAATCGCACATGCATCGATGAGATATGTGACTAGTTACCGTCTATCGCAGACTCGCCTGTGTCAACTCTCGTCTACACCTCTGGCAAAATGAGGAACCACCTGGGCAATGCCGTTTCCCAACTTTGGGATGGCAGCTCACTCCACCAGGGATGATGAGTATGTCCAGGCAATTATTTCATCACACCTTCCTCAAGGGAACATTGAAAGAATAAGGTCTCTACATTTGGGACCGAAATCTGACCCAGGCGTAGTGAGCGGTGCTCGGATGGTTGTCTCTCCAACGGAGACCTCGGGACAGTAGATCTTCCCGCGTCCCGAAATTCCATACGGCCACGCCAAGGGCTCTGAAGATTCACTAGTCAACTTTGTAGAAAAGTAGCATATCGCCAAGTCTTAATAATGAGGAGCTCGTCTTGAGCGAGGCAAGACTACGGGCCATATGGTCGCCTTACGTAGCTCGGACACTGCGGCCAATCTACATTTAGCTAAGAGCCCGTGTGTCCGTGCAAGCAGTCAATCAATTGACGAACATAAATTCATGATACTCTGTGCTCAACGTCCTGTCATCTCAATGTAATGAGGCACTTTGTGTAATCTTCCGATCCGACGATGAGGCTTCCAGGGTCAAGGGGAAACACGCTTGTTGCGCATTTCCCAGGCCGGGTGGCTGACGCAACAGACTACCTGTGAAAAATCTTCACCACAGGGGAGGAAATCAGTATCCAACGGCCTCACTACTATGAAATGTCTTGGTACGGAAATTCGTTTGCCACGAGCCCTCGCCCTTAGTAGATCAAATATCTCACCAGCGTGATGGTGCTGCTCTATTTTGTTGATTCTGGTTCAACAACTCAATAGGATCAACGTCTTAAAGCCGCCAATGGAGGATGCGGAGTATGTTGGTAAATCAACCCGAACAAGAATTTATCAAAGGCATCCGGTGGGGATGGCAAAACTCATCGTAGCATTCGTGAGATCAACGCCTATCTTATGCATCTGCTGGGCTCATGGTGAGGTACGAAATTCTGCAAGCAATCGTCGTTTCTAGGTTGTGCTATAACCTGACATTGGCACCCTAAACGCGTCATGTTCTGCCTCTGGAGCCATGTAGCTCAATAGTCATCAATAAGATGCCTTGGTGAAAACAGTGGCCGCCTGTCACCATGTGCTGCTAGTTTCAAGATCTCAAGGCAATTTATCACAGTAGAAATGAGTTGTCTTACAAGTATTCTCCCGTTCTATTTAGGCCTGGCATCATAGAGATCTCGAACCTCTAAAATGACGATTTTAGTGGGAAATGGTGGCCCAGATGCGCAGGGGTGCAGTGGCCGGCTTATCGTGCTTCTCAGGCGCTGCGAAGAAGGCGCACTTATACCATTAGTAAAGACTGAATTTGATGCGAATTACTTAAGTAGTGTACATAGTCAAAGGTTCTCGGCTTCGTGTTTATCAGTATCTTTTATTTTAACAAAATTACATCAGTGTTTGCTGAAATGGGACGCACGCGTATTGTTCTTGCTGAGTCGAGCTGGAAATCGTTTACTAACCAGCAACGGCCATTTAGGATATATTTACAATCAATCCAATCATTTCGTCTACGCAACAAACTGAAGCCTCGTTTCTGGCGGAACAGTTCCGCGTGGAGGCGTTTTGCTTTTTTTTGTTGGGAAGCACGGAAATAACATGTTTCGACCGCTCACGTGTCTCCAGCCAACGCGCATGGAAGTCGTTGCGGAACAACAAACACTCGGCCTGCGCACCATCCCATCCCTCCCCGCATCCTTCAAGCGCCAAGCACAGGAGCAATGTGGCTTAAACGTGCTGCTTCCACGCATCTGCGTGTGTGCAAAGCATCTCTGTTTCGTTCTTTGCAGCATCAGAGATGTGTCGTCGATACCGCAAGACATTCAGGTTGGGCAACACTGCAGCGCTATGCGTCGTCTACCTCACCCCTGCGAGGGCTTGAATCCAAGTCTGGAAAACCTGTCAGCGACCTCGAGCCGGCTCGCCGCGTGCTCAGGGAGACATTCGGCCATAGAAAGTTCAGACCGGAACAAGAAGAGGTCATACCTCGACTTCTGTCTGGGGAGAGCATGGCCATATCTTGGCCCTCGAAAAGTGGAGCGAGTATTTGTTACCTGGTCCGTCATGTTTTCTGGACTATGGCTATGACTTCATGGCAATTCTTCAAGTACTGATGTCTTTTTCAGGTTCCGGCTGTGTTGGAAAGCTTGACTGTGAACCACGGCATTACTATCGTGATCCGTGGTAGCGATACACTACTCAGACGCAAGGCGGAAACACTTCGTGACTCGGGGATTCCTGTTGATGCCGTGTATTCTGTCTACCATGATGAATCTCTTTTGAAAACAACACGGAAGGCTGCTCTCGACCGTGTACGCGCAGGCAAAACTCGCATCCTGTATTTACTCGCGAAAGACTCGGCCGACAGGGACGTCCTCGAAGCCATCGAGTCCGCGCTGGATGGGGTATATCGCATCGTTGTCGAAGATGCATCTTACTTCACAACCTTAGAAACACATGAAGTGAGTCTCCACATCTGTTTTTCACAATGCACACTATCTCATGTGACGATCACAGGCATCACGATCACGGAGGTTTGAAATAGGTGGAATAAAAAGGTTCAATTCCCGTGCCCAGCAGTATCGAACTTTCCTGCTTACTCAGAGCACAAAGATTGATCCGCCGGACAAGGCCAAGATGTCTGGTCGTCGTAGGCGACAGCTGTCACCCGGATGTTGTAGAGGACGTTTGCCTGAATTTCGACCTGCTAGATCACTCTAGCCACATCATTCCGATCCTGCCACAGCCAAAGTCCGTTCAGACTTCAAGTTCACGCATTTTCTGACCAGGAATGGAGGTCCAGTTCGTTAACAATTTCTATCCTAGTCTCGAATTGCACGCTCACGCCAGTGCCAGTCAGTACGCTTCCGCTGAGTACATAGCCGACTTGATGAAAAGACGACCGGGTCCTACGGTAATATACGCTGGAATAGGAAAGGTATTTTGTCTCCAACCCCAAATAGGGCTCCATCGATTCACATGTCCCGCTTTGATTAACTGCAACAGATGACATACGATGTTGCAAATTATTTGAAAGGGGCTGGTTTGTCTGTGGGGGCCATCATAGAAGAGCCCACGACGCATCGATCAAAAGAGCTTTTGTCTCGCTTCGAAGCGTCTGAATTCGACGTCGTAGGTTGAAAATTACTGCCATTAATCTTGGTGGATAAGAACCTGGTACCTACGTGAGTAATATGCTCACGCGAATCCAGCTCTGCACTACCATCTCTGCAGCGGAACTTATCGAACACACCCGTAAGAAAAGCCCCCTCGCCTCCGAGCCCCATTATCCATGCGTTTGCCTTCTATAAGCAACCATATACAGTTTGTGACGCCCATACGCCGACCGGCCCGACTGGGTTTGAAGTCGCAAGAATACGCGTCCTCCCCCCACCAGCATTGTACACACGTGTCCCACGATGAGCCGCGTTCGATTGGGTCACTATGAGCTAATGTCAACACTTTCAAAGATGTACGGAACGTTGTAATCGCTTCTATGCCGAGTAGCGTATCGGCGGTCTACCGCGAAATGAGGGTTGCTGGACGCGACGGCGGATGGAGCAAGGCATTCCTGGTTTTAGACACAGTAGGAATGTATCAATCCGAGACTGGGAAGCGTGCCGCGCTGCCTTGCCGACACGATATAAGATCACTCCTCAACAAAATATTTTTCAAGGAACCGACCAAGCAGACTATCCACATCGACAGGCACAAGCTAGGGTGGGAATTGGATATGAAGTTTACCCGTATCTACGAAATTCTCGAGGGCCTCCAGGACCAACTCGGCCTCATTTCTGTGGGAGATCAAGAATATGGTGCTTATCGATACGCGTATAGCCGACGGGGCTTCGACTTGAAGAAGAGTGCTTCACCCATCGACATGGCCATAGTCGCCAACTCCACCAAGTCCGGAGATTTTTATTATCTCAACTTCCAAGGAGCGAGAGGGCAAATCGAAAGCTTCAGCCGCTCAGAAGCCATCAATAGGCTGAATCAAATGAGTGGTCTTGGTCACATGACAGTTCGTCCATGGAACATGCGGCTGGAACTCCGTATCTTGAAGCGTCCAAGCCTGGGCAACGGGCCCGGCAGCATCAGAGCAGTCGAAGAATGGATGTATACAAGTTTACAGAGGGGCTTGGAAGCCTGGAAGCAATCCCGGCGAGAGGTTGTCGAACTTTTCACCAAGGACCGCTGCACCTCCGTTGGGCTTGCTGAGTATTTTGGCACAGAGCTCCCAGGTGGCCGGACACGCTGTGAGCGTTGCGATTGGTGCTTGACAGGGAAACCCCTCGTACTGCCACCTGGCATAGCAGAGGACGAAATCGACCGCAGAAGGGTCATAGCCGTTTTGCATGCCGTACCCGACCGTAGTAACCCAAGATTTCTGGCTCGTTTAGCCTATGGTACGGATTCCATGCAGATATATATTCGGGGCGGCTTCGGCCACACTATATTTTTCCTTTATACTATATAACTATCTTTTAGTTTAGCCACTTATTTCTTCCCTAATAGTCTAAAGCTTATATATAAAGTCTTTAATAACTTTATATATATCCTTATAGTCCTCTTATAGAGGAACTTTAAATTCTTTTTTTTATTTATTATATTTTTCTATACTATTAAAAAGTTATTAGTTATTAGTAATAAAAATATAGATTTAAAGAAAAATAAATTTATTATATCCTTCCTTTACCTTTTTATAAATTACTTTTAAAACTTTTTTTAAGAGTTTTAATACTTTATTATAAAAGTTTTAAAGGTAGTATATTATAAATTATTTTTATTTTAAGTTCTTTTAAAATTAATAATTATATACTTAAATAAAAGCTATAATATTAACTTACTTAATAAAGGTTTTATTAATATATATATATATATATTTAAAAGAATAATTTTTAATTAAACTTTCTTTTATATAATTTATTTATATAATAATTATTTTTAAATTTAACTTTACTATATAACTTTTTTATAATATTCTAATTAATACTATTATTAAAATAATACCTTTTAATTTTATTTATATATTATAAAATTAAAGTTATAAATATTTATTATATTATAATTATTATTATTAATATTATAAACTATGTATATTTTTAATTCTATTATTAAACTAAAAGTAAATAGTTAAAGTCTTAAAGGAATAAAATATAAAATATTTTTGAAAATTAATTTAGTTAAGTTTACTATATAGAACTTTTTATAATAACTTTATAATTTATATTTATAACGTTATTTATTATTAGAAAATATTTTCTTATATTAATATATTAAGTTATACCTAATTAGTTTAGGTTAATACTATTAGCTTATTAAAGGTTAAAGCCATTATAAACTATAAACTTCCTAATCTAACACTAGTAAGCACTATATATAAGTGCTAAATTCGCTATATAACTTAAATATAAATTGGCTAAAATAGGTAAAAATAAAGCTACTATTCCCCCAAGGGTTCTAGCTCTACTTAAGCAAACACCCATCCATTAGCTCCACTACATTACAAGTAAAACCACTTAAAAACAGTCGCTCAGCCTACTATACTTCTTATTATAGTTAGATATTTATTATTTAAAGGGGATTTTAAGGCCTACCAACCCACCAAACTAAGATATAACTAGGTAAGGTTACTACACTCTATTATTACTCTAGGTTTATAGTTCTAATAGCTTTATAAAAAAATAACTATTAATAATTAAATCTATAATTATATAAAGGTAAACCTCTACTTTAAAAAGAAGTTATTAATATTTAAAATAGTTAATATATTTCTAAAAAAACTAAGAGATTATAAACTTAAATTTAAAAACTATAAAGCTTTAACTCTTTTAAAAATAAAAAAACTAAAAGAACTTAAAAAAAGGTTTAAATTAAATTAAACTAAGTTATAATATAATAAAATAGTTAAATAAAAATTAATTAGAATTTTATAATTATAGATCTTTTAGCCTTATACTTAAAAGAGATGATTAATATTATATTTTTTTAAGTATTAGGTTTTAAGTACTTATTATTATATAAAGGTGCTATATATATCCTTAAATATATATAGAATAGAAGTGAAACCACATATGTTTGGGGCCTGAAGAATTCATGTGTGTACCGGTCCATGCGACACGTGAATTTCGACGTAAGTGCTTGTTTTCTCTATCCCCTACATCGGATGGGCGTAGTATGGTTCCGCTAACATTAGACCTTTTGGATGATGCAGGCCCTTGTCAGGGTGTTTGCGAAGGAGTGTGGTGTGCCTGACGCTGAGGTTGACGACTGGCTATGACAGAGAACAGCGTGGGGTACTGTCGTATCTTGAGAGCGCTTTAAAGAAGGATACGGTAGCGAAGAACCACATGGGTCACACATGATATGTGCTTGTTGCCATCAAGGATGACAGTTCATTTCAGCTGTGTTAAAATGCATTGTCTGTTGTCCTTACAGGACGCTTCTTGCGGCTCCGCCTTAGTAGAGGTAGTTGAAGCATACAAATAGTCTACACAGTCTGATCCTTGCCAATCCTTCTTGTCGCAGCTCTAACCATAAACGAATGCCGGTAGGTCTCGTTGAAGAAACACCAGGTCGTTTCGTCCCTGAAGCCGAATCTATGATATAGTAGCTTCCCCTCAGGGGTAGCATCCAAGTAGCACTCAAAGCCCTCCTCATCCGCCCTCTCGACACCCCACCTCATCAGCATGCTTCCAGCCCCCTTCCCCTGGTACTTCCCCTTCGTAACAATCATCTCCAAGTACCAATGCGGCCTGCCCTCCATAACTTGCTCATGCATGTCCGCAAGCTTCCCAAAGAACACACTCGCAAGCGCCGGATCCCCATCCGCAGGCCAACACTCGGGAGGTGGAGGAGGCTGTGGCGTCCCGGGGCCCACCACAGGCGTGTTCCACTTGGCAAATGCGACTAGGGCCGGAGGCGATGACACCGTATCTTCGACGACGACGAAGCGCGCGTTCGGGTCATTGACCTCCTCTGCTAGGGTGTCCAGCCAGAACGTGCGCGCGGATGCTGACGTGCGGGGGAAGAATGTGCGGCCGATCATGTTGCCCGAAAAGGCGTCCAGGACCGTCTCGCACATGTCCTCGATGTCTGCTGGGATTCCCGGGCGCAGTCTGAGCGTTGGCGATGGCATGGTGATGGAGCTGTCGTCTGATGTTTCAGGTCCCGAGTGATGGGGTACCTAGGTATGCTGGGGTTACAGCCGGTACCCTAGAGGGTGGTATCCAGGGCCCATTCACGCGGATCGACCAGGAAGTTTGTGCGACAACATCATTAGGTCCGGGCATCGATAACACGGCAGCCGTAGAACATTGCCCTCTATATAGTCCGTTGTTGGAATCTAGTTACAGTGTCGAGACGAGGACGGTCTTTCCGACATGGCTTACTCATGCATTGAAGTCTTGCTGACTGTGCCTTTGGATACTTGCAGTGGAAAGCTGTGATTGGGGGCACCTGGGCACTTTGCACGTTGTTGACCGGCTGAGTCACTTGAGCGGAGGTAAAGCCGAGAAACGGCGGAAAGCGTCCACGCCGGTACCGAGACTTTTCTGCTTTCCTTTTCATTTTGATGGAGGGGAACACAGCGACAGATGCGGCGCATACGTCAGAACTACTTGGCATCGTAGGTAATCCATCATTTTACGTGGCTGTGGGCGGCCATGCCAAGATACTACTTGAGTATGCTTATTATTAAGGTACCTAGGTAGTCCCTGCGCAGACATCCCAATTTCCGATGCACCATTTTGCCCTCTCCATGTGCTCGGAATTGGTGTTTTCGGCACCCTGGATGGAGCCTTTCTTGATTCGGCCGGACCTGGGCTGCCCTCCCAGGGGCTCGCAGGGTCTGCTCAGGATATTGGTTCACCCTGAACCGAGGCGTTCTACACATTTGGTTGCGAGACACGTGATTTGGGATCACATCGAATCAAAGGCATTGGTGTGAAAACCAAAGCAGTTTTCGACCTCGGCTACAATTTTCCAAAATGACAAATGTAGTCTTCTTGACCGTATTGGAGGATAGTCAACGTTGCTCAGGTCACCATTGTGAACCGAGCGTCGAAAAGCAAATGAGATCCCATGCAATACTGAGGAGTAATACTATGTACCAAGCAAGGGTTAGCTTCCCTCGAACGTCCTAATGAACCTGTGTGCCTGTTGTGCCTGACCGACTGCCCGCGCGGGCGTGGAGCCCTTGTTCCGGGAAAAGTGCTCGCTCGTGCCGATCGGCAACGACCTCCCTCTTTAGGCAGGTGAGCTCCCCAACCCCGGCCTGGCGAGGATAAGCTTCATGAGGCTACCCACAACCCGCGCCACGAATGGGGAGAAGACGATAACATGATAGGCCAATGCCCTCGTCGCCATCTGCAGTGCGACATGGCGCCTGCAAAGTAGTGATCCACACGAGAGCGGACGGACATGCGCAGGCACCAACTAGCCCGAGCAGATGCAGCCGTAGCGAAAATGGTTGACGACTACAAAGGAGACGCGGTCGCCGGTTGTGAGGAGGGGGCTGACGACCTGCCTCCTCCTCTGCGCTTCACCTCCTTTTTTACAGTCCATTCGCTGCTGTAGAAGCTCGTGAACGAGGCCGAGACAGCCAGCATGAAGTCTACCGTGTTGGTCGTGGCCAGTGGCCTCTCCGGCATGGCTCACGCCGCCGCCGTGAACACCACCACCTCCGCTGTCCCCAGCCCGACTCAGCCATGTGCTGTTGCCAGTGCTGCATACGCGTCTCAGATCGCCGTATCTCCCTTGGCCACTCCTACGATCGCTGCGGGCATTGCTCACGACTGCTTGCTTTCCGTGCCGCTGGGGAAAGAGGCGGCCATCGAGCTGGTTGACTCCATCGAGCCGTACCTGGAATGGCAATCAGGTTTGTGTGCCCGTCTATTCCAAGGTTGCCAAGATGGCTGGGAGTCCTAGGACTAACGTGCATTTTTCCAGACTCCGGCTATTTGGCAGACCCGCCAGAGGATTACTTTTACCCGGCTTACGACATGTTTGCCAACTTGGCTTCCATCCGGTCTAAGCTCGAGAGTGACAGCTATTCGGGAGAGTACGAGTTCCAGCAAGAGCTCTACAACACTGTCTTCGGCCCGGCCCACGATGGCCACTTTGTCTACTACCCTGACCTCTTGACTCTCGTTTTCGACTGGAACCGCCCGCTGTCGCTGGTGTCCATCAGCGAGGACCAGTCTTCACTGCCGGAGATCAAGATCTACGAGGATGTGATCTCGTCTCCCAGCACTGCCTCAACCGTGGAATTGATCAATGGGATCGATGCTGCCACTTACCTCGAGGACACCATCAACCAGGCTGGTTGGAACCAGGATGTTGACTCTGCCTACAACTCCATGTTCTTCGAGCTCTCTGCCCCTGCTGCGGGCCTGGGCGTCGGATACTTCAAGGGAGGTGGTCGTATCCGTTACATCTATCACGGCGACACCACGAACATCACCTTTGCCAACGGCACTGAGATCACTCTTCAGAACTATGCCCGTATCAAGGTGCCCCTGACGGGTATCACGGACGGGGAGTCTATGTATGAGCGGTTCTGCGACCCCAACGGCTACGACAGCGGCGCGTCTACCACCTCTGTCACCAATGGCACATCCGCGGCTCTGACGAGCATCCCTGGGTACCCTACGCCTGTGATCGTCACTCAGGACGCCGTCGTCGCTGGATTCTACCTTGACGGCGAGGGATACGAGGACGTCGCAGTCATCGTCCTCCTGGCCTTTGAGAGCGAGTCCCCCGCCGAGTTCCAAGCCGTGGCCTCGCAGTTCTTTGCCGATGCCAAGGCCGCTGGTAAGACCAAGCTGGTCATTGACTTCCAAGGAAACGGAGGCGGATACATCCTGCAAGGATACGACTTCTTCCGCCAGCTGTTCCCCAGCGTGCAGGAGGACGGGTTCTCGCGCTGGAAGGCCAGCGACTCGTTCCTGGCCATCTCGGATGTCATCTCAGATGTCGTCGGCAAGATCGACCCCTACACATCCGACGACCCGACCTTGGTCAGCTTCTACGAGAGCTGGTTTAATTGGCGCTACGACCTCAACCTCACGCTGGACCCCTTCGTGAGCTTCGACGACAAGTTCGGCCCCTACGTCTACCAGGACACCGACTACACCAACATCATGCGGTGGAACCTCAGTGACCCTCTGACCACGACCAACCAGACGTTCGGCCTGGGCATCGAGATCGCAGGCTACGGCAGCCTGGCCAACCTGACTCAGCCTTTTGCGGCCGAGAACATCATCATGCTGTACGACGGAGTCTGCGCCAGCACCTGCACGCTCGCGTCGGAGATGCTCCGCATCCAGGGCGGCGTAAAGTCTGTCGCCATGGGTGGACGCCCGCAGGAGGGCCCCATCCAGGGCGTCGGCGGCGTCAAGGGCGCCCAGGTCCTGGACTGGTCGTCGGTGCTGGCCTACAACCAGATCGCGCTGGAGCTCGGCGCCAACATCACCACCGACGAGCAGAAGGCCGCGCTGTCCCGGTACAACGACCTCGCCGTCAACCGCAGCACCGCAGGCGCCATCAACGGCCGGGACCAGATCCTCCGGGACAACGTCGACGATGGCATCCCCGCGCAGTTCATTGCCGAGGAGGCTGACTGCAGGCTCTACTGGACGCTGCCCATGATCACGGACATCACCGCGGTGTGGAAGGCCGTTGCCGACTCGGCGTGGAACGGCGCCGCGTGCGCTTATGGAGAGCTGTCCTCCCCGGCCTCGTATGAGGCTGCTCCGAAGAAGAGGGCCGCTGGCGACATCGCTCATGGCCGTGTTCCTAAGCCGATCATGCGTCACCCGCACGCGACCAAGATCGGCAGGCGTGAGCTGTCCCAGCCTGATAATGTCAAGGCTAAGCAGATGCTCAAGGCTATTCCATAGACGCGCCATTGCCCCCATGGAGACGTAGCTGTTTGGGCTTATGATATAATATTAGTGTATATATCTACAATATTGGAAACAATTACTTTTGTTGAAGCCTCTGAATAGTCTCTGTGATCGCTTCAATTGGACATTCATCCTGCTGTATCTGAGCGTCGTGTCCAACACCTGAAGTGAGGGGTTTCTGGCACGTCTTTCGTCGTCACGACTGCTGTGCAGATTTCTCGGCGGCGGCTGTCTCTGGCGCGCCATTCCCGTTGTTTGTTGCTGGGTTTGTTGCTGCCTGTGGGTCCTGCGCGAGAGGGTTCTGCTCTCCAGGCTGCTTTTTTGGCTTTCGATTTCGCAGCTCCCTTCTCACAAGGTCTATCTCGACGACTGGCGTTCCAGGAGGTACTCTTCCCTCCAGATGGTCACCATCCCAGTCGAAGTAAAGCGCCCAAAAGGGCCCCTGTCGCACGGCCACGAAATTCTCGTACCCGTGTAAGGTCAGCCTCCGATCTTGCCGGGTGCAGTCGAACGGCCCGGTGAGGTTTCCTTCTGAGAACTGTCGCGTGCCGAATTTCAGTTCAAATGTGCTCACGTCCATGTAGATCCAGTTCATGATAGGCGCTTCGTCGGATATGGTGGACACCAGACCGGGGTGGTTGAGCTCCGGGTACCCCAGGAAGTATCCCTCAAAGGGATGGCCGAAGGGGACATCGTTGTCGAGTCCAGTGTCTACAAACAACTGTGATCAATGTCAGCAACCCATTCTGCCCAATTAACATTGATGCTGGCTCTTGCGGTCGCGGTGAATAAGAACTTACCTTGTCCCCGGACAGGACCACCCGTCGGCCTTCAAGGGTCTGGCTGTATTCGGAAGACTTCGGGACGTGGACAATGAGGTTATTCTTCCTGCTCCGGTGCTCTTCTCGCCTGGCCTTTGCTTGGGAGGCTTTGATGCCTTCCGAAGCGCCGGTGACGGCGCCAAAAGCGACGAGAACTGACAAAACCATGGTTTTCGCGTGTCAAGCAACTTGACGATTTTGTCCAACGCATCGTTCGACCGAAATGCGAGAATTCCACCTCGACACCCGGACGTTGCCATTGCCAACGGCATGCCAACGGCAGGTGGCAAACATCTTGACACGGTCTGTGTGGTGGGCGTGGACGTCTATAGGTGCAGCAGTGGGCCCCACTGAAACCGGATGCGAAACTCGCTTCTATGAATCGTGGAAACATACGACGTACGATTCAGGGTGCAAAATCCCGGGGAATCTGGTATCGCTGTATCAGGAACCATGCACCCTCGACAAAACCATCTGATGAATTGTCCGCCCGGCTCCATCCGACTGCAGGAGACTGGACGCTCACAGGGATGTTCATACAAGGAGCTTTGACAGTTTGTGGCCATCAAACAATATCACATTGGCAATGCTAGTATGTACGTACAGGCGCACTCTGGCACTCTAGCCTCTGATCTCCCGCCCGCGGTGCCGAGGGTGGATTTCATGCATGCCTGGGTAGCCGGCCGCTCACGATCCTTTGGTACAACTCCTGTCAGCGGTCCCTGGACCCACTGCATCAATGATGGTGGCCCGCGTGCATCGTTGAAAGTCAGTTTCACTAAGCTCCTCGGGTCTCAACGCCAGGATCCCTACAAACAAAGTTGTTCGATTTGCATAGCTGATGGGACGATTTCAGTCACAGCGAGCAACCAGACCGTTCGATTGCCCTCTGCCACAGCTGCATCGTTTCGACCGTGGCGGCGTAGCATTGGCTGATGGAGCATCACAGCATTGATGCACCCGCATACACCTTTGACACGCGAAGATGCTCGGCTGGGGTCCGGGGGAGCGGATCCTGGCCCAGCCTGCATATTAAGTGTACTGTCATGACTTAGGCATAAATGGCAGACAGCTCCAGACTCACAATGGCAACAACTCGAACTCAGCTTCGACCATTATCTATATCTACTCCTCCGCCGGCGGACAAAGACCCTTCAATTCTTAGACGGGACAGCATCTCTAATCGCAAATCACTCGTCAACACATCCCCCGAGCAACGACTAGTTCGCAGGTCATCTAATCGCAGCTCCTGGTCCTCAGCTTCTAACACATCTCCTACCGACGTCCCGTCCCCCTTGTCAGATTCCGCCTCCGCAGGTCCACGGAAATTTCGTCTTCCGGTCAGAGTGTCCACGCAGCCGTCCTTTGGCACCTCAGACTCCAGCCCCCAAGCCCGGAGACGCTCTTTGAGCCTCTCTTCAGACCCCAAAACGGATAACAAGGCAGCGTCGGACCTCAAACGGCGCACCAGGAACCTCTATCTCTCGCAGCTAGACGAGGACAAGGCCGAGGAGCTTCGCAAGAGCCCCAGACCGTCACCAAGAGTCGCAAGCCCCCCACCTCCCTACGAAAGAAAGGGCTCAGCATCAACTGAGACCTTAAAAGTGTCCGATAAGGCAAAAGATTCTCCCAAGCCAGCAGGCCCCGCCGACGCTCCCAAGCCGGCACCAGTTGCAGCAGCACCCCCCACACGGTCACCAGCTCCACGGTCTCCAAAGTCGCCCCGGAAGCAACAACCAGCTCCCACAACAACCACTCCGTCTCCAAAAACTACTATCACACCAGCACCTCAGAAAATGTCTTCCTCCAGCAGCCCGTAAGTCACTGTTACAGATCCTCATGCCCATTCAAGCTGAACTGTCCACTCACCTACTCTATCCTAGTGAGCCCCAGAGGACCGGCGTCGTCGCCCCCAACCCCGGCCAGAACCCCAACCAGCCCCGCGGGTTCGACATGTCGATGCAGAACGGTCAGATGAAGGGCCAAGTCGGCCACAGCCTCCCGCTCCCCGGCCTGTCCGGTACCGCCAACGGTCCAGCTGGTAAGTATCTCACGCCGAAAAACGGTATTGCAAAGGATAATTGCTCATACAAATCGCGCAGGTAACCTCCTCAAGGGGCCCGTCGACGACCACGGAAACCTGAAGGCTGCTGCATTGACTGTTGGTATCAAGCTCGACTTGGAGGCTGAAGTTCATCTCTCAGCCCGTGTTAGGGGTGATATCCTCGTGGGTCTTTATTAGACTTGGCAAAACGGCTTGCCATGTCGGGCTAGATGAACTCATGCGTTATTATACGGCTACTGGGTGGGGATTGGGCCGCGGTTTACATGGGAAATAAGTAAACTTGCCAGGCCGGGGGCGTACATACGACAGTTAGAATGGGAATATACTTTTGCATTGGTGGCATAATCTGGGCCCGGCTTCCTGACGTGAAGTTCCCTCTTTGAATAAAGAAGAGCGCAACCGTGCTAGGCACGGAGCATGCCGAAGTGCTGAACGAAGGCATTGTAGCTCTTAGTGGGGTCACTGTCCCACATGTGGGTCTTTTTGCTACGGGGAGCTTGCTCTACGTGACAATTGTTAGTCGTCCTCCCATAAATACAAGAATTCGTAGCGGGACTTCAGGAGATCATGGGCCGAGTGGCCTACAAAGACTCACGAGCAGCAGGACTATGCAGAGATGGAGTGAGGTTCGCAGAAGGCAAGGTGACTGTTCACATATATGTACCTAGGTATGTAAAGGCAAGTGTGCACTTTTCCATTACTAAGTATTTGCGTACTCAATGAGTAGTACATTCCTTGACGATCACGTTGTAAGCTGAAGTTTAGGCTTTCCGAGGAATCCTGGAGAGATGGATGCTGTCAGGTGCTTGGGTTGTGAGTAGAGTGGATAAGTACATGTAGCGTAGGAGTAGCATAGGATTCTCACGTTCGTGTGCATTAAGCTGCTATTATTTGACTTCCTCATTCTCTCCCTGGGCCGTTTTGCCGCCTTCTATATTCTTTTACCATTCCTAAAGAATTTACCAAGGTTAGAGTAGGAGATACTATTTTGGCTGCTTTCCTTTATAGAACGTTAAATTCTAACTACATGTGTTTGTTTTAAATGAGATCCTAGTAATATTACCGAACTCGCTTACTGAATTTGAAGGACGATTCTGTTATGTGGAGGTGAATCGTATCTGAATTGTATGAAGGCGCCACCATACGGTGCATATGGATGGGAAACAAAACTGCTTTCTCACCCGCCCCCCTAATGACAGTAATTTTTATTGGGATATTAGCGGCCTTTTACAGTCCGCTGACCCACCGAGATGTATCGAAGCTTCACTCCCAGTGAGTCGCCGGTAAGTTCAGTCAGCACATCGTGTAATCGGCGTGGTGTCTATTGTGTTACACGTTCTTCCCCAGGGACATATCCAGGTGCTGACATGAGCCAAAACAATATTTCGTCATGCAACAAGTGCACCGCTTTTAATACCGAGGCAGAACCTCATATGGCTGTGTCGGAACGAGGCACGCATAGCGACACCTGGCACGGGATCATCTGGGGTTCAGCTAGCTTACAGGATTCCATAACACAAGCGGCTTACGGGCCCCATGGATCATGTCCGCTTCCAGTGCTGCTGACATCTATCTCCCATGGCCATGAAACCAATCGTGGTTGAGATACAGACAACCTCATGCTATAGTTTGATTGACTCCGTCGGTGTGTCCACAATCAAACACAGAGATGTAATCACTTACCTGCATCCCATCTACCCTGCGGTGATGCCGCCTGTGTCCTGCTGTCTTGTTTGCGAGAAGTTCACAACCTTCGGGGTTCCAAATGCACTTCTCAGCGCTTCCGGCACGCGCTAGCTGGGCTGTGCAAGCTTTGAAAGGATGCAGTCATGCACATGCAGGCTGCGATGTTACCGCGTTCACAACGTAAGACGCTAACCCCCCAATTCAGATAGTACAACGCTGCTGCCAATGAACACGATGTGTAAAAAGTTAATTCCGAGTCCCCGCTGTCAGCTTCAAAACCTCAGATGTGTCCTGCAAGGCTCCTTTCCGGATCTGTTCACTCGGCGATGCAGGTGGATACACGCCACGCTGTTACGCATCAATGGCTTCGGCATCACTCCCCACCTTCTCTTACTCTGCAATACGGAGTTAGTCCGGTTGTATGGATCCGGTCACTGCTCCAGGGGTTGTTGGCTCTGTCTTCGGCACAGCTACGTGTGGCGTGCAACTATCTGCTGCTATCTATCGAGTTTTTACCGAGATTGGTGACGCCAAGGAAAGCCTGCAAGCTGCGCTGGTCGGGATCGACTAGACTACACTGGAATTGAAAAAGATTCACGAACTCTTACAGGTCGAAGAGCGGGATCTCAAAAAGGGCAGAGGACTACTGCTATTCTCGGACAAAGCCACCCTTGAAAACACAAGGCGCATAAGTGTCTGGTCATATTCTGGAGGATCGAAGCAACCATCACGAGCAAACCCGGCCCAAGGATTGAGCAGGAGCTCCTCGACAGGCTGTTGGCACTCAAGGCGGGTGTAACGAGTGGCATCGAGCCGCCAATTTTTGCGCTTGATAGATCTCTCGTTGAGACGACTTCATCCTTACGCAATCGAGTTCGCCGGAAATTCAAGGAAGATTCCTCTAAATGAGAAGGACACAGCCGACGGCTACATCAGTTCCAACCGAGTCTAACTCTCATGCTTTCGGTTGTCTCCTTTGGTGCCATCCAACGTTCTCATCAGCAGGTATGTAACCGCCCTTCGGCTGTTGCCCAGTCACAAGCTGACACAACTCGAGACAAGAGAATTAAAAGCAGACAGCAGCCTACAATTACATCCGTGGAATTGCTTTTCAAGGAAACATATACAATCGCAGCGCGATTCTTCGATAACAGGAACCCTGTGCAGAAACCGTTCAGTATTATTCACTTTGGCGGTAGGGGCGTCGGGAGTGGGTCAACTCTGGGCAAGATGTCCGAAGAGAGCCTGCCATTTGTACTGAAGATGGATCAGCAAGAGGAGAGGCTCTCAACACTACATCGCTCTCACAAACCTATTCCTCAGGGCTATTCGCTGCCTCAGTCCAGACAGCCGATAGATGAAAACAAGCCGGTGTCTAAAGGGATCTCTCCACCCCAGGAAAACCGTGGCGGCCGCAATCTAGAGCGATCGACGAGTAGGAGCGGCCCCAAAAAACGAAGTTCGAAGCCTGAAGCAGATACAGCACATGAGCCGGGGTACATCAAGCCTCATTTCGACAATACTGATATCAGATTCACAGCCGACGCATTCAAGGGCGACAAAAAAGAAAAGGCCAGGCCGGAGGTCCAAGAAACGGCTCCTACCCACGACTTCCAAATAAGCTCACACCAGGGAGCATCTCGATCCAAATCAGTCAACACCGATTTCACATCCGAAGGAAGTTCAACAGCCGTGCCAGAAGCCCAAACGTGCCTTTACATCATCAAGCAGGGCATATCTTACGCGATCCCTCACCGCCTCGAGCCCGGACTTCGTGATACAGTCAACAATGCCCTGCGACTTCAACCCTCTCAGAAGTCAGTGTACAAGAAGATTGCTTCTCTGAGCCCTGAAAATATTGCTGCCCTGGAGACGGTGCTTGATGATGGGGGAATCGGGCCGCAGACTCGGAGACTGGTCCATCTAAGTATTCTGCAAAAAGCTCTGTTCCAAATTGGGAGCAGCAAGGAGGACACGGTGTTGGCGATTGTGGAGGATCCTGATCCCCAGCGACCTTGGAGAGATGATGAAGAAAGGATGGACGAAAATGAGGAACACCTTCCGCGGCGACCGTCATACCCTGTGCCTCTACCACTTGAACATCGCCCTGCTACCTTGAGCGATCGATTTGGGCCAAAATTGGATGAGCATCTAGGATCACGTGGTAGATCACGCCTTGTCAAACGCCGTTTCCACCACGACGTACAGGACGTGTCAACAGCCATGATGGATCTTTCCGACTACCAGGCTGCGTTGACTACTTACCGTGTTTGGATCATTCAGCAGCACCCCAGTCTAAAGAAACACGAAACTGAGGCGCAAAACTGGACAAAGTGCATAGTAACAGAAGATTTCTGCAACCAGGATGCTATCGGGGAACGTCTCCATGCGCTGGACAAAAGATCTCCGTCAGTGACCAACAAGAGACTATCGCTCCGACCAGACCAGCAAAGCCAAATTAGCTTTCTCCACGAGACTCTTCTTAATGACGAAACAGATGAAGACTATCAATGGGGTCTCAGACAGCTGGACCTGGTCCGTTCTAAGGAAAAGCCATTTCAGCTCATTCCTACTGTTACTGCCATTTTCGTGTATCTCGCAAGGACTCCGCGAGCGCATGTCAACCTTCAGCGTCTCTTCGAGACGCAGCACATGGCCGAGAACAATCGAAGACCGGCATACTTTTCCACCGTGGATGGAGCTGAGCATTTGTCTGCACCTCGACCTTATTTCAACAATGATAATTCCTTCGCAGGACAACGCCCTAATATTCGAATTCCATCGGCGACTCCCCAGCCATGGGACTACGGTTACGCACCCCGTCCACCCATGGCCCCCGATGCGCCGTACAACCCCCATGGCCCCCCTTCAGGTTTTCCACCGCCTTTACCACCGCCACCAACAGCAACAAGACCAATATACAGCTCTGTTGATAGGCGGATTCCACAAGCTCCTCGGACTGGGTTCCCCCGCGGCCCACAGCGGCGGGGGATAATCACGGAAAGCTCCTCGGATTCGGACTCGATTTATGAATCAAGTGTGTACCGTGGCGAGCACAGCAAGAAACAGCCGAAGGAGGAGACTCGCCTGATTTCTCGTTTGGTGTCGAAACGAGTTCTCAGCGATCTCGCATACCCATGGAGAGACGAGGTAAGCCTTCGTAAACTGTACCAAAGCAAGTGACGACTTGAGGCTAAGTTACTCATTGATAGGGTCGCTACGTTGTTGTTCTTAAAAATCTCGACGAGGATCAGTTGGAGGAGATACTCAGGATGAGCGAAGATCACAGGACACCTGAAGGTAGACAGGGCAAGATCCACGAACATTACCTTTTCAGGAGTGGCTAACCGTGGCGCCTATACGCAGACGGGCTCAACTTTGACCCATCGAATCAGATGAGACCTCGTCGCAATTCCATCGATGACGAAGCACGACATTCAGCATTACAGCCGAAGACACATGCAGTTGGCCGCCAAGATCACTCCCTCGAAAAGGTGCGCGTGCCTACTGATGAAGGCCATGCCTTAGGTACGGCAGCGGCGAACGCAACCGACCGCAACATGGCTAGAAGGTTCCCCTACCGACAGCGCTCTTTACTGCGCGACTCGAAGTTGCGGCGCAAATCATCCGACATGTACTTGCGATCGCGTGCTATTGCACGTTTGGGAATCCCCGAATCCGAAGCCAGGGCGGCACTCGAAGCGAACCGCGTCCTGGACGGATTGGAGCGTTCCGTGTCGGAGCTCGATACGACCGAGAGACGGCCTTTGTACCACTCTCAATTTGAAAGCAGGCCATATGACCCCCAAAGGAACGCGGATGACCAGATGATCAATCAGCTATTGGTGGAATGTACACCTCAAGGGGCCAGTGTCCATAGAGGAACCGAGCCTGCAAGCGCCTGGGTGAGACCAAAGAATATGGCCGCTACAGAAATAGATAAGTATGAGGAAGATGCCGATCTCAGTGAATCGTCTGCATTTGATGACGATCTCTACGGCTCATGTGAACACTCCAGTGTCAGGGATTTGATTCCAAAGACGCCTCAGACTGGCGAACCGCTATGGGCAGAGCTACACGACGCAGCCTTTGCAGACCACGACGTCAGAACCAAGACTGTGAAGGGGGCAGGAATAGATGAGGAGGCCATCCTGGCCGGGCAGAATGACCCAATGACGGAAATAGAGCGGCCTGAAGGCCGACTAGCCACGCTGAAGTCAATGAGAGGTGGGAAGACGGCGCAGGACATAATCCTGGCTCCTGCAGCGATGACACAGCCGACGCCGCCGCGAATGCCGGCCCAGAGTCAGATGCAGGAAGGCCCAGACACGGCCGCAGGAGCCACTAACGTAGTGGTTGTGTCCTCGCCGACACAACCCACGATACAACGCCGAGTGACAGTGGATGAAGTAGAAGACGAGGAAGACACCAGCAAGCAGCCCGCGAAACACCACCCACCGCCCGAACTCGAATACAGCGGCGACAGAGCGGACAAGCCCGAACGCGCGTCCGCTCTCCCCGAGACCGCGAAGACGGCGGGCGCAGAGCTGGAGTGGGAACAACGGGTCCTGGAGGATACCACGGCATTTTCCGAGCCTCCTGATCGGCGAGGGCGGAGAGCGTATTTGGAGTCCCCCTCACGGAGGAGTGTGAGGGCCGCCCAGCGGGAGGCTTCGAAGCACAAAAAGCATGGCCGAAGGAGGCTGCAGAAAGGGGCTGTCGGGTGAAGTTCGCCAGGCGGAGTTGATGGATCCGTAGCTAGTTCCTGCTCCGCGGCATGAGCCGCGATCTTCACAGTAGTTTCGTAGCTCAGAAATTCCGAATGTCTGTTAGTGTTTCTTAGCGCGTCTCACGGTCCGAGGCCAAGGAGGGTGTAATGCGTCAGGTGTTTGCATACTTGAGCAGCAACCCTGAGTTTTTATATTAGGAGCGACACGTGTAGACGAGTCAGATGTAATGCGCCGCCATCACGAGGCAAGGCACCCTGAACTTTTACCGGCGAGGGTCGGTATGTGATGCTTCATAGGTGGCTTGCAGCTAGGTATTTCTACCTCCAGAGACATGAGCGGGCAAGCCAGACTACAAAGCTATAGAAACTTGATGGCTCGTTAGTCTAGTACCGTTGACATTAGGTTCGCAGCCTCAAGATTGAGTTCGACCACTTCGGGCAAGTCAAATTACATCGCGGTGCGCGGGATACGGATACCTCATCCAGGTGGCCCATAGTTACTTGCAATGTTATATAGTAGTTTAAAATTGCCTATGTCGCAATAAATCGGGGAAAATACCGACGACTTCACTTGAAATCTAGAAAATACCATTCATTTCATCCGAGAAAGACCTGTGTAGGTATTTGTTCATTGAACCAGGACCGAAAGGGGTAGGCAATGCGGCTGATGACCCTGGAAGATTGCTGGTGAGATGAACGTCATTAATGCCCCGTCAAATAACCCCCGTGGCATAGTCTGTTAGTCGTCAGACTACCCCGTAGACGTAAATGGCCGGGTGGTGCTCTGGATTTAGTACGAAACGCGCGCGACGAGTTGTGTCCGGATTGGTTGGCACCACGCGGCAGTCAACACACTAACCTTGGCGCATTGGACGCCAATGGCTCTTCGCATTCGCTTCGACATGGATGCGAAAGGGTGAAAGCAGATGATTTGCACCACGTGACGCGGATATTCCCTTCGGCATGTGGAGTGACGAAGTCAGATGAAGTCAGATGGAGAAATAATGTGATACCATACGCGGATTTAAAAACGTCAGTCGTCCGCCATTCGGGGCCGGTACTTTTTCCATGCACAGATGGGGACGGGATCTGATGTGCCAAGGATCAAAGGGTGGGGCATGCAATTTATCAACGTGAAAACGAAACATATCCCCACTCTGTCGCTTACCACAATAAGCATGACAGGGCACTCTTTAGGACGTCCTTTCCGACTGCCACGTTTCAGACGGTCCTTACTTGCCAATTCTAGGCCGGGGGTCACGGAGCTACCCTGACTACTCTAAATGAGGCGCACGGTAAGATCCGCCGACATATGCATGCTGGAGGCACGGGTAGGAGGAGTGCTACCCCTTTCATCTCGAAAGAGACATGCAAGGAGTGTCCCGAAAGGAGAAGAAGGCCAGTCCTTGCTTCCACCTGAACTTGATGGAATTCCGATAAATACGTCAGGGTACCAAACTTCGACAGTTCATCCCGTCTGCCAAGTTGAGGAATAATTCAGATCGCTGCTCTTATTTCAGCCCTACCACTCTACCGACCTACCATTCACTCATTTCTAACCCCCAAACCGCGATCATGAAGCCATCTCAACTCGCGGTCTTTCTTTCGACGGCGCTTTGTCAGCTTGCTGCCGCCAAGCCATGTCCAAGGCGACCCGAGTCCGGCATCTCTTCCGTCGTGAGCGGCACGCCCGTGGGCTTCGCATCCGCAGTCACCGGCGGTGGCACCGCTGAGCCAGTGTACCCGAAGACGATCGACGAGCTCACGGAGTACCTCACCTCCCCAGACCCCCAGGTCGTCGTGATCTCCGGCGAGTACGACTTCAGAGGCTCAGAGGGCACAGAGATGTACCCGGCCTGCAACCAATACGCCTGCACCCCCGAGAATGGCGGACAGGCGCTGCTCAACACCCTCAACGGCTGCAACATGGAGACTTACGACGTCGAGGTCGATAAGGCCGGATACCAAGGTATCAATGTCGCCAATAACAAGACCCTTGTGGGCAAGGACAATGCGACGCTCATCGGAAAGGGATTGCGCTTCGTCGATACCTCCAACATCATCGTTCAAAACCTCGCGATTACAAACTTGAACCCCAAGTACGTGTGGGGCGGAGATGCTGTCAGCTTCTCTGGTACCGAGAACATCTGGGTCGATCACGTTACAGTAGGTTACCCGATCCCTAATACAAGGAAAAATCTCTTTTTTTCTTCATGTTTTTATTTGTGTTGTGTCCAGCATGAGGCAATACAGTGCTAACCAATTTGATGTTTGGAACAGACTTCGAGCACAGGACGGCAACACTACGTGTTCGGACATGACGCTAGCAAGGGAGTCACGATCTCAAACAGCTTCATTAACGGCGAGACAGCTCAGTCCTCTACCTGCAACAATCAAACATACTGGGCTATGGAGCTTGTCGGTGCCGACGACCAGATCACATTCTACAGTGAGCCTCAATTGCTCTTTCACATCAAATGTAGTCCCTGACTAACAGCCGTTTAGGGAACCACGTCACCAAGACATCAGGACGCACCCCAGCCTTGTCCGGAGGCACGCTCCTCCACGCTGTCAACAACGTCTGGTCCGACAACGGCGGCCATCTCATCGAGGGTGACTCGGACGGAGCCCGGGGTCTTTACGAAGGCAACTACATGGAGAATGTCCCGAATGCGTTGGGCTCCGATTTCGCCGGACAGCTGTTCATACCCGAGGCATCCGACGCATCGCAATGCGCTGCGGCCCTGGGCCGTGACTGTGTCCCCAACGAGCTGACCAAGTCGGGAGAGTTCAGCTCCTCTGACACGGGAGTGCTGTCCGAGTTCAAGGGCCAGTCCATCCCCAAGGCTGAAGAGGCCGAGGCCATCAAGGACACCGTCCCCACCGAGGCCGGAAACACTTTGTAAATGTCACTTTGAATCTTTGCGCTGGCGCGTGTCTACTTCTTACAGACTTGACTGTACATCATCTTAGCTGTGTATAATATTTGCTTTTGTACATATATCCCAATGAGCATTTTGACATTTGACCAAGTTCCGAGAAGCATTATTTAAATACTGGAGTGATGCTTAGGCGGGGCTCTGAGAATGAAAAGTGTGCGCTGCAGTTGAGCGACGGACACTCCACACACAAGGAATGACGGAATATACTCAGATACTACATCTGTGCAGGTCCCCTGTTGGTCACGGTGACCTGACCGGCCCTTACACTGACAACACTATCCGAACAGCGGCGGCCGAAGTTGCCGGCTCTAGTCTTATGTTGCTCCAGTAGATATCTTGTTTGGTCGCCCGGCGGAGATGGCTGCCATTCTATTTTGCCCGACACTGAGTATGCACAGGGATGGATCCATGGAACACGGCTTTGCCCCCGAACTTGAAGAAACTGTCACACAAGAACTTATGATCAGGCAAGACCGGGTGTCCGGATGGCATTACCAAGGTACATACATCTCTAGGTTACGGAACGCCCGGACGCCGATAGATGTGGGTAAGCAGTAGAATCGGATCAGACGGCACGCTTCAATTCGGCATCACCGAAGCCGCTGGAGAGTATCGGTTGCTAAATTGTTCTCCTTGCCGACAGGCTATCATTATTTATGATCTCTGAGTCGTCCAGTGACACTTTTCAGCCCTCGCAGAGGGCTGAGTACTCTGCGCGAACTTGTGTGTTTGTGTGAGAGATCTGATGTCTCGGGCACTTTTGGGTTACACGCGACCCAGGGAGACCATACAAGCAGCCAAGTGGTAGAGATGGGCTACGTTGGCTTCGATTTTTGGTTTCTTCAGTATCCAGCGACGGCAGGATCATCAATTTAGACTTCATGAATAGAAATTCAGGCCGCTCTCACGACTCAACCCAGGATTACACGCGTGCCTAAGTAACGCGCCGGCTGCTAGGGAAGTTACAACAGGCCCGGCCTTGGTCGACTCCGGGGAGACATCATTTCATTGCAAACTGGGGCTTGATCTGTTCTATCAGTAGCCGATTGAAAGATTGTGAAAGGAAAAACCTGCTTCTGCATGGCTGTGGTCGCTTGGCGTTGCAACTCATCTCCCGGCTCAAGAGTATTATAACCGGGAGATTCTGTCCTGGGATCGAGATACAGAAAACAATGTTACATAACTGTAGCCAAGTTTGGTGACAAAGAAAACGTGTCTTCGGCCTCGGGGTCCTTTTGGCTGCCGAGTCCGACGGTGGGACACCGTGGATACCCTTTTGCATTCAATTCAGACATCAATTGGTTGCTTGTGACCCCGATTGGATGACGGACATCCTTCGGAGCGGCTCGAGGGGTAATTTTGAATAAATTCTTGCAGGAAACATGCTTTCCGGTGACATTGTGAGTCCCTGAGCCCATATATCACTTTAAAATTGACTTCTTGTCCACCGGGCTTCGTTGCTCGGGGCGGCGTGCAGCCGTCAGCGCTGGCGGTGCCAGCACAGTCAGATACGTACTTATGTACTCGCAATTATAGGAATTTGAATACCTTCTCCCGGAACGGGCTTCAAAGAACCCCACGACTAATGTTACCAAGCGAATGTGCCGTACCGGGAATTCCGGGGCCTTCGCAATAGCTGATTACTGTGATTGATGGTTCTATTATTGGCAGTAGTTTCTCTTTCGGCAATAAGTTATCCCTAGATTCTGATTAGCTGAAAAAAATAGACCCTGAAAGCTTCAAGACGATGGCTGATCAAGCAGAAATATCTCTCCGGCCGTTTCTTATGTGGAACCAAGCTGTTATAATAAGTATTTTGCTTCTGAGCCTCCTACAGTCTTTCCCTCCCGTCCCTCCATTCGTGCCTAGGTATCCATCCTTTGTTCCCAAGTTAGGATTTGAACAGTTTATGCTATTTCATTTTAAGGTCTTGAGGCTTCCCCTACTTGAAGGCCGCACGTACATTTTATGTGTTTGGGAGTCAGAAACGAAGCCACTCATTCTATGACAGGCCGGTATGGATCATTTAATCTACAAGGAGTAAGTTACCAACTCCTTCATAAAACATGGCGGATTATCGTGAGACTTTCTGCATACTCGCTATTTCCAAAAACTGTATTGCGCTTGGCATGTGCTCAACTCTGACATATGAATGCGCAATACCACCCACCTACCTATCACCAGACAGCTGCAGTCGTTGACGGCAAAGCCGGCATCATGTAACGTGGTGCCTCGCCTTAAAACAGATCTAACCATCTACAGTGGCTCCCGGCGATCTTTCCTTCCTTCCGCCACTGCAGAAGGTTCTTCTTCCTACATCAAATCAACCATACCGCAGATGGTACAGTCGGGGTGCCAGCAAGCCTACATGGCCTCGCAGCTCCAGCGCATTGAGGCCTCTCTGCCACGCAATGATCTCGCGGAGCCTTCAAACACCAGGAGCAGTAATCCACGTCGGGCTGCTGTCGCGGACCATCTTCTCCATGGAGTTGGCTCTCAGTTCATCGGTACGTAGGCACGCCTGGCTTGGCGTCCTAGCGATGGTGCCGGGCTTATATGTGTATTCTGGCCAAACGCATAACAGCAGGCGATGATAGTGTTTGTTCAGCTTTGGCTTCGGAAAGTGTATGCAAGTCGCCGAAAGATTGACTGATCATACTTGTGGCAGTCAAGGACGCGGCTTTGGGGGGGGGGCCTGTGTGTGGGGGGTTTACGGCATAGTCGTAGTCGGCGGGCTGTCTTGTACTGTGGTTCTGAAACGATGTTGGCGAACTGCGGGGAAAGCCGCCACCATGGTATTCTGGGCTCAAGAGGATGTTTCAACTTCGCATCATAGACTCTGCTTGATTGATAAATTAAGTCAAGAATAACAGTCCACTATAGAGAGTGTCTCCCGATACCCTCGCGAACACCCCAGTATCCACGTGATTTATCAACAGGTTATGAACAGAACACATTGTTCATACTGTAGAGTTGCTGATATAGCTAGAAATAATCCTGTGAAAGTCAAGTCGATCCTGCCGATGAAGCTTTTGCCCACATCGAAGGACGCGAAGCATCAGGACTCAGACATGCAGGGTCCAGGAGTGCGCATGGAAAGGAAATCCCGTTGCAATAGCATGACGTATGTCAGCGAGCGGTGGAAAACCTTGCTCAGAGGCTGATCTTTTGGGTCAGATCCGCAGGGGGAGATACGGGACAGAAAGGACTCCTTAGCCGGAGAGTAACTAGTGAGATGATCGATTATGCGGCGCATACACTAGCTCTCTGGGCCTGGATTGCGCTGTCGGCTGTCTTGACGGTTCTGACACTGCTTTGACCAGCCTTTAATTACAGTGCAGTCGACGACTGGGGGCCCGCTTCCGGTGTGGATTTCGAGCCCGCTTACATTGCTTTTCTATGGATCAGGGAGGAGCTCCTAGATAGGCGAGAGGCTTGCTGCTCGGGTCTCGGGTGATGCCGAGAGGCCAAATAGAGTGGAAACGGGTACTATAGGATAGATGGAGAAGTTTGCTGTAAGGTTGCAAGCAGTTCAGATTGGGAGACAATGGTGGGCAGGGAGAAATTGTAGTAAGACCTATCGGCGCGGCATCGAAACAGAAAATTGTGATTCTGATGTCATCTGAGACAAAGAGACCCATTGAAAGCATGTCCTCTCAATCAGGAGTCCGGAAGAATGGTGCGCGTGCCACCTCTCGCTGCATTAATGCTCGAAAGCCGCCAGGTCCGTCCAAAAGAACTGCTGTCAGGCACCATACATAGTTACTACCATAGTATCAAATCTCATTCATGTGGACTTCACTTCACCCAGACCGATCGGTGGGACTGGAGTGGGATATACGCCAATGTCTACCGACTCGTGACCAAATATTGGGAGTAATTGCGTGGCGGTTCGGAGCGCCCCCATATGTACCCAATAGTGGAATGGCTACATGAGCCGATAGGGGCTCTGTGCTTATAGTGTACAACACGAGTCAATCTTTGATTACGAACACGATTCTTTGCTAGAATCAAGACTATTCTTACTCGTGAAGCTGTCTCCACCGCTCATTGAACCGACTACACTTTACAGATAACTTATAAGTCAGTGTATGAATGTGGCAGGCTGCGGGAAACTTCAATAACTAGTTGCCTCCGTGTAGCTCACTCGCTTTCCTTCCATCGAAAAACTACGGAAATTCCTGATTATGAACATATTAGAAAACGAGGCCCCCTATTCTCGTGATTTTGTGGAGCTATTGACCGCTGCGCCAGATGCTCATGACTAGTACTAGTACCCTAGGGAAGATCCATAGTTCTGGGTACGGAGTTCAGAACGAGTCCGGCTTTTATTTCACGGGACTGCTGGAGTGGACGCTGGCTCGAGTATAAATGGAGGAGAAATTATCACTTCTGTGGCTATCATCCTCTCCATCATAAAATCACAGAAGAGTCATCTAAGAAGAAGTCGTCACCCCACAAAACAAATTTAAAATCTTCTCATTTCCCTCCAGCCCTACAACAAAACACTGTCCAGATACGGCTACACTCAACGTCTCCAGCACCATAACGTCCGCAATTACAAAATGAAGTTCACATTCGCTGCTATCGCCATGGTCCTCAGCCTTGCAGCCGCGACAGCTGCACCCGAGGCGGCAGTCTCAGACCTCGATGTTGGCCACAAGCTCGAGGCACGTCAATGTGGAGCCTGCTGCGAAGGGCCATGCAGGGGTGGATGCTGCTACGACGCGCCGAACTGTTGCTCTCGTTTGTTCAGAAGGGTGCCCGGGCTAGATGTGGAGCAGGAAGTCTCCCTGGCGTGAGGAAAGTCAGTCGACAGGACCGGACATCATGGGGCAGCTGATACAAATCCGGGGTATATGAAGACCATGATAAGAGAGTCTTACTTTGGTTCGAAGGTACTTCAAACAGCAAGCTATGAACTATTGAGACAACACAGGTGCTGCTCATAGTATCGAGGATCTAATAGCAGTACATGTTTGCCTGTACATATATGTATTCCACCCAGCAAGCAACCGAGGACATTGCCACAAGTGCATGCCCTCTAACGGTGTCATGACTGGACGGATTTTGAAATCAACCATTATCTATACAGTTATGCAGCCTTTGCCCCCAGGACCTGCACCTTCTGGAGAAGAGGTGTGGCATTCGCCTGAGTGATACTGAACCGGACATGAGTGGCCGGCACAGCTGCGCTCAACTTGTCGATCCGTTTGTATCCGAGCGAAGTGCCATTGACGACCGTCTCATATGTTCCATCCACGCCAACTTCAATGGTGTAACCACCAATACGTTGACCCAAAGCGATGTGCTCTTGAACTATGAAAGCATCCACCGAGAACGTGCCACCGAGGTCGATATCCACCCACCCAGTGGTCTCATTAGCATCGACCGCCCAATACGTAGCGGCGTCACCGTTGATCACATTGGCCGGCCCATACAGTGTCGCGTCTCCTTCTCGGATGCTGCTCGCGCTCGTGTTCAGCCCAGGCGTCAGGATTTCCCGGTCGAAGAAGGTGTCGCGCAGTGCCTTGAAGCCCGCGAGCGAGTCCACATCCACCTGCTGGACGACACCGTCCGTGTCAGGCGGCACATCAAGCAGCAGGCTGACGCTCCGCGCCACAGACTGCATGTACATGTCCATCAGGGCGTCCGCCGCCTTGGGCGTCTCGCTAGCATGCCAGAACCACCCATCACGGATACGCGCATCAGCCTCGCTGGGGGTCCAGTACAGCCCGTCCCGCACGCCCGTCTCCAGGTCCGCCTCGCCGTAGCGCTCGTCGTCCTGCGTGCGGCTGATGGTGTGCCAGTTGGTGGGGACCGACACGCCGTCCTCGTTGCCGACCCAGCGCGCGTCGACGCCCTGGTGGCCCCACATGACGGCCGTTGGCTGGTGCTCGCGGATGATGTCGCGGAACCACGTCCAGTTGAACGTCTGCACCGTGTCCGAGCCGCTTGCGCCGTCGAGCCAGACCTCGAACAGCTCGATTGGAGAACCGTCGTCCAGCGTCATCGTCACGAGCTCGGTGAGCTGCGTCGCGTACATCGCGTTGTAGTCGCCGTCTGTCGCGTCGCCAAAGATCTGAGGCTCGTCGTAGATTGTGCCTGCGAGGCCGGGCTTGGGCATCGCGGGATCGCGGTGGATGTCCCACGGAGAAAGATAGACACCAAATTTGATGCCATACTTTTTCGCTGAGGCAGCGGCCAGTTCGACGACGTTGGTCTCCAGCCCCAAGGCGGTGCGGTTCTTGGCCCACGCGCCGTTGTCGATCTTGTACGTTGTCGTGGACGTATTCCAAAGCGCCATACCGTCATGATGTTTAGCGGTCAGAATCATGCCCGTCATGCCCGCGTCGGCGAATGTCTTGGCCCACTGGTCTGTGTCCAGGCCGACGGGGTTGAAGACATCTGGCGGGCTCTGGCTCCTGCCCCACTCCTCGTCTGTGAAGGTGTTGGGCCCGAAGTGGATGAAGGCATAATATTCTAGTTCATGCCAAGCAGACTGTCGCTCTGAAGGCACGCGAAGATATGCTGCTGGTGGGCCATCTTGGGCATGAGTCGCAGAAGCGAAAAAGGTCGATACACAGACCGCGGCCAAGAAGATTTGCTGGCACCAGCGAGGTGCAAGATAACTCGATGTTTTCACCATACTTGCGAAGACCAGATTATGTTTCTTTGCTGAAGTAGTGAGTTGGCATCTACAGCAAATGCTGAGCTTCTGACAATCTGGCAACACTTGGTGTCTTGGACCACCACGTTCTCTCTGTTTTGTACGAAAAGAGGAGTCGGCATGTGGCAACCCGAGCTATACGCGCCCGCGTGGTTGCTGGCCACGGCCCAGGGATTAACACGAGAGTATTTGACGATGCAACGTTAATCGGGAAGTTCGGTACAAAGAAATAAACCGCCGGATGTTATCTCAGGTCAGAGCGGGGATAACCCATGCACAACCAGGCACCTTGCTGCATCCCCTGCTCGCTACAACGTTGAATACCAAGGCATTGTGCTATTCTCGATACAGTATCGCGGGATTTTCCCCGAAGACACATACTTGCTCCTATGCCTGCACTTCAGTCCTTGTACCTGAAACCATGTGACTATGGAGAATTGACGAAGACTCATAATGGAATAAAATTATACCTAGGCACCAGACCTCAGTCAAGTGAGTCCAGAGATACGTGGGCGAGCCCGCGGCAACCCGTGGCACGGCCAGCCGAGGAGTGAGCATCTGAGGTCTCTGAGACCCTCGCAGAGCCTGGTTGGTCGTTTCATGGGCAGTGCTGGATGTGAAAAAGTGAAGGAAGCTCGATAGTTGAACAGCGTCAAACTGGAATCGAGAGAGGGGGTGGCGCTTTTGAATAGCAATGCAGATCGTGGCGGGCGCTAGAAATGCGGTGAGACTGCACTGATAACATTGAGACGTTCCATGAAATGCGTGTCTTCGAATCGCGTAAGTTGCCCAGCATTCGAGTGGCCTTGGCTCGTCAAAAGCAGAATCTTTGGATTTGCTGACTACATGAGTACTGCTTGGCCTGTCTGCTTTGCTTACCGCAGATAATTAGCAGCTCTTCCCACTCTGAAAATCCGCATCAAAGTCCTTTCCATCTCAACCCACCAAAGCGTAATCTTGCTCCGCAAATCCTACTGTTAAGTGGCTTACATCCTCAAGTGTTAACAATGGCTAATCAACAAATGAAGGTACTCCTTTGGTCCGTGTGCATCATGGCGCCGACACCCTTATCGGCCATGGGAGGCATCCTCAAGCACATCCCAGAGAGCGTAGATGAGGTTGACGTGATCATCGCCGGTGGTGAGTCAAGTGCTTCTGGCTCACCTTGATGGCCTTGGACTCAAATTTGGTCTAGGCGGAACAGCCGGCTGCGTCGTGGCGGCGAGGCTTAGCGATGCGGACCCGAACTTGTCCATTCTGGTTGTCGAGAGAGGCCAGGATAACTGGAACGATCCGGCAGTGACGAATCCGCTTTTCTTCATGGACAATATTCTCAACATTGGAAAGCCGAATTCAAGAATGAAGTATTATCAGGGACAGGAAGAGCCGTCCACTGCCGATAGGGCGATGACTGTCCCCGTTGGCAATATTCTGGGAGGTGGTTCGTCCATAAATATGCTCACGTACACGCGGGCTCAGAGAGAGGATATGGACGGCTGGAAGATGCCCGGGTGGTCTGCCGATGAGATCCTTCCATACATGAAGAAGGTATGGTCTACATTCTCCTGATTTTTGGCTTTACTTGGGCAATTAACACCGTCTTGAAGCTTGAAACGTACTGCGGCCCTGGATCCCCTGAGACACACGGCTTCGACGGCCCCATTCAAGTCTCAGAGGGGCCCTATGGACCAACACAGCTACAAGACCAGTTTGTCAAAGCCGCAGCCAAGGTCGGCTTGCCGGAATCGGTCGACCTTCAAGATCTAGACTCCAGCCAAGCAGTGCAACGCAACTTGCGTTTTATCAGCAAAGATGGGACTCGCCAGGATGCTGCTCATGCGTATTGTGAGTAACTCCTGTCATGATGTCCTCGACGTTTCTACAACATGGAGAACCCAATGGGTTGAATTTTTAATGCTTTGGCGAGATGCTGCACAAGTGTCTATAGAGGTGACCAACATGCGTCCTGAAACATTTCAGAAAAGACCCGTTGAAATGTTGCTGACAGGAGGCTAATAGTGCATCCGCGGCTGGAGGGCGGGAAACATCCAAATCTTCACGTACTGACTGAGCACGAGGTATTGCGAGTAGTCATTGAGGACGGCAGGGCCATCGGCGTTGAATTACGCGGCGTTGCCGACTCAAAGAACAACACGCAAGTCCAGAGTATCAAGTCTAGGAAGATGGTAGTAATATCTGCTGGCACCGTGGGCACTCCACTGCTGCTTGAGCGGTCAGGCGTCGGCGACAGAAAGGTCCTTAATTCCGCCGGCGTCGATGTTGTTGCCAGTGTACCTGGGATCGGCCAGAATTTTCGAGACCATCACACACTGTTGCTGTCTTACTACACCAATTTGCTGCCCAACGAGACATATGACGAGCTCCTCAAGAACCACACAACGTTCAAGCAACTTATAGATGAGAATGATCTGATGCTCGGTTGGAACTCTGCCGAAATCACATCGAAGCTGCGTCCGACGGAGGAAGAGATTGGCCTCATTCTGAGGGATAACTCGGCTGCGCTCAATCTCTGGGAACGCGATTTCCAGAGCACATTAAACAGGCCGATCGCCACAATCTCCACTGCCAACGGGTAAGTTGAGCTAATCAGTACAGGACTGAGTGGTTTGTTCTGACTGGCACAAGGTTCATTGCCCCAATACCAAAGTCGGACGAGAACGAGCGATTTCTGAGCACCGGTAACTTCCTACTCTACCCTTACTCTCACGGACACGTACATATCACAGGCCCGGATATCAATGACGAGGTTGACCTCAAAACCGGCATTTTGTCTGAGCCGTCTGGATTCGACCTCGCCATGGCCATGTGGCTGTACAAGAAACAACGCGAGATCGTTCGGCGCCTAGACGTCTACCGCGGGGAATTCGCACCTTTGCACCCTCCCTTTTCCGCCGACTCGGCCGCCGCGTGCGGTAAGAGAGACGCGTCACTGCCGGCCGACGTCAAGGACATCATCTATACCGCGGAGGACAACGCGGTACTCGAACAATGGGTACGCGCCTCCTTGGCGCAGAACTGGCATGGCAGTGGAACGTGCAAGATGGCGCCGCTCAGCGAAGGGGGCGTGGTAGACCCGGCTTTGGGGGTCCATGGCGTGGAGGCTTTGAAGGTTGCAGACTTGAGTGTCGTTCCTGTTAATGTGGCGGCCAACACGGCCAATCTGGCTTTCACTATTGGGGAGAAGGCTGCCGATATCTTTGCTGGGGAGCTTCTAACGTCTGCCTGAATAGACTCTGAGGATGATAGCTGCATATGTATTTAACTTCATTCGAATAATTCGTTGCAATCTCTTTGCCACTCGATATCAGCCTCAGATGCGAGCACACACCTATTGTGACGATCGGACTCACGAGCTGGTAGATTGCGAACAGGCAGCCGACGGATATTCATGACTTTTATATTCATACTAAACTTCGATGACTTCCCCGAGATCCTCCACTGACGGCGTACGCAGTCCAGTCCCCAAACCAAAGCAATTCCGGCACCTGACAGAAGTAGTTGAGACGGCGAACATAGAAGTGGCGGATATTGGTCAAAATGATCCATGTAGCAATATATGGCTGCCCTTATGCACAGCATCCCTAGAACATTGCCACCTTGTCCCGCCTGCCCCCAGGGTGATGATGCGGGGAAGTTACCTAGGTACTTTCCCTATGGAACCCTGCGCGCCTCTGGGTGAGGTACTGCCGTAGAGGCCTTGTCCGCGAGGAAGGACGACGCCGCTCTCTTCCATACTAAAGGCCTTTAGGCTAAAGTGAAGCCGAACCTAGCAGCTCGCTGATGGAGGCTCCAGCGTTCACCTTACTGAAGTAAATTCTCCAAATACACCCCGCGGCGAGGAGAAGAGGCTCCATACAATTTTCTTTGCCGGCTCGCATTATGGAAATTCAAACGCAATAGACGGTCTCACCAGAACGACAAGATGCGCTCGCTATTGTGGTTTCTTTCTTTTGGCTTCGCTGCCGCTGAGAGCGGAATCGATGGCTGGCTGCGATATGCTGCATTGCCAACTGACGTCCGCGGTAACTATGCTGCCCCAAATTCTATTGTAGCCTTGAACAGCACTCAGAGCAGTCCTGTGTACGTGGCTGGACAAGAGTTGCAAAAGGGTATAAGTGGGATCCTGGGCCAGAACGCCAGTGTATCCTCAGGATCAGTTGGTAATACGTCGACAATTACGGTTGGAACCGTCGGGTCCTTCCCCTCGACCAGTTTTCAAATATCAGTCATCCCTGAGCTCGAAGATGATGGCTTCTGGCTCGACACCAGGGGCGGCAACGTCCAGATCATGGGGCAAAATGAGCGTGGCGCTCTGTACGGCGCCTTCGAGTACCTGTCGATGCTCGCGCAGGGAAACTTCTCGGAGGTTGCATATGCCAGCAATCCGAGCGCGCCTATCCGCTGGGTCAACGAATGGGACAACCTGAACGGCCAGATCGAAAGAGGCTATGCCGGCCCTTCCATATTCTTCACTTCATCCTGGGCCATCGCCAACGACCTCAGCCGGGTCTCTCAGTACGCTCGACTGCTCGCGTCCATCCGCATAAATGGGATCATAGTCAACAATGTGAACGCCAATGCCACCCTCCTGAACACAGCAAATCTCGCAGGTCTCGGCCGGATCGCGGATGCAATGCGACCGTATGGCGTTCGAGTGGGAATATCTCTCAACTTCGATTCCCCAAAGACGCTCGGCGGGCTGAATACGTCGGACCCGCTTAGCCCGGACGTGATACAATGGTGGGATGCAAAAGTCAGCGAGTTACAACAGCAAGTGCCAGACCTGGCTGGTTTCCTCGTGAAAGCCAACTCGGAGGACCAACCTGGGCCGCTGACGTACAATCGTACGCTTGCGGATGGTGCCAACCTCTTTGCCAGGGCTTTGAAGCCCCGTGGTGATGGTATTGTCATGTTCAGGGCCTTTGTGTACGACCATCACATCAACGAGTCGAACTGGAAAAACGATCGGGCAAATGCAGCGGTGGACTTCTTCAAGGAGTTGGATGGCCAGTTTGATGATAACGTCGTCATTCAAATCAAGTACGGCCCCATCGATTTCCAGGTCCGAGAGCCGCCGTCGCCGCTATTTGCCAACATGCGTCAGACTCCCATGGCAATCGAGCTTCAGGTAACTCAAGAATATCTGGGCGAGCAGGATCACCTTGTGTACCTCCCTCCGCTATGGAAGACCATCCTGGATTACGACCTGAGGGTGGATGGTGAGCCATCGGTCATCCGTGACATTCTCTCTGGACAGCGCTTTGACAAGTCCTTGAGCGGCTATGCGGCTGTGATCAATGTAGGCATGAATGCAACATGGCTCGGAAGTCATCTTGCCATGTCGAATCTTTATGCCTACGGTCGATTGGCATGGAACCCCGAAGACGACGAGGTGGCCGTGCTGCAAGATTGGACGCGTCTCACTTTTGGATTTGATGAGACAGTCATCGACACCATCATCAAGATGTCCCTGGATTCTTGGCCAGCCTACGAGAACTACACTGGCAACCTCGGGGTTCAGACGCTGACGGACATCACCGGGCCACACTATGGTCCAAATCCAGCTTCTCAGGATGACAACGGCTGGGGCCAATGGACACGTGCAGACGCAGATTCGATCGGAATGGACCGAACAGTCAAAAACGGGACCGGCTTCTCCGGACAGTATCCACCGGAAATCGCGGCGATGTATGAAGAAATCGAGACTACCCCTGACGACCTACTTCTTTGGTTCCACCATGTTCCATACACTCAGCAGTTTAAATCAGGCAAGACCGTCATCCAGCATTTCTACGACGCGCACTACGCGGGCGCCGAGACGGCCCAGACGTTCCCGAAGCAGTGGGCGGCACTCAGGGGCCTGATAGACGACGAGCGCTTCACCCACGTCGCCTTCAAGCTCGAGTACCAGGCCGGCCACTCCATCGTCTGGCGGGACGCTATCAACGAGTTCTATCTCAACAAGTCCGGCATAGCTGATGAGGCTGGTCGTGTCGGCAGCCACACCTGGCGCATCGAAGCAGAGGATATGCAGTTAGACGGATACAAGCCCATAGCAATTGTCCCATTCGAGGCGGCATCGAGCTACACCGCCGTCATGACGACGACCAACACCACAGTCGGGACGGCCTCCGCCACCATAGACTATCCTTCTGGCGTGTATGACGTTGCGGTGAACTACTACGACGGTGTCGGTGGGCAGGCGCGGTACGAGGTCTTTGTGAACGACGAGTCGTTGGGCACGTGGGTGGGCGACCTGGAGTGGAAGCTGGGCCACCAGCAATGGCCGGTGTTCGCTCCCGACGGACACTCTGCGACACGTGTGACGTTCCGAGACGTTCAAGTCCAGCAGGGTGATGTGCTCAAGATCGTCGGGACCCCAGCTGGAACTGAACCAGCACCGCTTGACTATGTGGCGTTTTTACCGGCGGGTGTCGTGGACTAACTATCCTGACACCGTGCTGGTTGAGAATCAGAGTAATAACTATGAATAATCTTGTTTAACGTAGCGAAAGGCGTTATTTGTGAAACGATTTGTTTCGATTACTCCGGATCGTTTCCATTGGACGTTGATCTGTGTAAACGAAGAAAAGGTGTCTTCTGGCACCTCTGTGTGTGGACTAGTACCCAGGTATAAAAATATGAAGGGACTTAAATTTGCAGACTACCATAAGCCATTAATGCCAACACAACAAAACACACACAAAGACCAGACCGCAGTCACCCCTGCACGAGACTCCTATGATGCATTGCTAATCCATGTTCTCGCTGGGGCTTGGAAAGAATTCCGATTTCACCAGTACTCGAGTATTCATGATCACCTCTCTGAGCACCCTAATCCAAGGAGTTTTCCCAAAATCGAAGGTCGAATTGAGGCATTACTGAAGCAGAATAGACCTTGCGTCTCCAGGGATTTTCGGCATTGCAAATTTGAAAGTCGAAGGCCCGCAACAGCTATTAAACAATTGTTGTTCAGTCAATCATTGCACGTTCCAAAATGGCCAGGCGAAGACCATGAGCAAGGGTGACAACTTACCTCAACGAAAATCTTGTTCAGCTCAATGACAGCAAGGGGCTTGCCCAGGCACAGCCAACGACCGTAGCCAAAGGCGAGATCGACCGTCTTCAGCATGTAGCTTCTCCGCTCTTTGTCACACTCCAGGAAGCGTTCCGGGCGGAAAAGATCAGAGTCATCTCCAAAGACCTCGGGGTTATTCAACATCGAGACGTAGTTCGCGTGGATCTCGGTGCCCTCTGGTACGAACTTGCCACAGACTACAGAAGAATATCAGATGTACGGTCTTTGGTATGCCACAGAGAGTCGGTCGAGTCTTGACTTACTGGTGTCACCGCCAGGGGGGACTTTCTTAGCAAATCCGTTGATCACGGGCGGGGTCATCCGCATTCCCTCGTTGATCACAGCTTGCAGATACGGCATCGCCTTAGCCTGGCCATTGGTGATAGGTCGTGAGATCCGGCCGTCCTTGATTCCATCGGCAATGTCTTGCTTCAGCTGCTGGTACACGGTGGGCGATGACAGGATGTGCAGTAGCACGCCACGGATTACAGTGACGCTCGTTTCCGTCCCAGCAGGCATTAAGATGGCAAGGTCCAACTCGCATGATTTTTTATCATGACCCTTTGCAATCCATTCGCCCTGCCGTGTGTTGAAAGACTGTGTTAGTTACAGACTAGATGCTGGCAATGCCGGGCTTTGTTGACATTTTCAACTTACCAACATGTCGGGGTGTTTCTGGCCAGGCTTTGTCTCGTTAGGGTTCTCGAAATGAGAATCCACTGTTTCCCTCATTTCTCTTTTCGAAACGATCAGTTATTTGGAAAGGATGGGCTGGGGCACCAAAGACTCACCTTATGGACCTCCCCATTCCTTCCTTGTCGGTGACCTTTGGAGCAGCCAGCCAGAGCACGAACTTGGAGAAGACGAGCATGCGTAAGAATGGCACCATAGAGACCGAATGGATGAAAGGCAAAGCACTATCCATGGCTGACAAGAAGGTGTAATGATCAGTCTCATCAGCCAGGTCCCCCCAAGGCACACCGAACGCGACGAGTGTGACCAGATCGAGCTGCCACCACCTGATGATCTTGCTGAAGTTGAGCTTGACCCTGTTGCCTGGCACATCCCTTACCTTGCGTCGGATGTAATTGACCAGAGATGCGAGCCGGTCGTCAACAGAGGCCTCAAGGCTGGCCAAGCGCTTGCCAGAGAAGCCGCCAACCAAGTTAGCCTTCCGTTTGTCATGCCGCGCGGTGTCCATCTCGCTCAGCACGCTGTCACCTTCCGGGTGAAGCTTCGCGCTCCCGTACCAGCCAGAGCGGCCGTAGGCGCTGCGCGCAGAGTTTATCTGCCAGAAGGTCTCGGGATCGTAGATCATGATCCCATTGGGGCTGATGCGCACTGCCTTGCCGTATTTCTTCTGGGCGCTGACGATAGCTGTGTCGCAGCGCCCGCGTATAACTGAGAGGAAGGCCCAGAGATAGGAAATGGAGGCTGTAGGCGGGCCGGGGAAATGGCGAAGGCGGCGCCAGGCGAGAAAAGTGGTGGTTACATAGTAGATGAGGAATGAGGCGAAGGCGATTGCCACAAACGCATCCCTCTCCGGTAAGATGCTATACACTTTAGTCGCCAATTTGGAGTCCATGTCTCTAGTCGTTGACGTAGTGGTTCAAGTGTCTAAGTGCTCATCGTAAAAAGGTGTTACAAGCCTCTGGTGCCATGAGGGAGGGGCCTTGATATAATCATCAGGTTAGACAAAGGCGATCGCTAGATACTTCCACATCGTCATGTCTGCCCCGCTAATGCGTGCAACTCACAATACGAACCGGCGATTGCCTGCACGTAACGTCGGGCGTTGTGGATAGCTAGCTTGTGAAAGTTGCATCTGTCATCATGCCGGCCTTCGTCACACAACATGTTTCCCCAAGCTGACGACAGGTTAGCCCCACAAGGTCACTGCCCAAAGACATCGTCACGATAGTAGCGGCTCGCCCCGCACATGAGGATGACAGCCTGGGGTTGCAATATTGTGACACGACAGCACCTCTGGATGCATACCAAGTCTGCAGATTGCAAATCATGAGAAACTTGTGAAATTTGATGGCCTCAAACGGCTATTCTGTGCCGGAACAAGGCTTCCGTGGTTTGCCACGTCCAGTGCTCTGCCAGTCGTGTATCGGTCGGCTGCCAAACGAGGTAGCAAGTGGTCGAGGCGGCTCAGAATGCAATGCAAGTGCATTTGCCGAATTGGTCGATTGCAAGGTTCGTACAACGGGGCAGAATGCTTTTGAAGACGGGAACTTCCGAGCAGACCCTCCCAGGGTCCACAGGATATTGATAACTGGGCATGCCGAGAAGTGTCAACGATCCTTTCCTGACGGCTTTGAGACGGCTTTGAGATCATCGTTGCATTTGGACGCGGTGACAAGTCGCAGTAGGGCGGTCGCACTACACCAATAGGAGGAAGTCTCCACTACTTGATTCCACTGCTACGCGTCGCTTGGGAGTACAAGGTCTATCTTCAATGCTGTCAGCACTTGGCCCATCAGCCCATACCTAGGTATCGATGCTGCAGCACGTTGAACGCGAACATTTCGCAGACCCGCGCTTCCCCGATGCAAAAATGCACTCGGCTGACATCAACCCGACGATTTTGAAGATTGATAATCATCTTCTGCCTCTGCAGTATGCTGACTGATTTCAAGAATGCAACTTCTAGTATGTCGGTAGCCGATATTATTCCGCTCATGCATGAGACTTGTCCCATAATAGGTATGCAATCGTCGCGAGTGATCAACTAGTCAGCTGGTAGGCCTTGATGAGGTGGGATCCAGCCACCGTTTATGTACTCAATGCAGGCATGATTGTCGCCAGTTGCCGGACACTTATCCTCAGAACTCGGTACCTCTCAAAATTAGAGCTCGTATAGCAACAGGATAAAAATATCGCATGAAAGGGAGTGGGGGAGGGAGTGGCAAGGGCTGCAAGTGTCGCTGGACTCAAGTCTTGTAAACCCTTTGCAACACTTCAGCAAATCTATCCGACTATGAGATTAATACAGTTATGTAGGGCGAAAGATTCATGCTGTCAGGATGCCATGAAGCGACAGGCTGGCCATCATCATTCTTATTTAAGTACCACTACTAGATAAACTGGCAGACTGGCCGGAAACGCCCGCCCGCAAATGGGATCCGAATGTTGTTTCAGGTTCAATTTTACCCCTAAGCCAGCAACTGAGCCACCAGTTACCAGCTGTGATCTGGATGCGAGAGCCAAAATCGTGGTTGTTATGTAGCCAAATGTGCCGGGGTCGATGAGTGGCGTCATAATCCTTTGGCAGACTTTGTCTAAAATGGCGAGAACTCCTGAAGTCTCCCACCGCGACGTCGCTGCTGCAACACTCTCTCGCTACTTGATCTCGTTCAGTCATTCAATGGCCCCAGATGGTTGTGACCACATATGAAACTAAGACAGATGGGAAGGACGGTCTAGGTAAGCTCCTGATCTGACACCGCCATAGTATGAAATGGATTTGCTGCTAATGCGAGTCGAAAGGCCTCTTAACAACGTTGGAACGAGCTAGTCCTACTGTTACAGTCACGGGGGCTCTTGAACTCTCAACCATTTCGGATTTGAGTGAGGAGACAGCCATCCCACCCACTTCGACTGCTCAAACCTCGAGCGCAACGCGTACCTCGAGCCCGGGCCCAATCTCAACGTCGACAACCGCACCAAGCCCAACGCAGCTATCCACCGCCTCCATCGTAGGAATAGCGCTGGGCTCCGTCGCCGGAGGAGTCCTGGTTTTAGTATGCCTGCTCTTCGCCTTCGGCTTCCGAGTCCAGTGTGCGAAACGGCGCCGGCATATCACGCCGACAGAGGCACCACAGCTAACAGATGACCATCCTGCTGCAGAGTTGGCAGATTCCGAGTATCTAAAGAAGGTCGAGAGGCTACACAAAGGCACGAAGCCGGAGTTGGAAGGAAGCACGACCCTGGAGTCGCTGTGGGGGCTTTTTTCAGCCAGGCCTCTACGCACAGGCGGTTTACGAGGCGATGCTGCTGAGATCGCGGCCGGACCTTTGAACTCGGTGCCCCATGAACTCCCGGGAGACGGTATGATGCAGCCGCGGAGCGAGGAGCCACGTGATACTCAGAATGCCACGTAAGGCATACTAACATTTGTAAGCTGTCTCAAGGATGTCGTACCCGTCTACTTAGACAGGTCATGTTCCATCTGACAAGATTTATGTGACAAGATTTATTTGACAAGATTTATTCGGGTGCGACACCCGCGCAGGGATGTCGTTGGCTTCGTATTTTGACAAAGTCTCTGCAAATGAAAATACGTCAGACGCTTGGATGACTGGAGGCCAAGGATCTTTGCCAACGCGGGAAGGAAGCTCGCATTGGCGTACAGAAGGAGTCGAGTAAGAACCAGGATTCGTGATTTCATCACGCAACAGTCATAATTTATATTTAGCAAACGGCGCTTGGACATTCATGGGCGGGAGATGGAGCCAAGCGCGAGAAGGGAACCGCAGAATACGTGGTTTATCAAGTCTGGTTTTCTGAAACAAATACCTCATCGTAGTACAGACTGCTATGCTTGTACCACAAAAGGCAATCCCCACTATCAAACAACAGTCCGACGGTGCCGCAGCGTTCTGTATACTGTGTGGCGCTATGGTCTTTCTTGTTATCAAAATCTTGCTGGAGACAGCCCGGCATCATAATTATTAACAGAAAGAGAAGATATGGTTGACCAACTGCGTTGTACGTTTCCATAGTCAAAGCACCTACATGATAAAAATTAGGGGTTCATCTAGCGGGGACGGGACTTCGTGTTGCGTGGCTTGATCTCGAGGTTGTTGAGTGCTTGACTATTGTTCCGATCTTCTAATTGCCACTGATACTTGACTGTGAAGATGTCAAAACGTCTTGGGAACAAAGAAACAATGGAATCAATAATGACCAGGCTGCTGAACTGCTCAGTGTGTCAATCAGTTGCGGTCAGTCCGCTTCTTCCGCCTCAACACCCCTGAACTCAAAGTACCGAGACCACTCCGGATCCCCAAGCAGCCCCCCCGTCAACTCCTTCTCAAACCCAACCAACAGCTCCGGCCCCTCATCAGAGCCCGGGTCGTTGCTCCGAGGCGGATACACAACCTGACACCCAGGGGTGACATGCTCCATAGGCAGCCGGAACGCACACGGCCGCGCGAACCCAAAGTCCGCCCCGGCGACGTCCGTGTCCCGCCAGTCGGTCGTGAAGTTGTACATGGGCGGGAACGAGTCGCACCGCAGGTAGAGCACGGTCTTGTCGCGCACGGGCGCGACGGACTCGAGGGCCGCGTCCAGGCTCTCCTGCGTCGTGCCGTCCGTCATCTGCCGGATGAACCAGGCGAGCCTGCTGAGGGGCGTCGTGCCGTCCGAGCCCGTGATCTCGGCGACGGTCGGCTGCGGCGCGTGCGGGGGTGCCTGCGGCGAGAGGGCGACGCCGAGTACGTTGTGCTGGATGCGGGCTGGGACGGGCGGGTTGCGGAGGCGCTTGCGCATGTTGACCCCTTCGCCCCAGAGGGGTGTTGAGGATGGGTCGGGGTTGTAGATCCTCGCGCGGTGGCGGGAGAGGAGTCTCCAGGTGAAGGCCTGGACGGCGTCGTAGGTTGATATCCAGTATGAGTTGTCTGCTGGGGATGCCAATTTCTTCAGTTCGGCAGCCTTTTGTTCGCCAGGATGGGTTAGCTTCAGGTATTAATACCCTGATGTTTGAGATCCAGTGATGGTCTCACCTTGACTTTTGGCAGATGGAAGAGCAGCCACTGGGACTTCTTATGACCAGGATGTTTCTCTGGTGAGGGCGGTCCATCGACTTGTTGGTCTGCGGGATACTCCGGCTTAGTAAGGCGAGACAAGTCCAGGCAAGCAGGGTCCCAGGTAGGAAAGGCTGTATTGTTCCAGATGGCTGCACAGTTCTCGGCGAGTTGGTGCAGCTCACCGGCCCAGCCCATGACGTCGTTGGCCATATGGTGGTGATGCATCACGAACACGAGACCGCCGCGGATGAAATTGGCCTGGAAAGCCGCGACCTTTGGGTGGGCATCCAGGGAGGCCTCTGGCTTCTCTCCGTAAGTCATAGGAGACACACTATAGTCGGCCATATCACCCAGTGCCTTTGAGACAAAGTTGGCCTTCTCCAGGTCTGCGAATGATGGCCAAGTCTCTTTGTGCTCACCCTGGTCCATCCACTTCGTCACAAACACCACGGTACTATCACGCCGTTTCATGAAGGAGTGCCCCCCCTCGGGGTCCTTCTCAATAGTCCCGCAGAGGTGCCGGGTCTGGCTCAAAGTCTTCTCGAGACCTTTGATTAACAGCTCGGCAACTTTTGGCTTCTCTGAGTCATCTTCAATCTTGAAGAAAACGGCGAAGCTGACATAGACGCAAGCCATGAGATAGTCAAGCGTTGAGAGCTTGTACCTTTCCTCGGAGTCTTGTTGCCACCCTAGCGGGCGAAGGTGGGTGACTTCTTGTTTTACTAATCTCTGGGATGCCATGATGGATGAATCGAGGACTGAGAATGATGAAGGCGGCCTGGCTATGACGGAGACAGTGACCGGAGAGCGAAATTTAACCTCCAGGGACATTCAAAATGAAAAGCGAAAGAAACGTGGCCCGCCGAAAACTGCTAGCCTGAGATTTCTCACGTCCACGAGGATCTTACTTATTATGATTTCTGCTCTGGATCTTCTGCAATTGATAGATCTAACTCATTACTACCCCAATTCTAAGTCCGCTGTGTCTAGGTGCTTGGGTGGGGGTTCATCCCAACACCCGCTTGGGCTCCATTGTGATGGAAGACGCCATGCCTTTGGGAAGGTTCCACCACATATTGTTGGTCCATAGGAATCATGGGTTGCTCCAGAAATGTGGGTGCATGTCTGCAAATGCAACCAACACGGCTCCTTAACTTCCCCCATTGGCTCGCTCGGGTCAAGGCAAGTCGGTTTAAAGCGACGCTGAGTGACGTCAGGATAGAATATCAATCATAAAACGTCGCATATCGGTAGGCATAAGACTAAAGGCAGTAATGAAATGTAGAGGGCACCGAGTGTGTTAATGGTCTTAATCACACGCTAGGACCAGACAACGGGTTGATACCACAGTTCCGTTGCACGTGCTTGTTTACAAGCTGCCAATGGCATTGCGATGTGAAATCCTCGGTACCAGACTGCAGTATCTCAATACTGGTTCTCTCAGCACTACTCTTCATTATATTCATCCTATCATTTGGTGATCTAGTGTGGCATGTTGTTGGAATAGTGACGGTTTATTGTTACACGAAAGCTGTCTGGGTGATCCAAGGACTGTGCTCATATAAAAAGACTTCGATAAGATACTAGGATATGGTCACAATTTTCAACTTTAGAAGTCTTCATCAACTGTACTACTGCCATGTGAGGAAATTGACTCAAAGAAAAAAGCGAACAAACGCAAACAAGACCAGCATTTTGATATCGGTCAATCAAGCATAAAGCATTGGCAGCTGTGAAGCTCGAACTAGATCTTGAGATGTGAATATGTCTTCTGTAATGGCGTAGCATGCAACTCGTTATGGCTCACCTGGGCACATAGAGCCGTGTCTTGGCAGCCTGGGCTTTGGACCAAAGGCTGAAGTTGGATATGCCAGTGCCTTCAGGACGGAAACTATGGGAAATCATGACATGCTAAAGTGTGTGGAGCTTTTGCAAAACCTTACCTTATCATCTCAAATCCGAGTCTGACACAACTCCACACATGTGAGGTCCACATGTGTGTTTTCACGGGCAATGTTAGACCATAAGCATAGGGACTCCAGCCCATGTTGTTTTGGAAAACAATAAAATAGTGTTCACTGTTCTCGGGGCAACTTACCGGACATTTAAATCACTGGGGCTAGGTTATAGGTGAAGACGGTTGGAAGATGGCATTACTTCACTCTTCAATCAGGGAGGCAATTTTCAAAGGGCCACGATCTCCCCAACCCCCCCAATCTTGCCGAGAGTGAATGGAAATTCCACAAGACCTAAGGTGAAAAGCTCACACCCTAAGCTTCGTGTACCAACATCACGAACCTAATAAATCACCTGCATGTGTCTTCGAAGGCCTTCAGACCAAAGGTGCCGCAGTGTTTTCGTCTGCAGACCCGGTCAGTGAATTCAGCTTTGAGCACTGCTGTGGTCTTTCAAGATCAGGCAACATTTTGGCATTTCAAATTTTCAGTGACTAGGCTGCAGTGCAAACGGCCTCGCTCAGTTTCTCGTTTCCCTGCCAAAACCTCGCTCGCCCAACCTTGGACGCCCAACCTTCCAAGGTTGACTGACACTTTGTCGTCTGCCGATATTCCTTCAACCTTCTGCAAATTGTTCCATTTTCAACAAAGCAATCTAACTTCCACCAAGCCGTCGCGCAACGTCGCCCAATTTGAGTCGCAAGCCTCTTGTGAGACCTTCAGAATGGCGCGATACATGGGCGGCCCTCGCTGCCGCCGCGACAAGTTTCGTCGGCGTGCCACCATGCTTCCTCCTGGAACCTTTCGTCAAACCAAACAATACGAGGAGGACGATGAGGGCTGGGAGCAAAGTGAAGATGAAGTCCCTGACTCGGACGACATCGGTAGTAGTTCCCAGGTCAGTTTCCATGTGTCTCAACGCGCTTTCCTCAGCTGACAACAGCTAACGGTGGTTTGTCGCCGCAGGAGCAGCCCACCGTTTTCAAAGGCAAGAACGGTCATGGGGCCGCCTTCGATGACGAAGATGGAAGCGACGGCGACAACGACAGCGACAGCGACAGCGAGTCCAGCAGCTTGGGCTCTGGGTTCGAATACCCATTCCCAGGTCTTCATGGTCGTGAGCAGACGAACAACGCCGTCAGCGACAATGAGCCACGCCTGAAGAGAGCGCGGTCTATGAGCATCCCCATTTATCCTCCCAACCCATTTTCTACCGGCATGCTTACTTACCAGCCGCCCCCGCTGCCCATTTCCTACGGATGGATGGTGCGGGGCACTGTTGAGCACATTGAGGACCTTCACCTCTCCGGAATCCCGGTCTGCAGCAAGGCGGTGCGTTCCAAGACCCAGATCCAGGTCTTGGGAGAGTACACATGGATCGAGACGACTCCAAGCCAAGAGAAGACCTTCGAGCGGTTCCCTGCCATTTATGTCCCAGGTATGTGTCGCCATTGCAGATTGCAGGGCATACAGAGGGAGATAATTACTGACAACAACCTGCGAAGGCAACGCCCGCACCTGGCGCCCCGTCCAGATCGACTCAAGCCTCCACCAGAAAGAGATCCAGTCCATCGTCAACCAGAAGATCCGCGATGACAATGCCCACCGCCAGCCACGATACCCCTTCGAGCCAGCCCTACGCGCCCTCGAGGCCGCCGACAAGGTCACAAGCCTCAGCGAGATCGACATCGTGACCGACACCGACACCCTGACGCAGCTCCTGTCCTTCATAATGGGCGACGCGGCCACCCGCCGGGTTAAGGAGCCCTTCCGTCTCGAGCTCAAGACTGTGCGCAACACCCTGTTCATCCACCCGAGCTACAAGCCCGGAAGCAGCCAGACGGGCCCTCCAAACAAGAAGACACGCCACGATCCCAGCATATCCCCGCCTGACTGGGCCCCCGGCGTGCTGGGCCACATCGGCACCCGCGCCGCGAGGCTGCCCTACAGCGGTGGACACTACCGCCTCGTGCGGTACCGCTTCGGCAACGTTGTACTCGCCGTGAGGGTCAAGGTGGACTTTGTCTACCAGCACCGCAACGCCCCGCGCCAGGCCCAAGTCGACCCACTGAGTGACGTGCAGCCGGTGTTCCTCCCGCGCCAGGAGGGCGACGTGGCACAGATCTGGAAGACCACAGTCAAGCAGTCAGGGCTGGGGACCAGGCCCGCCGCCGCGGGCATCACGTCCGTCAGGTACACGTGGCAGGACCAGAGGATTAGGATGAAGGCGCTGCTGCCGCACCTGTGGTTCTCGCGCACGCCCTTTGTGATCGACTGCAAGGCCAGCTACCCGGACCTGGCCGTTAAGGAGGCCGAGCTGGTCAACGCTCGCCAGTGGTACCGCTGGTTCGAGCGCGGCCACGAGAACAGCCTGCGGCGCCTGGCTGGGCTCCTCAAGCACCTCCAGGGCAGGACGCGCGAGATGGGAGGCGACATCGTGCTCATTGCCGACCCGTCGCCGGTCTACTTCGTACTCCTCAAGCCTATGATCGCAATGCAGGCGCTGCCGGAGGACCTGGTCGTGAAGTTCTGGGGACCTGACACCGAAAAGGAGGAGCGAGAGCGGCTGGCTGAGATGGGCCGAGACAGCACGCCCGAGGATGCGAACAGTGACCTCACCGACCTCAGCTCTACCCCAAGTCTTCCCTCACGGTCAGAGATTCCCAGCGCTGGTCACGGGAAGGCCGGTCGATCGCAGCTTGCAACGCCATCGCCTGACGAACCACAGGCACACAGCGAGGCGGCACCTGGTCACATCCGCGGCGGCAGTGCTAGTACAGGTGGGACGCAGCTTTCCGAAGAGTCGGCCGAAGAGAACGACCCCAACCAGATGGTTATGGACTGGAACAATGCCGTCGAGACCCCTGTGGAACAGTCAATCGAGGAGGGCGGAGCATCAGGATACGAGGCCAGCCCGGCATACAACCTTGAGTCAAGCCTGGACGGAAACCGCTCGTCCTCACAGGATAGCATCATGGCCGGCGAGTCCGCTCAGGAAGCCGGTAACGAGGGCTCGGATAAGGTCCTCGACTCCCTGCTCCTTCAGATGAACCGCCCCAGGGTGAAGCAGGAAAGCCACGAGAGCCTCGTCGCGGTAGCTAGGACCGCAGACGCCGAGGTCCTGCGGGGCCAGCACTCCCTGCTGATGGTGGACCGCCACCTGACCAGCGGTATGCACGAGTCCTCGGATGACGAGTGGCCCCCCAGACCTCCCGTCCACCCCCATGGCCGCATCACCAACGCTGCGCCAGACATGCCCCGCCCGCCGCGCCACGCCCACGGGGACATGGAGCTGCGCAGCATCCGGTCTGGCTCGTTCGTCCCGTCGGCCGAGACGCCGCCCGGGCCGTACAATGCTGATGTCGACTCGGAGGGACACGTCGTGCCCAGAGGTGGCCGGAGGCGTCCTCGCGAGACAGACTCTGATGATGACGACGACGAGGAGGAGGAGCCTTCCCCGGCACATCGCCGCCGCAAATACCATACTTCACATCGCGCAAACGTGACGGCGAGCGGCCGCCCGAGGCTCAGTGATGGGAGACATGGTCAACGGAGCTATATCGAGGTTTCCAACGATGCTGATGCTGAGAATGAGGACGAGGATGAGGATGAAGAGATGGCCACCGACGAACCGGAACAAGTCAGCATCGAGTACGACGACAACAATGACGGCGCGGACGATGAGGGCGCGTGGAACTAGCACGTCGACCCGGCTACGATCGTCCCCGCCGGCCTGGCCGGGCAGGACAGCCACGACTCATACGACGGCGACCTGGACGACGACGATGGCGACCACTTGTCCACCCGCAGTGATGCCCTACCTCCCAGTGATTATCATGATCATGACCTGTACAACGGCCGCAGCCACGCGATCGGCCATCTGACACCCGCCAGCCCCCACCGTTTTCCGCACCAGACGAGCGGCGAGGAATATGAGGATTGGGAAACATTTATTGAGCGATGCATGGGCGGTTTAACTCCGTCTCCGGCTCCGGATCCGGGTCCGGGTCCGGATTTGATATTACCCTCCATTGAGAGCGACCGTTACGAGTCGCGTCCTCGTCGCCGATGATGAAGGTTCCTTGGACGTGCTTTGGTAATGTTGGGGCGTTGGGTTTCCCGCCAGCATGCATGCGGGAGTGCGTTTTTGCGCTTGGATCCTGGCCTCTGTTGATGGCGGGCGATGATTGGAAAAAGAGAAGAAAAGAAAAAAAGTCGCCTTCATTCCTGGATGTGCATCCGCCGGCTGCACCTGGAGGGCGAGTTGGCGGCTGCTGATTTATTCGTTCTTGGCCGGCTGTCCGCCTCTGTTGAAGAGGGCTGTGGTGATTGGTATCCCGGACTGGTTTGGTTTGGTTTGGTTCACTCGCAGGCTGCAGGATTCGGGAACAAAAAGAAAGGAGGTGAAAAAGGAGAAATGGAAGCAGGGCACGAGGGAGAGTCGGACTGTCTTTTGGAGATCTCGCCCAACTCGGGCGGCCGTGTTTATGGGCTTTGGTCACCTTTGTCTATGACCCATCACTCAACGTTCTCCTGCCACGCAACGCATCATTCTTATGTTTGTTTAGTCGGCCTTCAGCTTTTAGCTGTCGGGACAGGCCACGGGATGAGTGGCTTAGTGTATCATAGAATGTAGCAGTCACCGGCACCAATGATGATAGATGAACCACTTTGGCTGTCTCTACTCGAGATTTCGCATCTTACCGTGGAGCACTCATATGTGGGTTGGGTTGTGGGTATAACTATGACCTGCGTGTCCGCTTCTATTGATCACCTCCACCCTCCCTGCATTCTCTTTGACTTCCATTGGCAGAAAATCCCCCTGACTAGCAAATGCCGTCGCCGGCCCAACAAGACCCATCCCCATCATGAAGAACCACCCCCCTTCCCATCCTCAGTCGTGTCCCCAGCCCTCATCACAAACTCCTCCTCCTCCTCCTCCCCCTCCCCGTCCTCCTCACCCTTCGCATCAACCCTAACCCCCTCGGCCGCGCTCCCCAGCCCGCCCCCCTCAGCGCCGTTCCGCGTCTCCATCCCCTCCATCTGCGCGAGGAAGAAGTCCACAACGCCGTGCCGCTCGCCGAAGCTCGCCGAGTCCAGGGGCACGTAGTTCTTGTCGTTGGCCACCCCCGGCGACGCGCCCTCGGCCACGAGCAGCCTGACGAGGTCGAGGTGGCCGCGCTCGGCGGCCCAGTGCAGCGCCGTGTTGCCGAAGGCGTTCTGGGCGTCGAGGAGGAGTTGTTTCTCCTGGCTCGGGCGGGCTGTGAAGTGGGCCAGGATGGACTTTACGATTTCTGGGGGTGGTGTTAGTCTTGGTCATTGTTTTTTTTTTTTTTGTTTCGGTGGAGGGGCAGGGCAGTCGGTCAGGCAGCCCGTCTCCCGCATGAGATGAGTGAGTGGACATGAGGTGAGATGCATGTGCTGTGGCATTCCGTATACGTACCTATGTTGCCGTTGCCCGTTGCCATGTGGAGACATGTGGACTTGCCCTCGTCCCGCGCTGCTAATATGATCTCGGCCGGGGACACGCCCTCGCGCGCCGAGAGCGCCGACAGCGTCTCCTCGAGGTCTGTGAGCTCGCCGGCCCGGGCGAAGTAGATGATGTCGTCGATGTCGTCCTCGCTCAGCTTGGGTGCCATATTTGGTTGATTTGTGGGGCCACCCTTGGGGGTGGTTTCTTGAGAGAGGCTTGGGGCGGTGATTGGCCTGTCTGTTCTGGAGAATGAGAGGGGATGAGATCTGGTGAGATTTGATAAGATGTCACTGGGGAACGTGTCGCCTTGGTCTGGGAGTCACGGGGAAGAATGGCTTTGAAGGGCTGGCTGGCTGCGGTTGATGCAAGTCGTCGCTTAAGGCACATGTGAACTGAGTGAGTGAGAGCCCGTTCAGAAATTTTAGCACCGTAAAATTCGGCCTGTGCTGCTGGATACGGTGCAAACACTGTAAGCTATACTGTCTATCTGGGTACCTGGGTACGTGCATTCGACAGGGATACCGCCGCCGACTGCCGGCTCTAGCTAGGTACCTAGGTAATCTGCTTGAAGGCGCGGTGGTTATCCTATCCACCCGGTATTTATAGGTTAAAAGTAGTATATTATCTATATAACTATATTTACTTTAAAATACTTTAAAACCTAGTTATTTTATATAAAAAAAGCGGTACTTTTATTTATAAGATATTAAAAAGTATATATTACTTTTTTTTAATTTAAAATATTAAATAATAATAAAAATAAAAGTATTTTTTATTTATTAAATAATTTAAAAATATATTTTTTTAAAAGTATTTATTATATTATTTTTTATAAAAAAGAACTATAAATTCAACCTTATAAATCCTTAAGGGAGATTTAAAAGTGAATTCTTTTAGCCTATTAGACTTAAGAATTTCTAGATATTATAAGGGAATTTAAAGTCACTTAAAGATTTTCAACCAATCCAACCCCTAAGGATAACTACCGCGCCTTCAAGCAGTTATTCAACAATAGAAACAACTAGTCAACTTATAACCCTTCAACTTGACCTATGCACCCAGGACATGCGGTTGATTGTAGTTTGTAGTATGAGTACATCGGTTTGCAGTATGAGTACCCTAGGGTACATCAGTTTGCAGTATGAGTCCAGTGGATTCCGGTAAGCTAGCATATATAATAACAACAATATCTTCTCCAGTTTTAGTTTCGAAGATCAGTCTTCAGAGATTTAAATGTAATTAGTTTCAATGGTTTTAAAAGAAATAGTAAATGCACAATCCAAGGGAGACCCTTTTCTTCGATTGGCGAAGCCGACATGTGTCAACTGGTCAATCCCCAGGTCAGCCAATGCTTTTTGAAAGTCAGCTGCATTTTAAATGTTCTGCACGCGATGATTCCTACCAGTAAGCTGCAGTCGGCACCACACTAAAAGCAGACACTGGAGTCGACCAAAGCTTTGTTTCTGAGACCATATTAGACTCTACGTCGACCGGTTGCTGGCCACTGAAAAGCCTGTAGAGTGGCTGACAGAAATCGAGAGACGGTGCTGCAGGCTACACACGGCGAAGCCCATGTGATTGAATGTAATGGCACCGGGTGGAAGTGTTCCCTACCCAAGACTTTGAGCAAAAGCGCGGCTCAAGGACCACCTGAAGCCAGCTCTGGAACTATTGTGTCTACGCTGACTGCGGGTGTCCACACTATTACTACCTAGAAGTAATTACCCTTCACCCTGACTCTTAGCGTTTGCATAGTTCAAGAACAATTTTTTTTTCGTCTTACATATATGGCAATTTCCTCGGGCACCTGCCTGATTGACGTTCCTAGTCATCTTTCCATCCGATTGTTCCCATTTTTTCCTTCCGCACATTCTCCATCTACTGCACTATTCCCGACTGACCCAAACCATCCATCAGTCCTTCAACTCCAAGCTCCCATCGCCAAACATGTATCCAGCCGGTCAACAGCCACCTGCTGGCAACAACACTGGCAGTGGAAGTGGAAGCCAATCGGGGTATGGCGCACAAGATCTTTACTACATTTCCGCCCCGGCATCGCAGACTCCCCTACCGCAAAGCCAACAGAACCCGACCTATTATCCAGCGCCGGGAAACAACTTCCCTCAAGGGCCGATGTATCCACAACCAATGTACACCCAGCCGATGTACCACCCGCCAAACTACCACCCATCAAACTACCACCCGCCAATCTGCCCCCAGCCAAGCAACCATGTTGCGCCCATCCATGGTGGTCACTGGGTCCCAGTTCCAGTCCCGGGCGCTGCGCCTTCCCCTACAGGCGGGCCAGCACTGGCAGGAGGACCTCTGCCGAACGGCAACTGCTTCGCACCCCGACCGCACAACAACAACAACAGCACTCAGCCGCCCATGTCACAGCCTCGTCGAGGACAGAAGCGAAAAGCGCCGTCAGCCTCCCCCCAGTTATCAGCCTCCCGGTTACCAGCCTCCCAACCGACGGCCTTCCAACCGACATCCTCCCATTTACCAACCTCCCAACCGACATCCTCCCAGTTACCAACCTCTCAACCGCCAACCTCCCGACCGAAAGCCTCCCGACCGCCGCCACGGCCGACATGGCGTGACCCGCCCGATGTACTCCCCGAGCAAGATCTGGTCAAGCTCCGACGGGAAACCGACTGGGTGATCGAGCCGAAAGCGCCTTCGGCCCCGTCCGACCAGCACCTCACTTGGGAGGCTGCCGTCCGCAGGATCCGTGAACATCTAGCCAACGCAAAGCCAGGCAAGGTGTTTAGAGAGCTGTGGAAGGTCCGGGAGCTGTGCAACGCCCTGGAGCTCTTCGTCGCCCGCAAGGACCGGCGGCCCCTGAGTTATGCGATGTTAAAGGAGCTCATCTCTGTCCGCTTCGCCCGCCTGGTCGAGGACGACGTCGCCGAGGGGCGCAACGGCAAGGACATCCACTCGGAGCGCGATTGGGCTTTCAACAAGGAGCACTGGTCTAAGGAGATGGATGCAGTCGTGCGGGAGCATGTCAGGGGACGGCACACCTACTATTTCACTGGTGGGAGGTGATGGGTGCTGAGACGTCACTTGGGCTTCACGGCACGAGGGCTCGAAGTTTGCACCAAATAGAGTGTATTTTAAAGAGTAGGGCTGCCTACCTAGGTAAGGAGAAAGAGAAGAAAAGAAGGTTGCACCTCAGGCCTCGGGGCAAGAGGTAATGGTCTGATGGTGTGGCAGCCTTATCGATAAGGGGACCTGCAGGGACCCCTGCAGGGCCCACCTGCCACCCTTGACCCCTGCCCCTAACTGGTGGTATTAGTAGACGACACATCTAGGTAGTGAACTAATTATCATAAGTACTGTAAAGTGTTCAAAGACTGCACCCTGCCAGAACACCCTACCAGCAACGTCCTTGCTATCTACCATGACAGTGGTTGGGTGAGATCAAACATCATACTGAAATGTAGTGCATTTTCTGTATCTCGCAAGCATTTATAAACAGCCCAGATAGATGGCCCTTGTTGAGTCCAGCTCTGTGTGCTGTCACGAGGTGTTGTGCCTTCCGTTCGCTCCCGTTCCGTTTCCTTCCGTTCCATCAGGCAGCTCTCGATCCTCCTTCTCCATCTCCTCCATGAAGCGTAGAGCCGTGTCTGGGCTTACCCCACGGTGAGGCGTGTCCTCTGTACAAGTTGCAACCCGCAACAGTCAGCAAACACGGCGCTATCTTCATGTCTGTTAACTTACTCCAGGAAGGGTGGCGCGCCATGATCTCCTCGTGGGTGCTGTTCATCGCTCGGTCAAACGCCTTTTGGAACAGAGTTGGTGTGTCCTTCTGAGGCGGGTTCTGAGCATCTGGTTGTGCCGGTGCGGCAGGAGCCTCGCGACCATCTGAGGCCGCCTTGGACTTGACGGATGGGGTATTGGCAGACATCAAGGCGGAAATGAGTTCGTTCTGAGACTATGAGACTTTGAACTGGCAAAGTAATTGTGCATGGCGGCGCTGAGCGCAGTGGGCAGGGTTCAAATAAGCCTAGCGGCCTTGGCAGAACGTTGAGGTAAGCAGGACGGCTGCCTCACAGCACAGGCGGTTGGTTCTGAGTTGAGAGCCCAATCCCAAGACCTTCTCAGCCTCCAGAATTCAGGCTGCTAAGCACCGCCCCAACGAAGCATTCACCAAAGTCCCACCCAAGGGAGCTGGCCCTCTCAACCAGATCTCCAGTTGGTTTAGTCTTATGGAATGGGCACAAACGGCGGCTACCCACTGCGGCCAACATGGCACCTTGAATCTCCGCAGCTAGCGAATTATGGCTGATATTTGTCATGGGAGGGACATAGGATAGGCGAAGCTCTCAGGTCTTGCTCAAAATTGTATAATTTCGAATAATACCTGGTGTGTCTAAGCAACCAAGGCAGGGAGAAAGGGTTCGAAATAACGAAGCAGTCAACACCCAAGCATCAGTGCCTTGTGGACTTTTAATCTGATCAGCCACGTTTGGGGGCTGTCACATGTTCTAGGTTGGGCTCGTACATGTGTACGGGAAGTCAGCCTAAAGGATGTTATCCTACACATCCACAGGGTCTTGAAGGAAGCTCTGATTTGAGGTCAGTACGAAGGAAGGTCTGGTCGTGCAGTTACAATATCTTCCACCACCCTCTGCGACCCTCGCCAGGCCCGGCCCTCGCCAAGGTGTCTGTCTTCTGGAAACTAACGGGCAACCTCCGAGGCTGGAAGGTTCACCGGATCCACGAAGCCCACGTAAAACACCCACGGCCCCGTCGGCCGCGCTGGCTAAGGAGTGAGCAGTGCTTCTACTCCGCCAAGCGCATCGATTTTCCACGAGGACCACCTACCGAGCTTCCGCGACAACAGCGGCCCGCCGGCAGAGGCAGAAGCTGCCTAGCCGAGTTCGAGGCGGGCATGGCTGGCATGGCATGATACAGGTGGGTAATTCTTGCCCAGTTTACCGCCAAGGCCTCGGCTCCGCGGCCAGTTGATCTCTTGTTGTGGGCACATGTGCCTGGGCTCGACACTATTTATCACTTGATGTTTGAAAAGGACCTTGGCTTGTTGAAAAGGGGTGGAGGGGGGGGCGCACTGGGTCATGGGGACGATGGGATCATGGCGGCCGACAAGGAGCTCTGCCATGGGCTTGAGAGGCCGGGCCCTGAGCCCGCCCGTATGTGCCAGGGTGATTAAAATAGGCGGGCACTTCCAGAAAGTCCGACTGTGGACGACGTTTGCCCTTGATATCTATCATCAGGAGCTGCCGTGTCCAAGCGGGGCACCAGGATGCTGCTTTTTCACCAATGCCCTTGACAGCATCAACGCCGAAGCGGCGCTGGGACTTGGAGCTTTCTGAGGAGTAAATACATGGTTGGGATGTCTTGGTGGAACCGGCACGATGGGTAACACCAGCGTGCATCTATATCCTTTGGGCGGTGCTGAGGAGGGCCGGCCGGGCAGGGCCGTCTGAGGGCTGAGCCCGGGCTCCTCCAAACATCACCAGGTGTCCAGGGGGTGCCGGGTGCCACTAATAAGTGGCGCAAGGCTGCTTTGTTTGCAGGCCATACAGGGAGAGAAGCTGAAAAGCTACCCCGCCATCATGGCCACTCTTCCTCGAGTTGTAGTCGGGGGCGCGAGGTTGGGGGAGTTATAATGTGTAAAGATGTAAGTCGTCTTGGTATGCCTGCCATCGTCAGAGCTTTTGGTCTAATTCGAGGTGTCAGACTGTTGTCGGGGTGCAGAACCACACCATGTACCACGATGCGGTCCTCAGGAGGGAGCGTTACCTGAGACAGAAAGAGGACATTGTGCCCGAGAGGTGGATGACAGAGGGGCGAGAGGGACTGTGGAAAGTTGCTTCCAATGCCTTTTCTGTTGGCCAGTGCTGGTGTGTTGGTGTCAGCCAAGTGTCGTCATCGCCAACCCTCTCCCTGGAGGGACGGGGACTGATCAGTGGACAAACAGCCTTCCAAAGTTGAGAGAATGGAGGCCAGTAAAAATTTGATATCACTGCTGCGCTCTGCCTGCGGTTCATCGCAGACATTGACCCATCCATGACTGCGGAGGACATGGACGTGTTCAACCAGTTCAGTGCCCAGTTGTCGGCAGACTTTCCAAGGTTTGGTCAGGGTCCACAAGCGGCTCCAGGGCTGTAGGCTGTCAAGGCATCTGTGCCTGTGTGATTCGCTATGCTACCTAGGTACCATCCACCCCAGTTCTTCGACACCAATTACTCCAGAAGGAACTCAATGAATCACAAGGCAGGCCATGTTCCACACCAAACTCCACCCCGAAGAGAACCATGCGCCCCGAATGCAACCTTTCAATACCCATTCCTCCTTCCCAGGTCGGGCCGGGGACTTCACCGAGGTCCCGAATCAGGCCGACTCAGTGGTGGTGGTAGGAGCCTGAGAGTAGGACCCGTCGATCTCGGACGTCAGGGCGGCCGAGTACGTCTGTATCTTCCTGAGCAGGAGCACCTGCCGAGGAGTCGGCTTGGTGTGCTCTCTGCGGGCCTGGAGGGACTTGAGAGTTGCGTAGACCCTCCTGGTCGCAAGGGAAGTTGCGGCCAGGAGGTCTGTGATCTCGTCTCCGGTGGTATTGGTGCTCAGGGCGACTCCTAGTCATAGAGCCATCAGAAAATGTGTGTCAGAAGTGATCAGATTGTTCTTACCAGTCTCGGTGCTGCCGTCCATGACGTTCTTGGCCTTGGTGTCCACCTTGGTCATCCACTCATTCCACAGCTTCTTGACCATCTTGTTGTCAAACCAGGTCTCCTCCACATCGGGCAGCTCGTACGCCTTGAGGCTCTTGTACTTATCCACTGCCAAGGCCAGCTGCCAGGTGGCACGGTCCTGGCCCATGTGCAAGGACTCATGACGTGCGTCTGCCAGGGCTTGAATGATCTCGCGCACACATTCCTGCACCACGGGAAAGTCGTCACCCTCCAGCACGCCACAGGCCTTGCTGACCAGAGCAAAGAGGTTCTGGCGGCCAACAGTGGCCTCAACGTGCTTGAAATGGCAGAAGCACTCCACCAGCACAGTTGCGTTCTTGATCAGCACAAGGTGGGAGATTGCTCGAACCTTCTGGTGGTTGGCGGGGTCGGCTGCCTTGAGCAGCACCTTCTTCATGGACTCGGGGAAAGCACTCGCGGGCATGGGGTCGAAGCCGTCGATGAACATCATGACCTCCTCGTGCTCGCCCTGCTGGATGGGCTTGGGATACTTGCTCTGCAGCATTGCCCTGACCTTCTTGTTCCAAGCTTCAATCTCGGCCTTCTTCTTGTCATCCTCAACCTTCTTGTTGTCAATCTCGACCTTCTTGTTATCAATCTTGACCTTCTTGTTGTCAACCTCAACCTTGGGGGCGCGGTTGAAGATCTGAAAAGTGGTGAGCTCCCATTTGCCAATCATTGGTACAGAGAGGGTGTCATGATATGCAGTGATGACAGAATTATCAGTACTTACATTCACGTAACCACCCTGAATTGCGGGGGCGGGGCTGTCAACAAGGACAAAGTCGTCCACAGCAAAGCTGCCGTCGTCATTGGGGGCCGCCATGTCGGGGTTGGTGATGGCAATCGGCGTGATGTGAGAGATCACACCGCGATGCTTGGTTTGTGGTTGGTGACCAAGGTCGGGGTCGGGGTCGGGGTCGGGGTCGGGGTTGGGATTATTATCCTCAGCCTTTGCTGTTGCAAAGCCAAGGGAAGAAGAGAAGGAGAAGAGAGATACCAACTTCTTACATCAGGCAACTGGTCTCTGAGGGAAGCCTGATGAAAGACGGGAGGTCGGGGTTGAAGAAAGTTTGACGTTGTTGTTCTTCGAAGGATTGACAGAAAGCTCGAGATTGAGGCTGCTGCCTTTTTGTGTCTGAACTCAACCAACTCCAGTCTTTGTCACGTGTTGTGCAAATACATCGGACGATCGGACGGGTGAATGAAGAAAACAACTTCCAAGATTGTGCATTTGGTGAAAGGTGATGCTCTGTAAAGGGCAGCAAGACTGGTTCGAGCCCCTGTCAGTGGGAGAACCCACCCTACAGTCCTCTTTTGGACGAGCTTTAATAGATAACAACTGCAGCCCAGAGACCATGTGCACACTCGATATCCACACGATGGAAAACTTCAGTTTCACAAGTGCCTGCAGTCCTCTGGCAATTATGGAATGCCTCTTGGTAGGCATATTTCCAGACACATAAAGGAGTTTTCCATTGGGGAACATTATGTGACGATGGAAATGAATTTTGTGCCTACTGAGGCGTGACAAAGCAAGATTTGATTCCTCCATGTCCGAGGCTTTTGCCCAGGACACCCACACATTATTCATGATTACCAATCTGGGAAAGATCATTCATCGTTTCCATGTTCCCTGGCCCATCATGGCCTTTTGACCAAGTCGAATCCTGACCTAGGCATCTAAGCCTTGATGGCAGCCTTCTCCAGGTCGCTCAGAGCCTCGATACGCTTGTACTTGGCATCGGAGATGACCTCTGCAGACAGAATCAGTATCATAGTACACAAGACAGAGAGGCAGGGGAAACACTCACCAGCAGTGGCATCACTGGAGAAGTTAGCGCTCCACTCGACGTAGGTGCTTCCAGCATGGGCGCCAGCGGTGACAGCGTGCAGGCGGATGGTGCTCAGGACGCTGGAGTAGGTGAGCTCCGGGCTGGAGGTGATGATGCTGTAGGTGATGGTGTGGTTGATGGACTGCGGGCGTGCACGCATGGCGTTAGCGGGTTTCTCTCACAGCCAGCGACCCAAGCGGACTAGCTGCCATGCCAAGACACATACAGAGTGCTCCTCCTGCTTGACCTCGTAGACGCTGCCGTCCTTGAAGGTCCACCTGACCAGGTCGGCCTCCTCGTTGGCGCCCTTGACAAACTCGGACTTGGTGAGGGCGGTCCAGAACTTGGAGAAGTCCTGCAGCTTGATGAAGTGCCAGACGTGGGAGAGGGGCGCCTTGATGACGACGCTCTCCAGCACAGAGGTGGAGGTGGGGATGTTGGAGGACGACATTTTTGCGTGTGGGTTGGTTGCAGATCTTGTTGGTGTAAGAGGCAGAGATGAACCGAAGACAGACAGCCAGAGAGACAGAATTGGGTTTTTGGTCCGGAAAGGCGTTTGGGCTGGTGAAGGCTGTGAATTTGTTTGTGGGTGGGTCTGAAAAGATGAAGGTCGTGAAGTGGAGAGAGGGAGGGATCAGTTGCTGTCGGCCAGCCAGTCACTGCACTTGCACTTATTTGAGTAGCTCAAATTCTGTTCTGGACCTTCCCGCTTTGCAGCCTGTCGCAAGACCTGCGGGTGGTCAAAGGAAGAGGGTTAAGGTGGGACAAACGTCATACGGGGGTAATCTACGCGCACACACCTTGGGGTGTGCAGCCGAAGCTTCAGTTCAGGGTCCAGCCGTTTCCAAAACGGGACCAATGTCAATAATCAACTGCAGCAACGGGCAGGAACGGCTTGCACTTACCTTACTTCACTGCTTGCAGCCAGCAACCCCAACAAGAAACGGTGCAAGCTCCTGGAAGGAGAGAGACGCATGACAAGCAAGCACAGACTGCAGCTTTCTCAGCTGCCTGCAGGCGGGCAGCCGCAGAGAGCAAATGAGACCACCTCCAATGCATGAGACATGGAAACATGTAACAGCCAAAACCGCACATGATATACCATTCTACTTCCGTGTGATCTTCTTTCCTAAATTCATCCATGTCTTTCGATCTGCCTCTGGGGATCGCCCCCTTCTCGTCAGCACCCAGTGAAACATCCACACCTCTGTCCTCCGGCCAAAGCGGCAACGAGCAATTTGATCAATCGCAGTCTTCGCAATCCTCCAGAATAGTGACCGTCGATTATGGGAGCTCAGGTCGGATCCAGAGATACTTGATCGTTTCCAAGATTGAGGAAATATTTGCGAAAATGATTGATGTCCTCGCTGAAGGGGGCGATACACTCGTTATCCCCTACCGGAGCGGACGATCCCAGGCAGGGGAAGGGGTGCTCAGATTTCCCGGAAGCACAGTGAACGAAGCCATCAAGTTCAGTCAGTTCAGTCAGGGCCAAGCCGTGGAAGGATGTACTCTGACAGTTACCCCTCTGCAGCCCGAATGATGCGAATCATGGAGCTGGCGCGCGAAGCCCTGATGTCTGACCGAATTATCAGCAAGAGGTATGTCCGCGAGATCCCGTCGGAGACACGGATCTGATGATTTTCAGGAACATCTACTACCAGGACCCAGACCTTTTCGTGAACCAGAGGAACGTTGATGCACTGGTTGACAGCCTCGCGTTGACGCTTGGAGTTGGTCGCAACGCTTTGCACATTGTGCGTATGGCTCCTTGACCCAACACTCTGCCAGTACTGACTAAAAGAATTGCTAGGTCGCTGCGTCCAAGGGCCTCATAGCAGGGTCACTCACGTTGACCATGAGAGATGACACGGTCGTTTCCTGCTTGTTCGACCAAGACCCCGGCGAGAGCATTCCTCCCACAGCCATGATCAAGGAGATTGATTTCGGCGACACAAGATGGGTTCTGGTTGTTGAGAAGGAGGTAATTCCTTGATGAGTCCTCGCTACAGAAGTCGGTGCCGTGATCGGCTGACTCCTGGCCAGGCAACCTTTCGCACTCTGGCAGCGTCCCAGTACTGGAGAGACTGCATCCATGGTCAAGGCATCATTATCACTGTAAGACCCCACCGCGCCCGGGTTGGTGATATGGAGTTCGAATGCTCATCTCTCTCCAGGGGAAAGGCTACGCAGACCTGGCCACAATCGAGTTCCTGAGCCTCGTCCATTCGCTACGGCCCCTCATGCCCATCCTGGGCGTCTTCGACTCCGACCCGCACGGCATCCAGATCATGAGAACGTACAAAAATGGGAGTCGGAGGTTGAGTCACGAACAGAATGCTCGCGTGCCGGGGTTGCAATGGATCGGTGTCAGGATAGAAGACGTCCTGCGGGCCGGCCCGCCGGGCGGTGAGGAAGACGGATCACAGAGCTCCTCACTTGGCCAGTCACGCCAGTCAAGCCAGTCATCCTTTGGCCAGTCCAGCCAAGAGTCACAAGGCTCGGCGCTCTTTGGCAAGCAGACACCCCGCGACGCCCAGGTCGACTTGCTGCTAACTCGTGCGCCTTGCAGGGTCGCAGCCAAGTCGACAGAACACAGGCCGAGGTGCACGAAACCCAGCAGACTCGCTGATGCCGCTAACGGCGCAGGACAGGAAGACAGCTCAAGGCATCGTCATGGCCCTGGCTGCGAGGGAGGACGAGCTTGATCATGAAGAGACGGAACAGCTACGGGAGATACAGATGATGCTGCTGCTGAACGTCAAGGCCGAGATCCAAGCCATCGACAACATGGGAGACCTTTCCGATTGGCTGGACGAGAAAATTGGGCTTGCGTGAGTTGGTGCGTGTACGTGGCGTCAATTGGGTGGGGACGCATGTCGTGATATCTGCTGCCACCCTGTTGCCAGGTGCTTGCTCGGTGGGTAGACGGGGACATCAGCTTCGACAAGTGGAATATATTCAGGTCCCACCCAGCATGGACTTACACGTGTAAGTGTCAAGGAGAGTGGCACTTTGAACAGCGAGCGGACGTGCCTGGGATACAGTGCTGACGTCCAAATTGTGTCGACGCTAATAATGCACCCCTGGATGGCAGCTCCCGCCCAGGCCTCAGCCCACTGGCCCTCCAGCCCTCCAGGGAATTGTGGGGTAGGATTCCCGTAGGACGACGTCCCCAATCGTGCCACTAACAGCGTCATTGGCCAATCCCTACAAGCACATGCGGAGGGCAGTCTGTGCGATTACCCCGAGAGCCCGTCCTCCCGTTCCACTGGCGGTCGTCCGATCCAACAAACTTTATCTCTGCAGGACTAGTCGGGACTGGCAGTTCATTACCCCCGGGAAGCACTGAGCCTAACTTTTTTGCGTGCCCTATTGAAACGGCGATCAGGCAGAGGATCTTGCTTGCTGCATGTTGCATCGACAATGGTCACAACTCGAAGTGGTTCGCGCAAGACGCCGTCCGACGAGATACCCCTTCTCAACGGTCACGCGAACGGGAATGTCGATGTGGATGGGTCCAGCAAGCTCAATGGCACCAGCAAGCTCAATGGCACCAGCAAGAAGCGCCACGGCAGCACCAACGGCGTCAATGGCCACACTGACGAGCATGATTCCAAACGGCAGAAGGTCGCAGAACCAGTCGACAGAACAAGATGGCGCATGAAGTCAGACGACGGTCGCCACACCTGGCACTACCTCGACGACGACGCGGCTGTTGCGGAGTGGCCACAGAGCTACGCGGATAAGTGGTACCTGGGTCTTCCTCTCGTTCGTCCACATGTCCATCCACCTGCCCAAGCGCACATGCACAGCGCGCTGACCTGCTCACCCTCTTCCTGCAGAACCTCCCTTCGCTCGAGCCACCCAAGGCCCCAATCGACGCTGTGCGCAACGGCCTGACCTTCTTCGAGCACCTGCAGCTCCCCAGCGGCCACTGGGGCTGCGAATACGGCGGGCCTTCGTTCCTGCTCCCAGGGTATGCAATCACATGGTACGCCACGAAGCAGCACATCCCGGAGATCTACAAGAAGGAGATCAAGAATTATCTCTTTGCTCGCGCCCACCCCGAAGATGGCGGATGGGGTCTACACATTGAGGGCGAGTCGACGGTCCTGGGAACATCGCTCAATTACATCGCACTCAGGATCATGGGCGTCGAGCCAGACCACCCCGTCATGACCAAGGCAAGGGCAACGCTCCATAAGCTCGGAGGTGCGACGCATGCGCCACACTGGGCCAAGTTCTGGATGGCCATTCTGGGCGTTTGCAAATACGAGATGGTCAACCCTGCGCCACCAGAGCTGTGGTTGCTACCGGACTGGGTCCCCATCCACCCCTGGCGCTGGTGGGTTCACATACGGCAAGTGTTCCTGGGCATGTCATACATCTCATCGAAGCAGTGGTACTGCGAGGAAGACGACCTCATCCGCTCGTTGCGGAATGAGGTCTTTGTCGAGCCGTGGGAGAGCATCGACTGGAATGCCCACCGCAACACCATCTCCCCCAAGGACAACTACCTCCCCAAGAGCTGGATCCTCAACTTGGCGAACTGGGCGCTCGTGAATGTGTGGAACCCGTACTTGCGCCCCAACTTCCTCAAGGCCAAGGCAGAGGCATGGGTCTCCGACCTGATAGACATGGAAATGGCCAACACGGACTTTGCGTGCCTTGCCCCTGTCAACCAACCCATGTCCCTCGTGTGCTGCTACATCCGGGACGGGCCCGACTCGTACACCGTGCGGCGGCTCCGCGACCGCATGGAGGATGGCATATTCGTCAACTCGGACGGCATGATGACCTGCGGGACAAATGGCGTGCAGTCGTGGGACACGGCATTCGCGATCCAGGCCGTGGTGAGTTCGGGCCTGGCCAACGACCCCAGGTGGCGGCCCATGCTCAACAAGGCGCTCGAGTTCCTCGACAACCAGCAGATCCGTGAGGAGGTCAAGGACATGGACAAGTGCTACCGGCACCCGCGCAAGGGCGGGTGGGCCTTCAGCACCAAGGTGCAGGGGTACGTGGTCAGCGATTGCGTGTCGGAGGCGCTCAAGAGCGTGATCCTGCTGCAGAAGGAGGCCAAGGGGTACCCGCAGCGGCTCGACGACCGGCGCATCTTCGACGCGGTCGACACCCTGCTGACCTACCAGGACCCCAAGACCGGCGGGTGCGCGTCGTACGAGCGGCCCCGCGGCGGCGAGTGGATGGAGATGCTCAATGCTGCCGAGGTCTTTGGCAACATCATGGTCGAGTACCTGTACCCGGAGTGCACGACGGCCGCGGTGACGACGCTCAAGCTGTTCCAAAAGCACTGGCCCGACTACCGCGCCAAGGAGGTGTCCACCTTTATCGAGCGGGCGGTGCGCTGGATCAAGACGGCGCAGTACGACCACGGCGGGTGGTACGGCAGCTGGGCCATCTGCTTCACGTACGCGACCATGTTTGGGCTGGAGAGCCTGGCGACCATCGGCGAGACGTACGAGAACAGCGAGTCCTCGAGGAGGGGGTGTGAGTTCCTCATCTCCAAGCAGCGCGAGGACGGCGGCTGGAGTGAGCATTACGCGGTATGTCATTGCATCATCCGACCACCCCATATTTTCCAACCTCACTAATCCAGTGAAATCTGGCAGTCATGCGAGACGATGCAGTACGTCGAGCACCCCAGCGGCAGCCAGGTCGTCATGACGGCCTGGTCGCTCATCGGCCTGATGCTGGCCGGGTACCCGGACGTGGAGCCCCTCCGGAGGGGCGCGGCGTTCATCGCGGGCCGGCAGCAGCCGGACGGCGAGTGGAAGCAGGAGGCGGTCGAGGGCGTCTTCAACAAGAGCTGCTGCATCGGGTACCCGAACTACAAGTTCACCTTTACGATCAAGGCGCTGGGCATGTTTGCGCAGCGGTATCCGGATGTGAAGCTTTAGAGGGGGTTTGTAGATATACAGGCATATACATGTAGAGAGATATATACACAGATAGAGAGAGAGAGGCCTTGGATTGGCCGTTTAATGATAATACTTCTGGTTCTGTGACTGTGGCTAGCTAACTACATGCTTTGCTAGGGAGATTGTGTAACACTCCCCGTGACCCCGTGAGGCACTGGCAGGCATGTGGAAGTAGCGTAACGGAGAACGTGGGGGTTCTTGGACACATAATTAGAAATGGCGGCTTGGATGTCCTCGGTGGCTTCTTCAGCAACCACCACTTCCCAGGTTCAATACTGGTGGGTAGGCATAGATAGACCCTGACAATGGTCCCCATGTCGCTCTTTCGCAGTCATCTCTTGATTTGGTTATTGTTTTCACAAATTGCCCAACAGAACATTCCCGGAAAGAGAAAAATTTAAAAAGAGGCCTTCATCATTCATCATCAGTACTACTCAGAGTCCTCGTACAGCCCCATCTCAAGGGCCTTGGCCCTGGCCCTCATGAGATCAATAAGCGGGCTAGACGTCGGCGCGGGCCTCTCCCCCTCCAGCATCGCCGGCGCCCTGACCACGTCGAACTGCTCGCCCTGGCCCTGGCCCTGGCCCACTGCTGCCCGGCTCCCACAGGCAGGACAGTGGCTGTTTTGCTGCGCCGCATCTCCGTCGCCCGCAGCGGGTGACATCTCCTGCCCCTGCCCCTCCCGAGGAAGAGCCTCGTAGCCCCTTGCGGCGTCACCGAGCAGACTAGTATCTGGGGGCCTCGTTTCCAACAGCAAGACGCTGGGTGACGCACAACCGGGCAGCTTTCGTGATCTGTGTCGTGTTAGCTGCTGCAGGTGGTGCTGGTGTTGTCTCTAGCGGCGGGAACGTGACGACGTGTTTGGTCTGGGACACTGATTCCAGCCACTCCGTGGTGCGTAAAGGGTAGGACGACGTATTATTTGGGTAATCGCTGCCGAATGGCGGAGGGGCTGTATGAGTCGACATGTTGACTTCGAAGCCTGGACGGTATGGACACCTGGGCTTGGCTGGGTCTGGCGGTGGCCCCCACATCTTGTGGAGGTGGGTTGAGGGGTTGCCTGCCGTGTAAGAGGGGAGCAGAGCAGAGCAGGCTCGCTGGCTGGGCGGGTGAGAATGTTGTGATTGTTTTGCTTAGATGCCTAGATATGGCACGGGCCGGTGTCCCCTGTAGCTGGAGATGGCCCCTGTTGACCACCCTGGCTGGCCTGTGGGTGCAAAGGCCTTCCCATCTGCTGCGAGAGAAAACCACCTGGGAGGAGGTCAAGAAAAAACGGGTTGGGAGAGTAGTGCCAAACCACCGTCGTCACAGTTCAGGAATACGAGCGCCTGGCCTTGGTGGGTTTCCTGGCCGAGGCCTATGTAGGAACGACTTGGCAACCACGAGGATACCTGGCTGGTATATCATTCTGGGTACAGCAACATTTACCAGTGGGGCGTGACGTGGTTGGCTGTGAGAGTTACCAGGCATGGGGCGGCACTGGAAGAGATCACAAAACATGGACTGTGTTGTTTGGACCTTTGATCATGGAGGCAGAATCGAGTTGCATAGTGGCAGTTCAGAGGAGGACGTGCGGTATGTGTAAGTGAAAATGATAAGTGCTACCTGAATAGGTTCAGTCAATTGCTATTCCTGGCACGGTGCCACCTTTGCAGAATGAGTTGCGCATCTGATGTCTCGGGTTGCTAAGTCGGCCGTACAGAACACGTTTGTGTCTGAATTCTCAGTTCCGGCCAGTCGTTGTTTTGGAATTTGCTCCTCATGGAAGAAAGAGCCTCGTTGCTTGTTGGATACATAGTACCTGGATACCTGGGTAACTAGGTACCTCTGGGTTCTAGAGGCTTCCACTCCAGAGCCGACGGTTCCCAACTAGGCAGGCGGTAAGTCACGGGATCAACATCAGGAAGGCGGTGGTGGAGCGCAAACGGAAAATGTACGGCAGAACTGGGGAGCTCTCCCCCGCAATGGTCCTGGTCCCAAGCCTTAGAAACGAGGGCAGCAGCAGTCTATCAGCCACTTTTGACAGGCAACACTTTCTGCTCTGTTGTCTTTGGACTACTCTCCCTGACCAGCTGTTTGCAATCCCCCTCTTGCCAACTTTAACTGCCACCATCTTTCAACACCGAAAACCACTTTATTCCATCCCCGCCATCCATAATCGACAACTTTCTACCGACCGAGCAGCACCGCAAAGTAGGCCAACATGTCCGCCGAAACATTCCGGGCGGCGGGCTTCAAAGCCATCGAGGAACGAAAATGGAGCGAGGCTATCGACAGCCTTTCCAAGGCCATAGCACAGTCAAAGTCCCCCGCCTGGCTCCTCGCCCGCTCGCAGGCCTACATGGAGACTGGCAAGCTTGACGAGGCCATCGCCGACGCCGACTACGCTTACTGCACCGCCGCCGAGCGGGGCAACGACAAGAGCCGCAAGCAGATGATCGAGGCACAGTACCGCAGGTCCGTCTGCTTCTTCCGCAAGAAGCAGTACGCCAACGCCGACAAGTGTGCCGTCTGGTCCCAGCGCCTCGCCAAGGGGGTCGCCGTGAGCAAGGGCAAGACCGTGGCGCAAGAGGGCGTCAACGAGAAGGGATACTACTTTGCGACCGCCGCCCAGGCCATGGCCGAGGGCGCCAAGAACGAGACCAAGGGCGAGAAGGGCAATGACGACCCGATGGCTAGGCTGTCAGCTATCATGGGAGCGCCGTCGTCGGACAAGACGCCCTATGAGAAGGACTGGAACAAGGCGCAGATCTGGCGGACTCAGGTGCTTCACTTCCTCGAGGCATTGCCCGCGGAGGACCCGGCACGCAAGATCACGGTTGAGTTGACGCCCAAGAAGCCTGATTTGGGAACCGGCGTCCAGCCGCCCAAGATCGACAAGGGCAAGGCCGTGGCGACCACGCCCGAGCCACCAAAGCCGACGCCGGCTCCAGCGCCGGATTACACCACCTTCCGGACACAATTTTACCAGAGCGAAACGTCTATTACCGTGTCATTCATGATGAAGTTTCCCAGCAAGGAAGCGATGGGGCAGGTGGAAGTCCGCTTCCTGGATGGTGGGAAATTCGTAAGTAGCCCGGACATCTGCTGACCGGCGTATGTTGTCTGCCTACTAACCATTCACAGGTGTGTGTCAAGGGCGTACCGCGGCAACCCCCCCTCTTGTTTATCACACCACACGAACGCATCTCTGTTTCAAAGTCGACATGGCGCGCTGCATCGATGAAGTTGGAATTCACTTTTGTGAAAGAGGTTCCCGGCAAGTGGCCCGACTTCGGGACCCAGTCAAGTTCCGTGCCCCCTGCCGTGGCTGTCGAGGCCGAGTCGAGCCTCGCCGGATGGCTAGACTTGCCACCTATCGCCGAGGCTGAAACGATCTCCGCGATGCCAATCACAAAGGAGAAAGTTATGCCCTCCCAGCCGCCTGCCGTGAGCCGGCCTGCAGAGGCCAGGCCCATGCCCACCGCCACCAAAGCACCCGCCTACCCCACGTCATCCAAGTCAGGCCCGAAAGACTGGGACAGCATCGGCAAGGACGACGACGACGAGGATGACGCCAAGGACGTGGACCACTTCTTCAAGCAGCTGTACAAGGGCTCCACGCCGGAGCAGCAGCGCGCCATGATGAAGAGCTACCTCGAGAGCAACGGAACCGCGCTGTCGACGGACTGGAACGAGGTCAGCAAGGGTAAGGTCGAGACGAGCCCGCCCACCGGGATGGAGGAGAAGAAGTGGGGTGCTTAGTCGGCAGGCACCAAGAGGAAAAGGGTTCGATCCTAGAGCAGCGGCGCGCCGCGGTGAAGAGCTACCTAGAGAGCAACTGAATCGGGCTGTCCACGGACTGGATTGAGATTAGCAAGGACAAAGTCGCGACTAACAAAAATCGGGGAGTGGAATGGAAACGAACAAGCGGGGTGCTCGGCTATGCTAGGTGTCTTGCCAAGAAAAGATGAGTCCTGTAGGATACAGAGGCGCGAACCTGTTCAGGACATCGTCCAGCGGCCAGCACATCTAGGTGCCTTAGTCGGCAGCTTGTTATGGGCCATGTTTATGGCCGTTCTGAGTTTATTCTTTCCCCAGCCAGGAGTTTTGGACCGGTAAAATGGAAGGCGTGTGAACTTTCATAGATTGTTTAATCAGTAATTTTGTTCATGTTGAATCTTTCTCTCTGGTGCACCAGAGAGGCTCTGCGTGGTGATCCGCGCCCTTGCCTGGGGAGAAACCCCGAGGTTCTTTGAGTATGATGGGTGACCGCTGATAAAGTTTATTCAAGAGACGCTCGCGCGAGACAACCAGGCCCATCTACCCGAGAATATGAGGGCGCTCGGGCGCAAATCTATACCTCCGTTCTACAATCACAAAGCTGAGGCTCACTCCTTATTATAAGACCTAGACTTCCTGTGCGTCGCCGTCGGCCGGCCCTCCCAGCGCGGGACGTCCTGATGTTGCGGCCCTGCGCGCGCCCCGCCAGCACCACCATTCTGCTGCTCTCGCGCGGCCCAGTCCTTGCCTTCGTTGGCAGCACCAGCCGCCGCCCCATCACCACCGCCGCCGCCGCCTCTTTCACCATCGAGCGACACGACGCTCATGTCGCTCCGCACGCGGAAGCTCTTGCCGCGCCACGTCACGGTCGTCCCCAGCAGCACGGCCCACGTCCATATGGGCAGCGCGAGGAGCTCCCGGCCAAGCCAGGCGGGGACCCACTCGGCCAGCGACCTGGCGTGCCCAGCGCCGCGCGCAAAGAACGGCGTGTCGGCGTCCTCGTCCACGCACGCGCACGAGTGCAGCCGCGCGTGCACGGCGCGGTCGCAGCCCATCCAGATGCCCACGCCCGCGGCCCACAGGGCGGCCGTCGCGCCCCACGTCTGCGGGATGCCGAGGTTCGTGGCGAACCGGGGCAGCGTCGTGGCGGCGTAGGCGAAGTACAGGTTGCACAGGAGGGACTCGACGCCGGGTTCCACGAGGGTCGCGAGGAGGACGGTCCACTTGCGCACGCGGAGCCAGCGGACGCGGCGGGCCCAGTAGGCTGGGACCGGGACCGCGGACACGGGCTGGATTGCTAGGTCGCCTGGGACGAGGGCGTGGTTGCCGAAGGGGCGGGGGGGCTGCGGCTTGGTGGTTGTTGTTGTGGCGGTGGTGGTGTCGGGCGGGATGGGCGCGTTCCACAGCAGGTCGCTGATCAGGTGGTCCTCGCAGATGTAGCTGCTGAAGAAGTCGACGCCGGTGCCGCGGGCGGCGTCGGAGGGGGCGAGGCCGGGGTTGTGGGCGGGCTGGGTGTAGGTGTCGAGGTGGGCCTTGCGGAACATGTTGGACTTGCCGATGACGCAGGGCGCGACGCCGACCGTGTTGATTGCGCTGTAGAACTTGGCGTGGGTGGTCGCCATGAACATCTCGTCCAGGCGGCCGCCGCCTGTGCGCCACGCCCTGGAGAGGAGGAGGCTGCTGCTTGTTGTTGGGTCGTTCTTGTTCTTGTCGTCGTTAATGTCCACGACGAGCGGCAGCTGGTGGACGAGCTTGTAGGGCGTCGTGGTCTTCCCGCCCGGCAGGAGGCCCAGCAGCTTGTCGACCATGCGGCCCGCGACGTCCCTGGGTATCCAGACGTTGCAGTCCATGACCCAGATGAGCGAGTCGGCGGGGGCCTCGCGGTAGGCGCGGCTGATGTTGCGGATCTTGGGGTTGGGCCCCAGCTCGTTGCCGTCGAGGCCCGAGATCAGGGGGTCGTACTCCTCGACGAGCAGGCGCACGTCGTACCCTTTCCCCCTACCACCATTGCTGCTGCTGCCAAAGTCATCGACGATCTTCTCGAGGACCGGGTAGGCAGGGTCGTCCTCGGAGGAGACGCAGAGGTTGACGGTCAGCTTGGACCGCGGGTAGGTCTGGCGGAAGGTGGAGGCGAGGCACTCGTACAGCTGTGGCTCGAGGCCCTTGACGGGGCGGATGACGGTGATGTGGGGGACGAGGTGGTCGGGCAGGGAGGGAGATATTGGCTTTCGGGGCGGGCGGGAGTAGCCTCTGAACCTGTTGGTTTGATTGTTGGTCAGTAACGCATGCAGTTTAATCAGTGGTGGGTAAAACCAATGGTAGCGAGCCTACAGCTGGATTATGCCAATGCTCTGCACGAGGTACACGACTGAGCTCCAGATCAGAGCTGGATATGCGGCATACACCGCCATGTTGGACAGGAGGCACATGTCGAGTTCATGCTCATGCGACAACAGTCTTGGCGACGAGGACCGGCAGAGCAAGAGACAGACAAGGTCGGGAGGGCGGAGCTGGAATGACTATGGCGAGACCATGTCGAGGCGCCTATTTGACTGCCAAGGCATGTATGCAGCAGAATATAGTGCTGGTGGTTGATTATGAGATAGATGGGTTGGTTTGTTTACTAGCCAGTGTTGTACAGAAGAGTCCAAATTTCGGAAAGGCCGGCCAGTCATGTCATTGCATGTGGATGCTTGCAACTCAATTCAGCTGTCACCTCCATGCCCCACCCCCACCACACCACCCAGCGCACACCAACCCGAACCCTTGGCCCACTCCCAGGTACGTACCTGCATACCCGCGGCCTGAGTCAGCGGCATTTTTTGCGTCAAAATGCAAAACTCGGACCTCTGTTTTGAACTCAATCGCAACGTGAAAAAAAAAGTTCAACAGCTCCCGTCAACATGACCACCAGCCGCATCCTGCCCCCGAGCTGAACAACACGCCCAGACTGCGAACCGCCAGCAGTCAACCAGCTCTGCGCTCCCCTCGCCCTTGCTCTCGGTCAAGGACTGTTGAATGGCCTGCACACCTCGGTACGTGTCGGTTCGCCGGGAAGAATGTTCCTCGATACAGTGAGTGAGCCTCGAGCCGATCTTCCTGCTCCTGCCTTTCGTCCGGGCCAGGCATCTTGCCACACGCCCCCATCCCACCTTCCCCTTCTACCCTCATGACCCTCCATCGCGTTGATGACAACCACTATTACACGGTACTTAGAGAGCCTCGTCTCTCGGTGATAGTCCAAAATTAAGACTAACAACGGTATCTGAGCGATAACCCTCACACACGTCTTTTGATCGCATGAGAACCAGAACCATTACTGACCATCTCATATAAAGTCCGACATGACCTGAAGAAATGGCAGAGAATCAGCAACCCACTACAGCGCCTGTGGTTGATGTAGCCCCACCAGGTCATCTGCCTGGGGGAGGGGCTACTCCCACGGCAGACACCTTCACAGGAGAGGCACCACCTGCTGTCTCATCGTCGCCGCCCGCTCGTGCACAGAAAGGCCCGTCCAAGGCAAATCTGCACCAGCTCTACAAGCAGCCTCTTCCGGTCAAGATCTTCCCCTTCCCAACCCTGACCAGTAACCCACTCTCCTACCTCCATCTTGCCATCACTTGGCTGTCTCAGGTCTTGCGACCCCCTCCCGCCGAGCCGTCAGTCGTGCACACGGCCTACTGGGATGCTGAGACGAGGACCATCGCCGTCACCGACGAGGACTCGATGATGGCTCTCTGGCAGCAAGGCTTCTTCGGGAAGGGGAGTCTGAGCCGAAGTGAGCCGAACTGGTTGAAGCGGGAGAAGACCCGGTTGGGCCTAATCAGGGACAAGGTCTCCGAGGTCGAAACCAACAAGCGCCGTGCAGAGCGCAATCGTGTAAAATGGGATCGGGCCAGGGCTGAGCAGGAGGCTCTGGAGCAGAAGCGCCTGGAGGAGGCTGCCCTCGAGGAGGCGCGGCTTGCCGAGGCAGTCTCCCATCCTGGATCTTTGCCCGAGGCCGCGGTGGAAACGCCGGTTTTCAAGGCGGCGGCAGCTCCTACCGGCCCGCTGGAGCTGCTGTCTCTGCCAAACTCGCAGCTGGACCTCGAGTCCCTCCTCACCCGTCTGACTCCACCGCCCGAGGACATCGTCGATAGTGCCGAGGTATCCAAGGCAGGGTCGAGCTCATCTGGAAATGATGATGCTGACTCAAACACCACAACATCGGAACATATGCCGCTGAAGCAAGCCAAGAGCGTCCGCTTCTCGCCTACCGTGGAGTCCACCGAGTTCCTCCACAACGACCCACCCAGCCCCCCTCGTTCAGTCTCGTCTTCGTCTCTCAAACCTCAGACTGTAAACGTGGATGCCGTCAATCCACAGGATCCGACAGCTTCCGACACGGACAAGGTCATTCAGAAACCCACGGACTCTGAGACGGAGCCCGTGATCAACAAGGAACACCTCCAGCTCCTCCCCGAGGAGGCATTGTTCCTGGTCTTTGCTTTCGGGGCGCTCAAGGTCATCGATCCGGCGACCAAAGAGGCGATCGCCCCGGAGGACCTCCTTACCCTCCTCCGCCGCAACTCGTACTTCCCTCCCCGCCTCCCATCACAAACCCTCGAGCCCGACGACCCGTTCCTGATCCACTACGCCGCGTACCACCACTTCCGCTCCCTAGGCTGGGTCCCCCGCGCGGGCATCAAGTTCGGCACCGACTGGCTGCTGTACACGCGCGGCCCCGTCTTCGACCACGCCGAGTACGGCGTCCTGGTCCTGCCCGCGTACTCGGACCCGTACTGGAAGGCCGCGGGGAAGCAGGCCCCGCGCAAGTCGTGGCACTGGCTCATGGGCGTCAACCGCGTGCTGTCTAAGGTTTATAAGAGCGTGCTGCTGGTGTATGTTGACGTCCCGCCGCCGGGCGCGTTCCTGGGGGACGGGTCCCCCCGGGACGGCGGCCTGGCGGAGCTGCTCAAGAAGTACCGCATCCGTGAGCAGCTTGTTAAGAGGTGGTCCGTGAATCGGAATAGGGGCTAGGTCCGGGCCGTGGCTGATATGCACACCGAGCTTGCTCGCTTCGGTATAGCGTTGGTCTTAGTTAGCGGATACGATAAATGCATTGTTCAGTCTGCCACCGTGCTGCAAGGGCCAACCTACTGCGAGACGGCTTCCTGTGACTTGGCTCGATGGAACAACTCACTGTATGGTACTCACCCATGGGCTGCAAACATGCACTGAGGCACCTCCCCAGACCCTAAGTTCCTACAGATTACGTTTCCGCAGGACAGCAGGGCGCCTCACCATAGGAAATCAACCTATAGAAGACCTGCTCCAGAATATCCTCCCGCATGGGGATTCCCCCATGGAATAAGAAAATCCCACAGAACACAATCGTATGGGAGACCCTCCCAGCCCAACACTAGCAAGCCACGCCCGCCGTTCAGGACAGGAAATGCCGGCGGCGATGGATTCAACCCTCGTCATCCTCCCCCAGTCCCCGAGGGCTCCTCAAATCCGCCTCAACAGCCTCCCTCCCACAAGGCAGCCCCCCGTCAGCTACGATACAGCAGTAGGATACAGCAGGGTTGCAGTTGATACACCATGCGTGGCACAAAGCAAACCCACCCACCGCCCACGCACAACAATACAGCCCGCGATGAGCGCAGCACATGAACAAGCCGCAGTGCAATCGGCCGAGTTGAGTCCATCCCGCGCTCGGAGAACGTCCCGCCCTCGGGCTGGTGGGACTCGTCCTCGCGCGGCCTGGCCGGCTCGTGTCTCCGCGCTGATAGACACACTCCCAGGCGATGCTGTCCCGGTCGGGCGGGCGCCCATATCACGAGCATCGGTCGCCTCACTAGGGTCTCGAGACACATCAATGTACGTCCCTAACGTTCATTGTGGAACTCGAGCATACCTTTTATCACAAACCTGACGGCTTAAAATGGACAAGAGGCCGAGATACTCATCCCATCACGATCTTTTCGCTGTTCCTAAGGCTATGACGTGCTTTAGTTGGTACTAGGGACGGTCACTGTAACCCTCATTTACCTACTAAACTATCATCTTTCTAAACCTAACTCATAATAGATTGCAAGTAACAAATATTTTTATAGCATAAGCTATCAGCTATTTGCCCCCTGTCATTGACTCCTCTAAATGCTATCTATCCATCATCCTCTGTTCTTTCCACTCCCGCCATCTTTGAGAAGGAAAGATATGAAAGTCCCAAAAATTGTAAGTGTAATTGCAAACAATGTTGTGGCATTCTGGAGATCCACGTCCATTTTCCCAAACAGGTAGATAAAGGAGAAGGCAATGGAAGGAGAAAAGATGATCAAAGCCCACATACAAACTCTTAAGGCAGACCTCTCTTCCCTCGCGAGGAGACCCCAGAATACTTCCTCATTGTCGCCTTTCTCATCAAAGTAGGAAAGCCTTTGCGGTATCTTCGCCACTGTTTTAGACGGGAAACGACCACGGCGTGCGAATAAGAATCGGACTTTGGAAATAGATTTCTTGAAAATATTTGACGAGTCATCCTGAGTCAATACTGCTTGCGATATTTTCGAACCATCACGATTGTAATATCCCGTGCAGTCGTAGAAGATATGCTTGAAGTGTTCGGGGCTTATGGGGGGGTCTGCGAACAAGGTGTCTCCCGGTTTCGGCTGGAAGTCATACTCCCTAATGTCGGATCCAGGCACTCCAATTCCTCGGTTAGAATAGTGCTCTGCTATGTACTTCTCGAATTTGACAAAGTCACAGTGCGAGAATATGTCGATGCCGAATAGGGATTTCCACCGTCCTCTCAGACGGCAGTAGCCCTGCCTCAATGCGTCAGCAAAGGTTTCGCCGCTATGAAGTTTCGCGTCGATCTGGTGGAGATTCAACTGCGTGGACTTGGCCATGAGGAATATCCACTTCTCACGGGGGCCATCTGGTTCAGAAGCCTTTCCGTCAGACCTGTGCACATTGTCGTCGTCCGTGAAGGCATCGTTCCGCCGCGTTTTCAGGCCCTTTCCTCCCCCTATACTCTGCGAGGAGGCTGGCGACTTGTTGGCTGAAATTTGGTTCCTCGCACTTGACGGCGTTTGCCCGGGGTCTCCCGATTGTCCACTCGAATTAGCTTGTTGCTTGATGAGGGTGGCGAGGAAAGTGCCGAATTCTCGCGGCACATTCTCCGAACGACTTCTTCCGCAATCCTGAAGTTTTCTGAGTAAATGCTTGCTGGTTCGATACACCGGAGATAGGATTTGATTCAACTTACACAAGTCCAGGACATCCGCACTTGCCCCGATCTAAGAGGCCTTTGTGGTTTTGAAAACGGCCACCAGGACCACGACATGTTGGTCAATTCTTCCGTTGCCAGTTTCACGGCATCAAATCTTGAGGTTTGAGGTCTTAAGTCGACTTCTAACTTAGGAGGCTTTGACTCAGAGAGTTCCGCTACGAACGAGGTGAGGCGGCGCTGTAGATCCGAGTCGGCCGAATTGAAATGTGCCAAGAAATACTGGGCAGACTCGAAGAATTCGGGGTGAACAAACTTTTGGAATCGATTCCGAAGACGATGAAAAGCTTGGCTCGAGAGAATCAAACTTCGTAGCTCCGGCGTCCCAAAATCTACAAAGCCATCTAGGTCTGTGTCTAGGCCGGGGGTGAGAGTGTCGCCGTTGTTGACAGCAGCCAGTTGACTCTTCCATTCTCGGAGCTGAGGATCGTTCGTGACAGTGAATTCGAAAAGCCAATCGCCCGATAGCGTGTCACTGTCGGGAAGCTTTAGGCCTGGCGTGTTACCGTTCATCAGGAACGCTCTCTTCATCGGGGATTTGACATTTGCTCCTTGAATCGTGCTCAAAACGACGGTTGAGCTTATGACATATGAATATCTCAGTAGGAACGCTGCTGCTTCAGATTGATCTTTATGTTCTCCGGAAAACTCCATTCCGAATTGTACAAAGACCATGTTGGCGAACCGCTGAAAGCTTGACAGGCTTATGAAGCTGTTTTCCGGCGCAGAGTCTAGGATACTTCGAATTCCGGAGGGCAGCTCTAGGAGCGACATGAAATCTTGGAGCTGCGATTGAAGGCTTGCAGGATTATTCGATTGAGTGATAGAAGAAGCCGCGGTGATATGCGTACGCGAGTTGGGTATGGTCAACTCCTCGGACTCAATGTCGGAGTAAGTGTCCTGGAACTCTTTGGCGTCATGGAAATTCTGGTCGTCTTGAAGCTCTTTGGCATCTTCCTCGTAGACCGTTGGAGCTTTTGAGTCATTTAAATGCATTGAATGCGTTCTTCTCGGTGACGTTCTTTTCGAGAGAGTCTCTTCATGCTGTGACTCACTGTACCGTTCCTCGTCGAGAGCCGAAGTGTCTACGGCGGGAGACACAGATTCCAAAGCTGATCTGTTTCGAATTTCGGAGTCCTGATATTCATCATTGGGTGAAATGTCACGACCCGGTTCCACGAGTTGGATCAGGGCCATCTCTCCTAGATCTCCTCGGTGGCGAGTAGTAGCCCAAGAAGACGCCGGGGTCCTGTACTCCAGGTATCTCAATGACTATATATAGTACGAATGGTTAGTTAAAGGCTCATTTTGAAGAGAATGTCTCCCATACCTGTCTAAAGTCATTATATGACCACATGCGTAAGGCTCCCATGTATTGGATCAACTCGACATCAGCCCAAACTACTGCCATATCTAACAATGACTTTCCGGTGTTGTCTGTTTTGTCAAGACGTGCTCCATATTCCACAAGACTTTTGAAGAAGGTTGTCCCCCCTGGGTTCTTTATCGCATTCATCACAGGTGTGGCACCTGCGTAGTCAGGTAAGTCAAGATCAGCTCCAAATGAACATAGAAGGGTCAAGGCAGCGTGATCGGATGACGAGGCCGGGAATTTCGAAACCAGATAGTTCAATGGTGTCTCGCCAAAGAGCTCGTCCCTCATATTTGGATTTGCACCATTTTTCAAGAGTAACCGGGCGCTCTGAAGGCAGCCTCGAGCCAAAGCGGAGTGTAGTGGTGTCCTTCCAAGCAAGTCTTGGCTGTCGACATCGGCGCCGAGATCCAGCAAGGCTTCTGCCATGCTTGCATCAAACTCTGAAGCGCTCATCACCAAATGGAGAGGCGTGTTTCCAAACTCATCGCGGGAGTCCACGTCGGCTTTCCCCTCCGCAATTTGTGTAAGGATTTCGAAATTCGAGTTTACCACTGCAAGATGAATAGGCGAGTATCCCCACTGCCGAGAACTCTCCTTTGCAATGGACGGTGGTGAACCCTCATAGAGAACGAAATTGGACTGGGGCTGGAACAAGTACAATCCATCATATTCCTGATCAGTCACCAAGTCCTCCAAGAAATGGAGCTCTTCGAGTGTCGCCACGGATCGAAACAAGATTTTGTGGGACGCACAGTTAGGTGCGCAGCTGCGGAGGGCATCAATACTTCGAAGTTATAAAACGGATAGGCATCCTTTAGTGGTATCTTGATTCTTTCATGGATTTCGTGGGCGAAGAAAAGAACATAATATCAGAAATACTTACAAATCTCGCCCTGAACCTTGTTCACCAAATTGCATCATCCGCTTCCCAACCTGGGGCTGAGAACATTCTACTGCATACTGTCATTTTATTAGCATAAATAGGGTAATAGGACCATGAAAGGCTTCAAAACGCTCACAGAAAGAGGATCGACGCTGTAATCCCTTCTTCTGGTCATAAGAACATCACTGGGTGCCCACTCCCCACGGGACAGTGCTTGTGCCAACCATTCCACATTACCGTGCCGTATGGCTCTCCAAATAGGTCGATCTGACTGGGACACCTTGAAAAGTCTGAAAGCGAACGATACGGTGTTTGTTAGTGAGGGGCGAGTCATGAATTCCATGGCATAACCCGCAAGCCATTGCGGGAGCACATAGCGAACACTCCACTGGGAACATCGATCTGAGATTAAGCTGCTCTTGGAGTCGATAGCCCGAAGAGTCACCCAATCATCAACAGTAAGAGACAGATTGCCTAGTAGCAACGGAACCCATTTTGGCTGTCTGTGTACAGTATAAGAGATCTTTGTTTCGCCATCAATTTTGGTATTGCCAATGCGAAGCTTCGTAGGTGCACGTCCGTCCTGGTCGGTCTTACGCGTGATTTCGTCGATCTCCAGCCGGATCTTATCCGCTGTATCCATTGAGGAGTAGTATTGTGCTGTCTCTGATCGGCTGATACTCGCCACTGAAGCCAGCAGTTCCAAATTTCTTTTCATTTCGGTCCCGCTGAGTCTGAGTCAGTACGTGCAGTTCCTTGAGGTTGCATGAGCGAAATCACATTTGAAGTTGGAGCGACACTGTGGCCAGTAGCGAAAGACTAGAGCTGAGGCTCCTCGTCTGCTGTAGTAGTTGCCGGGCTTGATCCTTGTGGCGATTCCGTGTCCATCTGGAGGCAATACGTGAAGAGTTCCTCTTTGCGATGAGTTGTGGTTCTCTCGTGAAAGACGTGATGTTCTCGAGAAGTCGCGTCGCCTGCATACTGGCTTCGTTCAGAGTTGGAGTCAGTGATGCCCTGATCACTGACGCATCGAGAGTTTCGGCTAGTGCGAGTTGTCGTATCTCCTTCAAAAGGGCATTCAGGCCGTTAATCTCGGCAATGAGCTCAGCTATCACGCCCGGGGGTTGCTTGATCTCGCGAAGCTTTGAAATCGATGTATGAACGCCCTGGCTTAGAGTGATAAGCGACGACGTCACCGCTACCAGCCCTACAGCCTCTGCCATGGTGATCTAGCACAAGTTCAGGGTGATGATGTGCTACAAGGTGAATCCACGTAAAGTCTTTCGGCCTTGGAGCAGTTCCTCCTGGTCCGTTCTATGTTCGCTGTGCCTGGGTTGAAACTGGATGCAAGTCAAAACCACTTGAGCTCTTAATTGATGTCAGCCTGGGGTTATTAATGAGCGGGGTTGAAGTGAAGTGGAAAAATGCAGATTGGTCTGGGCACCTGGGCACTCACACAGCAAGAACGATTGGCTGTGGATTGACTGCTGTGCAACCATCCACCACGGAAATAAGTCACGAAGCGAGCCAGATGTACTAATATTATTAACGAGATCTGCGATCCTGTTGGGCTCGCTTCGTCAATGGTCTCGGACGTCCGATGGTGGCCCTTCCAAGTAACCATTCTCTGACCTCCAGACTGGCTGCATGGTTTCAAGGACGCATGGAAACGCTAGGTCAGATATTCTTGATGAGTTGTGCCAGTTTGGCGTCCTGGGTTGCACACCACCACCACGAGAGCGCCGCTTACTAGCTCGGGGTAGAGGGCGGCGATGTGTTGCTTCATTGGTTGGGGCGGGGGTTTTAACTGTGCCTAAGGAAGGCGGTGCGATCCCATGAGTTTCCTCGTTGTATGTGTGTGTATGTGCGGGACCTCGAATCACGGCTTCGCGCACGACAGTCCTTGGCTGATTCGATTGTTATTTGGTCTGGTGCTCGCTTGGGCTCGCCGCTCGAATGCAGAACAGTCGAGGTTCTCTAGTGAATACTGAATCGTGCTGCCCAAGATGTGAAGACGTAGGATGGGTATTCAAGGCTCTCGGTGCAACGAATGCCCGGACCACGGCCTAACCAGTAAGCGTGCGGCCCGAGACGGCCGCCTATGCAATGCTATCGTCCTAGGTTGATTTTCAAATTCAAATTGATCATCGGCGACTTTGATCATAGCAGGGGCCGCTTCTTGTGGCAATGGTCGAACGGGCCCGGAGGAAAGTATCCAAAGCACAAGACATATACAATCGTGGAAAGACACAATGACCAGCTCAGATGTCTTTTGACCAGATACGTGCCGTTTGCAAGTTCTCTTCTGACAATCCACCAAAATCAGGCAGGTCTCCGAGCCTTACCATGTCATCAATGTAAGCTTGCCCAAGGTATCTGAAAGGCTCGTCCGGTTTGAACTCCTTACGCCGATACTCGGCTGATTCGTACGAAGACGAAGCAACCCTTCTTCCAAGTACCACAGGAACAGCCATCCCCAACAACACCCATATCTCGTCGCCACAGGCTGTGTCTTGCGGGCCGAGGCCGCATCGTCCGGAAGATGAAAGGAACAGACGGCGGCAGCGACAAGCGTGCCGCACGGCCTCGAGATATTTCAGATATTGTGGACTCCCTGAGGGTTGTGGGTGATCAAACAGGCCCGCCGTGATAGTCCTGTAGAAAGCCCGCAGCCTGCCATCACGAAGGCCGCTGTCTGCAAGTGCTGTATCGTCCGAAGCACACGCCATACGCAACCATTGCTCGACCACCGACTCCCATCCGCCGCCGTCCAGGTCCTGACTTGTCATCTCATGGCTCGCCATGTCGACGGTGTCCGTCAACCAGCCCTCAAGGGCGATGGCGTAATCATACGGCTGGCCTACCTTCTTACATTCGGCCCTCACCAAACCCCCGCGACAAGCGTCGAACGCGTCCTCCGACCACGGCTGGCCCCCAACCTCATCGCCCAGCCCAGTCCAGAAAAGTGTCATGCTACTCGTGCTGCCGTCCCGCTCCCATCAGGGATACCACTCCCACCGCGAAATTGCCCCCTTCTTATCGTCGGACGTCGAAACCTCGGCGACTGCGATCACCGCGAGGCTCTTGTGGCGGTTGATGAAGTCGATTGCGAAGGACTCCTCCACGATGCTGGGGTGGAGGTCGTACTCAGGCCTGATCTCCGCATCAGGGTCGTCCAGGAGCCCGTAGAAGCCGAACATCTTGTCCACGGCGAGGGACGCCTGCTTGCCACGGAAGGTGAAAGCCCGCTCGAGCAGGGGGTACCGGCGGGCGGTGTGCTGGCGGTAGAGCTGGCGCTCGCGCTTGAGCGCCAGGTACTGTGTGTGCAACGTCCTCGCCAGCTCGGGGCGACTTATCTGGCTCGTGCTCTGGTCTATCACCTGGCAGAATAGGTCAGGGGAGAGAGTGCTTGCCGCACTGGACAACGGTCGAAGAGCCCAGGATGAGTTCTTGGACTGTCCATACCCGCGACCACCAAGGGCTGGAGAGGAGGTATTGGATGGCTTGAGAGTCTCCTGGCTCGAGGGGCATCGAGCGTGCTTGTTCACCCGCACCGCAATCGGCGTCATTATCGCCACTGGCCCGGCGGAAGAGCTTAGCGACGCCCTTTGTATGAAGCCCCAGCCATACGATGACCATATCTGCTCTTTTGTACAGGTCTCCCATGAGCAACACCTGCTGCGATCGTTCGTCGGAGTCTGCCTGGTTGATGCACAGGGTATCAACCCATGAGTCCCGCTCAGCAGTTGGTTTCCGGAGATGTACAAGGCAATTGTACAGGTTCTTGCCGATGGCGTATCTCTTGCCGTCCAGCGTGATGAAGCGCTGGAGTGTGGGATCGCCCCAGACATAGGACAGCGCCTCATACTTTGTCGAGGACCGCTGCTCCGCGTGAACAGAGCACTCCAGCGCTTGGCCTCCGGCCCCGGGGAGAATCCGCAGTACGCGGATCATATCCTTCGGGGAGGGGAGGGGCTCGTATATGGTCTGATTCTGCTCACGCTTCGATCCTTGCTCTGTGTCGTGCACCTCGGTGACGAGATTGCTTGCCGGGTCCGTAAAGATGGCGACCCATGCCTGCGCAAGCCGTCTTCTCACGCCATCCTCAGCGAGCACAGCTACGACGATGGCGGTTGAGAGAGGGGTCTTCACGAGAGAGGGAACACGATGTGACTCCAGTGTTGACCGTAGGAAATATTTGGTAGCCAGAGAACTGCGGTGAACCAGCGCTCGGCTTAGATCCAAGGTAGTGGCTGATAAGGCCACGAGCCACACCTGTTCCCTTACAAAATCCAATGCAGCAAACAGTCTTTGGCGCGGCGACGGTGTTGGACTGGCGTCATTTCGCCATTCACCCTGGAAATATTCGTACTCCAAGTCGACCAGGAGCCCCGACACAGAAACAACAGAATGCCGTATCCGCTCGGCTGCCACCACTCGGACAGCCTTCCAGTCCCGGAAGCCCCGCCACAAGGGTTTCAATGTCCAATCCAAGGTGATGTAAAGCGGCATCAAAAGGACCATGGTGAGCAGGAATCCGTAATAGAGCGCAAAGAAGTAAATCAGGCCGAAGGAAGCCACCCTCTCAGAAACCGACCGGATCAGACGCCACGGTCCGGAGAGGGCCCTGAGCTGCAGGAGGTGTTTCGTCGCCAGTGAGGTGACTTGTCCTCCCGGCATGTCCCCCTGGCTCACCCATACCGCGATCTATAGCGGCAGAGATACGGCGGTTGCATAGATAAGGATGCTGATTTGTATTGTGGGTGCGAATATCATCCAGAGTGTCGCAGCTAGGAGCAGGAAGGCCCCGCGGACGGGAAGGCCTATCGTCGTGAGGGTCTGTGAGATTGATGACATGGCTTCTGGAGGGACCGTCGCTCTTCTTCCGGGCAAGTGAACGCGGAAGTGTGAATCAAATGGTCTCTCGAGTATTGAGATTGGAACAATGGCATTTTCTTCGTCATATTGCCAATTCTTTCGTTGAGAATAACGAGAAGCAGCTTGACCTTGCCAGCTGGACGAGCTGAATAGAGCTGACTGTACTGTAGTGGGCCTGCCCAGTATGCTTTGGGGTTGGTAAATGCTTATCGATAGGTGATACCACTCTTCCTGCTCGTGCTACCATGCTGTTCGGCTGGTAGGTTTCATCGATGCGTGTCGTCAGCCCAGCGGAGTGCATGTCTTGTTGGCTTTGACCACCTGGGCAGCCATCACACATACTCAAATTGCCGTCAGACCCTGGGCTATTCTACAAAAACGATGAAAACGTCATAGCAGGGCTCTGAGACTGAACTATTCTTTTTCACACAAAAATGGAGTCACCCTGCTCTCAGTTCTAGGGCACATTTTGCCAGGCAACGTTGGAATACACGCTGCCCCGGGACCATCCCAAAGGTTAGGCTCGCGGGCTCGCGACTCATCGTACAGATGCTGTGGCTGCGAAGCAGCATCCGACTGGAACTCGTGACAATTACTTGAATAAGTCAACCAGCAAAACCAGATGATCTGAACTTCATGGCCTTTTAGACTCAACCCGAAGAGGCCACGAGAGCCGGCTCAGTTCGCCAAGGAGCACGATCGACGCTGGCTGTTGTCGACTTGCGAGTCAACTCCAATTCATCATTTGTTAGATCGTCCTCATGATGAATCCAACGCTTCTCCCACATTGTTCAAAAACATTTCATGATTTTGTGTGCTGAGTGGCACCTGGGAGCACGGAGCAGATTAGCATACAATAAGCATTGCTCAGCTTCGAGCTCCTGCTGCTCGGCTGAATAGAGTCGCCATGTGTACTGCTTGGCACGTCTTTGGGCTTACATTGCCATTTGTTCGGCTAAGTTAGCTGCTCACCGACCTTTGATATTGTCATGAGCGTTGAGGACGTCACTTCTGTCTTGTCCGCATCAGAAACCGTCCCCAATATACACAAGTAGGCTCGAGATCGACGCGGGCCCTCCATAGACTTGCACGCCATGTTGACAGGGCAATACTTTCCCGCAGAGCAGAGCCAGTTGAGCATACTTTCTGACATTGGCGACCGAAGGGGAACGTTCGGGGCATGATACCTAGGCAGAGACTTGTTAGCCGGGTCTTCGTTGCCTTCGCACGTTGTCATCCTGCTTTTTGCCTCCACTCACCAACTATTTCCAAGTCTGAGTATCTAGGCTGCTTGACCTGCTGCTTATAGGCGACACGCGCCTTGCCCGTATCTTTTGGCAGGCAATTGCAAGTTGAAAATACCCTCCACACTGTTTCTTGCTATCGCAGCTAAGTTGACGACTTCAGGACGCTGGAGGCTGCCAACGCTGTTGGTCAACACTCTTTGTGGCCGGATGGCTCGTTCAGGACAGATGGAGTCCATATTCTGGATTCCAAAGGGTGCCATATTCTCCCACGTCGGTGTGAAGTGGCCCGGTGAACGAAGAATCATGATTCCCCGGGGCATCCAATCCTCTTCCATTGCCACAATGTTGGCTAAGGTCAAATTTATCGGCTCGGCAGGGGTTCAGTCCACGTTGGGCAGGGCAGTGCCCCAGGGTGGAAATGGTCGACGATATTGTCGATACCCTAGGGTAGCGGCGGTAATGCCAACATTTTCTACACTTTGGTCAGATGGTTAGGTCCCGAGACACAGACCAAGATATGCCCAAGATCATAGAGCATAACCTGATACTCACACCCAATACCACTCGCTCGAGCTGCTGCGGGTCTAGGAGGCTGCTGCTGTCGAAGTCGACAGACAAAGGCGCTTCAGATAAATCTGACTGTCAATACCCATGTTTCAAAGGCCAGGTAGTGCTTCAAGGCCGGAGATGGGAAAGGCTCGTCCGGCGACGCATGTTTCGACGTTGATGAGTGGAAGAGGGCGCTCAACTTCATGGACGGGTATTTCCAAACGTGGCCAGCCCCCAGCTCCATATGCCCTCCCAACGCCAACATCACCTGGCACCCGTCACGGCTCCCTAGCATTCAGGCTCGAGATTCTTCCACAATGTAACTTTGAACATTTCGGCATTTGTAGCAGGGCCAACACCACCAACAGGAGTCAACTGGTTACGCCAGAGCAGCAGCCCAACGGTCAATTCTACCTACAGTTGATCAATCTGGTATGGCCTCATTACGTGACCCCTGTGGACGCTGCCGTCGGCATCTCCGTCAACACTGACACGCAGACGTTCCTTTCCGAGTTCGATTACGACCATAGCGTCTCCGCACCAGCAAGAGGAGACACGTTGAACGGCCTGACTCCACAGTCCAACGTTTGTTCCGGCCACCATGTGTTTGTATGAACACGCCAGTGTGGGAGCTGCACAGCTACAACCACAGCGAAACCAACCGCAGGAAGCCTGAGTCGCAGTAGTACCATCGCGGATTCAATGTGCTAGACATATCGACCTCGACCGCATCAAAGTACATCGATCATGTCCTCCTCGCGGAGTCCGGGTTCGCACAGAAAAGCACCGAATATCCCAAGACGGGCTCAGACTTCTTGACCGTATACACGCAGACACTAAAGGAGTTGGTTACTAGGGACAACCGGATCGCCGAGGCAGTGAATAGAGGGCAGTATTTGATTTCTGGAGCGGTCGCTTGGATGTACTACACAAAGGGCGCTTTTCGAGACCAGAACGACTGGTTAGCCCTGTTGAATGACAGTTGGACCGGCTGGAGGAACCAGACAGTACTGGAGGCCCATCGGATCCCCGTGATCGCGGCAACACTTCCGAATGGGCCTCTGAGGCACGTAACATTTGAAGCCATCAACTGGTGTAGTCCTACGCAGCTAGAAGAGCCAACTGAGGTTGACTTATCTAGGTATGCTAGATACCAGGAAAGGAACACCGATCAACCTCGCGGTTGGGTCTGCCCAACCTGCCTTCATATCACATGTGATGCCACTCCTGGGCCCGGTGAGGCGTAGGCAGTTCGTTCTACTGCAATCCGCCGTGTCACTGCGACCATCACCATCACAACGAAGACCATTACTCCGCCATGCGAGCCCTTTGACCGCTCTTGACTCTGCTCTGACTGCACAGCAACGTCTTGCGATCAGGAGACCTCTGCCCCCTTGATTTCGTAGACTTGAGTTTAATTACATTGCGTCATTGTCAGTTTCCTTACTTGCCAGGCCTACTTTTGCCTGGTGGGCAGAGAACACCTAAATTGAGATATCCAAAGCTTGTTCGCGGGGTTTACCCGGAGATCCTGACAAACGTGACCGTTGTCAGTGACAGGCGACCGTAAGGTTATAGCAGCCACCAGAGGGCAGCCCCGATGGAAACAAGATATGACCAGCATACCAGGGCATTTCCCATGCAAACAGCATCCTGGTGGAAACAACAAGCACGTGAAGACAGAGGGCTGCTTTCGTTGCGCATCCCCACGCATATAAAATGTCTATGTGGTGCTTTCATACATGAGGACAGAATCCTCATGAAAACAATCCTTCGTAGAATTTGTTCTATTCGTGAATCCCTTTCTCGCAATAGACTGTATGATACCTTGGTACTCTGCTTGCCGCCACAACGGCCTATTGCCAGAACATGGTGATCTGATCCTTCCAACAGCCTTGCTGGATCCTTGTTTTAGTGTTCTCTATATATCTACGGACCTGACGCGTGGCTTGTTTATCAGTTTGAGAGAGCGGTACGCAAATTAATCACGCAGATAGAGAGAGGAGATAGAGATAAAGCCCCTCTCATCTTGTGACTATGATCGTTTACTTGTTTACTACTGCCTGTGACGCCTCGTCCCCTTCAAGCAGGCTCACCCGGACTGCAGTAGACAGTTACATCTGTCGTGGCCTGTGTGGGGCCTGGAGCACCCTCGATTCATGTTACGTTGAAAGGTGAGTTCAGCGTGTTTGTTTCGGGGCGTATGTTTACTTTCCAGAGTCAGTAGGCAGGCTAGATGCCTCACTGACCGCAGTCGGTAGCAACAGCTCAGAACGATAGGCCCCTTCACCTCGTGAACACACAACCCACGCTTCCGAAACGAGAATACCAATCACTCGCTGCCTGAACGACGATTAACTGCATTCCTGGCTGTCTTTTTAAACCCCGCCTCCCCCCATTTCCACGAAGCACGACACCCACAACCAAACCACCTACCACCTCCCACCTCCCACCTCCTACCCACCACCTACTACCCACCATCTATCACGAACGAAACATCTCATCGACAGTACTGTCGATAGAACGATGTCACCTCCTCGTCGTGGACGCTCATCAAGCAAGCCAGGAAGCATGCCTTCTGATAGGCGCCAACTGGAGGGCATGCCTTCTTACAGGCGCCCTGCCACAAGAACTGCCCCTTCATCGTCGTCGAGCGACCTGTCTGAGATTCCTGTAAGTCGTATCCTCTCCTTCTGTTGCGAGACGTCTAATCTTCTCCCCATCATGACAAACACGCACACCCACCCACCCACATACGCACACATCCACACCACATCCACATCCTCATCCATACACATGCAATCAATCCAGCGGGCGCGAAGCCTCGTCGCTCAGCTACCACCTCCTACCTGGATGACGGCCTCGTGCCCGATGGGTACAATACCGCCAAAGATTCATTCCCCCAAGGTGCTGTTTGCATACCTTGAGACAGCTGGGCAGGGTATCATCCTTCGTTGCCGTTCCCTCCCACGTTGTGGCAGCTTCCACCATGGCAAGGCTGTCGGCATCAATATCCCAATCGAACTACACCATTCTCATTTGCCAATACTGTATTTCATCTTCTTTGCTGCCCCCACAGATTCAAATTGGGCCCAACAGAAATCTAACAGCCCCCGACCAGGACATTCAGGACTCTCCGCAAACTGCTGCTGTGGCCGCAGGCCGTCAAGACCAAGACGTGTCTGCGAGTTCAAGCGACCGTGGAAGTACCCAATCACTTTCTCCTACCCAGCACTCCCAGCGCTGGTTCCCCAGGGGAGCAGATGGAAGAGTTGAGTACCCGAGACGTTCTGCACCCCGCGACGCGGCTCGCGGTGAAGACACGGAGGTCTCTAGCATCCACAGCATACACAGCAGCGACTCCGACAACCAGGACGACAACGAGGAAGACGATGAGGGAGACTCCGACAACGCCTCACCTCATGATGATGCTCGCCATCACGCCGGAGCAGGAGAAGCGAACATGGACGGACAGCCTGGCCCCAGCCGCAAGCGCCAGGCGAGTGTGACCCTTACTGGTCCCACTGAGAAACAGACGAAACAGGGCTCGCGCGAGTCTTGATCCCAGCCGACCGCTGCTCCTGTCGGCCGAACTCCTCTTCCCAACGCCGCTCCTACCCGGCGTACTGCTCGTCCGGCTGGATTTGTTTACCGGCCTGTTACCACTGCGGCGGGAACTCATGTCGAGCGAACTCCTCTTGTTCCACACGGATTTGCTACTCCGCCCCCTCGTCCCACGCGTGGCATGTCCAATACAGGCCCAAGTGTCCCACAGGGTGCGGGTGCTGCCGGTATCCATCTGGACCCCTTCCAGCCCCCGAACAACTTCCCACGTCTTGGCCACGGTCCCATGCAGCCCAGACCTTACAGCACTCCCCAGCCGCAGCACACCGCCCCCAGCCCCGGCCCCAGCCCCGGCGCGCAGCAGAACAACTCCTCCGACACCGAGTCGGAAAAGACCCGCGCCTTCACGACGTGCCTGCACAACGGCCTCGCGTCGGTCTTCCACGGGGTCAGGGGAAGCTGGACCGCCCTCGAGCAGGAGCTTGAGGAGCAGCGCAAGCAGAACGGCATCATGGAGCAGACCCTCGGTCTCTACAAGAGTGACCACGATGAGAACAAGGAGTTGCGCAAGAAGTTGCGCGGTCTGAGTCTCGATATGCGCGAGCAGGAGCTGACAATGTGGAAGAACTTGGACAAGCTGAAGAAGGAGCAGATTGAGTGGTGCAGGCGTAACGAGGAGGCCGATGCGCGCATCCGGGAGCTTGAGCAGCAGGTGGCGGACCAGCGCAGGGAGCTTGATATCTACGAGGAGATCAAGACCGAGGAGGGTGCTGAGGCCTGCGAGGAGTCTGAGGACGATGTGGCTGTCAAGAAGGAGCCCTAGCCCGAGGATGAGGAGGAGCAGGAGTATGAGCAAGAGGACTCGGAGTGATCAGGAGCTGGTAGCTTCCTGTCCGGTGCTGGGTCTGAGCCTGGAGGTTTCATCAGAAACTTCGTCCTTTCATCCCGAGGCACCCATCCGCTTCGTTTCGGGGCGTCTCTTCTGGATGAGAAGGACTGTTCGTTCAGCACTCACCACTACTCAGTCAACGCTCTGGGATCAATCACCCCAGTCTAGCACTTCGCTAGTTTGCTAGTATAGGTTATTTTGTGATGGAAGGTGCCCCGACACGGCTTCCCCTGCCCTGCCACAGGGAGTGGGACATTGTCATAGAAAAGGAAAATAAAAAAGATATGTATTCTTAAAAAATGTTCATCACAGCCCGTGTTACACATATGACACTGGCTCGGAAGATGTATCTACTTGCATACATCTAGTCATGCTGCCAAACGAGACATGTACAGGTAATTCATAAGAGCCTCCGCTAAATACCGCTCCCTCGACCGTAAACTCCGCAGTCCGTCCTCCTGCAAGCACTTCGTCGCCGCTCCCAACACACGGCCCTCATTCTCCCCCCGCGCCGCCTCAAGCAGACCAGCCGCTTTGATTGTGAAACTCTCGCCCTGGACGGGGAAAAGCCGAGGCGCCAGCTCCCTGTCCCCGAGCAGCCGGAGACAAAGGTCCTCAAACAGGTCGTTGGCGACAATGAACCCCAGGACCGACTCGAGCGACCCGAGGTCGGCCCCCAGCTCCCCGGCCGCCGCCGTCGGGTCCCGCCTGAAGGCGTCCTGCGCGCGAGCCACATACTCCATCTCCGCGGTGAGCGACGCCGCGCTCATGTCGAGGTTCTCGCCGTCACCGTCGCCAAAGAGGGGCCTGTCGTAGCCGAGCCCCCTGCGCCACCAGACGTTGCACAGGACCGACGAGACGACGACGGGCGTCAGGATGACATAGCCGTACCACATGGTCGCGGTCATGAGCGAGCCCGCGCCGCCCAGGATGCTGGCCACGCCGACAATGGCCGTGTAGAGCTGCAGGCTGCGCGCACGCCGCCGCACCGCCGCCCACACTGCCGGGTGGCCTCCGAGATGTTCATCCGGGCCCCGTCCCCCCTCCTCCTGCTGCTTCTTATTCCCCCTTTGCTTCAGCGCCGCCGACGCGGCCGCCCAGTGCTGGCCCGCTCTGGCGCAGATGTAGCACGACCACGCGCAGTTGACGAGCGCGTACATGGCCAGCGGCGCGTTGCCCACGTACCCGGACAGCAGGTTGCTAGCGAGCCAGACCTTCCTGTCGGCGCCGCCGATGGCCATCAGCGTGCCGACGCCGATCATGACGGCGCCGCCGCCCAGCAGGAGGTCGAGGCCGAAGCGGCTGATGGCCTCGGTCCCGAGCTCGCGCCAGACGACGTCTATCAGGACGTCGATGCCGCGCACCCGCGACTCGTCCCCTCTTCCTCCTTCTTCTTGCTCCTTCAGCCGCTCCGCCCTCTCGCCGCGGAGCCGCCGGCGCTGCTCGAGCAGCAGGCACACGTTGGGCCAGCTGGCGCGGGCGTCGCGGAAGGCAAAGGCCGACATGGCGAGGGCGAAGACGCCGCCCACGGCCATGAGGACGACGGCGTGCGTGGGCACGGGCACCTCGTTCCACACGTTGGCGGCGAAGTCGCCCGCGTTGGCGAGCTCGAGGAGGCCGACCACGGGCGACAGGCTGTTCCTGAGCCGGGCCTGCCTTGCCGGTGCGAAGGTGCTTTTGGTCTTGCCGAGCCTGATGACGGGGAGCGTGTCCACGGCCGCGCAGAGCCGGGGGTGGCTGTGCAACGGCGGACATGGCGGGCTCGGACCTGAGTGGGTGGTGGTGGTCTTCTCATCTCGTATTATCTGATCGGCCGGGACGCCATCTGCGGCTTCCTTGCAGCAGACTAACGAGTCCGGGTCTTTGCTTATGGCTGCCATCTCCGCAGATTCAGACTTGTGACGATTACCGACGAGACGTAGCCCGGTTTCTCAGGTGAGCAGTTGGGAGAAACTATGCATGGCATCACGAGGAGGACCGCCTCGGAAGTTGCGGTGACTTGGCGGATCTCCCTAAAGGGGTGATCGCCGCAGTCATTCTCCAATAAGAAAGGTGGTCAATCTGTTTTTTACCCAAGAAGGAGAAAGTCCACGCAACCTGTTCGCGACTCCGAAGAGTGGGGACGTGGTTAAAAAAGGCCCGACCAAAGAGTTTGTCAGACCTTGAATTAGTGATGCTGTGTGGGTCTCAAATGCTGCAACGAGCAAGAAAAATCCGGCCTACGTGCTAGTGTCAGGGGTCAGACGGGTCAAAACGGGTAGAAGCCGGATTCCAAGGTTCTACTCCGTAACGAAAGAAGGCCTCAAAATCCCTGCTTCGACTTTTTTGGGGGGCGACTTGGGCGGATTAGTCCCGTGAACGGATTTACAGGGACCGGCCAAGACCTGCCATAGGGCTATCCTGGCGCCAATCTCTCTTCTCACCCACTCCTGGGCGGCGCTGGGCAGTGCCAAGGCAGATCACTTAGATGCGTCTGTAGCTTATTTTGACGCCGAGCAGCCATGCCGGCCTTCGGGCATCCACACACGGAATTTCCGCGTTCAGCCCTCCTGAATTTCTACAAACCGAGCATTCGGTCCCGGTCAGAGGGACCCATCATCCATCTCCATCTTGCTCTGTGAAACAATCCCTTATATTGCTTTGACCGCACACATCAACACTATCTCTAAAAAGGAAGGGCTGAAAACCAATGCCTTCTTCCAGGCTAGAGTCAAGGGCAGCAGACGTTACCAATGTCGGCTAGTGTAGGGAAAGAGTTGGAGGTCGAGGTGTTTCATCAAACCTCACAAATATATAATTCTACGAACTGTCTATCGCATCGAGCTTCATTCCCGTGAAACACCCAAATTAGTCCTGCCGTTACAGCGGACATGAGTGGTGATCAGAGCACCGTTGACCGACCCAGCCTAATTATTACTAACATCGAAGTGAAAGATTTCATGATATCTGTAAATATCCCAAACACTACCGCCGACAACCACTTCGAACAAACCATCCATTACATCATCACACACCTACTCGCTTGAGAGTCCGGGTTGGGATCGTAAAGAGTCGTCGACCAGTGACTCAGAACATCAACGGTGTACAGATCCCATTGCTCCCCGAGCCTCGTCTCTTCAAACCCCTGGAATCTGTCGAGGACCGCTTTGTTGAGTGAAAGATCCTTTCCAGAGGCACGTAAATTCTCCACGTCCCTGGTCGCCTCCCCCACGGCGACCGACACGGGACGGTACGGCACGTTCTCGCACAGGAGCACCATGCTGTTCCAGCAATATTTGAGCCCGTGTGGCTCCCACCATTGCCAATCCGTCTTCCAAACCCCATCCTCAGTGACGGTGTTGTCATGTACACAGCAAATTTCCGGCTTGGAGAACCTTTTTGATTGTGTTTTCGCAGGGTGCAGGACATAGACGGTGTGTCGGTATTTCGTCCTATCGGAAGAAGATTTCGAGGAGCCCATGATGAGATTAAATTTCGTGGGGATCTAACAGTCTAGGCTTGACAGAATGGATTTAGTTGAAGCTTTTGAATGGGTTGCATGGTTCACAATCATCATGCGAGGACTTTGCAAGCGATCACGCCCTTTTATCTACGTTGCCTGTTGTCTAATCAAGTAATGCAAGGGGACTAGGCGCCTCGAACCCAAGCTAGTGCGACTAAGACGAACAGGTGATCACGCGAGCGCCAGCTAACAGCCTTTAAATTCAACTTGGTCTCTAGAGCATGATCGATCCTAATTCTGAGAATTAAGAGACAGGTACCTCAAGTGATGAACCACTAGGCACGCCGCGATCCGCCGTGACTTAGATACCTAGATAGCTTCGCCACAACTTGATTGTTCCGTCACAGCTACCTAGGTAGGCCGGCGCTAACTGGGTAGAATCTGAATCGGGGGTAAACATCAGGAATAGCGAGGCTGATGAACAGCTAACTTCACATCGGCGCTTCCACCACCCTCTTCTCAAGTACCGCCAACAAAGGTCTGCGTGTATCTTCGGCTTCTCCGTGAACCATTCACCAGCCAGAAGCTCCACCACCATAGGGCGCTCCATAGAGTCTACCTATGTAGTTTCATGACTTTCAGCAGAAACTTCCTGTCTGCTGCCGGTAATTACCGAGTACTTGGTGGCGAGTAGTCGGAAGGGCACCAAGGCAGCCGAGCACGGTTGAAATGATTTGCGATTTGTTATGGCGTCAGGATTTCGCCATGATTCGCAGGAAACGGGCCGAAGCAAACATATGTTAGCTTGAAATTAGTCAAGGAATTTCCGTCGTCTGGTGCGAACCCTTTTATTGCGGGGATGAAAGATGGTAATCGCCTCAGTATACGTTAATAAGGCTGTCGATCTGAAATGCTTTCTCAGCGTCAGTGTGGTATCTTCGGTCCTCCCGATGAGGTGGCCGTCCTTCGCGAAGTCGGAGTCTTGAGAGACAACCCCCCCCCCCCAAGCCCCCAAGCTGTATCTCTGAGAATATTTGATTACCCGTAGATCCGCGTTTAGCGAACATGTTGTCCAAATTAACATCCATACGGACTAATCCGTCCTAACACAAGACCTTAAGTGTTATAAGGACGACATTAACACTTAATGTCAGAGCGCGACAAGTACTTCTTATTACACTCATTCAATAGGTATATATCTAGGTACTTCAAGATTATAGTTCACGGCTCTAGAAGGCCTATAACTTCATCGGTTATAGGTTGGATAAAGGGAGTTCTACCTTGTTGTAACTGAAGAATCGATGTCTGAGTTTGTAGTCGCCAATGCCCTGGAACACCGTGGGCACTTTTGACGATGCAATATTGACTTTCAAGATTCCTGGCCCGGGAGATTCAGTCAGTAAGTCAGTCTGTGGCTCAAAGTTTATCAGTCGCAGACAAAGAGCCAGACGCTCACTTGGCGGCGTGAAGAACGCCGCCATCGGCCGACCGACAACTGCCCAGGTGGTTTCTCTTCTATTCCACACATGCCCAGAGGAATATACGGCGCCTTCAAAAATTGATTAAGCAGTTCTGTATTAACATATTTGAACTTATTCAATGCCCAAAGTTTCCATGCCCCCGGTAAACAGTGGTTCAATTGTAGGTCATTGATCGTATCTGATTCCCAATCTACCATCCTCTATCCTCAACCAGCCGCGTAAACTGAAGTCTGTCCTTCGAACAAGGCTCTAGGATTTCCTTCAACACAGGTATCCACCAATCCTCGTGCGAGTGGCAGAGCACCATCGCGAATGCATATTCGACGTAGGTAGGGAAGAAACCACTTCGCTCCCAATCAATGATACCAGTGACAACGCCATCCTGAACCAGGATGTTTCTAGGCGACAGGTCCCCATGAGTCAACACGAAGTCTTTTTTGCGAGACTTCTCCCGCTCCCGCTGCAAGAATTTCTTCCATTTCCATTGAGAAATAGATCCCTTGTTGATGCGGGCCAAACACCAGTTGTCAAACTCTTCTTCTTTTTCAAAGGGGCCGCAGTAATGAATAAAGAGGCGGTCGTAGGTATTACGCACGGGCTGACGGTTGATGCACCCGATGTACGGCTGGGTACAATTACGCATCCGCTGTAGCTGGTCCCGAAGCTGTAATTTGATGCTCGCCTGTGCTTCCTTGCTAAGGCCTAGCCAGACATCGGCAAGAGGCACACCTGGTACCTTGTCGCTGACCATGGCCACTGCGACAGGCTTTGTAGGTCTGTGAGTGTGGATTTCATACCAGCCGAGGACCATGGGTGCCCGAATACCATGGGTTGCAGCATGATGCACTAAAGCAAGATGGCGTGGATCAGCTATCTAGAGAGCGAGAAGGACAGAGCGTCGAAACATTCTGATCTTTGGAGACATACTCATATCGGCCTCAGACTTATCAATGTTGCCTCTTTCAGTGACTTTAACAGCCAAGACTCGTCCGGCTGCTGTTGTGTGCTCCACTACAAGGGGCGCAATGCCCTCGCAGATCCGCTTCCCTTCAACCACAGCATAATATCTGATGCCGCGAAGCTGATCATGGAGGGAAGCGAGGTCTGTGTCTGTGGAGATGGACATGGGAATCGAATCTTCAATGGTTCAAATAGAAATGTGTCAGTGGCTGCTGAAGTTGATGAGGGTGGGCTGAGAGAGGGTCGATGTCGAGACGAGCGATTGGACTCAGAGGGGGCTGGCTTCCGAGCGGTCTACAATGTTGGGCCACGTGACCTATCGTATTTTTACCACTGTTATGGACACTGTATGTTGTTTGGACGCTGGGCCTTCAGCGGTCACCGCTGTATGAAGGCGCCATCTATGTCTTCGGACGTATGCTGAAGAGAAGCGAAAGTAGATAAATAATCCTGATGAGCTACAAACCTTAGTCCACTCCATCTCAACTCTCCTTCACCAACCAATCGGTTCCCACGATCTTTGGCGCGGTGAACTAGCATGCACTGATTGGACTCATCGGGACGTACTCGTCGCTTACCGCACCGGCGAAGCCATTGATCCCGCACTTATATGAAAGACGCAGCATGGACTTGACGCACTTGAAAGTCGCCAATAGGCTTCCGTTAACTATGCCGAGGCCGGACTTGATTCAGGCTAACTACTTCGATCTGTAGAAATTGTGCTACTTATGATTAATCTCAAATGCACAACGGTGCGCTGGCCGTTCGTCCGAGAATTGTTAACTAGCTTGCATCTCAAGGATAGATAATAAGTTACGCAAGACGAGGCAGATTAGTACTGCATGGAAAGAGACCTCGGATGTTCCAAATTGGAGATGCGTGATTTGAGGTTTGCTGCATGCCGATTACTGATCCTGCAGGCACCAGTTGACAATACTCTCTGTATTACGTAGTACATCAACCGCGCCTTTCTCGCATCCTCGGTAACTTAACGATGTTTGTCATCAGCTTCCAGGATATCAGTTCATTTCCGGCATACTTATCGACTTCGATTTGCCACAACTACACAGTTCACAAGAACATAAAATTCGTCAATTTCCATCATGTTCATCCACCTCTTGTTATCATTCCAAGAGAATAACACCGATTTATCTAAGGATTCCAACGACTAGACCAAGCGCCATACCCTGGGTTCGCTTCTATAATCTGACGACATAAGAGAATTCTCAGAGAAGACCACATCTCACACAGCTATGGCAATCAAATTCGCAACGTTCCTCTCCCCTCCCCTTCGAACGACTCTAACATCCCCGGACACCTCGTCACCCGACACAGGCCTCTGGCAACCACTGTCCTGTACCCTGGTCTACACGCCCTCATCTGCGGTCATCATCGACTGCCCAACCACCATCGCCCCTACACGAGACCTGGCAGCGTGGATCAAGGGCAGGCTACCTGAGGGCTGTACCCTAAAACTGTTCCTCACAACACATGCGCATGGCGACCACTTCTTCGGCTTCCCTATTCTGGAGGACAACTTTCCCGGAATCCAGGCCGTGGCTAGCCGCTATGTGATCGAGGGGGTTGATTCCCAGTATGCCCCGGACATGTATGAGGGCGTGTGGAAAGTGGGGTTTCCCGGCCTGGACGAGAGGCGTGTCGTGTTCAAGGCGCTGCCCGAATCGAATGAGATTGATCTGGATGGTAACATCATTAAGATCCATGACATCCAGCATGCCGATACGCACAACTCTTCCTTCGTCCACGTACCAGCCCTCGACCTCGTTGTGGCTGGAGACGTGGCTTACAACGGGGACTGTTACCAATACCTCGCTGAAGCGAATAGCGCAGAGAGGCGGGCACAATGGATTACGGCGATCTCTGAGATCATTGCCTTAGAGCCAAAGATAGTGATCCCTGGACACTCGTTCCACATCCGCTCCGATCCGGACGCGGGATACGCCAAGACTCTCCTGGAGAGCAATGTCGCCTACATCCGGGGCTTTGAGGAGGAGCTTCAGAAGGCCGCCAACGCGAAAGAGCTGTTTGAGTCGATGCAGAAGCGATTCAAGCGGTGGAATCTTTGGATCTTGAACGAAAGCTGCAAGGCTGCTTTCCCAGGGGGCGCCTAGTGTCAGCGAGTTGGGAGCTCGCTACAGCAATGCCATAGCATCAGGGCTATGATTGTGGCAGACAGATGTACACGATAGGAAATATTCGAAGTTATTTGATCTTGACCTTTCTACGCGAATGATCTTGTCAGTAAAATCCCTGTTGTGATATGCGTCGTGAAGGTTGGTTCGTCACCGAACGACCACTCAATAGAGTACCGCGGCATCCAGGGACATGACAAGCGGCTTGCTCGATCGAGCAAGTGCTCAATAGAAACACTCTGAGCCCAAGATGTCGGACACATAACACGTCTCGTGTGAATATACAAATAATTATCTATGTTTAAAATGTCAAGGGCTGCTTTTATCATGAATCCTAGATCCACCCGGGCCATATGCGACCGATGCTGCATTACCCGCTATATATGCAAGAACAATGGTGATAGCTTTAGCTCCTCCTCCTGATGCGGCTCGTGACCCTCTGCTTCCACTGCTCCAAGGCAATCGTAGCAAACACAGTCACGCCCTTATCCTTCTTCCAGTCCGAATACCGCTGTGCGGCAGGCGAGCCACCCAGACGCACTCCTGCCGAGGCCGCCAGTCTCAAAGGCCTCAGCCCAGACTTCCCCGACCTCGCCTGTGTGCTCCCAAAGATGTATCGTGGTGCGAAGCTGCGGCGTGGTACCGGCACGACAGTGACAGTGCTCGATGCGGGAACCACGGCGGCGCAGGTATTATCGATTGATTGTTCTTTCCCCCACGACGCGTACACTGCCGGCCAAGCTCCTGTCAGAACAACCATGATCCTCTCAAATGTGGGGAGATCACGAGGCTTTTGACTCACCCTTGCGTACACTCGCTGCCCCGCCAAGGAGGCTGGCAACGAACTTGGCCGCGAGCCTCGCTCCGGCCCTCATGCACACGACGGCGATGCGTATTGCCGCATCGATTACGACACCAGTTACGACGTCGATGGTCAGGCCGACGACTACTGCGATCCCGCACGCTATGACGGCCACGGCCGCGACGGCGGCCACGGCGCCGATCCCAGCCCCGATTGCAAAGTCCGTCAGGAGGACTCCGGCGCGGGAGGAGCTCGGCTTGTGTGTGAGGCCGTGGATGAGGTGCTCGCTTGCCCTCCGGCGCGCGCGGTAGTACCGGCCCCAGGTCGGGATCAGGGCGTTAGGGTCGGCGTCTATGGCGTTGATGGGCTGTGGGAAAGGCGTGGAGAAGGTTCGTAGGCCGGGGGCTTGGTTGATGGCGTCTAGGAACATTTCTGGACTTGAGTTAATGATATGGGGCGGAGCTTGGATATGTGCCAGTTATGGGTGCCAATTCCGAGGCTGCTGTTGTGCAGGCATCGAGGTGCCGGTTGTATTCATGAGTGCTGTGAGAATGCTCGACGACGTGTCGACTTTTGGTGCCGCGATGGATATATTTCAACGGGTCTGGCCCGGCGAGGTCTCCGCACAGCTACAGCGGGGTGAGAGTTTTTGATTGTCCTCGGCGTGCGTTGGGACACCGAGATAGAGTTCCGCACCCGTATCACCTGAACATTCGCCGACGTGACGGGGATTCAAGTGTTTCTCGACGTGGATCTGCCTTCGCTTCCCCGTCTCCTCAGTCTGAGAGCTGCCAGCAGATTTGGGACGAACAAACGGGTTAGAGTCGGAGCGTTTCGGAATAGGTCCCCCTGCTGCAACGCCCGCCCTGCAGATAAACTCTAATTCTGAGGACTGTCGTGATTCCTCACTTTTCCATTAGTATTCGGGAAGAGAAACAGACTTATGCAAGTCGAATTCGCCTTCCGGAGAATTGGTAGAGCAAATAAAATCACAATCCATACACCAATTACACTGTGTCCTGTACGCGGTGCTGGCTGAACGGCAGCATTTTCGGTACTGGGGAAAATGGTCAAACCCCGTTGCTTGGCGTCCCACTGGCAGTGCAATAACATAGCCTTGCGCATGGTGGTGACAAGTCCTGAGAGATGGCTTCATATTGAGCTCCCGCACTTTTCTGTTATTGTCTAGCAGCTACTTGAAATATTCTGTACTCGAAAGCTTTTGTTTTTTGAAATAGACAACGGAAGCATGTACACGCAGCACAATAGTGTATGTGAGAAAGGACCGAGGCACGCTGTAGCTGTATGAAATGCGAGACGTCTGAACTTGACGAGCATTCGGGCCTCCTCTCAGATGGGGTATGAATCAATCGTGATGACAAGCAGAACTTTGCTGAATGCGCCCCCTCAGCACCGCACCAATGACCAATGAGCAGAGACCAGGCCAGACCGGACCAGACCAACCTTGGAAGTCAAGCCATGGTGAAGTCAATACAGCTCATGTAGGTCTGGTCCGCCTCCCTGCTGTCCCACCACCACTGCACCGCGCACTTGCCGACCTCGCCACACGGCCCCGCCACGTCAGGCATCGTGATCTCAAAGTCGGTGTTGTTCTTGGCAACGCCCGTGCTCGTGCTGGCATAGTTCTGGAACTCGATCATGGGCTGCCCGATGACCGTGTTGGTCGCCAGGTCGATCACGCTCACGTTGGCGTCGCCCGTGTGGGGCGCCCGGATGTCAACCTTCATCTGCACGGTCTGGCCCGCCGTGAACGTCTGCACGTTGGCCGTGTTGTCTGCGAGCTGGTACCCCTTGCACATGAAGAACTGACACGACGTCGCGTTGAAGTCCTTCTGCGAGGCGGCGTTCTGCTCGAGCTGCTGCTGGTTCCCATAGGGGTCGCCCTTCTGGTTGTTGAACGGCTGCTCGCCGCAGGCGGTCTTGAAGGCGTCGCCGACTTGTCGAGCGGGAGGGGACGTCACGATGCCGTGGCCTGCGGCGAGGCCGATGATGGCTGTGAGGACTGCGACGGACTTCATTGTGGTTAGGTTCAGAAGATTTATTTTAAGAAGCGAAAGTATAGTTGGTGTAACGTGGGTTGAAGGAGGGTGAAGGGTCGGTAGACTTTTGGACTTGGATGAAGTCGTGATGATCAGTTTTGAATAAATGAGTGTTGTCAAGCAGCAGAACTGGGACGAACGAGTAGTATTGTGATGGAAAACTGTCTCTCACCTAGTACGAAAGGGACTGTTACATCGAGGGCGGTATTGGCGAGGGGGGATTCTTTATACCATGCGGCTCACCAAGCCACCCATCCCTTCTTCTCAACGTCCACTTTCCCTCTTCGGGGTTGTCTTTCGAAATGGGCGAGGAAGATCGTGGAGGCATAATAGCCCACCGGAACGGGATATAGGGTCCGTGTGTTGCGATGAAAAAAGGGACTACCAAGCTTCGATCCCATTGCCAAATCAGATATCAGACGATGAGTCTTTGCATGGACCGGTGGTCCGAACCATGGTCGAGAGGGATGCTTCTCCCTTGTATTACTCGTGTTTTGTAAGCCGAGTTTCCTCCAGCCTTGGCAGAGGCAAACCGCCGCATAGGGCGGCGGCATCACGGAACCTAATAGATCTGGCGCCCTGCGGGGCGGGAGGCTGCAATGCTTGGTGTGACGATCCAGTTCTTGAGGGAAGATCAGTGTGGTGATCATGGATTGCGAGAGGTCGATCTTCGCATGGATAGGCACTCTCGAGGCTTATTCTTCAGTGTCAGCCGGCATGGACCCTGCCCCGTCCGCTTGGGAGCGTTGCGGCAGACAAGCTCCCACAATGAAACACCAGGGGCGCGGTTTCATGTTGCTCCCGCAATCCCGATTGACAGCAGCCTGCACCTCGCATGCGGGTCCCAAAGGAGCTAACTGATGCCCGCATTGGCAATAAGAGCTCTGCTATGGCGAGGGTTCAAGCGCGCCTTGCTGTGTTTACGTCAGTGCGAGCGGCTGTGGCCCCGGCGCGGCGCGTCTTGTCCTATTTCTTCCCCCTGCCGTGGTTCTGGCGAGGATTATCTAGTCTGCTATAATATTTTCAGCTCGATGTGGCACCTGCAGGCTGCCAGATTGACAGCAGCAGCCCATCTGTCTTTCATTTCCAAGACTGTTGTTTCTTGGGCCAAGCTGGGACCCATGCTGAAACGCACTGGCAGGGCTCGGCAGATTCGGAATTGACCACCGAATAGTTTGTGGTGAGCATTCAACAGCTTGTTCTGGCCACATGCGACCGGAGATAGTATACTCCTGTAGACCTAGACCTCGGCAATGTATGAGTTGCAGTATCAATTACCAACTACAGTTAATCAAAATTCAAAATGTTGTCGCGCGCGTCTGTGTGACGCAAAAATATGAGATTGGGGCAAGTCTCGGGTGCTCTGGTCTGTGACAAGATTTGAGTTGGAAAGGGACAGAATATGACATGAAGATGGCTGAAATAGCTTCGGTGGTAGAAAAGCTTCCATCACAGTCGGCACGAAGGCCATGCCATATTTACTTTACAATACATCTCACAGACCAATGATGGCGCGAATGGGAAGCGAAAGAAGGCAGCGCATGCAGTATTATGAATTTTCCCGAACTTATCAATTAAATGTCTTTACCAGCTCTTCATACCCACTACTTACATATGTAGGTAGAAACATCTGGGAATTCTACGCTTAGGCATCGTGTTTCTGTCCAGTAGCTGGGTTTCCCTTGGCTCTCTCCCGAAAGGCCGAGGCCAGCCTCCGCAGGATGCTCGGCCCCTTGTTAATATGACAGTAACTGCATCGCAGATGACGGCACTGCTTGTTATCGCAATCCAGATATTTCAGCGACGTGACGGTCTTACATTTGCAACAGGACCATCCGGGACCCACCATCCCGGACTTTGCTTTCCTATCAGAACTATCAGTCTGTGCAGGCATTATGTAGATGATAATGTCTTCTTATTCCCTGGTCTGGGTGAGAAGGTTGGATAGGAAAGTTGGACGGGTATAATTTGAAGTGGCTTGTCAAGTACTGAGAGAGGCAGACTGTGTTACTGTGGGGAGGCTCTTGCGCGTTTATAACGTTGCTAACCTCCTTTTGAAATACAAGCAACAATAAAGGTGGGCGGTACTGCAAAGCCTTGTACGAACAATGACTTTATCTCAAAGGAACCACGGAGTCCAATGCCTGTAGATAAGGCTTGCCACCAGTGGGCGTGCCGTGGGTCGTCCGGAAATTATGACGTACACATCTCCATTGCAGAGGACTACAAAATTATAGACACATTTGAGAACCATTTATAAATATGAGGGCTGTTTGGAACCAGATCAATTATAGTGCATCATTATGAGTCAAAACTTTTACACTGACTACCTAGGTATGTGCTGGGGATTCCAGGAAGGATCGTAACTTTAGAAACAGCACCCGCAAAATTACTTAGACAAATCCGACCTTGCGTCCCTTATCTACTCTTGACCCGTTCTCTGAATGCAGATGCTAGCCTTGTGAGCAAGCCCGGGCCCCTGTTGATGGGACTGCCACACTGACATCTGACACGACGACACTGTTGGCAGTTGAGACACTTGAGGCTTGTAATTGTTCCGCAATAACAACACGTCCATACTCCACAAACAGGTTTGGCAAGCTTGGCCTTGCTCGCACGTGTCTCTGGCTGGGTTGGCATTTTGGGAACGGATCGGCTTCTTTGGGGTGGTTCGGAACTTCGGCAGAGCCAAGGAAATGGACATAAGGAGTTGGTCAAATGAACAACCCCAAGTACAATGGTATGGTGAGACTCCTGTAGACTTATGAATCTGTTGGAAGTTCCTTTCAGGGTGTGTGGGTAACAATGGTGTTATACTACGAAACGTCATGCGAGGTCAACATAGTGTTATCCAAACAAAGCCAGAGCACAAAGCGGAGGCCATCTAGTGGGTATGGTCTGCTTTTGTCACTGCGTCGTATACCCTTCGATCACTACACAGAAGTGTACCATATTCTTATTCCCGTTCAATGGCTTTTCAGCGTTTCTGCCACCACTGTCCTTTCCAGCCACCCATTATTGTCGGGTGATTCACTTGTAAGCTTGTTCAGAGGCATCAAACCAGTAGCCAACATCTTGAATTGAGATCAATAAAAGCCGACTTAATTTATCCTCTTTTCTGCATCATACCCATCCTATCACCCATCATCTGCAACACTGGAACAATCGTATCCTCACAATTACAAGTTCACATCCAAAACTTGCGCCTATCTCATCCATAATCATGGCTTATTCATCTTCGCAGGAGTACTCTTTGCTTCGCAACCTCAACAAGGTCTATCCCAAGATCCAGGGTGGCGAGGGAAACTACCTCAAAACTGCTGATGGAAGAGAGATATTTGACGCGGCAGGTGGAGCCGCAGTGTCTTGTCTCGGTCACGGAAACAAGAGAGTCATAAAGGCAATCTCTGATCAGCTCAGCACTGGAACTCCTTACCTTGCATCCTCATTCTGGAGCAGCCAGGTAGTGGAGGATCTTTGTCAGGAGCTTATTCGCGGTACTGATGGGAAAATGGCCAGGGTCTACCTGACAGGGTCCGGATCTGAAGCAATGGAGGCTGCCATCAAGCTGTCTCGCCAATACTTTCACGAACAGGATAAGGAAACTAAACGAGCCAATTTCATTGCCCGTGAGAGATCCTACCATGGCAACACACTCGGAGCTTTGAGTGTCTCGGGCTTCCTCGCCCGCAGGGAGCCTTATGTTCCATTCCTAATGGAGAATGTCCATCACGTCTCTGCGTGCTATCCTTATCGTCAGAGACTGGACGGTGAGTCGGACGCTGCCTTTGTGTCTCGGAAAGCAGCCGAGCTTGAAGCCAAGTTCCAAGAGCTGGGACCAGACACAGTAATCGCTTTCATCGCCGAGCCAGTGGTTGGCGCCGCTCTTGGATGCGTTCCAAGTGTACCGGGCTATCTAAAGGCTATGCAAGATGTTTGCCACAAGCATGGTGCACTTTTCGTCCTTGACGAAGTCATGTGCGGCATGGGCCGAACTGGCACTTTACACGCGTGGCAAGCCGAGCCGGGTGTGGTGCCTGACATCCAGACCAACGCCAAAGGGCTCGGCGGGGGGTATCAGCCTATTGCTTCCATGATGGTATCAGAACAAATTGTCAATGTGTTGAAGAAGGGAAGCGGCCAATTTATCCACGGCCTGACCTACCAGGCCATGCCGGTACAAGCTGCTGCGGCTCTAGAGGTTCAGAGAATCATCCGAGAGGACCAGTTGATGGCAAACGTTGTTGAACAGGGAGCCTATCTCGGGCAATGCCTGCATGGATTGCTCGGCAATCATCCACATGTTGGAGACATTCGGGGACGAGGCCTCTTTTGGGGTGTAGAATTTGTCAGGGACAAGGCGACCAAGGAGCCATTTCATCCGAGCCTCGAGGTTGCCCAGAAAGTGGCCGAGGTCGCCATAACATCCTCGCGGAGCATGACTGTCTATCCAGGCGCGGGGTGTGCGGATGGTGTCCGTGGAGATCATATTATCCTGGCACCGCCGTACACTGTGACGAGGGGTGACATTGAACTGATCGCCGCAACCATTGCTAGTGCTGTTTTTGTGGCTTTTCGGGGTATTTTGCCTCTGGATATGCAGAGCACTCAGTAGCAGAACTATCTGGAACTGATCTCATGGCCGAATTACTTCCTTATTCCAGCAGGTAAAGAGATTGTAGTACAGGACAAATAAGGATAGCTTAGACTTAACTTTCGCTTCGTTTCCGAACTAAACCTTTAGTACCCTAGGGTATTAAGCACAGAGTGAGAAGCGATCTTGTAAAAGCGATATATTCTTAAATTTATGCTCATAGAAACTAATTCAGTCACTTGAGATGCTATAGGACAGCATTGTACTACTGTGGAATGACACTGGCATCCTATGGGACAAATTCCTGGAGGACAACACTATAGGATAAATTTCTAAGCGATGAAATGGTGTAAGAGAACCTCCTTGAGACAGCACGTGACTCCAGATAACTAGAACGAAGGATGGATGGCTAGTCACCAACTGTGACTGAGTCACCACCCAACACCAACAAGTCGCGACACCAACAGCGGCAACGTCAACTTCAGCGTCATCTGCCCCCGCGCCCCACCCCCGGGTGCGACCGCATCAGCTTCTTGCATTTCCAAAGCCGGACACCTGCAACTGCAATTCATCGCCGCCTCAAGATGGACGACAAAAGCATCCTCGAGGTCAGTTGCGGCTGTTCTCTACACTCATCTTCACTGCTAACCTTTTTCGCGACAGCCTGAGCCTCGCTATGTCGACACGATTCCAGACAATGCAGGCAGCACTACGATCGAGGTATGACTGGGCGACACACCGTTTAAATACCAGAATGTGTCGGGCGATGCGGCTGTCCATTAGCTGACTCCTTTCTCCAATCTCTAGAAACCATTCCCCTTTCTTGACCTGCCTCCAGAGGTCCGCAACAAAATTTATCAATGTCCCTGCATTTACGAGACTCTCAGTTTGCGGGCACGTGGGCAGGTCTGGGCCTCGTTCGCAGATCTGCGGCAGGCCTCAATCACTCGTGTCAATAAGCAAATCCGCAATGAGACGTTGCCGATCTTTTACGGAAATCACGACTTCATCATTCGTCTTCCCCCACTTCCCTCGGACTGGCAGAGCATGCGCCCTCGTCACGAGGCTTACCATGACCACCCCTTCGAACATTTTTGGAGGAGGTTGGACGCCTTCACGCCAGATCAAAAGAACAACTTGCAAGAAAACTCGCTACAATTTCTTTCAAGCTTTACGCTTGAAATCAAAATTGACCCTTCGAGGCAGTGGCGCCTCGCCATGGTGGGCTTCTTCATGTCCAGCAGGGAGCTCGATTGCGACGAGGATGTGGTCTGGGAGGAGGCGGCCTTAGTGAAAACTGCGGGCGTGGACTGGAACAATTGCTTTCAGGTCAAAGAGGCTTACCTCAGGGCGGTCGACTCTTGCCTGTTAGTTCGTGAGGCCCACGACCTCTTCAATATGCCGGGGGTCTGCTGTCGCCAAGTTGACCAGGCCGCGAGTGCGCTGGCAGCTCTGATGTGCCGCGTCGCGAAGCTATGCCCCCATTTGACGAACAATGTCACGGCCTTGATCGACCCGAGCCATGAGTTTGCCGAGGATATGGCAGAGAAGCAAGCCCGAGAAACACTAATAGTGCTTGGACAATAATTCATCATTGATGGCGATGAATAGGCACTGTTGATGGGGCTACTTGTCTGAGGGATGACAAGTAGGAACGTCCATCCGAGTACGCGGTTCGTGAAGGGGATACTAGTACATAGCTCCGAAGAAGGGATCGGAGATTCGCACTCGCAAACACGGAGGACACCCATACACAGCCCACAGTCTATGTTGATCGTGACCATGGTGGCGAGAAGACGAGGCATGCGGGTTTGGGAGACACTCGCCTTGCGGACCCGACGTTTTAGGTAAACTGACCGGTGCGGGAGTCATCTTGAGACTCTCCTGGTTGGTCGTGCCAGTCTTTCTCCAAAGCTGTTGACAAAGAACCTATGTCAGCCTGAAAACTACATGGCTTTGGAACGAGATGTAATGCACTTATGGCAGTTTTGACAGTGTTTAATATCGATTTCGACGAAACCCCGGCGGTCCGTATTGTGCAAGAAACTATCATGATCCTTCGTACTGCGTAGTTATCTCGTGGTCTTGGAATGTGAATAGTTCACCTCGTTACCATTTCTCATACACTGGCAGAGCTGGGCGGCTAGTAGTACAAGTCTGAAGAGGGACCAATCACCTCCTGTATTTTGCCGCCACGCAGCAGATCGTACTCCGTACGAGTAACCAGTAGCAGTGAACGACTGACTTCCTGGCCCTACGGACGGCTCGAATGAAACGCTAGCGGACCGTAGCTGAGGGCTTGCGCCCCCAACATCCCCAAATTCGCTGTCACACAACACCGTCGTTACCACTCTGCCTTGCCAACCGGCGGGAGCTACCTAGGTTTAGAGTGTGCTCTCCAGGGCTCCATCCAGCGCGGCTGAAAATGCCTTGCAATGATGCCTAGGAAATCCGAAAATTATTAAATGTGGGTCCAGATGTCATTACACGGAGGGCTTGTCGTTCCTGTTCGCCTACATGTCTCCATGTCTTTCCGGCATCCTGTGGCATAATGGTTACCCATGTCAGCATGACAGTTCCGCCAAGCGTCTCTCCTAACCCTCCTTCATCGACTTCGGCACGGCCCACCCTGGAGACGAGTACTTCCCACCAGCCTTCAACTAATGAACATCTGACGGTGCGACCTTTGAACCAGATACCGCCGGACACGGCCATCTCACCTCTGTCATCTACAATTACACTGGTGACTGATATATCACAACCGCCCGTGACTACGTGCCACAGACCTGTGCCCGATGGCTCACCCTCAGCAACTTACACGGCTCTTCCAGCCGAAGATAGCCACACGACCGCCAAGCCTCCAAATAAAAGCTCTCCGGCGTCCCGACAAGACTGTTGGGAAGCTTTCCAGGACACAGCATGGGGCCTTGAGCTCCTCTCGCTCCTTTTTGCCCTGGCTTCCACCATCGCCGTCTGTGTGATCCTCGGACACGCGAACAACCGCCTGCTGAGCAGCTGGACGCTGCCGATCCAGCCCAACTCGCTGGTCTCAGTCTTCTCGACTTTGGCCAAGACCGCCTTGATGTTCCCCATCGCCAGCGTAATTAGCCAGATGAAATGGATCTGGTTCCAGGAGCCGCGCAGCCTGGTCCATCTGCAGTCCTTCGATAAGGCCAGCCGTGGGCCGTGGGGTGCCATGAGGCTCATTTGGGACCTCTTTTCCAAGGCCAGCGGCTGGACCGCCAAGGCTGCATGCGTTCTGACTATCGCCGCTTTGGCTTTCGAGCCCACGGCCCAGCAGGTCATCAGCTTCGAAACGCGGGAGACTCAAATTCATAATGCGACGGCACAACTCTTGGTGACGTCCAGCTGGAACTCTTCTTCCTTCAGCTTGAGTGCCGTAAGTCTTTCAAGTAAGTCGTTTGTCGATCACATTCAAATTCAAGGATTTCCGGGCGTATGAAATTCTAACACGGATCGGTCCCTCTAAGAACAAATCGGATTACAAACCTCTTTACTCAATGCGCTCAGCCCTCAACGTCGGGATTCCCTGCCCGAATTCGCTTGCACGGCTCGGACCTGTTCATGGGATCAGGTTGAAACCCTAGCTGCTTGCTCGGGCTGTGCGAGCGGGCAACTGCCGACATTCTCTTTGGTGGACATCAGCAACAGGAGCGACGCGAACACTTCCCGGGCCGTATTTGAAGCAGCAGCACCGCCCAGCGTCACTGTCGGTGCAGTGATGGACGATTTCCCGTTTCCCAACGTCACGATGCAGCCAATGTACTCCCTGTACGACGCGAAAGCGGACACGATGATGAATGTGGCCAGCGGCTCCTTTCTACGTTTTGCCGCGGTGGACCACAGTACTAATGAACCTGAACGTAACTCCTCGAGTCACGGTGTCTGGAAGTGGCGACAGAATGACACAGTGGACTACTATCTATGTCGCGTCCACCCTTGTGTCAGGACTTTCAAGAACATCGTCGTCCGGAACGGCGCGTACAGTTTCGGCAGCCAGACCTCAAAATGGCTTATAGCAGCAGGGGATCCGAGTTGGAACGGCTACCGCACCGATGAGGCAGCATCCGTGTCAGACTGGACGATCGATTTCGATACATCACAGAAGGTGAACCAAGTCCTCGGGACCATGCTCTCTCATGGAGTTCCTCGCTTTAGTGGCCAGTTACACAGTTACTACCAGAATGGCAGCATAGATGGTGCGGTCGGCTCTCTTCTGTACGAAAGCAATCTGACCACGGTCATGGGTGCTCTCTCCGACGTCATCTCCGCCGCGATGCGGAGCAAAGATAACCTTGCCGTCAAGAATCAGAGTGGTGTTGCCTGGGAGCCGCAAACGTTCGTCGTCGTCAACTGGGCCTGGATGGCCTGCCCACTAGTGATCCTAGCAACCACGACGGTAACGCTCGCAGTGGCAATGATTCAGACCTCCAAACAGCCGATTTTATACAAGGACTCGGCAGTCGCCCTGTTGTCGCTTGGAATCGGACACATGGACGCCCACACCCCGGACAAAGTCGTCAGGGGCGACACGGTGGGACAGCGCTACACGGCTTGCCAGATGGAGACGGATGCGTCGGGGCTCACCACAAGACTCTTCAAGGATGGCAAGGGGAATTACATGTTTCTAAAGTGTTGAAGGCAGTCAATGAATACGCAATCTTCTTACAGTTGTTACCCTCGGTCATGTGCTTGGACTGATAAGGCCCTGCAAATGACTGACCGCCGTGCCTTTTGGGCTAGTCATCTCACTGGATTGTGTTTTCTCAAACGCAGGACCGTTTGCTTTCGGGATGTAAGAACGAAACATCGAACCAACCAACAACGGGTCCCCCTTGTGATTGGACGTCTTCCCGTGGATCTCGGCAGGCTCAGGCACCCAACATTGAGGCTGAGTAGGTAGTACTATTTAGGACCTCATTTGCAGAAATTTCTAGGCAACCAAACCACCAAACCTAGACCATCTACACTGGCACCCTACGAGAATCCATATCCCTTTTGTGCAGCGGATGATACCGTCTTTGCTATACCCCTGCCGATCGCTTCACATCACTAGCTCAAGTACAGAACTGATACCTAACCCCTCCCTTCGTCAACTCGTGCTAAGAATCGCTACTTCAGGACATTGTCTCCATGCCTAAGCACAGCCAAGACGGGCTGGAGTGGGACAGCAGCGGCCTTGACCTTGTCCCTCGGTGGACGCGCCAGCCATCAACCGAGGCAATCGAGACGGTGTGCCGACAACGTCTTCACATCAGTAGCAATACCAGTTGCAGTATCACCTTCCACGCCGAAGGTGCGTTCAACAAGCTCTACCTCGTCAAGACCTATGAGCAGTCCCTGCTCATGCGTGTCACGCTGCCGGTGTGTCCTCGCCACAAAACCCGTGGCGAGGTGACCACCACGCGATGGCTTGCCGAGAATACGACCATTCCGGTACCAAATATCGTCGCCTTCGACGATACCAGCAACAACGAGATAGGTTTTGAGTGGATTTTGATGGAGCTGATGCCTGGGGAAACGGCATGGAGGAAGTGGAGAACACTCAAGATGGCACAAAAGGTCTTCCTGACACAACGGATCGCCGAGTTCCAAGCACAACTATTTCGACACAACTTTCCCGGGGCTTCATTCCGGGGAATAGGCACGCTTGGATGCGCCGCTGGTGGAGAAGAAAGCACCGGGCCTGGACAGCTGGTCTCAGGCATGTTCTTCATGGGCGACCATATCAACTATGACGGGGTGCACCGAGGGCCGTTTCGCTCAAGCCACGATTGGGTCAAGTCGTACTTGGAAATCGCCATGCGGGAGTTTGAGGATATCAAAGCGAATTGCGAAGAAGAGGACGAGGTAGAAGAAGCCGAGGACGCCTTGATAGTCGCCAAGCAGCTCCTCACACTTCTGCCGAAGATATTTCCACCCATCGAGGAGCCACCGGAACGTACCGTGCTCATGCATCACGACCTAGGGCCATCCAACATACTGCTGGATGAAGACGGTAACGTTTCGGCTGTGCTGGACTGGGAGTGTGTCTCAGCCATGCCGCTATGGGCGGTCACTGAAGTGCCCAAGTTCCTCCGGAACTGTGATCGAGAGGATGAACCTAAGCGTGAGACCTACGCTGACGAGACCCCTCCACCAGAAGGATCGTCAGGCAATGGACAGCAGGATCCTGACGAGCTGGATAACGAAGGAAAGAATGAACTGTACTGGATCCATCTCATGGAATACGAGACCACCCAGCTGAGAAAGATATACCACGATAAGATGAGGAGCATCTGGCCGGATTGGGACCTGTGCGTGGAAGAAAGCAGGCTTAAGCTGGACTTCTATGAGGCCGTGGCTCGCTGCTCAGACGGCTGGTTCCTCGGGGGAGTCCAGAGGTGGGTGAACAAGATCGAGGCGGGGGACTTTGTGACCCTGGAGAGCGTATTGAATCGGGGTCCGGTGGTGAAGTATACAGGTTAGAAACACTTGTAGGCAGCAGCGCTTCTAGACACAGCAACGTTGACCAACATTCGAACGAGCCAGTGAATATGGTTTGCTGTATTACCGTTCAGGTAAGTTAGTTACTACCTAGGTACCCTTCGCGCACTCTTCCGCGGTGAATCTGAGACAAATCAGTTGGATTGCTGCACTGAGCGCTTCATACGTCGTGTGTTTTATGATCCCCTCGAGCCTCAGCCCTCTTTCTTGGCCACCGCAAGCACCTTCACAAGCAACCACAACACTTGAGCAGTTTGGGTGTTGCAGAACCAACATACACAACCTTCAAGCTCATTTTTGCATCCACGGAGTCAGATCAGTCAGCATGTCTGATTATAACACCGGAACCCAGCTGGTCGTGCTTGGCTTTGCTGACCAGCCTGGCCTCGTCGGCAAGGTGGTCGTCAACGCCGTCGGCCCTCGTGGCTGCGTCGGCGATGTGGTCGGCGGAGGCAGCGGCCGTCATGGCGTCTCTGCTGTTCACCAGCACCGGTTTGTCCTCCGCGATGGCCAGTTCCACCCTGCCTTGGGCCCCAACCTTGCTTCCAACCATCATCAGCCCAAGAATATCCGTTTCGTTACCCTCGCTCTTCATTCTGGACCCGTTATCACTCACCACACCGTGGAGCTCAACGCCGCAGCTAGCACCCGCGACCTGGACCAGTTCATCCAGGTGGCCGGCCCCCTCTTGGGCGCCTTGGCCACCCAGTTGATCAATTTGACCGTCGGTACCAACGCCACCCTGGGCAGTGGCCAGACTCAGCAGTTCATGGCCGTCTCTTGGAGCGGAGTTGCCAAGCTGATCAGGCAGCTCGGCCCTACTATCACTCGCGACTTTCATATCCTCCACCCCGATGGCACGGTGTTCGTCTTCACCGACGGTAACCGTGACGGCACCGAGGCCTTCCTGCGTGCCTTGGACAGCTGCGCCGACCACGCCCTCGCCCAGTTTAACATCGCCGTCATCATTTTGGTCGTCACTATCATTGTCTGCATCGGCAAGGCACGCCAGCGTGGCTAGTCCAACATCAGCCAGTCTGCCGCCTGCCTAGAGGAACTCAAGACTGTAAGTTACTCATTCCCCCGCCGGCCTATGCCGTGGTATGTGTGCACGTCGCCCGTCTAACCGCCCGTCTGCAGCTTGTTTCGCAATGCGAAACGCGCCGCCGCCAACCCTTTTCTCAACCGTCAAGGTCGTCCTCTCTAAGCCGAGTATTCAAGTCGTCAGGACACATAGAAACAATTTGTGTTAATAGCTTGGGCTATGTCTTGGTAGTCTTTGTGGTACAGGGTGGAGGAACGGAGGGCCAGGAGTAGAAAGGGAGCAGCTATATACCCTGAGGTAGATCCGTTGGTACTCTGTCCATAAAGGTGGAAAGAATCACATGCATCTGTGCACACTATGATATCCGTGCCTGCTAGAGGTGACCTAGGGTCATGTAAACTGTAAGCAAGGCAATTACTCTCACTAGCGCCCTAGATTCCATGATGCTTCCTAGGCACAAGAGCCATGTATAGTGCCATAGAACACCTTATTTGCAGTGTGTTTACTGAAAGTAGTTATATAAGTAGGCCCGAGTCTTGATAGTCTTCCATCTGGCCGGTCCACTCTCATTCAATACTATCTATTAATAATAATAGTTTCTATTCTTTAGAGTATGACTAAATGCTAAGATTAACTAACTATAAGTGTTAGCTATCTAGAGTTAAAGATTAGTAGTAATAACTTTATTAAAGTAATAAGTTAAAATTAAGTTAATAAGAAAGTTAAAAATAATACTTTTATATTTTTATTAATATTTAAAGTAGAATAAATCGTTTATACTTTTTTATTAAAACTTAATTTAATTTTATAATTAATTTTATAAATATTTATTAAAATATTAATATTATATTAATTATTTTAAAATATAAATATTAATATTATATTACTTATTTTAAAAATATATTAAAATATTATAAATATAAATATAAATATTACTTTTATTTAAATAATAAAATAATATTTAAAATTAAATAAAGTATTTAAAGTTAATAATAATATTAATAAATATAATAATATATTATATATTTAAAGTTTATAATCTTATTATATTTTAAATATATTAAAAAGTAATAATTATATTAAGTATAATAATAATTAATATAAAGTATAATCACACCTACACTATTATAGTACCTACTTAAGTCCCCTAGTAAAGGTATAAGGACGTACTATATAAACACCACTAACTCACCACCAACTCTATAGCTAAGTACTTAGACTCTCTTTCCTTTTGTGCAACATCGAGATATTTACCTAGGAACCATAATATGCATGTAAATAGTCAGTTAGAGGGGCAGGATTGACCAGCTGACTGCGCACAGACCACTTCTTCGAGCTTACCTCGAAGATCCCAGCCAAGCCCTTCTGGCTGGGCTTCCTCCTCTTTGCACCACACACGAATATAATACACTTGCACCCACTTGACGTACCGCAGGTACAGCCCGAGCCCGCTGTGCTCCTAAATAATTTACCTAGTACAATACGCAGAACTTGAAGACTCAAATCCTCCAACAAGACCTCGCCATTCAGTGACCACGGTTCCCGCTTTGCTTGCATAACGCCCTACTACACTTCTAGCTATAGTCGACAGAGACCCGTCGTTGTCCACAATGGTCCAATTCGACTCCACTCCAGCGCTCATAGTGGTCGACATGCAGAACGGCTTCTGCCACAAGGATGGCAGCTTCGCAAGACTGGGGATACCGACTGACCCGACAACGATTGTTCCTCGTATCAATGAGCTATGCTCCGAATCTCGCGCTACGGGCGTCCCCATCTATTTCCTGAAGACAGGATACAAGGCCGACTACTCGGATAGACGCGGTCGTGATAGAGGGGATCGACTCGAACAATTCCAGGGTCTTTTACAGGGTTCTTGGGATGCCGATATTCTAGACGAACTCACGCCTGAGCTCGACGACAATGTCATCAATAAGACCGGATTTTCTGGCTTTTTTCGCACGTCACTGGAGAATACACTAAGAGACCGAGGAGTCGACCATTTGATTTTGACTGGGGTGGGAACTGATGTATGTGTAGAGACTACGGCAAGAGACGCCTATCAATTGAACTTCGCCGTCACTACCGTAAGTGATGCTACCGGGACATGCAATGAGGCGGACCATCTAGCCGCTCTGCACGCCCTGCGATACTTTGGTGGCACAGCCTCGACATCGGAAGTGATTGAAGCCTTGCGGAAGCTGCGAAACTCAAACCATGTATGACGGAAGGAGTTTGGACCTTCAGTGCAGGTGCTTACGCGTTTGCTTAATTAGCGTTTGGAATGATATGAAAAGAGTCCGTTAATAAGACTAGCTCTTAATATAATACTATGGGTGTACACTATGACTTGTGTGTTTCAGTCCATGCTAGTGCACACATTGTCATCGATGATATCTAGTCAACACATTAAGTCACCAGGATGCCTCTATCCCTGCAATTCAACGCTGTGTCCTGGGCTCACGGCCTCGCGCACATGCATATCCCTTGTCGATCCGGTCGGTAGCAGCTCCAGACCCTGAGGCTGTGGGGTGTGTAGCTCTGACTTGACAAATGGTGACTGCCCCTGCCCCTGGCTTGGTGCACGATCCGGCTCGTGTGGTGGAGTGGCATCCTCGACACCCCTCATCCTCCTTTTCCTGACGCACCAAAAGATCCCAATCGCTATACCAGCAAGGCCTACCACGGCGCCCATAACGATGCCGGCAATAGCGCCTGCAGAGATCTCGCTCTCTGCCGAGGGACTGCTCGTCGGCGTTATGGCCGGAGTGGCCAAGTCCTCGGCCCTCCAGTTGATTTGAATCCTACGCGTTCATGGTGAGCTTGTGGTAGGGCCAAGATTGAAATCCAATACGGTTGAGAAGGGAGTAAGATCGCAGGAAGAATTATTGTCGGTTCTACCTACAAAGGCGCGAGGACCGCGTGAGTAGTGACCGTCAAAGTTGCTGTTGATGTGGTTGACTCCGTAAAAGTCCACCTCCGAGTCCACGGTACCTGCCACGAGCCTGGCTTAGACGCGGCCCCAGTCGTGGTATGCGAGCAGAATCCCACTTCCATCGTTGTTGAGGTCGCTACAAGCTGGCATGTCTGGGCCAAATCCAATGTGTTGCCGTCATTGTTAACGGTTTGAAGATAGTGGCAGGTATATCCGCCGCTGCAATGGAAGGCAGTGTGTCATTGTTATGTTCCTTCAACATAAATGTCCGTCTCAAAACACCTTGGAAAGCTTACCTTGGACAACATCCAGCAGCTGTTTCGCCTGCCGTTAGTTCAAACTGTGGCGACCACCAAGCAGTCAAACCCTCCTTATCAGTGACATGACAAGCAGTTGTAAATCCAGAAGGGCATAACGTGCCAGGTGAATAGAACCCCCAGCCGCTAAAAATATCGTTCGGGTGGTTGGGTGCATTGGCGGTCCTTATAGGCCAACATGCATCGTCGTCTACTACCTTATCTGGACTAGTCACACAGGTTCTTCCTTGATATCCGGAAAGCCAAGGTGACGTAGTAAGATTTCGGAGTATCACAGAGAAGCAGCTCTCTGGTGGGTTGAACAATGTGGTCAGGGTGCCAAGGATAGGGCGTGTTGTCTGGGACATATTGTTTCTGTCAACTTGGAGCGTCCCTGAAAGGCAGACTTGTTGAGATCGATTGATTGAAGACCAATAGAGGTCAGGCCTTCGCTGTTAAGATTCGTTCTGGGGAGACGGCGCTTTTGATCAGCTGAAGCGGGGCCAAGAAAAGTGGTTGGCTAGAGCAGTTATACATCTTGCAGGCTGCAGCCGATGTCATTTTGAGGAGCACACAGCTCCATTTCACAAATTGCAAACAAAATTTATCGAGCCGATACGCTGAAGTGTGCTTGTTTGCCGTGGTGCATGACTGGGACGCGAATCGGCTGTCAGAGGAGGGTTCACATATAAGTACCTAGGTAGGCATCCGAGTTGTGCAGATCTGCAGTGCACCAGCTGTCCTTCTTAGGTACTTTAGCTGAGCGAATAAATGAACTCCGTTGACTACACTTCATAGGAGCACTAAATGAGGCTATTTTCAGACGTGACTTTCGATACTCTGATTACACGAGCAATGATATTTAGGAACATAGCACAAGTCAATGTTTGCCAGTCGGTGATTTGCACTGCATTCAGATGTGGAGCCGGCAGGATTTATAGCATCTCCTACTCCTATTGATAGATAATTAATCTTTTCCAAGCGTTCATCAGATCACCAAGATGGGCCGACAATCCTCTGATTACTACAAAATCGGTGAATATCTGCTGTTTGGCCCTCGCGCCCCCTCCCCCCCGGGGGCCGTCTTCAGCCAGCACGGTGTAGCCATAATATGGCTGCTTGGGGCCAAATGGGACCAGAGCCCGCACAATGGCTTGCATAAGGCGTACAAAAGTACCTGAAATACATTATTAGCTACAGTGAGTCAACTTTATCATCAGCCCTTCTTCTCCTCCATCTAGCCTTCAATGTGGTCCGGCGTGGCAGAAAGCTCTTTGCCGTGCAACCATGGAGCCGAAATATGGGGGGTTTATTAGTCAACGCTTTGGTGCCACCATACCGGTATGCTCCACGGTCAGGTGAGCTATTAATTGATGGAATGATTCTGCTACAGAATTACATTCTGATTCTAGATCGGCCCACACGCTATACTAAGCCCCTCTCGTAGAGAGGTATCATTTTCACCATCTCTTGCAGCTCCCCATTCATGATTCCAGCCACGAATATCAGATCAACCACCCTGAAGCGCCGCGAGCCGCATGTGCGGAGTAACTACAAGAGGAAATGAAAGGCCGGAGACAAGAACTACAGCGTCACCATTCATAACAGAAGTCCCGCCAAAAGCGATTCCCCCGTGGCACATTGCTGTACTCCCACAGCGTACTGCACTCAATCTTTCTAGCCAAAGAGTGTTTATCAATTGATGACATGCCCGAATACTCTTATCCTTTAATAGCATGAGCTCGAACCACTCAACTCCCTGTATCATGCTCCTGCTCTTCCGCAAGACAACCCACCAATTTCTCAACGCGGTTTCCACAGTTCCGTACGTCGTTCTTGTCAACACAGCGATCAGTTTGTTGACGTAATGATGGTCATATTCGGACATGTTCGAGATTGCGTCATATAACGCAGAGTTCAGCAAACGGGTC